CCACGGTACGCTTGGGAATTTCAAAGAGCAAATGTATTGACGCTATCAATAGATGCACAAATTGCCAAATATGAAGTCTTGGTTTGCAAAGGCAACACGGTAGACGATCAATTGCTTGGTAAAAGGTTTCTCTCAGGACTACCCGAAGTGTCACGTTTGATGGTCTCAGGATGCGCACTAACTGGGCAATATAAGAGCCAACCGGTGGGCCTTCGGTGAACGGGGTGGCCCTTCACGTGAAAGTAAGCGCAACTCTTGCACCTTCAGCGCAAAAGAACGAAATTGCACTAAAGCCCTTCCAAGCGGCCCGAGCCTACAATCTAATGCGGACAATATAATATATCCGGAGGGAACCCGTGTTACTACGCAGCCGTGGACTGTCCCACAACAACACATCTGCTTCTTCTGTGGGCCTTGAGGCCATACAATTCGAATCTACACGTACACGGAAACGCCAAAGCATTTGATCAGCTGTAGTGGCTCCGCACAACCAGGTTGCTTGGCGAGCAAAGAAAGCGCATCAAGGAAATAGAAATCTCCCTACGCAGGCTGTAGGGCAGGAACGGGGGCCGCGGAGGATAGAGCCACGGTTGAGGACCCCGCTACAAATCACCTGTGCCGATTCAAGCTCACAATATTAATCAAGACTTTCTAGCATTCCTTGACACTCGAGAAGGAGTGTCTCCGGTATGCAAGGAAACGGTGTCAAAACCATAGGCTGCTTGTTCACTCAGTAGCGCAGTCCCCCAAACTCAGGTTTTCTGACGGGTGGCAGTCCGAAAGGATTGCCAAGGCTCGAGTATTCAAATGCCACTTCAAATTTGATCCGAGTTTTGTCAGGCTGGTCGGTGACTTCTGTGTTGATCGGGTGCACTATGTTGTGATCCTAGGTCTACCATAGGTGACCAGATGGCGGTAATCCCTGCGCCAGCTCCAAATTTATGTTCCGCGACTTCGGAGGTCCCCACATCGAAGAGAAATTAAGCAACAGGTAGCTAAATTGTAGCCACAGCTGCGGGGTGTGGAGGTCGGTGCGTCGGAAACCGCTCAAAAGAAGCAATGTTTTTTCTCGTCAACAATGCTCACTTCTCCATGGCGGGAGAGGTGGAATAGGTTTCTGAAAACTGTGAGACAGAGTCTACTCCATGCAGGCGGCTCAGTAGGGCAATAAAATCTAATGGTTCTGAGCATGCATTCTGTACTTTCAGTGTTACCACCGGCATTTTAGTAGGTAATGCAATTGAAATTCCAGCTGGGGAATAGCGGGAATGGAAAAAAATAGCATGGGAAAGTTCATGTTTGTGCTCAATAATGACGACCTACAAGCAGGCTGACTAACTGCTGGCCATTCAGCGTACCATATTGCGCTGATGTCTGTGTCAGGTAGAGTTTATGTTTCGCGGTGGTGGAAGTCCCCACAGCATCGAGAGAAAAATAAGCAGCAGGCTACTCAATCGCTGAAGAAAAAATTACGTAGTGCAGATTTCGGCCAGCGACTTTGTGCAATATGGGGTAGTACGTGAGCGGGGAGCGGCTGCGTCGAATTCTGCAGTGATACAATCTGTAGCGCTTTATTTTGAAGTCTTGGTTTTAATGTACTAAACTCCATATTTAATTTCAACCTATATACAAAATTATTCAGAATTTCTTAGACGAGCTCCCGTTTAACTTGCTCGTGCCCCTTGGAGTTCTGACATGGGGGGGAGAGGGGCAATCAGGGTGCAGCTGCTGCAACCTAATTGCCCTTCGAGAATTTACAGCTAGTTGTACACAGCAAATAGCGCCCTTGCACCCAACATTTCATCGGGATGTACATAGGTCACAGCATTCCAAAAAAAGTAAGCTATGCAAAGGAACTAGTTAGTTTTTGACCAGTACTTCGGGGGTTAAATTATATAACTTGTGAGTAATAGTGCTCGCTCCTACCGTAGCCTCCTGCAATGTGCGTTCCCAAAACATGCTTCTCGACGGCGATTTAGTGGGTTATTCGCCAACTGGGGCTCCGTTGCTTTTATCGAGGAAGCTTTGGGGCAGCCTCTAAGGTGATGAAGCATGCACGTTATATAGATACCGGAAGATGGGAGCCGTACACACGCAGGAATGCTACTGTGTATATTCTTTCTGCATGCTGTCTCACTGATACAAAGTTGGCCTAGATACGCCCGGAGCGATAATCCATTTGTATGTGGATTTTTGAGGAGCCCTCGTTTATCATATGCATCGGTTTCCTCCTTCTAGTCACCGCTTTCTCCCCTTTAGGCTGTAGATGAATCGTGCAATGCATGTTTCCTCCTGAATTCCGCAGTTCAGAAAAGACCACGCTTTCCATGTACTTTAAGAATTGAAGCTGATGTTTAGATATACATCTTGCATAGCAAAAGAAAATGCTACACTGTCCACTTGCTGCGTTGTTGCATGCAGTGAGTGCTGAGCGGGACCCCCGGCTTCTCGAGTTACCATTGAGCACACTCCACTATTTTCCCTTCATTTATTTCTCCTCTTTTAATGCTTCAAGTTGCTAAACGTGTTTGTCTCAAGGCATAATCCTTTCTGCTCCTCGACGCGGTGTTTATACGCCTGACGGGGCCACCGTCTTGTCGTTCCTCCGTGACGTATTCCTGTCTAGCGAAAGGAACACATTTATCTTAGGATCATTCTTTAAGTTATTCTCTCTTTGGCCCTTGCAGACAGGCGTTCGATAAGCTTTTCTTTCTGGGGGGTCCATCTGTTGCTGCGTATAGCGTAAGCCGAAGCCCTAGATCCTCAGCCCAGAATGGCGCAAGACACGGCGAGCGCCATTCTCAAGGACGACGAGGCCCTGGGTCTTCGTGAGGAGAAAAAGACAGAAGACTTCTCAGGCCAGGCGGAGGCCCTCATTGAACGGGTTGAAAATGCGCGTCAGGCGAGTATCCTTGGCACAGCGTCTCCACAGACTTCAGCGTTATTCAGTGTCACCTGACCCCAGAGGCTTTTGCACTGCGTACTACGTCAGTTCGAGCTTTACCTGAGCTTGATGGCTGGGCAACACCTCCCTTGTTTACCCGCCAGCCTCCCTACCGTCACAAATTCTTTTGTCGTCCATCGTGCCTTCTCTCCGTAATACAGGGACTCTTTTGGACACCCTGCTCCGTCCTTACCACATTTCGCGTCGGCATCTGTACATGCCTGCCTACCTTCTAGGGCATGCTGCTGTTTGCTGTTGTCTCTGGTTCTGTTCAGGCTGAGGGCTTGCGGGGTGCCCATGTGTTTGCGGACGAAATTCTTGCGTTAGAGAAGAAGTGCCGCCAAGCGCAGGACGGGGCTAGCGGCTCAAAGCTTTGTGCCTGTTATCTCCGCTGCTTCGTAAAGGTGGAGGACAAGGAGAAGAAAGACGTCGTGCTCAGCCCAGATGCGGAGTTGCAGGTCGACGCACTGGATCCGGAGACCCTCGAGAACGTTGACAAGGAGTCTCCGGGCTTCTCTGTTTCCTTTTTGAATGCTCGAGGTGTGGAGGCTTTTGCACAAGAAGTGACGGTGCTCATTAAAAGAAGGGGGCAACTCAAGCGAAGTATCTGTGCGGTCGTCAGACTCAGCATGCAGTTGCTGCAATACCTGAAACCCGCGGACAAGGAGCATTTTATCGAATCCTTAAGGCTCGCTACGGAGGGGAAGGTGTGCTTCGCGCCTGCGGCAACAGCATTAGATCTCCAGTCTTTAAAGGCTTAAAAATAGGGAGTCTAGTCTTGAGCAGCTTTCGCATGCGCCTTTGGTTGGGTCGCTTTGCTAGCCATCGTGTCTACACAAATGCTTATTTCGTGATTAATAGGCGTTACGGTTTACGCTGAATCGTTTGAGAAGATGTTCACGCTGTGGAATGCTTGTGCCTCAGATCTTTGTCGAGGTTGAGCGGGCACGCCTGATTTTGCTGTCCGCCCTCATGAAGGAGAAGGCTGGAAATGTAGAACAAGCCACCCTTATGCTGCAGGATGTGCAGGTCTGACAGAGGCGCCATGCTGCTTTTGTTTGCTCCCGTACTAATAGTGCCATCTCTCCATTTTCTGGCAGAAAGGGGTGTTCATTGGGGGTACCGCTAGATACACAGATTTAAGGGTTGGCTTGACTGTGTGCTGCGGGCATTAGTATGGCCTTAATCCCGTAGTGTGGTGATACTTTCAAAGAAGCCAGGCCTTTTATCGTCGTGCCCGCTTTCCTTTTTTCTGCGCACATGCACGTGCTGTTCGACTTGCAGCCTCAACCCAGCGACACCGCAACTCTCTGTGCTGCAATTGGTGTCTTAGGTCGAGACATTTGGCGCGATGGAACGCGAGGAAAAGACTCGGTATATCCTGAAGCAGATGCTGTTGCTTCTGCGTCGCTCGGATTTTATTCGCTGCCAGATTGTTAGCAAGAAGCTAAGCCCTAAGCTGCTCGAGGCTGAGGACCTGCAGCCCTTGAAAGTGAAGTTTTATGAACTGATGACGTTGTACTACCTGCATGAAAACGCGCTGCTTGACGTCGCCAAGTGCTTCGGACACATCTACAATACAAAAATCACACAGGAAGACGCAGGGAAAGCAAAGGAGGTGAGGTGGCATATCTTTTAGAAAGTATTCGCTGCCGTAGCTGGTGCGGGAAGGGCAAGAATGAAGGGAGGGGAAGAATGCAGGGGAGGTAGGCGCAGGCGTAGCTGACCGACGTGGCTTTGTTTCTGGGATCTTACGCCATTGCCTTATGCGTGAAACGTGTCGAAAAAGAGGCAGAAAGGGGTGGCAGTTGACAATGTTACAAATTATGCCGCTTGCCGGACTACCAGAGTTTGGCCGTTGTAGAAGCACCTCGCGTGGTGGCGTGCTCTTATTGTTGCATCTCAGCATTATGTTGCCATTTCGAAATTGTTGTGAGTACAAAAGTGGTCGTTGTGTGTGTTTCCTGCGTGCCAGTGCCTGGAGTGTTTTGTCATTTTTATGGTTTTGGCACCTCACGATGCTGAGGCGAAGGCCCTCATTGCAAAGACGCTCAAAGAGGGTAAGGGGTGTACTGCACGCATCTCCGACGTAGCCTATGTATACCCCCTCATTTCCCGTGTGCTCATCGCGGCACCCAACTGTGCATGTATGCGCTCGAAAATTATATAGTTTGAGTTTGTTTCTATCAAGGCGGAAGAAATTCCGTTCCTGGGCCTCCCATCCGCATGGTTTTTTTGTCATGGCCCTTGCGCTGCAGAGATAAAGAAGCTGCAGCAGCTCCCAGCCTTCGAGTGAGTCGCGCGGTGTTTCTTAATCCGAGCTGTTAGTACTCCGAATCCCGCATTGTGTCTTTTTCTTCATTGCTCCATATTGGGCGCCTTTTGCTCGATTGCAAGAGTACCGACCCATTAAGCGTCCTTGCCTCCATTCTTCATCGCGCGTTTGTGGAGTCTGCTTCGTCCTCCCTGACTCTCGATCCGCGCTTTGAGTTGTCTGCTTGTTGTGCTTCAGGCAGCTCTTGAGGGACCTGTGCGGAGTTGAACTCCTCTCCTGGCCTCTGCCGTACGATGCCGATTTGCATCACCATGCAGTTTTCGGAGAAGACAAATTTCAAGGGTCCGTACAGAGCACTTCAAAGCTGCTTCCGGTCTGTTTTGCGTGCTGTGTTGCGCGTCCTGCGTGATACCGCTAAAACCGCTCTCAAAGAGCTCAACGGGAGCAACACAGAGTTTGTCTCCGTACTGCGTGCTGCCTTCATGAATGCGCATGTGCTTACTGCCGACTCACCCTGATGCCGTCATGGGCTATTTGCGGCTTTAGCCGGAAGCACACGCGAGCTTCTCGGGTTGAACTGAGAGCACGAAGCAGATGAAAGGACGGGAGAAAGGGATGCAAGCCGAAAGGGAGAGGGGTCCAATGTGCGCACTTTGCCGACTACCTCCATGTTTGCGTTTACATGCAGCGGCGCGAAGAGATGGACGTTGCTCAGGAAACGCGTCATCCAACATGTAAGGGAGCTCCTGCTTGCTTGGGTTGTGCTCTGTTTCCTTCAGGGGTGAATGGCGTGCGCTTTGATCTTCTTCTCTGCCTCTATATCTGTTATACATCGCTCTTATGCCGTTCTGCCCTGGGGCTAAGGCCCACAGTGTGCCTCCTTTGTCTGCATGCGTAAACATATCCTCGCCCTTGCCACTGTTGTACGGCTGCACTGGCAGGCACGGCTTTGTGTCCTTTGTTGGTGTGAATGCGTCTTTTTTGTTTGCAGAATCTCCGGGTCCTATGCGAACATTACAGCGTTATCGAGTTGCAGCGTGTGGCGTCGCTCCTCGGTGTCTCAGAAGCGGTAGGCTTCCTCCATTTCCTGTACCAATGCTCAAGTTATGGCCAACAGAGGACCAGAGAGGCACACGCCGTGTTACGCGAGCGAGGCAGCTGGATAGAGTCTCTGTCATCCACTTATAGCTCGCTTTGTTCTTTCCCTTGCTAATGGAAAACTGGCATATTTGGAAATCCGTGGGGCTTTTGAACCTGCTCCGTCAATCGTTTGCGTCTTCCTGCGTCTGTGATTTCGTGTCGAGTGTCACGGGTGGTGCGGGAGTCTTCATGGGGCTCACACCGTTTGCAATTCAGGGTGCATGCGTGTGCAGGAGGCTGAGACGGAGCTTTGCGAGTTGGCGAGTGCTGGTGCTCTAGACGCTAAGATCGACCGACCCGCCAGAACTGTAGCGTTTGGAAAGCGCAAGACAGATCTGCTTGTTCTGGAAGAATGGTCTTCCTCACTTTCAAAGTGATTCTCATCGCTAGTTTGCACGCTTCCTTTCCTTCTTCCTATGGTTGCTGAGTGCTCCTTGGTATATAACTACTGTTCTCGTTTCTGGTTGTGCCCTTGATTGTAGTGCCTCAATCCCTATCCGAACTACGAGCGGTGGAGCGTGGGGTGGCGTGCGGCAGCATTTGCTTTGTTCTCAGGTTGTTGGACAAGGTGGACCTGTGCTGCCACATGATACAAAAAGAGAGAATGGTTCATGCGGCGCGCGCCACAGCGGCTGCAGCAAATGCAAAACTCACTTCCTGATGGGGGTACGACCTTTTGCTGTATAGAAGTGAAAACAGGGCGAACTCCCACCAAAAAGCCCTGCTGGTGCTGCTGTTGCAGGGCTCTCGGGACGCGAGGGACCAGCAGCTAGCTAGCTTGTCGCCAGCTGCCCCCTGAATCTGCATGCGGACGCCATTCAGCTTGCTGGGGTTTTCTTCTTTACATTGGCCGCGTAATTGCAAAAGAATCACTCTCGAGGGTCAGTAAGCAGAAATGGGCAATCGGGACCGGCCCTGCCCTTCCACGCGAACCGCATGAGGATGTCTTGCTTGAGAAGGGGGATACTAGCTAGCTGGACAGGCATAGCGGCTAGTGAGGGCGGCTGCTGCGCGGCTGGCAGAACTAAGGGTAAATGCCTGAGCATTCACTGCCTACAGTGCGTGGCATCAATTTGTTGGGGATGAAAACGGAAAATAAAGTATTTCCTGCCTTCGCCGTCGATTTGGTCAGTATGACACATAGCAGTGGGATAGATATGAGAGGACAGGCTTTACATAGACCGATGGCAAACGAAAAAGAGAGAGCACTCTGTCAGAAGCTGGTTTTGCTGGTGTCATATGAGATTGTGGCAAGTGGCTCGCGGCCACTCTGTAGAACAGAATGTGCTGGGAGTACTGCTATTCGAAAAAGGAAGGTCAGGCAACAGAAGTGAGGTGAGGGGATAGCGAACTCTACTCACAACTGGCCTCAGATTGTGCTTTCATAACGGGTATCCATTCTTGGAACACAATTCTTTGATGTTCCTCTCTATGCCTTGCCCGCCTCCTACCGTAGCACGTAGCACACCAGGTGAAAGATACTTCTAGTGCATACAGAATGGCGATAAGGGGGCAGTACAAGCTGTTGTACGGTTGTTTACCGCATTATTGTGGTAAGTCAAGGGTGGCCACGTTGCTGTTGCACTGGAGTCCCCTGTGTTTGGGTGCCCTTGGCACACAAGCAGAAGAGCAACGGTGTCCCACTCGGTAGAGTCCAAAGCCCTTGACATATTTACAGAGCCAGAAGGGGTACCCTTTAGACATGGCCAAGCGGAATTTTCAATGTTATTTGGCGGACGTAGATAAATTCCTGGAGCAGTCACACATTGATTTTATGACACCGCTCTACAGGATTCTCAAAAGCTTTGGAACATGGAGTGGCATGCCAACAGCTAAATTCATGGCAGGTGTTGTAACGTTTTGTTATGGGTATCCATAAAAAGGCACTTTCAGCCCCAAAACCCTATGAACAATACTCAGAAAGTCATTGAGAACTTTTCCAAACGAGGTCTCCTTTTGCGCTCCATCTAAAGTCTCGATGAAGGGGCCATTAAACTGAAGACACAATGCAAACTTAATTGTAAATTCTAGCGGTTTTCCAGAGAACTCCCTCTTTTTCTTGCCCGTGCTCCTCAACGTTCCTCCTTTAGAAGACAGGGTCAGCTAGGATGCGCCTAGCACCACCGTCTAAGCATTCCGAGCACTCACAGCTAACTGCACGTAGTGTCCAGAGGAAACGCACACGACTTGCATCTTCTTGAAGCAAGCAAGCAATACTTTGCAATACATACGAATTGGGAAGACGGCACAATAAGCCAGTTCCTCACTACTATCTCGTAGCCACATAAAATCCAGGTAGTAGAAAGTGAGTAAGTTTGCGTAGGCCGCTACCTCCCCTGTCTCCTTGCCCTAAACCCCCGGGGTTCCGCCTTGAGAACACAGGGTCAGCTAGGGTGCGCGCTGTTGCATATTCTAAGCTTTCGGATCACTTCCAGGGAGTCTTACTGGGCAAATGGCGCAGAGGCACATGAAATTTATTATCGTTCTGGGCTGTCTGTACTCTGCAGCAAGGCAAAAGCACGAAGGGTCAGGCAAACAGCCACATCTTCTCTAATTATGCTACGAATATAGCTATTGTAATAAAGAGTCTAAGTGTAGGACATCCCTAAAATGGATTTAAGCCGAAAGTGCTTGCACAGGCGCGCCCCAATGGTTTACGATTTGACGAGTCGTACGACAAGGGAGTATATGGTCTTTGATGACAAAAGAATGAAATATTTTGTGATGATGGTGGGGTTATGTTACTCCTGGCAAAGAAACAACCATTAGGGGATCCTATTCAGGGGGGCCCTCAAGGGTTGGAAGGGTCTCATGCTTCTCTCATGGGGGCCCCTCTGGCAGCTGCTGCCTTGGAGATACTTCTTTCGACACAGCAACAGATAGTACGGAGACTCGTTGGTTCTCAATAATAGCGTAATACACCTTTGCATGTTGGTCCCTGATATGGAATGAATACAAGGGGTACAAAGACATCCTCCTTCCCGGCGGTCAGTATTACGATGAGCCACAGCATAGCACCCGCTATCTTGGAGTTGGTCGTGTCTTTCTGTAGAATCCAGCTAGGTTGCACAGGGGCTTTTGAAAACTGTTTTCGCTTCTTAAGTATCAAGGCCCCTGTTGTTCTAACCACTGGAGTAGGAGGCCTGTCCACCTGACTCACCGAGAGGCGGTACAACAGAAAACGGAAGAGGCATGTGCCACTGACGAAGAGGCTCACGCGAATCGATAGCGATCGCCAGACGTCCATTTTATGGATTGCAATGAAAGGGAGCGCCAACGGGACAAACCACAGGATGGCGGCAAGTGCCTGTTATTCAACAGGACCCTCCGACGATGGAACGGAATCAGCTTGCTGCAACTGCTGCTGCTGTTGCAGTTGTTGTTCGCGCTGCTCCTGTGGTAATGCCAGTGGAGAGCACTCTGAACCCGGCTGTAAGCCGGCTCTCAGGCCGTGGGAGGGGGTTCCGTCACGAGGCGTAGGAAATGGATCCTCGCATGAAGAGGACGGCAGTCGTGCCTGCAGAAACTGTGGGAGCTCAAACCATGATGAGCCAATAATGCCCTGCAAGAGACAGGCACCCCGGCGTGCTTGCATTCATGGAGCATCAGCCTTGCCTCACCGTGAGCTTCCAAGATATCATGACCAGGCAGGGGCAGCTGCAGCTTCGCTTCCCCGAGGATCCGTTTTATCAGAGGAAACAACAACGGATAGAGCAGCAGCAGGGCTTTCTCCTCTTCATTCTGCGTCTGCCTCTGAATCAGCGCCTGCGTTATCCTCCGTTTCGTCATTGTGTTGCGGCAGCACCGATTGTTTGATGTCATCGCGCCTTCGCCCCCGACGTCTCTGCATTTGTATGGTGTCCGATTTCTTTTATCCTTCTCTTGGGGGTGTTGAGATGCACATTTATGAACTGTCAGTTCGACTGGCGAGAAAGGGTGAGTGCTTGCTTTTTCTGCAAAAACACCTGAAACCTCCCTGATTTGGAAGAGCCGCATGGGGAGGGTCGACCAAGCGCCTCTCATGGTCCCTCTTTTCCCACTGGAAAAATTGCGAGTGTATCGCGCCATTTAGGATCGGAGACAACTGACTCGGTTGAAATCCGCCGCTGTGCATGAGTACATAGAACGGCAGCTGGCTAGTCTTCCACGCTGCATGGTTATGAGCTTCTCTCGGAGAGGTGGTGCTTGTTGGCATAGGGTTCAAGGTCGTTGTAGTGACGCATGCATTGGATGATCGTCATGGCATTCGGTATTTAAGTGAAGGCTTAAAGGTCTATTACCTGCCAATCACCTGTTTCCACGATAGGAGCACGCTGTTGACGTTTTTTACCACGCTGCCTCTAATCAGGTCCGCCCTTCACAGCTCAGCCTGAATTGCTCTGCGCCCTCTTCCTTTGAACACTTGAGTCCCTTCATCTTCCTGCAGTTTGTGGTTCTGCGTCTCTGTATCTTTCTGCGTTCGCCTTCATTCTAAGAGATATACTCTTCTTCCGAGAGGACAGAAATTGAGTCTTTCTGACATACATCCCCTATTGACTGCGGTGTAGGGAGCCGCACGTCTCTCCCTCTCTCTCTATGTCTCTCCCCGAGCTTTCTTCCGCGCTTCATTGGTTTGTTGTATCAACTTGCAGGACGATTCTCATAAGAGAAAAAGTAGATATTGTTCACGGCCACCAGACGACCAGCACATTGGCCCATGAGTCCATGTTCCACGCGAGACACCTCGGTTACCGGGTATGCACATAATTTGAGCAGTTTTATACACCTGACAGAAGGCTGCAATAGGGGCTGTGCAAAATATCCCGCGTGTGCTTATACCGAAGCACTTGCACGTTCTCTTTCTCTGGGAGGGCCGCACACATTTGAGGACTCTCGCTGAAAACTCAATGCTCAGCTGTGGTTAGGCGCTTTTCGTCCCCGCTTTGGATTTCCTATATACATATATGTATCTCTACAAATGAACTATATATATTGATTTTCCTACATATGTATATGAATATGTATGGATATATATATATATATATATATATATATATATATATACGTATATATATATATATATATGTATATTTTGGCTGTAACGCTCCTTCGTTGTTTTGGTGCTTTCCTCATTTCGTGTGTAAGTAATCGAGCATGGCTGGGGTGGGTTGGAGCGGTGGGGGAAGGATGCGTTTGCCGTTTCACGTTTTCGTAACTCCTGTGTGGAGGTGTTTTCTGACTGGTCAGGTGGTGTATACGGACCACTCGATGTTCAGCTTCGCGGATGCAGCCTGCATCCACATTAACAAGATCTTCAAATTCTTCTTGACCCACTGTAATCATTGTATTTGCGTGTCTCATACGCACAAGGAAAATCTCGTGCTCAGAGGAGCATTGAATCCTCATCAAATTGCCGTGATCAACAATGCTGTGGTGAGTGAAAAGTTGGTAGAAACAACCTTTCAGCGTACGGAGGTGACAGAAAGCAGGTGGGGAGGAGAGGGGAGACGCGGGAAGGGGGCGGGCTGGATCTAATTTAGGACGGAAAAAAACACAGAACGGTGCACCTTCTTCAAACGCAGGGGGGCCTCCTGAATCGAGCTCGCCTTTCTACTAGGATTGGACGCGCGTTTTCGTTCTGCATTTGCAGGATGTTCCGTCCTATGTACCAGACGTGTCACGGCGCCCTCCGCCTCCAGCAATCCACATTTTGATTCTTTGCCGTCTGAGCTACAGGAAGGGCATTGATTTGCTGGTGGATATGATTCCCACAGTTTGCGAGAAGTATCCGAATGTAACCTTTATCATTGGTGAGGCGGGAACGCAGGCCTAAGCTCGGTGGGACTTGCCTTTTGCGGTAGTGCTCTACCTCCTTCCTTCGCGCTTTCTACGTTCGCATGCTTTTACAGCCCCAGAGTCCAGATACCCATTAGTCGCTGTATATACACTCCGGCCCAACCAGGGACTTTCGTTTGTAGGACAACGCTCATAGGCTTTCCCCAGAGAGAAGTATGCACAGGGGGGGCTGTATGCAGACACACGGCACGTATACGCAGTGCGAGCAGCTCGGCTCCACCAAATGCTTAATCTGCGCTTCTTCTTTTCCCCGTTTGCAGGAGGCGATGGTCCTAAAAGGATCATCCTCGAAGAAATGAGGGAAAAACACCGGATCCACGACCGCGTGGAGATGCTTGGTCGGTACAGTGGCCGGAGGAACAAAAGCCACAGCCCCGAATTCGCGATTTGAGAGCTTTTGCGGCGTTTGTCGTCAGCGCCCGTCACGCACAATTACGCCACCCCTTGGAGGGACAGGTTTAGATAGTGAAGGAACGTAGCAAAAGAAATTCCGGCGAAGGGGGAATGTGCTAATAGTTCGAGAGTGGATAGGAGACGATGTAAAGGGGCTCATGTTTCGCCTCACACGGATGCCTTGTTTTCATATTTGCAACGGATTTTTGTCTTGCGTGTGTGCGTCCTCTGCCACTTAGGGGCCATCCCGCATGGGCAGGCCTGTTCTTTCCTGCAGCGGGGGCAGATCTTCTTGAATGCGTCTCTGACCGAGTCTTTTTGTATCGCTATTGTTGGTTAGCAAACACTCCACATCTGCACTGCTGTAATCCGCGAGTTTCTGGGGCTTGGCGGTAATGGGGAAGTAGAGTTTGCCAGGGTTTAAGGCGTACGCTTGCACATTTGCACACGCCTCGTTCTCTCCAAACCTGAGACAGTCAGTTGTCAGGGCCTAATTGCATCTGGTGTTCTTCCCCGTTACGGTTTCGTTCTGCGTGTACGTGCTTGCAGAGGCTGCGGCTTGCGGGTTAGTGGTCGTATCAACTGACGTCGGCGGCATCCCTGAGGTTCGTGGCTTCGTTTCCTTTACAAGATTCTGTCTTCCCTGTTTGTCACAAGCTGTTGTTTCTCGTGCTCTCTGTGACTCTTGCTTTCTCCCAGAACCTTTATCTACAGCTGCATACTTGTGAACTCGTATTTTTTACAGCATTTCGGCTTCTTGATTCAAATTCAACTGGGAGTCACAGGGGTGTGTTTTTACTCACTTTGCCAATCCCCATTTTCTATGATGTGCGCGAAAATGGACTGTTTGTGTTGAGCCGTTTTATTTCGTGATCGTACGAGCTGCTCCTTTCCTCCAGGTGTTACCACCGGATATTGTGCTCCTCGCCCCGCCAAATCCAGCGGCACTAACGCTGCAGCTTGAGAAGGCGATAAAGCAAGTGGAACGAGGGGATGTAGATCCATATGCTCTCCATCAGAGGGTGTGCAGACCTCAAATCATAAGCCCTTCTATGCTTATAGTTAAGAATAGTGAATAGGGTGTGCCCGAAGCGGTTTGACGATGGCTATGTTTTGTCTTTTCCAAAATTCTCTATTGCTTTGGCTCAAAGCTGCCGAGTCGTCTACATTCGCCCTTCTCCGGAATGCGCGTCGATGAGCTGTTCTGCAATCAAGGATAAAAAAGACGGTTGACTCTGTGCCTGGTTCCTGCGTTGCCGTTGTGCACTGCATCATTTGAGTGTTCGTGTGTGGCTCTGCATTAGGTTTTAGAGATGTACTCCTGGGAAGACGTTGCTGATCGAGTGGTGAGCCGAGTTTTCTCCAATTGCGCGGCGTTCTGTCCGCTGCACAGTGAGCAGAGAGTTCAGATTCGCTCTCTTCCAGGCATTGGCGCGTCAATCTCGGCTTGTGCGTTTCTGCAGGAAAAGGTTTATTTTAGTGCGCTATTTGATCTGCCAATGTCTGCACACCTGAAGGAGGGAATTCCACTTTCGAACATTCCTCTGCCTCCCAATCCTCCGCCTCTCCCGAGTCCCCAGGACACTGTTCAGGTTTTGCGCGCGCTGAATCGCTGTGGTCCTTTCTCCGGAAAACTCTTTTCTTTGGTGGCGATTGTTGACTGGTGCTTGATTCGGTTGGTGGAATGGCTCTTCCCCAGGTGCGTGGATGCAGCAGCTGCGTTGCTGCGGTTGTGCTTCTTTCTTGGCTTATCTCTATCTGTTTTTCTGCGTTTGTGTGCTGACCGCTTCCGGCACATAGCGACCAGCTAGTACCTGAGGAAAGGGAGAAGAGGGCGAGGGATCAGGGGGCAAGAGGGACGGCTTATAACCTTTTGAATAGAGACGATTTTGTTTCCTGTGAAACCAAAGAACAGTAGTGCAAATACCAATTGTTTCGCAGTGTACTTGCGCAAAGGGAATCGCTAGGGCATACTGTAGTGATCGAACTGCAGCTTTTCGGGACATCGGTCTCAATATCCGCTTTGCTAGATGCTGAGCAGCGCGTCTATTGTCATGTCGATACAGAAGTCTCCTGCTGTATCTGCCTCCGTTTCCTCCTCTTGCTTTGACTCTACCTTAGGGAATCCATTGAGGAGGCCGCCTCATTTCCCAGCGAAGTGTTGTTTTCAATCAAATCGAATTTGCCTTCTAATAAATGGTAGAAAAAGGTATGCCCTTGGGTTTTCCGTGCGAGTCCGAGAGGGAGTTAGATGCAACTGATCTCCCATTGGGAAAGACTGGCCAGTGCTACATCCAGCGGGTCCTGGTTTTTGTCTTGTCGGTCTCTTAATACGGCGTTTATATTTTTAATGGATCTGCATATTCCGCCCGCGTTTGCTGCAGGTTCTTTGGGCACCACATTTCAGTCCGACGGAGTGCAGGAGAGCATAAGAATGAACTGACCTTGGCACAAAGCTTACGGAGCTTAGAAGCGAAGGAAGCGAAGGACACAAGGAAAAAAGGAGAGAAGACGCAGAGAAAATCTGCCATACTGTAAGCATATCAAACTGCGCCTTCCTCACACAAAGAACCAGCATGTCTCTCCACGATGAGGACGAAACCTTTTTTTCCGTGCCAAGTGGTTAACAACTTAGACCAAATGATAGATTGGTGAAAAATAAGGAGAATCCTGCAAACTCCAGAATAGTCTCATTAACGGACACTTACTTTCGCATGCTCCTTTCTTCCCATTTTTCCATTTAATATCTAATGTGAATGAAAGATTTTAGGCTACTTTCCCTTGGCTGACCAGCGCGAAGGAAAGGAAGAGCGCGCTAAGTTTTTCGGCGTTCGCTTGGCTCCGTAGTCGTCCAGAGAGGCTATTCGCAACACATTGCACGCACTGTCACATGCTGCTACCTATAAGGCACTTCTTGCTTTTTAAATGCACAGCAAACATACGATCCTAGCCCATTTGCTGTATTCGCTTTCTGCCTTTTGTGTAATTTGCCTCCTAGAGTCTCATTGTGATCTCAGCCGCAATAGACTGATGTACAAAAAAAAGGAACAGTTTTCTATTACTTCTTTTAAAGCTCCTTCTCCCCCATATACCATCACCGCATAGAATTCCGGCATGATGGGGGGAAGGACACTGCGGATACAGGTTGCTGGACCTGCTCTCTCTCGGCTTTCGGACTCCTAAATCCTGCACATTTTAAATGTCAAGATGTTTTTCCATCGAAAAGCAGCGTCGGCTTTTTGCTACAAAAGCATACACTCGGCTGTGTGTAGTTAGCGACTAGCTAATTTTCATGAAATACAATTAGTCCACTGCAAAATGTTTTGGTGTAACCTGGCTAGCTGCACTTCCCCGTCACACATTTCCTACTATAGACAGTTTGCGCAGCCTGCAAGGCCTTGCCTAAGCAGGAAGGGGGGGCTTTAGCCTCCAGCACATATCATGCTCCGCAAATGTCGCTGCTCACCTGCCACTGTAATAGAGCCTAGATAATTGGTATAAATACCGCAAAATACTAATGCATTATCCCCTAGTCTGTTCTCCATGCCACTCGTCGCTTAAATGTTTGTCTTCATTTTTTTGAATGCATAGCTCACCTTGACATGGTCCCTCTTTCGCAGTTTCTGTGTAGTAACGTACGGGGGCCCCAGGAACACTAAGGCTCTCGGTTCGCTGAACACACGTGTTGCATGTTCCTGCGTGTTTCTCCAGTAATCATATAAACCATTGCCAGGATCTAGTTTTCAGAAAAGGACTGTTTCGTGTGCCCTCCTTTTACCACCATACAACGGGGAAAGACACCACAGGGAGAAAGAGCGGCTCTGGGGATGGTGGTGTTCGCTGCTGACCATGGTACGCCCCCATGCCTACAGCGGGTTAGAGATAATGAAATAAAGGAGAACAAGCAATAACATATTTTTTAAACTATAAATATGTCCAATTTAATAAACCTAGTGGGTGCATCTCGGGTGTACTCTGGAATGCTGAGGGCTGGGGTGCGCTGGTCGGTCGTTACGACAAGCTGCGGGGGTGGTTGTGGTTTGTTTGCTTCGTATTCCATCTCCTTTCATACACCCCTCATTCGCCGCGTTACCCAAGCTCACTTGTTGTTTTTTGTGAAGGAATATGCGGCGTCAAGATATAAAGAGCAGGCGAGCCATACAAGGGGGCCCCCTCCCACCTCCCTCATGAGGTTACTCCGAAGCCACCTCACCCACCAGCTCTGTACACTCCGCAGTTAGAGGCATTGACTCAGGTTCTCTGCTCCATAATAAACCTTGTTTCTCCTTCTCCGGCCCGGATATTTTCAATGGGAAGCCACTGAGGGAATCGCTTTCCCCTTTGTTTGTCGCAGTCGGCAGCGTCAAGCAAGAAGAACACAAGCGGCCCACCGTCGGCGCACAGCAGGTCACATCATGACCCTCTGAAACGCTGCAGAGAGCAGCTAGGGGTGTTGCGCCTGCAGCAGCAGGTGCAGCAGTACAGGACCCCCAGCCTCAGGCACACTCCCCACAGCTTGGACCGATGAAGCGGCACTGAAACAGGAAGCGGCAACCGCAACAAAAAGCTTCAAAGGGGGTGTCGTTGAGAGTGAAGAGAAGACGAGTACAGCTGCGGGGATAACAATAGCCGATTTAAAGTCCACGAGGAAGGCAGAGGGCCCGAGTCGCGGCGAGGGACATCTGACATAGATCCACATTCATGCCTGTATATATACATATATTTACAGGAGCAGCTGAAAACGAAGAAAGGAGCATACGCGCATCCACACTCTGCATGCATGTATGTAAATGTATGTATATGTACATAGCAAGGGGGAATATTAGGGTTAGCAACACATCATCTTGCGCCAAGCCATGGACGCCGTTCCATCTACTCGCATGCCGTCAGGGTGTCCGGCTATATCTGAAGGTCCCCGAAATTTCCTTGATTCTCTTCCTTCTCCGATAGCCCCTGCACCTCCCGGTAGCTTGGGTTATGTGATCACCAAGGAGCATGTCGAGGAGATGCGACGGATGGAGCGTCTGTGTGAGGCGAAGGAAGAGCAGCTTCACAGAGAGTACAAGCCTATTTTTCTTCCAGTGGATGCATATTTGAGCAAGGAGATCAACTGTGAACTCATCAATGTGGATATACGCAGCTATCCGTGGAAAAATACGCCTTTTGGTAGGCTGCCTGCATGCGTCACGGTTGTTGAGGAGTGTTTGTATCTCTTGGTTTGACGCAAGGGCCTCTTGTGTGGTGCTCATGCAGCAGCCGTATGCACAGGAGGCTGTGCAAGACGCCTGCGCCTCCTGTAGACAGCGTTTCTTTTGATGGAAGGAGCTGCAAATGGCGCCGCTTTGGTGCGGGGGGGGGTGGACAGTTGTGGTTGTGATAAGAGGGGTGACCATCTCTTTCCTGTGCGGTGTATGGACTCTGTATCAATCTATGTGCCTCTTCGCACTGCCCTCAGGCGATGTTTATTACTCGCCTCGCTATAGCGACGATCGCTATGTATACCGGCACGTGCTGCTGACGAATGGAGTCAGGAAGGAAGCGGAAAGGGTGGCAGCGACTGTTCCAGGTGGGGGAGAGGGCCCCTTGCCGTTTGATATAGCAGTGGAGGAGTGCGTTTGTCAGTGCAGGCCTCTTTGCGCGTGGAAGGCAGGCTTGCCGCCTCACACTGCATCGCGGTTTGGGGGGTGTTAGTGGTATGGCGACTGCGCATAGGCCGACTTCGGCGCACTTATCTTTCCTTTCTCACGTGTGAGCAAGGGTGTTTGTGTTGGCAATTCCGGCTGCTGCAGGGGGACTCCTCACGGAGGAGGTTTTCGTGCATTATTTGGGCATCGTTCTGTCCAGCGGATGGTCGCACTTCATGCTTTTCAACAAGCAGTTCAAGGAACTCATCCTCAGGCGTCCCAAGGAAGCGGAAGCTCCAACGACTGGAGAGGAAGCTACGAGGATCCGAGACGGCGCTCCTGGACCGAATGACGAGGTCGGTGCCTTGAGTGTGTCTTCTCGCATGAAAAACGTTTTTAAATCGTCGAACGGGCCGGCATGATGACGCCGTTTGTTCCTCCCGGCGCCCTCGGCAGAGGCAGTAGCGGGTGGGGGGCAGCCTCCTCCTGCTGCTCGCCTTGCCTCCTCCCCCCTCCCCCTTCCCGTGAAGGCTTTTGCCTGCGTCTCTGCGACTGCCTTGCAGATTGATTCGGACAGCGGGGACGACGAAGGGCAGCGCGCCGCCATAGCGGCGCTCCGACGGACGGGCAGGCTGCTGCAGGGGCGGCCAGTGCAGCAAGGGCCGCTAGAAGCAGAAATCAAATTAGAAGAGCAAATCCAGCAGCAACCAGACCCCCCTTCCGCAGCTTCTGGGCACGGCTGCTGCGGCGAGGCGCCCCCACGAAATGCGAACGGCCCCTCCCCCGCCGTCCCTCCAAAACGCCTGCCCCCGCAGGCCCCTCCCAGTGCGGCAACGCTTGAGATGCACCACACGGGTTCAGCGGAAAAAGAAAACGTCGCAGAGATAACGCATGCAGGTGCTGCGAATATTCCGACAAAGGACGACGCAAGCAAAGCCGCAAACGGCGCTGCTTCCGCAGTTGATCTAGAGAAGGAGAATCCCAGCCGAGCCGGTGGCCTCAAGGCCGCCGCCCCCGCCAGGCCCCCCAGCGACACTGCACAAGTCAGTGATTCTGTGAGGCTACAAGTGCGAAGGAGAACAGCCCTAGGGCATCGAGCGGCTTTGCACAGCGCGACTGCGCCACTGCAGCTGCCGAAAGGAGGCCGCGGCGATGGAGTGCAGGACGCCGCTAAGGCCGCGGCAAAGCCGCGAGGAGGACGCACGGGTGTCCGTCGTAAAGATCCCACTTTGCAGCCACGCGGAGGGGCAGAAGCGGCACAGAAAACTGCTTTCGGAGATTTGAACGCAGAGGAAGACAACTCCGAGAACGCTTCTACAGGCAGTTTGGTGGCGCTGAGCAACGGTGCTGCCGCGCGGAAAGCGGCTGTCATGAGTGCAGGCGAAATCTCGCGACCGCTGCCCAAATCGGGGATCCGAAGAGGTCTTGCAGCAGAAGCTGCAAAAGCTGATGCAGACGCCGTCCGAACAAGCGGACGGTTGGAAGAGAAAGCTGCAAATGCACGAAGTCTCGCCGCTAAGAGACGCCTTGAGGGAGGAACGGCGGCACCCGAATTGCCCAGAGGCCGCAAGCGGCGCGGGTAACCGACAGCCAACGCAGAGGCAGAAAATTAGTGGGATTTTCCAGTGTACAGGGAGTGCGCACCGTCCGTGAGTTGGGAGCAGCTACTTGCTGCCTATTCTGCTCCTCTCTGAAAAACTCATCTAGAGGGAACCTCCGACCCTACCCGCGGACCGCTGCAGCACCTTGGCTTCGGGCGTCTTTTCCTGCGGACTGATTCGTGCGATGCACTTGAAGAGACGCAATTTCCCTACCCATCTCTCAATATTTGTTACAAGGGATTCAAAAGTACCAAATAACGTCAAATCCGGGCCAGAGGGGGCCCTGCAATATGTACATTGGGCAGGGAGAGGGCGCTCGGGGCGAACTGCTCCGCCTATCGCAGAGATACAGAAACGCATGCCTATTGGTTTAAATGCGTATATGTGCAACCTGTGCTCTGTTGCATCTCGTGTTCATCGTGCGCTCCCTATAGCAGTGAGGCTTCGCTTCGTACCACCTCCTGCAGCCCTTTATTCAAGCTTTCTGCACGCTCCAGCACTTGGATGCAGAAAGAAACCGAATAAGTATCAGGGCCGTAGGATCGTTGAGATCCTTGGCCACAATAGTGGGAAACAATTCCAAAATGCAAAGCAACAAGAGGGATTTCAACAAACTCGATCACTTTATATTGGCATAGATGCCCTACTCTATCTGGAATATGTGCGTGTACCGTTTAGCTTCAGAAGCCTCTATGCGGAAGGATAACGCCTCTTTCTGGCGCCGTGCGCAGAGCTTAAGAGTCCAGAGCAAAACGTCACCAGTGGATCTAACTGTCGGTCAGCAGCGAATGTAGCCATGTGCGCATTTGTACTCAAGGTAGCTTCTTTTCCTCCAGATGCGCGCATGCCCATAACTAGCCATAACGAAACGGGTTAACAGAAATGGTGGCCCTGCTTCATTTCGCAAGCAGAAGAACACTGTCGGCCAGCTGCTCATTTTCGGTTGCATCATTATCGCATCTGTCTCGCTCGCGAACTCGCAGGAAGTCGGAGCATTCGAGGTTTATTGTTCGCGGTGTACAGGCAGCTAAAAATGTCACAAGAACCTCCCGCACAACACGACGACGCAAGAGATACATTCGCTGTATTATTAGAGTTCAAACTTCAGCCCAAACATCTATTACAGCGGTTTGCGTTTCACTCGTAAATTCAGCGGGTGTGGCAGCATCCTTCAAAAGCTACCCTTCCACGTACTAAACATCTGGCTGCCCACGCAAGCCTGATGAACGGAAGTTCTATTTCAACATCATATCTTATGTCGCATGTGCGCTCTGTAAGTTATACGGCTGTCTACATGTGTACAGCGGTGATTTCGGTTGAAAGCAAGATGAATCATGCCTCAAAATGTCAATTAAGAAACCGACGGCGGTATGCAAAGGTGGTCGTTCATTCACTCACAAAATATATTAATGCATAGTATTGTCCTTAATCGGATGAAAACTAATCTCCATAATTCCGAATGTGTCCAGGATGATGAGTGTCGCCCAGAGGCAATTGAACAGCTTTTCCCTGAGCTTGCGAAGTCCCCGTATTCCGGGAACAAGGATCAGAGTAGCGTAGGTGCGGCAAGCTGTGGTTGGTCCTCCCTCCACCATTTTACTAGAAATGCCTGTAAAGACAGATGCAGGGATAGTCCCATAGATTTGCTCCAGCTTGTCTGGGGAGACACACACGTACGACGAAATACAATTGGTGGCTCAGATGCATTCGAGATCTCACGGGAATAGAGACTTTCTCAGACTTCGCCAGGTCCCGAGATCCTAGTCCATTTCTGTTGCGTCTGTCATAAAAAAGGGTTGAAGCAGGCAACAATAGGCTGCCCAACTCGCCCCAGAAAGGGAACTTCCATGCAGGTGTACAGGGTTGTGCAACAAAAGACTGCATGCACCAATATGCGAATACTTCATCAAATCATTCTCTCGTATCTGCCTCCTCGCCTACCTATCACCTTAATTTGCACAAACACACAACGGATGTGCGAAGTCGAAGCCCGCAAGGTCTGAGACTAAGAGAAGAGCAGCACCGAACTGCCAGCCACGAAGTATATACCGCATGTCTCTGCGATGTAGCCCTATTTCCCACACCTGGACAGGTATCATTGTCGTTCCAGGAGTGGGGTTGTCGGTCTCCCCAAGTTGCCCAGGCCAGTCAGTTCTTTTCGTTTGCAGCGGATCACACCGATGAGCGGCAGCTGGGGCTGGCTAGCCGCAGCGTCACCCTCACCACTCCGCTCCATGAAGCCACAGAGGGCATAGGAAACTATTCTCTTTCCGGAGAGCCTGGTATGCAGCATCCGCAGCAACTCGAAAGTGTTTCAAGGGTGCACGTAGCAGCACAGTCGCCCACATCTACAAACTGTGGCACTCAACATTCCATTTCAACGAACTGTCTCTCACACGATGCCAGCAGTGGCCCCGCGTCCATCGAACCCTTAGCAGCCGAAACAGTCCGACTAATGCTGAGCCAAGCGCCAAATTTCACCGAAAAACATCAGGGACGAGAGCACGCCAGCAATAAAGACGCAGTGCCAAGGAGGAGGAGGAGAGTGCCGCTCGGCGGTTCTTCTACCGCGTGGCCAGCCGCTGCTCACCTATCTGATGTCTCGAAGCATCACACGCACAACAGCTTAGTGCAACGGATTGCAGAATTCAACTGCCTCAATCGCTCAGGCAAACGACAACGGACTGAGAACCCGCTAAGCCGCATATTGAATATGCAGCTCACGCGACAGTCTCAGCCCGGTCTCCCAAAGGAACTGGACGAAACAGCGTGTCTCGCCATCGCTCATATCATCGACAGCTCCCCAGTTTGGCAAGAAGTCTTCCACTACGCCACTACAAAGCCCTCAAATATTCGGTTTTTACGCTAGCTGCTACATAGCCGGTGTGTGCACCAAGCTTGCGCTGCTGCATCGCTGCTTTAGACCGACTGCCATTGCTTAGACTTGGCCACACCAAGCCCCTGATACACGTTGAATACATGCCCCATATAGTACCCTTAGGCATGCTACTACTGCAAAAGGCATGAAAGAGGCTAAAAAAAATAAAAAACGGGTTCTGTTTGGCCTCTCAATCCAAGCACCCTCGTTTCCCTTAGTATAAGGGCTGAGTGCGTCTGGAATTGAATTGATGAAAGTATCAGGCCACACACATTTCTCCTCAGTGGGCTCAATGGCAGTAGACCCCGATACCATTCATGATGTACCTTCAACCCAATAATCGAGTTTCCACCCACGAGCTGTGGCATGAAACAGCGGCCGGTAACCGGTGCATGCAGCTGCGAGCTCCTTTACGTGTTGTCTATATGAAGAGCAATTGAACAATTACCAAATCGCTGGACGCATGCCCTCCCTAAGACTACCGCATGCTCCGTCCGTCAAGGGCCAAGCACAATCAGCTGGCCAACAAACACAAGGGGATCCGGGGAGAGTGCCTACTTGCGTTCGGCATCTCCGTCCGGAGGTCTTCATTCCCAACAGCTGTCTGCGAGGAGCTCAAGGGTAGAAAGAAAGAAAAAGATACAGGGAAAACGACAAGAAAAAATTGACTTCATCGGAAGAAGGAGGGAGGCAAGCCAGAAAGATGAGGAGTCACGGGGGCGGCGGTGTCACAGGTGGGACTAACAAAAGCATGCATGAGGGCACGCAATCAAGCAGGTACTTACGCACTCCACCAGCGAGTTGTACTGATGGGTGCTAAAAGACCTTGGCGCAGCCACAAGTGCACACGATCCCCCCCTTCCGCCGATTAGAACAAAGTGACCACCGGGCCAAAAGAAGTGTGGTAAGTGCCGCTCCGGTAAACATTGGGCGAAGATAGCTCCTGCGTGTCCGCGAACTCCCTTTTTCCTGAAAACGGAAAAGATGTGTTAACATGGTGTTATGTATGGGCTGATCTACGGCATTCGTCATGCCTTGCCCACTAAAAACTCTCATGACGCCAAAATATGGCGGACAGAAAGATGTGATAATGCAGTGCTTTCTTTTATATCACGTCTTTCCTGGAAGCCACAGCCCCGCAACGACTTGCGCCTTGCATGACGGTGTTGCATATTCAGTAAACATGCATTTTTCACAAAAAGCGGCAAATGCAAAACTTTTCTCGGCAGCGCCGAAAGAAAAGTCAAAAGACATTGAGTTTTGCACAGCACAACGACTGGAGAGGATGCAGATGCACGGAGAGGCATGTGGAGACTGATCGCGAATCATTAGCCACAAAGAAAGCGAAATCGAGTCCTTCCTACTAGCAGTTCTAAGCGTCGAAGCCTACCTGAAAAGTCATAACTGAACCGCCTGACCGTGCTACTGTTCCTCTTTCTGCTCATTAACTTTGTTAGCACAATTGAAATGTTGTCTGCCGATCCCAGCAGATATGCGGTGTTTAGCATCCTAAAAGCCGTCTCCACCAAATTATCTTTTGTGCTCTGAAACGACGAACGCAGCTTCAAAAACAGCGAAAATCGAGGATAGAGGAACAAAAGGAAAAACATAAGAGACAAGAATACTGCAAATAGAAAACGCGGACATGCGAGTGTTTCAGAGACTGCTCTTCCTGCGCAACAACCGAGAACCATGAGAGGGCCTTGGATGCGCCTAACGCGAGTGCTTGGAATGCAGCAAGGCAGTATCCACGTCTGAACAATCATGAAAAAGACAAAACTGAGCGTCACACAATGAAGTACCTCCAGTTCTCGCTGTAGCAGATTTGCCACGTAGTCCCACGTCATGCCAGGTGCCTCGAACATCCCTGAAAAAAAAACAACACCGATAAAGACGGTCTGCCCGCACACGCTGCAGCAGCAGATTAGTACAAGGAGGAGAAAAAACATATCTTTTAATGGCAGAAACACTCCAGCGCCTCCAATGCAGAGCTAAGGGCATATGAAGATGGAGCGATGTCTTGCGCAGTACCGTCACAGGCCATGAAGATGTAATCGCCTTCGAAGGCCGCAAACTTCCGGACGTCAGGAACTGCCACGACTTTCTGTTCGGTGGCAGGGAGTCTCGGGTTTGCTTTCATGCGCTGTGCAACAATACACACGGAGACCTTGAGACAGCTGGATGCTCAGCTCATCAAAGGAACGTGTGTGCCCCTTCTCTCGCCCCCGCGTGCTACCAGAGCGCACAAGGAAGTGATGCAGCCGGTTTGTATCGCCGGCTGCATCACTGAAGTCTCCAAACTCCCTCTCTCTGCATTGAGCTGCCGCTGCACAGACACCTATAAGGTTATCTGCCGCATCCTCACACCGAGCCCTGTGTAGACAAGGGGCAAAGCACTTCGCTCCTCAGCACAGCCTATCCCTGCCAGCGTAAGCAGTCAGGCAACCCAAAGAGTAAGCAACGCCTAGGAGCTCACAATATCGCCAAACGCTCTAGACAAAGAGAGCATGCCGTCCACTCTGAACACCCTCCTGATGTACGACACGAAGCCCCCGGCACGGTTGATGCGTGCCACTTCCCCAGGATCGCTGGGCTTATGGTCTTTCGACATGATCGTGTAAGTGCCGTTTTTGTGTAGAATGAAAGCACGAGAATCTCCTGAGACGGAGGGCGAACACATATAAATACAGCAGTCATTCCGAAAAGCCATAGGCGGTATAGTAATACTACGCTCCCAAGAAAAGGCCTGCTGCCTGGTCGGTGACACATGCACATGCAAGCTATTAGGTGTCAGCTACGTGGAACATCATCTCGGCAGCGCAGTGTCTTTCTATTGCGCTTGACCCTTTTCGGCAAACTCCCAAGCTTCTGAACGGAAAAACAACTCGAAAAAGCGAAGAAACTCTACTTACCAATATTAGAAGTGTGAATATTGAATTTCGGCACTTTTTCGCATGGTCGTTCAATCGCCACCACCAACCCTATAAATACGCATCAAGGTCACATGAGAAAATACTCCTTTCTGTTGAGGTTTCCCTTCCCTATTACTAGTAGGCCACTTTGATGTGCTGGTCCCTGTTATGTATATATATATATATATATATATATATATATATATATATATATATATATATCTATAGCTTTCTCCCCTTGTGACTTCATAAGTCAATGGGCCCTCCGCAGCCGTTTCTATGTATGGAAGAAAAGGTGCACGGCCATCACAACTGCTGTGAAGCGATTCTCTCAGGAACTGCAAGCCCGGACCACTCGATAAATATCCAAACAACCCGCAAACAAGCGCAGATAGGAGCCGCATGCAGCACACTGTGCAGATTTACCAGTGCTTCCCCCTCGTTCGTGCCGCACAGGGTCCGCTTTAATGACCTCATCGAAGAGGAGCGACGTTTTCTTGAAAGTAACGGCGGAGAGATCCGGCATGTTCCCTTTGCACACACCGCCACATCGCCCCCAGAGCAGTGCTTAAGAACCCTTATCAGAAGCGGCCTCTCGAGAAATGCACACCGGCACGAGCACGCCATCCTCGTGCAGGCACAGTAGCGCATGTAGCAGAAACAAGAGAGACTAATAAGAAAATACCAACATGCTTATCCTAAGACCCCCCAACGTTACACCATCCACCACCCACCGCTGCTCCCACCCCCCCAACACACCCCTCCCTCTCCCTAAGCAAGCAGCCCGCGTGCAAAGCCTTCGGCTCTAGCTCTTGAAAGCTACACCAGCTCCCACCGAAGAAGTTGCAGAACTGCGCAACACAAGTCCTTGAAACCGCAGATCCTCCGTGGCCGTCGAAGACGGCCTTAAAGCGAATATTGCGTCTCCAGTGAGAAGGGGCGTGGACTATCAGCGCCTGATGAGAAACACCACCCACACAAAATAACGCAGAGGTCTCTCTACTGAGAGGAAAGGAAATGCTTTGAGGGGCACCTGGGGGGGGGAGGGGGAAGGGAGCAGCACACGGCACTGGAGAGGGGCCCATCAGCAATCAGCACATAGAGAGAGAAAAAAAAAGCGCGCAAAATAAAGCCACGAGACCACCTGTCATGTCGCCATTCACAAACAAAAGGCAAAGGCATACACGTGCTGCGAGACGTCGACACGTATGGCGGTACCCCGCATGACTGCTACCCCAGCTGGACCAAACCAGTAAAAGCAGCCCGTAGAGCAGCCTGTGAGCGCCAGCTCTCGTTTTCCTTTCTGAATGCCCATAAAGCCTCTTCACCCCTGAGCCACACGGGCTCTTGCACCCCCGCAGCTAGGTGCGACAGACGTACATCTTCATCTTGCTTCCTTTTGCCCTTCATCGTTGCTCCAATCGTCTTCGTATACCACTCCCAAATGATAGCCATGTGTTTTGAGTAATGCTGCACAAAGGGAGCAGAGAGAGGCCGCCCCCGCCCGTATGCATTTGGCCCTCCTGCGGGGGGAGGAGAGTCGCTAGCGGTGTTTCTTTCTGCATCTCCTGATCCTTCGTCTGATCCCTCGGCTTCTGGCGGTATCCCGGCCTTAGACAATCCTTCCGCCACTAAGAATTCTTCTCCCTGATGTGATTTCTCTGTATCTAACAAAGGTACAGATGGGGAAATGCCGGCAGCGGGGGTCCCTGTTTCAACTTGTCCTACTCCCCCGTTTCCCTCGAGCAGCTCCTCTGCTGCGGCAGTTGGAAGCGCCGTTGTCAACGAAGCCGCCTGAGCGCCTTCCACTTCTGGCTCTCCGTCTTCTGCTGCTTCTGGTACCGCTGCCGTGTCACTACCTTTTGGCAGTGTTGATTTGGACAAAGGCTGCATGGAGCCCTTGGAAGGCCGAGAAGGCGAAGGGTGAATATTGCTGCCACCACTGGTGATGTATCTAGCGTTTGCAAGCGATAAGGCAACACTAAGAAGCAGAATCAGAAATACGGGGAAAACAATTCTACACAAACGCCGCCCCCGGAGAGGCGGGAAACTCGGACCGCCGATCATGATGACCACAGCACAATTACGACTTTTTCTGCTGTCACTATCGCCGCCGCGGTAGAGCGGTACCTCTTGGCGCTGCGTTCCTGTGTTTTGTTTTACAGCAGTGCTGCTGGCAAACGCGACCATTCGATATATTCCATGAACCTACAAGACTGCTTCATTTTCTAGACGCCCAAGTGTCTTCGCAACTTCGAGACGACTGCACCGAAGCCCTGTGGGATTTGACCCACCTAGGGAGATCAGGATAACGCATGCATGTGTGAGTCCTTTTGGCTGCCGTAGTTTCGGTGAATCGTTGCGTTCTTAAGGGAAGGAACTGACCAGCGAGCAAGAAGCGTCGCCAAGGCTTAAAGCATGAGGCGCTGTTACTCCAACAGAGGGCATACTTTCGGCCGTTCAAACAGAGTTAAAGGCAAAAACATTGACACCGATGCAAATACCTCGAAAGGGAAAGTGGAAGAGCATCTTTACAGTGTTAATAGCATGTGGGGCTGCCGCTCCCGCCATGGAGAGCCCTCCGCTGCCTTCCGTGTGCAGGGATGGAATACTCATCTTCCCTCTTCTACTAAAACTCTAGGGAGAGAGCTTCATTAAGTGGCTACCTTTAAAGATACAGAAATCTTTAGTAATAAAGGCGGCTGTCTCGAAATTCTTGCGATATCCAAGTTTGTCGCTCCGCCTGTTCCCCGATTACACAAGGTACCGTCGGAATAACGTTCCATTCCTTTGCGCAGCTGAGCATTTCTTTGTATCCACTGGATGTTATAGCTCATAGTGGTGTTGTGGCATTCCAGTTAAAGAAAAATAATACAAGCCACCTAATCAGCGCCATGGAATTCCTCTGTCGCCTTCCCGCGGATTCTTACCATTTCGATGCGTGTGGGCATGACAGAAACATACAGTACTTCTTTTGGTACTTCTTCTGAGGTTTTAACAACGGCAAACCGCAACTAGCTTATCGCCACAGAGTAAAAGGAGCCCTCTGAGAAATGTTTCATTCTGGTAGTGTATCGTCTATATGTTGTGCTCATGGGTCAGCGCGCCTTCTGTTGGACTTTTGCTACCTTTTGAGTCTAGAGAACTTGTGGGTTAGTCACATGTACTTATTTCTGATGGCTCTTTCAGCAAACGCCATCGAAGGCGCACCCGTACTAGGGTTTGACTGTAAGGGGAATGGTGGTGACTGATAGTATAAAATGCACTGAGGAAAGGAACTCTTCGATTTGACGGCTGATAGAGTTGTCTCGGACTTAAGCTGCCTTGGTCCAAACTATATTTATCTGCTCGAGCGGTCCTACTCCTTTGAACTAGAATGTGATTTCTACCTTTGGCTGTGCATTGGCTTTCATGCTGTTTCGGAGATAGGGTTGCCTTTTTGCAGTACTTCCAGTAACGACACTCTTATTTTACAGCTTTTTGCTTCAAAATTTATCTTGATTGATATCCCACTCAAGCTGAGAACACGAGACGAAACGAATGAATAAGGTGGTGGAATCTACATTGCTCAAATGCACGGGCGCTGTCTAATGAAACTCATGTTTTCGAATTAAAAAATAGAAGTTTTCATCACTGGGGATGCAGCTCAGCCGGTAGATAAAGTGGTAAAGGAGCTACACGTAAAATTGGCACAGAGAAATGAATGCGAATGAAGCCCATCAGTGGACCTTAGAAAATACATCAAGGAACTTTTCCAGAGACAGCAAATTCGGCTATCTTGCTAACCACCATATTCCAGACCTCATAGTTAAGAAAAGGCTATATGCCATAAAAAAGAAGAAGCCACTGCTTTTCACTACTAAAATCTGCTACATGGAGTAGCGGCATTCAGCCTTTCTGGATGTACGTGGGTAAGCCGCGGTTGGACCCGTGAAGTGTGCTCAGAATTGCGTTGCTTATCCAGTACCTTCGCTGATTCCTTTTCCACTTCAAGCGCACCGAGTCTCGCAATAAGGTATTATTCCGTCTCGGCCTTAGAAAACCTCTTCTTCTTTTGCACTAGGGTGTGCAGAACGTGCATTGCGGCGACTGCTATTTGTGTCGGTTCTTGCTTGTGGCCTGCGACAAGCGTAACTTCCTTCTCCAGTTTGTTCGCACGACCACTCTCCGTTGAGCTGCCCTTCGCGCCGCCGTCCTTAGGAGTGCAAGCATAGGGCAATGCACTAGAGGCCCCGGCTTCTGAGATCCCCGACACCCGCTTCAAGGGATGTATGCAGCTCTCTCTACACTGTTTAGAATAGTCAGTGCTATCTCAGTACTTCCTGACAGTCAGGTGCAACAACAACCTAGCTTGACTTGTCTCTGCTCCTGCAGTTTCTTCTCTGGGCGCTGCTCCAGACCGTAGGTAGAATGGACCGTGGATGCCAGCGGTCTTTGTGCTACAGCGACACAGTTACTCCTCCCTACTCCCATATGTGAAATAGGACTTTGTACACATGAGCAGATATTCAACAGTATCTCTCATTTTACTGAAGTCGTCAAGGGACGATTATGTGGTTTTGTTTGTCTCTTGGCTGCTTTGTCCTCCAAGGAATTACCTATTCAAAGACCGCCGGCATCATCCTCTGCGCAAATTCCGCGCCTTCTTTGTTGACAGTCGCGGGCCAAACTCCGCCCCCTCACGATTAGCGACACCAACAGACTAAAAATTTAGCCAGCAGAGGCCTTGAGCTCTTTCTAAAGACAAGCGATTTCTTGTTCGAATGCATCGCAGCTTTGTCACCGAGGAGTCAAATAGATTAGCGACCTATAGCGGCACCCGTAACAGAGACTTGAGAATGAGGCCTTTGTATCTGATTTTTTAAGAATGCGGGAGATGGCGCAGTTGGCCTCCGTTGTGAATATTGTTTGATAATGAAGTAGCCGTGATGCTGGTGAGCAACAAGAGCTTTGAATTGGCTCATTCTGTTCACTGTTTAGCCCTGAAAAAAGAGAAACTACTACAACTCTGAATCCCGGGCTTTCCGGACGCTGGTTGGATGCTTAAGCGTGAACACAGCTGAAGCGGGAGTGTGCGTTGTGGATATGTCCTCTGTAAAATGATCGAACGGTTCCTGCTACAGCCGCGGTGGGATCAATAAAAGCAACTATTGCTGAAGCCACTTTGTTATTTTCTCCGTGATACTCGTCAACTTTTCGAATAAACGATTCGCTGAAGCGTACGCAATTCTACCAATATAAAGGGGCATCTGCGGGCACTCAACGCTCGCCGCCTTTTGCTAACTCTTCATATCTCGAGATCGTATCACGCGGCCAAGCATGTTCACTTCCTCCACACTTCCTGGGTATTTGAACGTTGGTTGGTCTACACTGAATTTTAGTCGTAGAGCCATCAAAGGGCCGCACATCTTGTCCTCGCACCCTGCGTGCCCTGGTGAGTAAGCGGTTAGTTATGAGATACGATCTAAGATTGGGTGGTTGACCTGGCTGTTTCAGCATAAGAAAGAGGAGGAAAGCTCAGCTAGAGCGTGCTGGTGCCGGGCAGAGGTATGCAGGCTGAAACCGGGGCAGGTGTCTTGTGGGGACGCCTTGAAAGTCTTCCACTAGCGCAGGAGAATATGGACCGAAAGACCTGAAGAGTGTTCCAATCTGATATGTATATGTATGAGCAGTACCTACAGTAACTAACAATAGAGGAGGCTGGAGAGCACAGCTCTTTATGCCTTGCGTGGCAGTCCGGTAGAACCATGGAAGGGGATCGAGACTGGCCGACTCGGTGGCCACATGCACGAGGCGACACGGAACCTTAAAAGGCCTCAAACGACAGTACATTCAGCACTCCAGAGGGGCGGGACGATGTTATGCCCGAAGGATTCTTACACATATGGTTGCGGTGCCCATAGCAGACCACTGGCATCCTTAAAGTTGTTGGAGTCAGGGGCTATAGTTCCTCATTTCCGATGCCGCGTCTTTCTAGTGCTTACTAAGTAATGATGATTGGGTGCCATAGACTCCCACCAATTTCTTATGTATCCGATGCTATTCTGGATACCGCTCATCGACACTGTACTCCTATTCGAACTCGAACCAGAAAACGTGGCAAATTTAAGAATAAAACCCCTTTCCCATGGAACATCAACTGCATTATCTTTTAAATTCTAAGTAGCCTTTCCTCTTTCTGTCTGCTGCAGGTTCCTGTTTGTCTTTTTCGCTCCTGCACTGCAAATGGCCTACATCTCCCTGTACGATAATCATGTCTTAGCTTCATCGCACCTCGTATGTCCTTTAAATAGCAATCCTAGCTGTATGGATGGTAAAGCATGTTCTGAGGGACGGGACTGTGACAGCTTCGTCGCTGTGTGTTGACACCTCCCCGTGGCTTTTCCCCACGCAATAAGAAGTGCGGCCTTATCTCATTATGCGCAGCGCGAGCAGCCAAGCAAACAGTGCCCTGTCAATATAAGACTTTTTGCTGCCCAGTGAGGCGACGGAGCTGTCGGCGGGTCTCTCTGACTCCGGATATGTACGTGCTTTCGTCTTTTTCGGCCATTTTCCCTGCGCCATCACATAGCTCCTTGCATTGCTATCTATGCCTGTTTTCCAGCATCCCAACGTTTAATGTCCCCATCTCGTAATGCGAATCCCAGTGTAGCTCTGGGGCTTACCTGCACCCATACACTCTCGATATCCCCTAAAGTACTTTTGACGCCTTAGGAGCACACACAGAACCAGTGAAGCATCGTGCGCACCTTCCGTTGAATGGAGTTTTTGATACTCTAAATATAGTAGCTTACAGTATGCGAAGAAACAGACGCAAAAGCCCGCAAATTCTCCTATCAGGGGCTGCTTTCCGCTCTGCCTGCATGTTGATCCCTAAACCTCCACTCATGAGCCCTTTCACGAGGTGGCAAACAAGGTGAACTCACCCTGAGCTTCTTTATTACATTTGTGGACTGTATCTTATCTATAGTGTCCTGCAGAATTGATGCGGGATGCAAATATTGTGAAGGAGTTGCCCGTAGAGTTTATGCTTGCGGCGAAACCATGCAAAGGCTATTCCTTGCTATTCCGTTGCGTTTTAGCGAACACAAGGAAGGGTGAACTAGATGAATTTGTGTTTGCAGCAATGTGCACATCTATGAAGGGTCAGGTATTTGGAAGGACGTTAGATAGAATCCTTCAGCGAACTCCTTCGTCTCGTTTAACGTTCTCTATGGCAGAGAATACTCTGGTGCACTGCATGTGCTACATGACAAAAAGACGGCATAAGACCACTGACCATAAAGGCTGAAGCAGAATTTCGAGGCGTTAGAAAAAACGTCGATTTCTTGATTAGAGCGTAGCTGGGAAAAGTGTGTGCTGCGTTTCCGGAGGTTACGCCTTGGCTGTCAGAAGAAACCTTAAGGAAAACACTAAACAGCAAATTGAACCGCATACCCAGCTGAAGAATTACTTTTTGAAGCTTCAAGAAAAATTCAAGACAACAGAAGGGGCCCCTGATCATGTATACCGAGTTGGCATGCTAAATATATTTGCAGCACTACCAGCAAAGTCAAGTACTTTACATCATCCTCAGGCGATGAAGGCCAGGAATATCACTGTTTATGTGATAATTTAGCTTCATGGTTTCCCATGAGTACATAAGAGGTTGAAAATGAGCAAACAAACTCTCGTTCGTATTGAGCCATTGGCGACTTGAGAGACAGCCGATGCACATTGCAGCTGGCTAACACGAACGTACTGCACTGTCTTTATATTCAACACAACTGCGATATACAAGCGCATTGGATATACAAGTAGAAGGGGCGGAGTCCTTGATGCAGCTGCGAGTGACCCTTCAAACAAAGTGGCTCGACGGGCAGCCGTTGCTTGACGCCTGTTGACCTACAGCAACGTCAGAGAAGACAAACTGTTTTCTTTTTTTGCCTCTCCATATCGCCTTTTGTGCGCGTTCTTGGTGGGGGCTTCTCGCCTGCCGTACCCTTTCATCGCTCCTTCGAAGGTGTACTTGGGTGGTCCCATAATCATTCTACCCTTTTGAAGCAGCCTATGCTCCACTTTGGCACTTTCGAGTACATTAGGTACGTATCTTCCTTAGTGGGCCATATATTGGCCAGTTTGTGTGCTTTTTCTGAAGGCATTACTTATTGCAGAGTACCGACAAGCCACGATATTGTGTATGTGTGAGTTTGATGCATGTGCAGCCAGATGCGAGTGCTCGGAGTGGTTGAAGGGTGCAGCTACGCGCATCGTTGTTTTCCTCTTCCCCTTTTAGAGCAGCTCTGAGGAGCCCCCCTAAGGCAATGCGGGAGTGCTTTCGAGAAACACTCCATAACTTTCTAATAGGTTTCCATTGAGTCTAGCGTAGGGTTTATCATTAAGGACATCGTACGTGGCTTACACCAGTGAAAACCCAAGAAAACCTTGATGCGAGTCTTTTGAAAAAGGTACTTTATTTTTTTGCGGCTATTCCACCAGGGAGCGGGCATTACTGGCGAAAGGAGATCCGAGCATCATGCTGCTGCACCATCTGAAAACTCTGAACAATCGCTGATCTTGACGCAGTGTGTTAGTACAAAATCACACAGCATTTATTTATAGAGTATCGGGCAGCCCCAGCTGACAGAATATAGGGATAGACAACTCATACGGTCAGTACTATATCGTATTTTCCCTAAAGCATCTGGTGTAGTAGGGGCAACTTGTGTGTAGCGTAGTAGGCTGCACAAGAATTTGTTTGTGTGTGGGAGTAACACCAGGAAAAACAATCAATAACGCCAACGGTTACTATGCATTTCAGGGCGTATTGTGTTTCTAACAGCAGCAATTATCATGGAAACCGCCTCAGCACCGACGAGAGAAGGGATGAGTTCTACGTAGATCATGGGTCGTTGTACCGGAATGGGCATGTGTGTACGTAACACCCCTCTGCATATATAATATTGCACTAGACCGTAGACTAAGCTTCTTTGTAGCACGGAAGACGCCCAAGAGTTCTAGCGGTGGAAGGCAGCTGAGTAGGCTGTATGCTTTGCTTCGCCCGATGCTACACGAAAACGACATGAATGCGGATATTTTCGGCTTACATACTGTCTCTTAAGAAATCACGGAAACTCATGATAATTTTATCAGTTTCAGTGAACTGACAAGTGGACGCATGTAGATGAACATTTGCACCACTGGTCCACGGGGCGGTCGAGTGCACATAGTTTCGGTTTGCATTATCCACTAACTGGGCCTTGGATGACGGAATTCTCAGTCGTGAACCATAAATATCCTATTTAAGCAAGAATTAGGCCTTCAAATATTCAGCAAAATGTATTTGCAGTGGTGGCGCCCCGTAGTCCATCATTTCATGAATGGTCCTCGGAGATTCAGACGTTGCTATTTGTCCCTTCACCCCGTCATTTCCCGCTTTGTCACTTCTTTCCCCCGTTCTCATTGCACGCCCATACCATTTCGTGGTATGTGGTTCTCAGTCTCATGGCCACCCGTGCCCAACGGGCTTCCACCGACTTTGCAGGCAGTGGGACGAAGACGCCGCTGCGCTCCTAAAGAGGCTTCTGCACATGAACACGGCATGCAAGAGCTCCCACAGGATGCTAGTATCGGAAAGGAGAGGGCTTCAAGAAGGGAGCCCCGTCGACTGATTGGCTACTGTCAGATGTCCGGTCAGGCGCTGTACGATGCGGGACAGGGCAGAGAATCGATCTTTCCCTACAAGGACATGGAATGGCGTTGATCGGAAGCAAAAACGAAGATAAGAGAGCTAAAGGATGAGAGGCAGCCGCGAGTAAAGGGGGCGGAACATCGACGACTTCTGCTTGCAAAGAGGCAGCAAGCACAGAGTAACATCAGGTTGCCGTCCCTCGAAGAATTTGTTTCCCTTAGCAGTCCTCGAAGAACATTCTGTAGGCAGCGTATGCCCTAGTGCCGTCCCTTTGTTAATTTGCAGTGCCTCTGCCCTAGCTGCCGCTTAGGCTTTTCCCCTCCTTTCTTCCTCTGCGCGTTTGTTCCGTTTCCTCTATCTTCTGCTACTGATCATTCAGTAGTGTTAGCACGGAAGCTTGAGCTCCGATTCGGGGTTCGTGCAGCGTGCTGTGCAGATAGTGCACGTGTCGTCTGGGCTGCGTATCTGGTGGCTCACGGCGTTTTTCGGGAAGCTGTTTTTTTTCGCAATGAAAGTCCACAAACCTGGAGGGAGTGATGCCAAGCCTATCCTATCCTGGGTTTGAGGTAACAGAAGCACGTGGGCCAAGATTCCTTTTAGGGTTGCGGTCATAAGAGCCTTCCGGTAAAGGGTACAGAAAATAATCAATTAAATGCCAGCAAAGGGAGAGCATGGGATGATACGCAGCACCCCGTCATTTCTGCCTGCTTCCCTGCCGTGCAGGTCGAAACAAAGAATAATATTTGAAGAGTTAGTAAATGAAACATTGAAGGGCGATGTTTCCCTGTGGCTTAAGAAGTAAATAAAACAGAACCCCAGTCACTAAGACTGATGTGGGATAAAACAACTAATGGGCGCTCCTTTGGGCACAACCACTGCAGTTCGACCGAGGTTCGCAGATACCCTACAATACGGCGAGTGCAGGCAGCTCAAGCAGCCACTAAAGGGCTGAACACTGAACGTCTTGGTCAGATATTATATGCAACACCCACGGGGTGGGTTCCCACTCCCCATCAACCTCAGCGCTGCTACAGGCGCTACTGCTTTTGGGAGGAGTGGAAATGAAGACGATATAGGCATGGTTTGTGTCATTAAGCTCGGCCAGCGTGATGTTCAGGACGCCCTGAGAATAGACACCCATTCAAAATTCAAGCATACGCATACACGTACAGCACGTCCGTGCTTGCGTCTGTGGTAACGCATTGCACAGAACGAGGCATGCGGCGAGAAGTGTCGAAGTCATTTAGAAGGAGCACTCGATTTCTGGGCGTGCATGTTGGAGAAAAAGGCGCATGCCGCCGAAAGCTTGCCCAGTACACCACTATAGCCCAGGTGCAGGGAGAGCGCCACAACACGCAAAAAGCATTCTACGACCGAACGACGGCACGTGTAAAATAAACAAAAGGCAGGAGCAGTAGTTATTCACTGCGAGAGACAGCCGGGAGCACAGGAAAACGAAAGGATTTGATACCTGTCTCTGAAGCAAGTCTTGTGCTGCTGAGGACTTGACTCTGCCGTCTTCGCTTAGCCCCCCTTCCAGATCGCTTTTCTTAACCAGCTGCAAATGTTTGCCCTCTTTGCTGCTGCCATCGCCGTTGCTGCTACAACTGTCTGAAGGGGCGAAAAGGTACAGAGACAGAACCGGGGGGGTTTTCAGCGGCAACTTCCGCGCAATGACTTGTAGGCGTAGAGATACCTGAGACGCAACCCACAAGGATGGAAGGCGTAGGTGCACAAAAGGGCTTATCGTGCACCATGCATATGTAATATATATGTATATATATATACTCCATGGCTTAGCATGCAGCATCTTGAATAATACATCCGCACATCTCCCGAAAATCCAAAAAGACGGCCAAAAATCGGAGAAGCAGCACACCCAAACACGAATCTAACGGTGCCTTTCCCCCTCCTGCTTTCCCCCTCCCTCCCCTTCCATTCATCTCCCTGGAGCCAACCAGCGCATGCGTACTTTCGTAGGTGCACTCAAGAGCTGCAGTGCAACGCGTCCCCAAGCATGCCGTGAAGCCTTTGCGGCAACCGATGGACCCCTAATGGTGTGCAGGAACAAACGTGGATCTGGTGGAATGGCGTATGGGTAAGGCAAGGGAGCTAGCGTAGGGTGGCCGCCGTCCCCCGCTTCCCCGCTGGTGCTGGTGGAAGCAATTCTGTAATGCAGTGAAATCTGGAAGGCTCCGAGATTCTGAGGCTTGAAGGTGCTACAGATGAGGGTATAGTCGCCAGCGGCAAGAAAGGAGGACAGGAGGCAGCACCCTGCGCGGTAGCTGCCGCTCGTCTGGGCTTTGCCTGTGCGAAGCAAGCGCGGCGTTGCGATCCGGCCGCTAAACAGGCGCAGATTGACGGAGTACTCCTAAGATCACACCACACAATCACAAAAACACCCCACAGGAAACAACGCGGCATGATGCTGGCAGCGTGGCAGCAAGACAGCGCATGAAGAATCCCTAGCCGGGGGTACCCCACCCCAGTTGTTAGCCTCCCCCTGAGCGTCTAGAGAGGCGTCCGACGCCTCTCTAGACGCTCGAGAGCAACACATACACCGCACGGTAGGCGAAGTAGTACAGAAGGCAGTCTTTCGTGCAGGCCTAACCACCGTATTGTTCAGGTGACCACCACATCCTTCCCCCCGTCCTGTTTAGTTTGCGCGGCAAGCCGTGCTTCAGCCTTCCCCCTCCCCTCCCCCCTACAAGCCCGTTGAACGCTGCTCTTGTTACCTGAGGACACTCCAAAAAGATGACGGCCTCGCACGGCTGAGGAGCTGTCAGTCGGAAGTGAGGATTTGTAAAGAAACTCCAAAGATCGTTGCTGCAGCCACCGGCGTTCTCAGCAGTCCAAGCCCCTGCGCAACGCAATTGGCGCAACGCCAAGGGAAAGGGCGGAGCATGCAGACGGCGGCCTCGCATTAGAAGCAGGCTGACTCTCACCAAGACGAAGACATGTAAAAGGAGTCAGTTCGGAAGGGGTCGCTCCTAGCACCGACAGGCAGCAGCACCAGGCGTTACAAGCGCGTGTATTCACGCTAGTTTACCCGACATATAGACAGACGTCCACTCAGGTCCAAAGAGGGGAGGCAGGGGTTTGAGGACGGCCGGTATGTGCGCAAAGACTTTCATCGTGAAGTTGAACTCGTCCTAAAACAGCAAGACACCAGTTCGCCACAGCTCTCAGAAAGTTTCGTGTTCATAAACTGCGCGAGAAGACGCATGCCGCGTTTACAAGGCGGGAGCAGGAGGCGCAAAGGTGCAATAATGACGGCTGGTGTCGGCGGCCCCTAGGAAGGACAGTGAAATAATGGAGTTTTAAACAAGTTTTCCGTGTTTCGACTGGGGCATATGTTTGCGTAAATATATATATATATATATATATATATATATATATATATGACTGACGCACCTTTTGAGAGTACTGGCTGACAACGAGGACATAGTCGAGAGCTTTCAAGAGGCCGCTGCCTGTCGTCAAGCTCTCGGCAGCCTTCGTCTTTTTCCCTTGTGGCTCCATCGGCTGCAGGGGTTGGGGAAGAGACCCTTCGCCCCCCCCGCTTTGCTCGTGAGTGCAGCCACCGCCTTTGGTGCTGCCTGCCGCATGCAAGGCTCTGGGATCGAGTCTGACTTTCACCAGCGTACATTCCCCGTTGCTGTAGACACCCTGCTTGGCAGGGGGGGGGGGGCAGGAGACGCGGGAGTTGCCCTTGTGAATATGCACGGCCAAGTATTTGGAGCTCAAGTCTCTTTGCCTCTCCCTTACATGCCGCGACAAGAGCACCCACAGCTCGATGGGGGTGTCGGAGATGCAGCAGCTGCAGCTGCTACGACTGCTGCTGCAGCTGTCGTCCGCTGCCTCCCCGCTGACACTGCGACCGCTCAACGCGCCTCGGCTACCCCCCGTTCCCCCTGCTGCCCCCATGCCGCTGCACCCGCCAACTCCATCCACAGCAAGGAGATCGCCAGTCGTCAAGGACGGGAAAGAAATGTAGGGGGGTAACAGCCGCCCCTTCGCGGCACCAGGTGCCACAGACAGATGAAGCTGCGGATTGAAAGCCACCAAGTGCGAATCATCCGGCAAAGACGACTCCTGAATAAATCGAGACCTCTCCCACCTGTGCCGTATCAGCAACCCCAAAGATATACACATACTGATACATACACATGCACACCCAAACACACACTGATACATACACATACACCCAAGCACATACTGATATATACACATATACACATACTGATACATATATTCTCACCCAAGCACATACTGATATATACACATATACACATACTGATACATACACATACACACCCAAGCACATACTGATACATACACATACACATACTGATACATACACATATACACATACACATACACATACTGATACATACACATACACACCCAAGCACATACTGATACATACACATACTGATACATACACATATGTATATGGATATATGCATTCCCCCGCATGGGGTGTATGGACTCTGCGGGGTCACTCGCGTTGTCGCTTTCGCGTGGCATGGGTGATGAAGGGCAAAGCAGAACGGGGAGAGTGAGAGTGGCAGCGCAGAGGGTGAAAAAGCAGGTGCTGGCAGGGCTTTGGCATTCTGCATCCGTGGCTACGGGTGTCGTATTTCAGCTTTCTGGAAAGATTTTTACTTTGAATGAACTTCCGAGATAAAGGGAAAATACGCGGCGTTCCAACAGACGTAGAGGTGTGAAAACCAGCGCACTACATCCTGCCACTCAATCCAGAAGCATCCGCTGTCCTCCTTCCCCTGATGCTCACACATACACACACAGACCCCACTCGATTCGCAGTGAACACAGCGGATGCAAGTGCCGATCTTCTGCGGCTTTCAGGATTTTGAGATGGCAAGGCTGCCTTCAAGGAGGCCTGATGGCGAGAGGGAAGCGCAAGCAAACTACTAGGCATATTAAATGCTGAAATACATGCAATTCAGGTGCACACGCACTTGCGTCGCCAAGTCACGCATGCGCAGCACATGCCTCTAGACCCCTTAAAAGACGTACTGAGATTGCAGGATCGTAATCGAGGGCTTCCTTGAGCTCGCTCGTCCATGTCCGCTTGTCGCCGGGTGAGAATTTGCCACGCCACCGCATGCAGCCCCAAGGGTTCTTCACGTAAAGTAGACGAAATCCCAAAACCTCCGCATGACGCAGCACAGAGTAAGCGTGCCGAGCCACTATCCCTGAAGAGCATCGCCCAGGCATCGGGGAGGAAACGAGGAGACGCGTCAACGAAAAGATATTACATACATGCAATACATGCATCGTTGTAGACGAACATGTGCTCATTACAGACAGCAAAAACGCATATACATGTGTGAGCATATATGCATGGAAATTGCAGGAAGGATGGCGCGACAGAGAGACAGAGACAGAGAAAGACAGAGACACACAGACAGAGACAGAGAGACACACATAGACAGACAGGGAGCGGTGGGGTGGTGGTTGCGTGGTTTGCAGCGCGGAAAAATCGAAGCAGTAGACCGTCATGCCACCACGAAACTGCACGATGAGACACTTGCAGCAAGAAAGCGAACACACATGGCGTGAAGAACGAGATATATATAGAAGGGCAATGCATAGGCAGCACTAGATGGACCTGTGCTAACGGAGACACCCTCTGGAAATTCCAAGCCGCTGGGAGCTGCATCGAAGACTTCGCTGGTTCCGAGGCAAGCGACGCAACGGCCTTCACTCAAGCCTCTGCATATAGGCAGCCAAAGCGAAGAAATGCAAAACTCGCGAAAATCAAGAAAACAGACGGCGAAGAGGAGGTGATCAGGAAGTTATGAGGGGCCTATATAGAGAGAGGCCTACCCTTCAGCCTTTCTGTATAGATATATACATGTACATATAAATATATATATCTACATAGAGATATGTATCTACATAGAGATATGTACCTGCATATATATATATATCTAAATGGATATGCATGACATGGAAGATATATATATATATCTACATATATATATCTATCTAAATGGATATGCATGACATGGAATATATATATATATAGATATAGAGATATATATGTACCTCTGGATATATATATATATATATATATATATATATATATATATAAATGGGTAGAGGTGCTATACTGCCAGCACGCGCCCTCAAACACGGTTGCACACACAGACATGAATGTGCAATGCGAGTTTTCGAGGAAAGGATGGCGTTGGCTGCAGAACGGGGGGCAGCAGCAGGCAATATTGATCTTCTTACCGGTGCAGCTGGAACCAGACGAGTTCCCATGCGGGATTCTGCCTTTGTTGCTTCAAGACTTCTTCGGATTCTCCGCCAGTCACGATCGGCGTGTGGCTTGCAGGAGTTCCCGTGTGCACGTCGCTTCTGAAGGGGATAGTTTCTGGCAGCCAGCCGGTGAGGTGATAGAGATCTGCCCCTGGGTTGGATCCTTGCATGCTGTAGCTGCCTCCCATGAGTTTGACGAATGCCTTCTCTAGGAGAGATACCCACAACTCCTGGGGGTGATGGGAGTGCGCGCAGAGGAGTTTCCCGTCTCTTCTTGTGGGCACGAAGTCGTCGACGAGCACCTTGCGAGGCACGCCGTTGAAGAAGAGCTTCACGCCATACATGCCTCGAGGATTGTAGACTGGCCGTGAGCGGCAGCAGCCTCCTCCGCTGCCGCTGCTGGGATCGCCAAGAGGCATCTGCGGGTAGATAAGACTCGACACAACTGGTATGCCGTGACGCCGCTCATAGTCTGAAAGCACTGCCAAAGAGGACAAGAAGGAACAGTCCCCGACGAACCCCTGCCGAATGCTTTTGCTGCACGGCAGCTCTAGCAGCACTTGAGGCTGCAAGTGCTGCTGCGACTGCGACTGCGAATGCGCCTGCTGCTGCTGTGACTGTGGCGCCGGCTGTGACTGCTGCTGATACAGCAGTTGCTGCTCCAAAGCCTCGCCCACGCGACGCCACGCGTGAAACTTTTGTTGCTGCTTCTGAGACAGCGTTAATAGGCCCTCAGGATCCGACCACTTGCCCCCTGCCCACCCCACCGGGTGTGGGTTTGGCGTGAAAGCCGAATGCGAAGAGCCATACGCTGCGCAGGAATCATCTGCAGCAGGAGCAGCAGTAGGAGCAGGAAAAGCAGGAGCAGCAGCAGTCATTGTTCCTTTTGCTCGATCTGTGGTTGCGGATATTCTTGGTGGGGCACCGACCATCGTGGAAACGAGGTTGTTGTTGCTCGTGCTGCTGCTGCTGGTGCCTCCACAACAGTTGCTGGTTACGTACACCCCATTGGCTCCAGAGTTGGTTTGCTGCGAAGCTCCTTGCCGTCTCTGCTTGTGTGTGTGCTGTTGCTGGTGCTGGTGCTTGGCTGCCAAAGGCACTCGGCAAGCTGGTGTCAAAGCCGCCTCTGCGGCTGCAAAGGGAGCAGCAGAGCCTTTCGGAGGAGGAACGCGGCAATGAACTGCCACAGGCTGCGACTGTATGGCTAAAGCAGCCGCCGCAGCGGCTTCGGCTGCAGTGCAGCTGGCGTTGCACACCGTGCTGCTCTCGCTGTCTGGAGGCAGACAGTCCACGTAAAAGTTGCAGCGTATGTCTTTGTCGCTTTCGCTCCACGGCAGCATCAAAAAGGGCCCCACAACTGAAGACTCGAGCAGTAGCTGCTGCGCATACGAGGAGTTTCTACTGCTGCTGCCTCCCCCACACGCCCCCCCCCCCTTCCCTGCTGAGCTTACGCTGACTTCGCGCAAGAAATCGATATGCAGGTAGCTTCCCCCACTGCATCCCCGTTCAGCGGGAGCTGCTGCCACGGCTGCTGCTGCCAACGCTGCCGCTGCACCCTCTCCAGCAGCAGCTGTGGCAGCAGCTCCCGCTATCTCCCCATCCGAATAAACTGTTGAAGCCGACCATTGGAATGGATCTGCCTGCGGCAGCTCCTCAGCTGCACTGCTGCTGACAAGCTCTATCGATCCTCTGTCTCTATTAGCTAGCCGAGAGCAGGCAACAACACCTCGCGCTGCTCTTCTTCTTGCTGCTCCTGCTGCCTCCGCTGTAGCAGCAGCCCCCATAGACGCTCCTGCAGCTTCTGCAAGCCGCAGCTGCTGCCCTCTTGGATCGCATTTACAATCATTCGCATTACTGCTGCTGCTGCTGACGGCGAACCTAGCCGCAGCAGCAGCAGCAGGTCCTACTTTGCACCTCATTTCACTGGTCAAGTCTCTTGCATCTGCTGCTGTATCTGCATCGGCTGCTGTAGCAGATGCAGATACAGCAGCAGATGCAGATAGCGCAGCAGATGCAGATAACGCAGCAGATGCAGATAACGCAGCAGATGCAGATAACGCAGCAGATGCAGATAACGCAGCGGATGCAGATACAGCACTTCCTGCTGCTGCTTCAGGTGTTACAGCGCTTGCTGCAGCTCCTCCTGCCAGTAAACCACCACTGGTGCCGCTCCCTCCTCCAGAAGGCCTCCCCAGATCGCTAAAAGCGCTCGCTCCAGAATGCAGGAGCAGCTGTTGCTGCTCCTCTGGCTGCATGCACGGCTGGCTTTGCAGCGGCTGCTGCTGCTCGCGCTGCTGCTGTGTCAAAAACAGACCCCCCTGTGCCTCGATGCCTTCAGCACCTGGAGACGCAGGAGGCGTTGCAGCAGGAGGGGTGCCAAAGACAGCAGCGGCTCGTCCTCCTCTGCTGGAACGAACTGCTGCCGTCTTTGTGCACTGCGCCCCCATGATTTGCTGCAAGTGCTGCTGCTGCTGCTCTTGCTGCTGCTGCCTTCCTTGCTGTTGCGCTTCGTTGCATGTATGCAAACACACGTGCCTTTTACAGAGCTGCAGCGGCGCCATGCATTGCCGTGCGAAGCCATACGCTGCTGCTGCAAGTGCTCCTGCAATTGCTGGTAGTGAAGAGGCAACAGGGGAAATGCTGCAAGGAGTGGTGCTGCTGCTGCAAGGAGCGGTGCTGCTGCTGCAAGGAGTGGTGCTGCTGCTGCAAGGAGCGGTGCTGCTGCTGCAAGCGAGGCAAGTATTGCTGCAAAGTGCTGCTGCTTCGCAATAGAAGTGTTGACACACAGGCAGCAGGCGCTATGCCAAAAAGGCCTCGCAGAAAGCCGCTCCAGCTACCACCACTGAACCTGATGGGCTGCTGCTGCTCGCTATCCTACACAATTGAAGCTTCTTGGAAAATGAGCATTGCATTGCCAGTGCTGCTCTTCCCAATAGTTCCAGCTGCGCTAGCAGCAGCGGCTTCTGCTGCTGCCGTTTCTTCTTCTTCAGCAGCAGCAGTGGCTTCTGCTGCTGCCGTTTCTTCTTCTCCTACTTCTTCTTCAGCAGCAGCAGTTGCTGCTGCTGTTTCCAGTCTTGCGTCCGGCAATACCGGTTCGTCAAACGTTCCTGCTGCAGCCGACAAACTGGATGCTTCTTCGAGTTGAAGCTGCGCAGTTTCTCATTGCCTTCGCCTCAGTGAGCAGCAGAAGGACTGCTGCTGCAGCAGCAGCAGCAGCACCAGCGGCTTCCAATTTTACTTGAAATCCTTCGGGAAGAGTGCGCTTCACGCCGTTTCTCGAGCAAATTTACGGCAACTGTTGCTGCAGCAGTGCAGCACGCGCGGCAACAGCTACTATATGCGATCCGCTTGCTGCTGCTGTGCTTCGCTGCAGCAGCCCTTCAAAGAGCAGGAAGACACTGCAGCTCTTGCAGCAGTAAAAGCTGACAAGGAAGAATCCAGACCCCACGATTTGCTGCTATTTGCTGCTTCTGCCATTGCTGCCGGTTAAGGCGCAGGCAGCAAGCAGCCTCACGAGTAGCAGCAGCAGCTGCAACAGTAGCAGCAGCAGCTGCTGCATCGGCAGCGTGCACTAGCGGCTGCTGCCATTGTTGCTGCGGCAAGAAATAGTATGCTGCTGCTCGACGCCTCTCCAAATGGCCTATTTGCGTCAATATTGGCTTTATTTGGCGGTTTTGGCAGGCGTTCCGGCAGAGGCGACGCGAGCAGCTGCTGTGTCATCGTTAGCTGCACGTTTGCTGCACCGGTCGGTCCTTAGCGCGCAGAGTCGCTCGTAAGGCTTCGATGAATAACGCTTGTCTTGGGGGGTAAATAGATCTTCCACGTCGCGTTTCTGCGGTTGCTGCTGTCGCACAGGATCGAGCAGCGCCTGTTGCTGCTGTTACTGCTGCCGTCACGCCCAAGTAGTCTGTACGGGCTGCCTGCCTGCCTGCCTGCGCTCTACAGCGTGTGGGGTTGCACGCCACGCGAACAGCTGCTACCCGTGCGAAAAAGCACATTGGCATGTCATGCGTCGACTGCTGCACCAGCAGCAGCGCGAGCAGTATTAGCGCAGCGGCGTCTCTGCGCGCATGTCTAGCACGCCACTTCGCAAGACGATACACCCCAATTTCGGAACGAACCGCACGCCTCACAGCAGCAACGCCCTCCGGGAGCAGACGCAACGCCCATTAAAAACGGGGATTATACGCCTCAATCGAGCTTACACGGAGAGGCAGCACTCAGCTGCCCATGAGCAGAACACTCTGAGCACTTGCTGCTGCCGCTGCACTGCCAGGGAGGAGATTATACAGCCATCATGGGGAGGCAATATAGGGATTCTCCCTTCGACCTGAAGAAGATGCTGCTGCTGAAGATGCTGCTGCTGATCTTGAGCAGCTCCAGCATGCAGCTACTGCCTGTTGGAGGGAGAGCACTACTGCCAGCAGCCGCTGAGCTGTACAGCGAGGTGTTACTCACAGAGCCGCTGCGATCGCGAAATCTCTTTTTTGCCCATTTCGACATCCGCCTCAGATCTCGTTCTCTGGGTATGCGTCTTTCTCAGCTTGCTTCCCCTGCGAACTGCCTTCAGGTGTTTGCTTGCAATGTAGCTTGTGAGAGTGTCATACGCTCGCTGTCGCGCATGCAGGTCATAGCCTTTCTGCACTTGAAGAGCATGCAGACATGTTTCCCCTAGGCATCGGACGCCTCCTCAACACACACCAGCTGCTGCTGCAGCCAGAGCACCAGCAGGAGAGCGGCTCATTGCTGCTGCAGCAGCAAGAGAAGAATCCTCCCGTATACCACCAACAAATACCCCAACATAAACTGCCTCACGCGTATTCCTTCTTCGATTTGTCTTTGAGCCAAGGGAGGTGGAATGAAGCAGTATGGGGAGCTCCCACTGCTGCAGTAAAGCCTCCAGGGATACTTCTACGCACAGGCATATCGCAGCACCCTGATTACAATCAGCAGAGGTATGTATATATATATATATATATATATATATATATATATATATATATATATATATACAACTAGAGGGAGAGGCTGCTGCGGCTTTTCTATCCCTCGCTATCTCTCTTTCCCTCTCTTGCTCTCCTTTTTTCCCCTCTCTTGCTCTCTTTTTCTTTTCCTCTCTTGTTCTCTTTTTCATTTCCTCTCTTGCTCTGTATTTTTCCCTCTCTTGCACTCTCTTTCTTTTCCTCTATCTCCATTATGCGCACTGAATGTTTGGAGGTGCTGTTTCTACCTCGGATGCGAAGGTGTCCCCTGAGTTGAGTGTTTTTCTGCGGTTGTAAATGTATGTGCATGTGAAAGTGTATGTGTACGTGTATGTGTAAGTGTATGCATATGTGTATGTGTATGTGTAAGTATATGCGTATGTGTAAGTGTATGTGTAAGTGTATGTGTAAGTATATGCGTATGTGTATGTGTAAGTGTATGCATATGCGTATGTGTAAGTGTATGTGTAAGTGTATGTGTAAGTATATGCGTATGTGTATGTGTATGTGTATGCATATGGGTATGTGTAAGTGCAAGTGTATGTGCATGTGTATGCATATGTGCATGTGTAAGTGTATGTGTAAGTATATGCGTATGTGTATGTCTATGTGTAAGGGTATGCATATGTGTATGCATATGGGTATGTGTATGTCTATGTGTAAGGGTATGCATATGTGTATGCATATGGGTAGGTGTAAGTGTAAGTGTATGTGGATGTGCATGCATATGGGTATGTGTATGTGTATGTGCATGTGTAAGTGTATGTGCGTATGTGCAGTATGCATATGTGTATGCATATGTGCATGTGTACGTGTATGTGCATGTGTAAGGGTATGTGCGTATGTGTAGTATGCATATGTGTATGCATATGGGCATGTGTAAGTGTAGTATGTGCAAATGTATGTGCATGTGAAAGTGTATGTGCATGTACATGTGTATGTGTAGTATGTGTATGCATATGTGTATGTGCATGCATATCTTGTTGCTGCTGCTGCAGGCTCTGGGTACATCTAGTAAACGCGCTAGCAGGACTGACGTGCAGCGGCGTTTCTGTGCTCGCTGGAATCTCAGATGCTGCCCTGACTTTGCCCAGTGCAGCAGCCGCAGCAGCAGGAGGAGGAGCAGCGGCCTCTCCTCTGCCTTCTGGAGAAAGCTCGCGAGCGAAGCCTGGATACAAACAGCGCATCGCTGCCTTCCCTGAAGCAGCAGTCTGTACAGACACCCACAACAATCTGATGCGGCTGCTGCCCTGCAAGCAGCAGGTAAGAAGAGGAATATAATCGTCTGTTTCTGCATCTGCTCCGCTGACTGTTCAAATCCTTGAGCGTTTCTTCCGAGGATTCTTTTTGTAGGCTCCAAGCTCGCTCGCTTGTGCTGCTTCTGTGGGGTTGTGTGCTGCAGTCTGGCCTACTGACGCTGTTACATCCTTATGCCCTTGCAGCGTCTCCGTACAAGTCGTACCGCCTTCGCGCTTCGCCTTTCGCCGCGCAGCCTTCTTCGTCTTCTGCTCCTTTTGCTTCATCTCCTCCGCAGCAGCAGCAGCAAATAGCAGAGCTGCGGCTCGAGCTATCGGTAGTGTTGCGCTTTCCCAATGACGAACCACCCTGTACGTTCTGTGAAGGCCGCTGACACGTGCTGTTGTGATATTATAACGGCAATCGCTGCAGAGATGCTCTCCTTTGAGAGACAGAGAGAGGGACAGACTGACTGACTGACTGGACGCAAGCGAGGCTTCGGAGGAGCCAGTCGCTCTCGGTGGCTGCATGTGTGTGTGTGTGTGTGTGTGTGTGTCGCAGTGCCTTTTTCTCTGGTGAATCTTTTTAGCCAAATTCCCCTGCACGTGTATCCTAAGACTGGCAGGCCGAAGGAGGACATGCTAGAACCCCAACAGGAGGAGGTGCTCGCGCTGCAGAATCCACCAACATTCGCTCGCTGGAAGTGCACTGCTGTCAATCACAGCAAATGGATGCTAAGAATCTTCCACACTAGCGACAACACTACAGCGGCCGTGCGAGCGCAGCAGGTAGCCGCAGCCGCAGGTTTTAGTACGTATGAGGCCTTTTCAACAGGTGCAAATTCCACCCTCCTCGTCTTAGACTTGCAGCAACAGGAAAAAGAGCAACAGCAACAGCAGCAAGAGCAGAAGCAGGAAAAGGAGCAACATCAAGAGCAAACGCAGGAGGAAGAGCATCAAAAACAACAGCAACAGCAGGAGGAGCAGAACGAGCACCATCGCCTCAAAGATTGGCTTGGCCATCGGTGGCGCCTAGCCGAGACACGGGAAAGCCTTCAACTTTCTCGAGGCTTCTCTATGAATCCTGAGGCCCCTTACAGTGACAAGCTTTTTGGTACGTTTAGATTCAAAAGCGTTCCCGCTTGAAAAATACATTGTGTCTCTGTTACGTGTCTTTATGGATCCTTTTCTGCCGCTCCTGCTGCTCTTTCTGCTGCAGGCTCTTATTGGGTGGCCTTTGATAATTGGGGAGACAGGGCAGCTTCTGTAGGCCTCGTGGATTTTCTGCCACACGCTACTCGTCCCCTGATTGCCACCGCTAGGTTCAGTAAGCATCCTTTATCTAGAGGCACTCAGTTGATCGCGCAGCAAGAAGACGAAGGCGAAGATTGCATGGGGGTGGGTGCGACTACGTCTTCTGCATGCGTTTTTCCTGCCGATGGCGCTTCAGCATATACCCGTGGAGGTAGCCTGTGCTTTTTACTCTCTTAGATGCGTCTGTCTGCCTATCTGGCTCGCCGGCCTGCATCAGGCATGCGCTTTTCTGATGCTTTCCTGCATCATGCATGCGCTTTTCTGGTGCTTTCCTGCATCATGCATGCGCTTTTCTGGTGCTTTCCTGCATCATGCATGCGCTTTATTGGTGCTTTCCTGCATCATGCATGCGCTTTATTGGTGCTTTCCTGCATCATGCATGCGCTTTATTGGTGCTTTCCTGCATCATGCATGCGCTTTATTGGTGCTCTCCTGCATCATGCATGCGCTTTATTGGTGCTTTCCTGCATCATGCATGCGCGTTTTTGTTGTTCGTCTGCATCATGCATGCGCTTTTCTGGTGCTTTCCTGCATCATGCGCGACAGGAAGTCAAGGGGCCTTCCGCCATCGCTTCGTCAGGCCTTCGTCTGACATCGCCAGTCCAAGTTTTTTCTCCGTGGGCAGCCTCCGCACGGGCGTCTGACCTTGCAGCTGTGGGGGAGTCTGCGTTGGCGACGGACGTTGCTGCTGCGGAGGCGGAGGGCGGCTACGGAGCTTTGGATCTCTGGTGGATGCCTTGTTGGCTACGCATGCGCAGCAGTTTGCTCCCTGCAGCCTTGGCGGCAAAGGAGAAGGAAGCTGCTTCCCTGCTTCTCCCCTCAGCTTCTTTGGAAGGCCGTCTGCACGTGCCTGCGCACTGCAGGGTAGCACTTTCGCTGCCGCTGCGGCTGCTGATGCAGCAGCCGCAGCTGCTGCATCCGAATCCTCAGGGAGGCCTCTCTGTGGGCTCTGCCTTTGCTGCAGTGCCGGTTCGTTTTTAGGGCGAAAGTCGTCGCAGATCCTCCGCATGCAGCCGATGCTTGTTGCCTCTGCGCATGCAACTCTGCCTTCCCCTCCACGACCCTTAGCAGTCCTGCCGCTGGAACCAGCGGCAGCGGCAGCTGCAGCAGCTGCACCCTTTTCCCCCACTCCACTCCACATCATTCCACTCCATATCGGCCGGACTGAGACTGGCGATGCCTTCCCCGTGTGTTTTTCTGGGAGCTTTATGTGCAGTGGATGTTCATGCTCCGTCTTTGCTGCTGCAGAGGCGGCGTTCCTTCACATGGCCACCCCCCGCAGACGTCTTGGGAAGCACTGCGACCTCCTGCTCGACAGCTGCCAGCGTGCCTTGCAGCGTACTCAGCTCTCCATCCTCCGCTACTACGTCGACAGCCGACAAGGAGAAGCAGCAACAAGTGCTTGAAGCCTTCCTTGGCTTCGAAGAGTGAGCACGCACGCGCCTGTGGGCTGCTGCTGCTCAGTGTGCTTCTCATCAACCTGCTGCTGCTCAACGTGCTGCTGCTGCTTAATGCGCTGCTTCTGATCAACATGCTGCTGCTCGACGTTTGCTGGTTCTCAATGTGCTGCTTCTGATCAACCTGCTGCTGCTGCTCAATGTGCTGCTTCTGATCAACATGCTGCTGCTCGACGTTTGCTGGTTCTCGCGATAAACATCGGGAAATCGTTTATTGGGAATCGCTGCTGCTGCTCTGCTTGCATGCGCAGGGAGCTCGAAGAGAGACAGTGGGAATGGCTGGCTAGTGGGGGTGCAAAACTGAAGGTGCCACTGCCAGACTTTGGTAAGCCCTCGAAGCTGCCTTTCCCTTTTTGCAAGCAGGCTCCTTCGTGGTGATGCAAGTTGATCATCGCTTTTGGAAGCCGAGACACCTCTTTTTTTCTCTCTCTCTTTGCTGATCCTATTGTTCTTTCTTCTGTGGAATACAGCGCCTGTTTGTTCTTCTAGCACCTTCATCAACTCGTTTCGTAGGGGGCGCAGGAGCGACCTATGTGCTAGCATCAAGCTCGAATTGTGTATTTTTGTGTATGCATGCATGTATGTGTGTATATATGTATTGGTGTATTTTTGCGTATGTCTCTGTGTGTGTGTGTATGTACGTATGTCTCTGTGTGAATGTGTATGTTTATGTATTTCTGCGCTCCTGCGGTATGCAGATATGCCGTTCAATGTGATTGCCATATCCGGCACAGCTCTGATGATTTTCTTTGGTGCGGTCTTTAGAATTGCCGTGCCTAAACCCCAAGCAGCACACACGCTGTGCTCTGCATGAGCCTTGGAAGGCTTTACATGCAGGGTACTCCACCGAGCTGTTGCCGAAGCGCGTGAGAGCACCCACCTCGCCTCAACGCGCGACACCAGCTGCCGCGGGGGTTTTGCTGCAAGAAGCGCAGCTTCGGCAGGTCTGGATGTGTTTTTGCCGAAAGCGGCAGGGGAGGGAAAGGGAGGGGTGGTTTTTTTTCTACCGCTGGACGGCTTGCAGGCTGTTAGCGCACTGAACAGGGCAGCCATGCATCAGCCAGCGGAGCGAACGCCGTGGGAGCAGCACCACGGAAGAGGGAGCCAAAAAGCGACAAAGAAAGCGGTGGGAAAAACGTAGGCTCAGCTGCTTTGGCGGCTTGCATGTCTGCCTGCCGCTTCAGAGGGAGTCACTTCGCGCGCGACTGCGTCTTCGGGGGCACACAGCTACCGGGTTCCACAGAAACATCAGCAGCCGTGTGAAGGCGGTGAGCTGTTTGGTGCAACAGTCATCCAGTGGTGCTGCTGCTTCTGCAGCGGGGCATTTCGTTCCCGCCTCTAAATCAACAAAGGCGTCTTCAGAGGGAGGCCTCTTTTGCTGTTGCTGGGGGTTCGGCGAATCGCTGCAGCCGACGGTGAGGACTTGTGGCGAACTGAGCTCTGCGGCTAGCGAAGGCAGAGATTCGGCATCGGACGTTTGCTGCTGCTGCAGCTGCTGCTGTGAGAGGTGCATGCGGAGAAGGCGTGGAGACGACACAGGCAGCACTGGAAGGCTCCTGCTGCTCCCTGCATGACAGGAGGGGGTATCTTTTAAAAGCGGCTCTTCCGCAGAGACGCCTGACGCGTTATCCTCTATGCAACTGTCAGAGACACCCCGCTGTGGCTGTTTCAGCAGCTTTTGCCGCTGATGTTGCTTGCGGGGAGAAAGCGTGGCGGTATGGGCTGCTGCTGCTCTGAGTTGCTGTCGGAGGAGCAGCACTTCGTCTTGTAGTTTGCGTGCAGAGTCTGCGCATGCCTCTCGAGATCTCTGTAGCGCCTTGAGTTCAGTCTTGAAGGCCTCCCTCTCGCTAGTTAGCTTCTTTGCCCACTCTAGTGCTGCATCGGCGCGCTGCGATCGAGCCGTCAGCTGCTCTTTCTCGGCCTGTTGCTGGAGGGCTGCATGCGCCCGCAAAAGAGTTTCCCTTTCTTGACGCAGCCTCTGTTCTCTCTCACGCAGCTTCTCCGACTCCGCTGCTGCCTGCTGCAGTGCGGCTTCGCGCTGCTGCAGCAGCTGCTGCTGCAACGCTGACTCCTGCTGCTGAGCACGTAGTTGCTTCTGAAGGAAGGCCAGCTGCTGCCTGAGGCTCGCGGCCTGTTGCTCAAGGGCCTGCTGAGCTTCCCACTCCTGCTGCTCCCGCTGCTCTTGCAGCTTGCGAAACACCTGAAACCGAATGCTGTCCTTGTGGCACAAGGAGTCGGTAGGGGGTCCGTGCGCTTCCTTCTTCGAGCCCTCTGCTGAAGGTGGCGGAAACGTGCTCTGGAAATGGCAATGCAACTGCGTCAAGCGACACCCACGCGGTGAACTTGCGCTCGACTGCGAGGTTTCCGTGGCCTCTTCTGCATCAGCCCCTGCGCGGCCAGAAGCGCAGGTGTCTCCTGCAATGGAGCAACCCGAGGGCCTATTCCGGCTTGCAGAGAGGCTCTCTCCTAAATGTTTGAGGCTCTGAGGGGCAGCCAGTGCCGCCTCCTCGCCTCCGAACGACAGCCCTCGCACGAGGCGAGCTCCAGCCTCCGACGACGGGGGAGTTGCCGCAGCTGCGGGCATCCCCGTTGGTGTCGGGTCTGCCGGAGGAGCTCTTAGAGGCAACGCTGGGGATATCTCGTAGGTAGCCATGATGCTGTGTTCACAGCGAGGGAAGGCGGCGTCTTATACGCCTCCTCAGAACAGATGCAGTCCCTACGGCGGTTACCTGCAATTAAGGGGCCACTCTGTATGCCTGATGCATCAAGGTCGCTGGCTCTTTTCAAGGAGAGAGCTTGTTTCAACATGAATGGCCACTTCGCGTCGGAAGGTGTTGCCTTCCGACGAGCAGCTTGGCGGACCTGCTTTTACAGCTGCGTAGGCGCAGTGCGCTGGATTTTTGTATGCGTTTTAGCTTCAACGCGTCAAATCTCAGGGCCTAGGTGAAACGAAAGGGCCCAGAGGCGAAGCAGTGCCAGCAAGGACACACAGCAGCACGGCGCAGGGACGATTGCCGCTGTTTTCTGTGTGCAGTCGAATTCACACAGTGCGCGCCTCCGACCCCAGGGTAAATATGGAAGTGTGGAACTGATGATCTGGTGCGCAAATATATTTAGCGAGGATTAACAGAGTCGCCTTAGCGTAGAGGGCGACACCAGGGACTGATGCCTCCGACCGCAGGCCCCTTCGGCAGCCTCGGTACGGACGCCGGTCAGTGTTTGATGAGGTATCTGCTTGAATCTGCTAGCTATCACGGTCTCCTTCTAAGATACCAACTCTATATGTTTTCTTTTTCTTGTGGTAAAGGCCAGCCGGCTTCCTTTCACTTCTTCTTAACCAGCGGCCAGAGCCGCCTGCATCAGTGATGCGGGTTACTTGTATGCGAAACCTTAGCACTCTGCCCAGGGCCCCCCTGTATCCCTTCTGCTAGAAACCAGCTCCGACGCACTTTTAGAACCTACGGCCGATTTAAATATATAGTGTTTGTGATTTTCGCGGAACGGGTTCCCTTGTATGCGCTTGCTTGTGCTGCATCCACAGCGCGCATTCGTATGGCCTAGACCAAACCAGTCAGTCATTGCGCTGTGGTGAGCGCTGGCTCCTTGTACCTCATGAGGTCTTCTGGCATAACTTGTGCGCAGATTTAGGGCTGGCGAATTTCACGGTACAGGTGGGAGACCGCATCGGCCGTAACAGCAACATGGCACTGCTCGCTTGCTGATTGGATTGAAGCAACTTCCCGTATGTTGCCTAGAGGAAACCCTGACAGCGGATTCGAATGCTGTGCCTTTCTTGACCCATAGTAGGACGGAGGAGCAGGCTTCTGGTGCAGTTCAAGCGTCCCTTTCCTGTACCGCAGCCTTTCTCTCCCGTTTCCCTCCCCTACAGGGATTGCAGGCATCAGTGCACATTAACCCCAAGAAGGGGCACTCTTAGAATGGCCTTTCTTTCGTCCAGCGAGAGAGAAAACAGCACTGACTCCGATAGTCGAGCATCTGACTGGAGTCCTCGGCATTGTAGATCTAACACGTGTACCACGGGCAGCGGCCGCATGAGGCTGTCTCTCCTCCTCCCCTGGATTTCCCACTTGGAGCCGTCACTTGACGCTCCTCAACGCGTGTCTAATGCCGACACGCTTGAGGACAAACTCGAGTGGAGGACGCCAGCAGGCGACCCGGGCTTGACGATAGCAACTGGCTGCAGTATGATATTTCTTGCCGCCGTTTTCGTAGCTGTCCAGCTCTATGCAATGTGTATTTCGAAGCTGATGCCGAACTTGGGCATCTGGTGGCTCGATGCTATAAAGGAAGACTGGAATTACTGCGTCTTCTTGCCAATTGGGTTCGGCACCTCTGCCCTCTTCGTGTACTGGAACTGGGTGGCGCTTAAGGTATTTAGAAATTCTTAAATCAGACAACCCGACTCTTAAGAAGTGTCTTTCCATGGGTCTCATCGGCAAAAGAGGAGTAGGCTGTCATGCTCCTTCGACCCCCTATGTTAACCCACTTTGACGAAGCCGCAGCTCGTTCCTTCGATATTTTGGAAAAATTGTCTTATGAGGGAGAAAGGGACAACAAACTATATATTTTTGTTTTCGTATCGCTGGGTGCTCTTAAAGTGCAACTCCAGCACTGCCTTTCGTAGATTTGTCATTTCTTGTCCATAATAATCATTCATTCACGCTAACAGAACACGTTGTGTGTGCTTGGGGAGCGGGGCAATGCAGTGTTCTCCGCTGGAATTTTCCAGCGGCGCAGCTTTTTATCATGTGAAACCGTCTCATGTATCACTTCAAGAGCTGCTTGTACACCCCAGAGAGAAGCGCTTCTACCTTCCAAACAGTATGCCTGGAAACAGCGCGAAAAGACTTACATAATTTGAACTTGTGTTCGAAACACACCGCCTAACATTTTCTCATTAGTGGTGTATCGCGGTTTTCGATTCAATCTTCCCAAGCGTGTGTTTTGCCCATGGAATCCATGGGGGCTTCTGGCCCCAGGCGGCCATGGACATTGTTTTATGTTCAGGGGAAAGGCCGCGAGTACTGCACTGCAGAAAGAAGAATTCAGCAGTCGCATTCCCTACCTCTCGCTCAGTCTGCTGCTCGCACAATCACCCAACAGATGCCCCTACTTCCCGTATCCAAGCAAGACCTGGGCAGGCTACCAGGTGCAATATTTTCCCAGTTTTCGCTGTGTGCGGGCTTTTGACGGTTTCCCTTCATTTCACTAGCACCACCCCCTGCCATTGAGGTGCCAAGGGGGGCTTATTATGATGCGGATTTCTCGTATACCTTCCCATCCACGACCACGTTTCGATACACGACTTTCACTCACATCGGCCGGTATGGCGACAGCAAAGTCCACTTCCTCACAGCACAATAGAGGGTTTCAAGTTGAGCCCTACTCAGCCCTAAGCTCCCGATTTACCTTCGAGATGCAACACAGGTTGCGCGCGTGTTCACCGTAAGCTGCGCCTTATTGGAATCGTCTATTAGCAATATGGCCGTCTACATTCACTGGACAGATGCAAGCGAAAAATCGCGCAGCTGCCTGCCCATTTCCTGGCTCCTCTGCTCTAATTCTTATATCTGAAAAAGGACCTAGAGGTCTTAAAGCGTGCCAAGCAGCAGCTGCAGTGCTTCGTGCGAGTTGTGGAACTTGCATGGGGCGTCTCGAGGTACATTCAGAACCGTTTTGTTAATGAGTGAAAACGCACGGCTGTTTCTTGTGCCCACAGCACTGCAGGGAGTTGGCTGTGCAAGAAATTGAAAAGCCCCAGCTAGCCTGCCTGCTTTCTTCGATCCTTCGTTACCGCCTGTTGCAAGATGGCGAATGGATTCACAGTGGCAATAGCAGGCAGCATATGCTAGACTCATGCGTCCTCGCACAGGATCCTGGCGAGCTGCACACGCGCAGCTACGTGAACTGCCCGGCTTTCAGTTTCGGCGTTCGCGTTTCCACTGTAAATGTTTTACCGGCAAAAGGGGGTATCAAGGTTCACGGGCAAGTGCGCTTAATGCCATTTGTCTATAGGGTGCTACCGCTAAGAAAACATGAAGAAAGGGGCAGAGGGGTTTACTGCCTTCCCCGCCTCGCAGCGCCGGCCACGCTACAAAGCCAACAGGAAGAACCGTTCAGGAGCTCCCCTCTGAAAGCAGCTGAAGACTTCAAGACCTTCTGGTGCAGCAATAACTGACTCCCGAAATCCTGCTTCTGGCCAAGCCTGCAGTACTTCAGGCTATTACAGCATGGCTACAAGCTGCCTGATAAGGCCCTCTGCCGATTTGTTCATGGTAAATGATCCTCCAGCTTCGTCTTCACTCTCGCGCCTTCCCACAGTGAACCCCTATGCCTTCGATGTCAGTTCTGTTCAATGACCACCTCGAACTCTCCTATCCCCATGGTGCGCTTTGTATGTGAAATATTTTTCATCTCCAGGGGCTTGGCTTATCCAGTCTTCATTTCTCATGTTTCAGGATGCTGTTGGCGTGAAGCGCCCTACGAATTGTGAGAGCTGCTGCTTCCTAAACCCCTTGAGCCTAATCCTCCGCTAGTTTTCCGCCGAATTTTTCATTTTTTTATGTGCATTGCCCCCCCAACGCCCCGCTTTTCACGACTTCATTTTCAGGCTACGTGTCTCTTTGCACGCCAAAGACCTGGTGGCGCTGAGAGCGTTCACTTGCATTGCCGCCTGTGAAATTCTGCACACGAGTCGTCTAACGATTACCCTGCCCCCCGGCCTTACTCCCCGGGCTCCAACACACCTACAGGGGACTTTTTTGCCAGCGCTGCTAGTTCCGCCGGAGAGTGGCGAGTCTTCAGCAGCTCTCGAGTTGCAAACAGCTCCTACAGACGCAACCTTTGAGAAGCTGAACGAGCTAGCCAAGAGTCCACGGGAAGCAGACACTCCCGATCGGCTGCTGCCTCCCCCATGTCTCGTTTGCCGTGTCAAGACAGCAGAAGTTGCAAAGACGGCACCCAAGACTTCCGCGCGTCTCTCGGAGTCGCCCGGTGATTCTCTGACGAACGTCCTAAGGACGGAAGACGAAGAAGATTTCGAAAACAAAGCGGAAGAAGAGTACTCCAAGGGTGAAGGAACTAAGGCGACGGAAACAGAGACGCGCGTCCTACCTCCTCCAGCAACGTACGGAAGGACGAGGCTGGCGGAAGCGGCCACCCTCAACAGGCATCGTGCAGCGCAGCAGCAGCAGCAAGCCGATGCATCGATGGCAATTCCCAAGCGCCCCGCGGAGGCTACTAAATTACGTACGCACACTGATAGGCCACATGCACTGCTAACGTTTACATCGACAGCAGGCTCTGCAGCAGCAGCAGCCGCAGCTTGCGCGGAGCTAAAACCAGCGGAGCAGTTCAGCGGCTCAGAGGCTTCCCAACGGCCAGCCGCGGGGGAAACGCACACCCACAAAAAAGGAACAGGGATCGTTGCAAAGAAGCGTAAGGCTCATTCGCTGCAGCCGGTACAGCGGCGATTGCTACAAGCGCAACAAGGAAGGGCGGTAAAGCAGCCCCAGACGCTGCAGGAGATCCTGTTGTCAGATGATGCATCCCCATCTGCGCCTACCGTTCCTGCCGTGACGGCACGTGCAGAGAAGCTGCCTCCAGCTGCCACCTGCCCTTCAAAAAAGAAAAGAAAACGCCCTGCCTTGCAGCCTTAGACCCTTTGACAATGCTTCAAGAGGCCACTGCTGTGTTGTTTCCCACAGGCAGCCGTGTCTGCCGCCAGTCTTCCCACCCCACCCCTCCCCTTTCCCACCGCCTGCTATGCCGATGCCACTTGCGTTTGCGCATAGTGCTCGAGCTCGCGAAGGCAGTTTCGGATGTCGGAGGCCTCTTTTCGAACTGTTTCCGAAAACACTTCGGGTGTCTCTGCAGCGAAAGCGCTTGTCACGAGGCCCTTGAGCTTCTTAAGAGCGCAGTCTCTGCCCGCGTCGGCTCCCACAAGAGCCCCCACGCTCCTCCGCTTTTCTCTTTTCTCGGCAGCCTCGAGCTGCTGACTCATGGTCACAGCTCTCTGCGTAATGGCATCTGGCAGTCCGGCGAACTGGGCAACGTGAATGCCGTAAGACTGATCAGCGTGGCCTTCTTGCAGGTTGTACAAGAAGGTAATCCGCTGCTTCTCCTTGCACACTGCCGCCTTCACATGATAGTTTCGGACGCCTTGCACCGCCCCCTCCAGCGCCGACAGTTCCAGAAAATGCGTCGCAAAGAGCGTGAAACAGCGCGCGCGTTCCACCAGGTCCTTCGCTATCCCCCACGCAAGGCCAAACCCCTAAGCAGCAACACAAGGCAGTGCCATGTCCACGAGCTTACAGCAAAGCCGCGTAGGCGCTCCACACAAACGACAAAGCCTTCACATGCCTTCCCAACAACCTCCCCGAGTTTCACAACGTGCGCGCATGCGCGCAAAACAGTGCGCCGGCCGCAGGTCTTCTAGCGCATGCATGCGCTCTGAAGACTCAGTCCCAAGGGGAAACCAGTGCAGATGCGGCAACGCCACCACGAGAAACACAAACGCAGCAACAAGAGAAACAAACAGGAAGAGGAACAGCAACATGAGAAACAATAACAGCAACATGAGAAACAACGGTAAGAGAAACAATTACCGTAACACGAGAAACAATTACAGCAACATGAGAAACAATAACGGAAACAAGAGAAACAATTACAGTAACACGAGAAACAATAACGGCAACAAGAGAAACAACAACAGTAACAAGAGAAACAATTACAGTAACACGAGAAACAATTACAGTAACAAGAGAAAAAACAGTAACACGAGAAACAATAACAGCTACACGAGAAACAATTACCGTAACACGAGAAACAATTACAGCAACATGAGAAACAATTACAGTAACACGAGAAACAATTACAGTAACAAGAGAAACAGTAACAGTAATACGAGGGACAATTACAGTAACACGAGAACAATTACAGTAACACGAGAAACGACGCCAAGAAAAACAATAACACGAGCAGTAACGCTCATAGCAAAGACACAACGCAAATAGTAGCAACAACAACAACAGCTGTGTATCGGCAGAACCCCATGTGTTTTCTGACCTCATAGGTGGACGTGCCTCTGCCCAGCTCATCAACGATCACCAAACTTTGAGGTCCTGCAGTCCTGAGAATAGCGCTGGCTTCTACCATCTCTGCGAGGAACGTGCTGACTCCCCGAAGCTGCAGATCGGAGGCGCCAACGCGGCACATAATTTGCTTGAACACTGGAAGCGTGCAAGACACACAGGGGACAAAGCTCCCCATCTGGGCAAGGAAGACACACAGCGCCACTTGGCGAATGTATGTGCTCTTGCCCCCCATGTTTGGTCCGGTGATGACGTGCAAACGCGCATTCTCTGCGTTCATGATGCATGAATTCGCAATCACCGAAGACTGCTGCACACCCTGCACCTCCAGCAGTGCGTGTCGACACGCCTCCAGCCGCAGCTCGCTGCCTGCAGCAGCGCATCATAAGAAAGCCTTCAACGTTCAACGCTTAGCGTTCAGGAGCTGCCGCGCTGTGGGCGCGAGTGAGAGACAGCCCTAGAGGCGCTCATGGCGTGAGCAGGCAGTCTTGACCCCCTTTTTTCTCCCTCCCGCGGGAGAGGATGGCGCAGGGAGGAAAAGACAGACGAAGCAAAAGCACGCAAACCCGCAGAAAAAGGAAACTCTCTAGATCGTCGAGTCTGCCCTCGGAGGCAGTAGCAGCATCCGCAGCTAGAATAGCGGCAAGGCACGAGAAATTCACCCTCAGGCTCTATGCGCGGTCTCACGTAGACCGCAGGGGCATTAAGTGCTACTGCAGCAAAGGCCCCTAAGACGTCGATGGTTCCCAGCAACTCGGCAAGCTGCTCTGTCAACGGCCAGTACGTCGCTGCCACCTGCCAACAACAAACCGCCCCACACGCCACGAAAAAGGTGCAGTGCGCACTTGGCCAAAGCGCTCATAGAAAAAGCATTTAAAAACGAGCAGATGCAGGGCTAGAAGCTGCTGCACGCGTTGCTGGCTGGCTGTTGTTTTTGCAGGTGTTGTTGTTGTTATTGCTGCAAGTGTTGTTGTTGTTGCAAGTGGTGTTGCCGTTGTTGTTGCAAGTGGTGTTGTTGTTGCAGGTGTTGTTGCAGTTTTGATGCTGTTGCTGGTGCTGCAGTTGTCGAGGCCACGCAGGCAAAGGGCAGCAAGAGCTGTCACATCTAAGCGAAAAGAGAGGCTATACAGCGATGCGTCGACTAACGCACCCGCATGCATGCATAGCCGCAAGCAAACACGCGGAAGGCTCAGAAACGGGCTTTACGGCTCAGCGGCATCCCACCTGCGTAGCTTTTTCCACGAGAGTACTCTGCAACTGCTGATACTCCTCGCACACTTCTCTGTGCTTGGCCGCGAGGAGCTTCACGCGATTCGTTGTGAAGAGCATCTCATTCTTGTTTAGACGCACTTGCTGAAATTCCTTCTTACGGCCCTGTCAGCACACGCCAGACAGAAAAATTACCCGCAGCGTTGTCAGAGGCATCCCCAGGTGCTTCTACCCAAGTCAAAATAAATTCACGTCTTGATGTGCATATTGTTGGTATCTTGCATGTTTGCAAGGTGGCAGATAGCGCTCTCTGAAGCCTGCCCTCAAGACACACGCATGCACTGGAGAGACACCGCAACACCTCGAAGCGTTGCAGCACAAAGGAACTATCTGCTGAGAAGCGTGATCTCGAAGCGCCGTGAGTGTGCGCTGCTGGAGTTGCACCAGAAAACAGACTAGCAAGCTAGCTTCTTCCCCCCACCCCTCTTGTTGCTTCCCCCGCCCTCAGAAAAGTACCAGGACGGCAGGCTGATCTCTCTTGACCACGCGCAGAGCAAAGCCTAAGGTGGGATCCTCAATCAACTTCACTGCATCCCCCTCCCGCCTTCTGGGAAGATCAAGAAGCTCCTCCGCTGCCTGCCTCTCCGCCTGCAGCTTGCAAAGGAGGGCATCACGTCGCTTCAAAGCCTCCCCCATTCTTGGATCAAACCGCTGGGAGATGATGTAGCTGCCCTTCTTCGCCTCCTCGAGATCGATCGAGTGCTCAACGAGCTGAATGAATGGCGCAAAGGCGCACACGATGGCATGCAACTTGTCGTGAATCTCAGTGCGCACTGTGGCAGCGCAAGGACCTGCATACGATCCTAAAGGCCCCTGAAACGCACAGAGAGGCAGCAACACCCCAATACGCCGGTTGAGCCTTGTTTGTAAGCCGCATAGTTACCAGGCAAACACGCATGCACACATATACACGCACATGTATATTTATACATAGGTCATACTCACATTGATATACACACACTTTCACATACACATAAAGGTTATACATGAACACCATAGACGCATACACACATGCATACATTACCTAGAGGCAGTACGGACGTGAATTACTTTCACATAGAGAAATACATTCATACAGACATACATACAGATGAACACAACACATACCCAGACGTAAGCACTGCACATGCATAGATCACACATAACATACACACCTGCATGCACTAAATACATACATATATGCACGCCGGAAAGGATGCACCAGAAGGAGCTAATTGCTGGAAGAAAAATGCTAGCGAAGAAGAGGAGCACAAATACAGGAAATGAAGGGATAGTGTCGAAACAGGAAGGAGACACACAGCGATATGAGGCATATATATGTATATATAGAGAGAGAACGGAGGCTTAGGCCACGATTGGAAAACGCGAGAAAAGAAAACAGCGCGAGAAAGAGCCAATGAGCGTTGCAAGCAAGAGAGGCTAAGGGGCACCACACAGAGGAACTATACGCAACTAGGCCAAAAGACAGCGAAGACGGTAGGAGGACTCACGAGAAGGCTGTTGCATTCGACAACACAATCATACAGCTTTACGAGATCCTCAACGCCAACGCCTAGACGCGCGGAGGAGGGCGGCTTTCTGCGTTCGTCGCATCAACACGCAGAAGCATGCAGCCCCAAAACGTCCGTTTCGCAAGACACCCCCGTAAAAAGCACACCGCGCATGCGTTTCCTTCGCCGTCTTCCTGCACCAGCAGCCTTAGAGCGTGACACAAGCAAGCAAGGAAGACGAGAACAAAGCAAGAAAACAGCCTGCGGGGAGCATCAGGAGGGAGCAGCAGCTAACAGATCGGCAATCGCACGTTGAGGCGCCTTCCTTGGCTGCCTGGACAGCCGCGTGGATCCTGTGAAGCTTTGTTGACAGCCTGTCTAACTCTGCAACGTGCTTGAAATGACGCTGGAAGACATCACGACGGAAGACTTCCTGCGTTGCACACACCGCCACTTGTGGAGTGCGCTCTAAAAGTTCTAGTTGCATGCAGTTCCGAGAGGAGGCGAGCGAATCTCTCGCAGCTCTTGAAGCCTTCCCCAAAGAAATCCAACACGGAGGAGGGAGGTGAAGAGGGGCATCAGACAGAGATAGAGAGAGATAGAGAGAGAAAGAGAAGAAGGGGGAAAGAGAGGGAAGGGCAGGCGTTGGCAAGGTCGTTATGGTGGCCTTCTGGGGTGTTCGGTGTATATGTGTACGTATATATGTATATATATGTATGTATAACTGTATGTATGTATATATATGTATGTATAACTGTATGTATATATATATATATGTATGTATAACTGTATGTATGTATATATATGTATGTATAACTGTATGTATATGTATGTATGTATAACTGTATGTATGTATATATATGTATGTATAACTGTATGTATGTATATATATGTATGTATGACTGTATGTATATATATATGTATGTATAACTGTATGTATATATATGCATGTATAACTGTATGTATGTATGTATATGTGTGTATAACTGTATGTATATATGTGTATGTATAACTGTATGTATGTATATGTATGTATAACTGTATGTATGTATATATATGTATGTATAACTGTATGTATGTATATATATGTATGTATAACTGTATGTATGTATATATATGTATGTATGACTGTATGTATGTATATATATGTATGTATGACTGTATGTATATATATGTATGTATAACTGTATGTATGTATATATATATGTATGTATAACTGTATGTATGTATATATATGTATGTATAACTGTATGTATATATATGTATGTATAACTGTATGTATGTATATATATGTATGTATAACTGTATGTATGTATATATATGTATGTATGACTGTATGTATATATATATGTATGTATAACTGTATGTATATATATGTATGTATAACTGTATGTATGTATGTATATGTGTGTATAACTGTATGTATGTATATATATATGTATGTATAACTGTATGTATATATATGTATGTATAACTGTATGTATGTATATATATGTATGTATAACTGTATGTATATATATGTATGTATAACTGTATGTATGTATATATATGTATGTATAACTGTATGTATGTATATATATATGCATGTATAAATGTATGTATGTATATATATGTATATATGACTGTATGTATATACATGTATGTATATATATGTATGTATATATATGTATATGTATGTATAACTGTATGTATGTATGTGTATGTGTGTCGGGATAAGGGGGGAGGGAGGCTTTCAAAAAGAAGTTTGCGTCTTCTCCTTCCTTGCCTGCATGAAGGCCTCGACAATATCGTGCCTCTTTCGAATAGCGTCTGCATCTACCAGGGGCTGTGAAATGAATAAGTGCAGCCGTCGAGCTCCCAGAGAAGAGCAGCAGCGTCGCGAGAAAAGCCCGAACACAGACATAGCGCAGAGACCTCCATTGCTTGCAGCTGCTGCCGCTGCTGCAGAAGCTGCTGCCGCAGCGCCTGCAGCACAAAGGGAAGAGTCTCGAGGCGGGGAGTCTGCAGGGGCGAAACGGCTAGCTTGCGATGTGGCTAGGAGGGAGGGGAAGCGGTGAGCTCTCAGACGCACTCAGTTTATCTTTGGCCGCTGCATGCGCCTCCCCATACTTCGAGTTGCACGGGAGGATGCGGGGCTGCAGCAGCTGCTGCTGCTGCTGCGGCAGGAGGTGCAAGGCTGCCGCAGCAGCGGCATCCAGATTGAGGAAAGACGCCACGGGATATGTGTCGAGACTGCATGCGTGACAGAGGGTCTCATCGGACGCCAGCTGCATGCACCACAATGCGCATCCGACAAGCATCATGGAGATCCTCCTCATGCCTGCAGCAGGGCATGGCAGCGGCAGCTAGCCACTTGCAGGCACACACGGTGCAGAGAGCTTTCTTCCCGAGATCTCGTCGAAAGGCTCACACTCCAGTACGAGATGAGGGCAGCAAGGGCGGAACACGCCGTTTCCAAGCGCAACTCCCTGGCAGCCGCAGGCTTCAGAGCCGCAGAAGGCATCAAAAAGGCGAGATCCTGATTCAAAGTAGCCGCTAAAATAAATATACAGATAGGTAGGTTGGTAGGTATAGGCAGGCATACATACGCACACACACACATGCACACACACACACACGCATACATGAATACATATATATATATATATATATATATATATATATATATATCACATGTATCCTCTGTACGATGCCTGCCATGATTCCTTCTGGGGGGAAAGCCTGCTGCTATCGCCAGAAGAAATCCCGACGTGGCAGCGGGGCGAAGAGAAGATGCAGAAAAGGAGGCAGGGAAGGACAGAAGGGAGCCAGCCATAACAGCAGCAGAGCGGAAATCTGCAGCGTGCTGCAGAGCCAGCGGAAACACCTTACTTGAAAACAGCGTCCGCTTCGCCTCGAGCAGCTCAGCCCCTACTGCATGCACAACGTACGGCAGACGCCTTTGCCAAGGGGCAGTGTCTCCCGAAGGCACCAAAACAGAGACGGCACCAACCTGCACGGAGACATTTCCAGCACAGCACTATGCACAGCTTCATGCCGGGAGGCCTAAAACAGCAGCCTTTAGAGGGTTTGTTTGCAGGTGTGCTCGGAGTTTCTCCCCAAAGCATTGGCAGTAGTTGTTACTCGCACCAGACGCAGCGACAGCCTGTAGGAGGGGCTGCGCATTCTATGGACTCTCCGCTGTATGTATGTGCACCCTCTGCCTCGCCTGACCATCCCCCCCCCTTCCACCCCTCCTAAGCAGATTCTCTTCCCTCTCCCCATGCAGAGCGTCGTTCAGCTCTGCGAAAGGATCAGAGAAGCACGTCAGGCGATGCGGTAAAGGGCATACACGGGAGAGTGCCTACGGGTGCCCTGCCGTGTACGCCCTTTCCCCGCGCATTGCGTTTCGAGCTACCTGCATGAGGATAGCCTCGATGGACGTCAAGTGGCTGTCACTGGAAAGCTCAACGACGTGGAGGGAGGGGCGGCGAGGGTCGAAGACTGCCAGTCCCACGCGAAGGCCAGAACCTGATGGCTGAGGTCGTGCATTAACGGCGCACAAGACCGCCTCATTGCAGCTTGTCGAATCATCTTGCGCCGCGAAAGGCGAATCTGAGGAGGGGGTGAGGGACTGCATGGAACGTACGAGGCGGTACGCAGTGTATGAGCGAATGCTCGCTTACACACAGGGAAAACCTTTGCTATATGTATACGTATATACGTATGTGTATGCACCAGTCAAACAGGAAGAAGGAATCGCGCTTCGGATATTGTGAAAAAACTGCCTATAAGCCAGTGGAATCCCCAGGGCTTCGAGCTCCTGGCGCTCAGTTGGATTTGTGTGTTTCCACACAGTCCCAGCACGGGGAGGCCAACAACCGGGTGGTTGTGAACTAAGGCTGTCTTCTTTCAATGAGGGAATATTCAGATTAGGCCTCCTGAATGCGTTAAAGGGTATTTTGCCATGCTTAAATGCATGCTTCTCGAAATTACAGTGTGTTTTAGACATAAGCTTCTCTCTACTTGGAGAGAGCAATTCGCCGTGGGGGGGGCCACGCATGCGTGAATGCGTGAGCCCCCACTGCAGCCAAATAACGAAGGGGAAAGCGCCGAAATTACTTTTTTCGTTCCTGCAGTGTGCTGCTCTCTGACTTCTTTCCCTTCAGAGATACCAACCGCGATTGGTGCCGAACCTACCTGCGCTGGTGTCTTCCTGGGCAGCTTGCACGAGCCTACAACCGGAGCCGTGTAACACTGCTCGAAACACTTTACGACGCTCCCTGGTTTAAGCCTGTAGTACGAGCTTTGAGCTCTACTGGGCAGCGCTTGCGGGACGCCCTAGCGGTAGATGCAATTTCCCTAGCCGAGCCACACAAGTAGGTGTCCTTTCTACTCTGCTAAAGGGAAAGTGTAGCCTGCAGAACGACAGCAACGAAATGCAGGATAGGACGTGACGCGCAACAAATGATGCTCAGTGAAGTCCAACGGGGCGCGTTCCCCCTTCCTTCTAGCGTGGCTCTCACCCTGAAGAACCCTGCACACCGAATAACTTCGATCAGAGTTCTACTATGTTTAGGCGGTCCAAGACCTAGCAAATGGCATAGCGAACAGTAGTCCCCATTTATAAGCATCGCACGACAGCAACACTAAAGTTGTTCTTCTGAGCTGCCTCAATGTTTGCAATTTGCCCCCATCGCCCACCCCCACCCCCACCCCTCGTGGCTTATAGACCCCCCAGCCGATGCTTCTAATCAAAGCATTGCGGGTGGAGTGGAAAGTGCCTCTCCGCGCAAGTTGTTTTTTTTCCTTTGACAGAAAGAGAGAGACGGACACCCGATGTGTAGCTCCGCTAGGAAAGTTGCGTATACCACTATCCCCAGTGCTTCGCTCGCACCATTTTCCCATCCTATTCCATGCGCACCCCCTCTCACTCTCCTCTATACCTCAAACGAATGGGGAGAATCCCGCCCGATCGCCACTACCCGGCCGCCAGAAACGCGAAAAACACTGCACCAAAACTTTTGGCCTGGCTCGCTCCACATTGCATTTCCGTCTTTGCCTTGAGATACCCCAGGCCCCAAGCAAACCCTTATCACCCCTAGCCAGCCCCCCACCTTTTGATGGAAGTGTTGAGGAGGCCGATCTCCAGGCTACCAGGGTACAGAGCGGTAACATCCCACGAATTAGACTTTGTGGATATTGCCGTCGCGGACCACTTATCGCCTGCCGCGCCTCTCCTGCGTTGAATGTGATCGCTCGACAGCGTATGCTAAAAAACAGCGACCCCCCATATCTGCCAGCCCTACGCGACAGCAACCGCTGCCGCCGCTAGCATTTCTCCTGCTGCCGTTGGTGCTGTGTCTACAACCACCAACATGCATGCAAAAGGGCTCCTTCATGGGCAGCGCAGGGACGCTTCGCACTGCGTTGCCCAAGAACCTTGGCAAGTTCCAGCGGCAACGCGCACCAGCACGCGCTCGTCACACAACGCCTCCTGCAGCAGCAGCATCACCTGCAGTCGCACCGGAAACAGCCAAAGAAGACGCAGAAACGTCCACCACAAGCGCCGCGGGGACGCGCCAAAGGGTATGCAAAAAATCCATCAAGCAAATTTGTAGAGCCCCCAGCCTATCCTATGCAAAAATCGTCCTGCTAAGATTACATCGCTTACCTGCGGGACTGCCTGCCGCAGCTTGTCGCACTGACTGCATCGCAGTGCCAGCCACCGAAGTGCCTCAAGAGACAGCAGCCGCAGTAGAGGGCGCCTCTCGCACAAAGCCAGCAGTAGCAGTGCATACAGAAGCAGGAAACCGTGCTGCTGAGGAAAGCAGAAGCCCTCTTCCAGATGCGAAGTAAAATGTGTACGACGCTTCGATACAGACTGGGTCTGCTGCTGCAACAGCCGCAGCAGCAGCAGCAGCCAAGATGCAGTAAACCCCTCTGTTAAAGAGAACAGGAATGCTGCTGCTGCCTCCGTCACAAGGCCCGTCTGCCGCTGCCCATGCTCATCCTCTGCTGCTGCTTCACTTGCCGTAAATGAACTTGTGGCGGCAGGAGGTGTGCTCTGCCGCTCCGGCTGCTGCTGCTGCTGCTGCTCCCCGTAAACTGGAGGAAAAGCGATTGGGAAGCCCGCTGCAGCAGCGATCGTAACGGCAGCGGCAGCGGTGCCTGCAGGCATGTGCTGCCTGCGTCGTACGAAGGTGTGAATTAGGTGCTGCTGCTGCACGAAGAAGCAGCATCCCCAGCCAATAACCAGCTCAAGCAGTCCGAGGGCCCCAGTGGATGTCACGTGTGGCTCGGCTTGAATGAGTTCTTCCAAGCCGCTCGTGCTGCTGATGGAGGACGCACAGGCCGCGGTAAGGCAGCTCATCAGAGGCAAGAAGGCTGCAATGTCGTGCTGCTGCTGCTGCCAAGTCTGCGCTTGGGGTTGCTGCTCGGAAGCCAGTGCATAAAGTACATGAATGCCTCCGTATGGAGGCTCCCAAAGGCGCTTTTCCTCGTCTTCTGCTGCAGCTGCTGACAAGGCGGAGGCAGCCAGAGCCGCAGCGACAGTGGCTGCAGCGGCAGCTGTACAGCGAGGGTGCAGTACCTCAAGACAGAAGCGAGCGGCGGCTGCCCGCTTCACGTGTATCTGCCCCTCAGCGAACGGCTGCTGCAGCGGCTGCAGTTGCAGCTGCTGCACGCTGTCACAGCTAGTCCCCCAAGGCCGCCCTTCAGGCACGGCTGCGAATAGCGGCTTCCACGCGTTCGTGGAGCCTTTTGGGCTGCTGGATTTGTTTCTGTCCCTCCACCTGCGAGTGGAGCTGGGAGGCTGCGCGGCTAAAGCGCATTGCAGCAGAACATCTGGTAGCAGCACTCCCACTGCGCGAGCGGCCACCCACTGAGCAGCGCATGAGCAGCCGGAGCTACGCGGAGATCCGCTGGCAGTGTTGCCGTCGCTGCTGCTTCTGCGGCCCCTCGGCTTGGGGTCGAAAGCATGCAGCAGCAGGGATTCTAGTGCGCCTTCGGCGACTTCGTCTCCTCTGGTGCTGCTGTGATTATAACGGCATGCCCACAAGCCGCTGAGTGCAGCACCCTGCAGCAAGCCTGCCGCGCGAGCAGCAAAGGCATTCACGCCTCGTGCATCAGGAGATGCGAGGCTGGACCCCTCGCAGCTGCGGCAACATCTGCATCGGCTGCTGCAACAGCATTCCCTGGTAAGCTCTGCTGCAATGTCGTGAAGCAGGGCCAGCGTTCTGTCGTTGTTGCTTTCCAACCTGAGGCGCTGCACCAGAAGCTGCAGCACTGCCAAGGCATCCCGCTGTAGAACAAGGCTCCTTGCCGCTGTGGGGAGACCTCCTGCTCCCGCGAATGCTGCCGCGCCAGCAGACAGCATGCGGACTACCCGCCGCAGCTGCTCAGGAGGCAATGCGCCGCAGCAAAATAGAACGCACTTCTGCAGAACCTGCTGCTCGATGCATGTGTCCCATCCGCTACTTCCCAACGAGCCACCTGTGCTGCTGACTCGTGGCGGAGCAGCAGCAAGCGCAGCTGGCAGTAGTACAAGGAGTGCCTCCTCATGCAGCGCCTCCTGCAGCAGCGCCCTTGAAAAATCCGCAGTAGCTGCTTGCTGGGGTAGCTGCAGTAGCAGATGATGGACTAGCAACTGAAGCGCGTTTATTATGCCCGCATGGCCCTCTGCTCGCTGCTGCGTCTGCAGCTGCACATGCTGCTCCTGCTGCAGCTCAATATGCGCAACCGTAAGAGCCCTCAGCACGGCCATCAACCTGTTGGTGCCTACTAGCTGCAACAAGCACGCAGCAGGAGTTGGAGTGTCGCGGGGTTGCTGCCGTTGCTGCTGCGTTATTGTCGTGTATATACACAAGGCGCTGGAGAGTGCGTCCACTGCGGAGGCTACGAGGCGTACTTTACCGGCAGCGTCAGAACCGCCAGAAGTCAGCGACCTCTGCTGCTGCAGAAGGCCAACGGCACTGCAAAACGTGTTACACAGTTGTTGCAGCAAAAGCTCGGGGAGTCTTATGGCCAGCCACTTTTGCTGCTGCGCTGACACCGCAGTGGTGTTCCATCGGCCTATGAGGACGCAGCTGCACCCGAATGCAATCTCCGCTGCAGCTTCTGCCGGTAGACACGCGTAAATGGGAAGCTGCGGGTATGCCTGATGCTGGTTCTCGCTGCGCGTGCAGTCTTGAACGCCTTCCGCTGCTCTTGAGACGGCGCTCAAGACTCCCTCCGCGACAAGACGCAGCAACAGCTGCGACTGCTGCTCTGGCTCGTCCTGCAGCTCCAAGGATCCCGTAGTAAGCAGAATCTGCTGCAGCGACCTCACACAACAGGCGTAAGGGCTGCCACCAACTCCCTTTCTTGCCGCATCCTCCACGATACCACGGTCCGTAGCGGTGCTTGCAGCTGCACTTGGCTCGCTGCTGAGGACTTCCGCCAGCGTTGTTGAGCTGCAGAGAAAAGTCGTTCTGCGGTGAAAAGAAGCGGCACACTCCTGCAGCAGCTCCTGCAGCAGGAGGCGCTGCGCGTCCCTCCGATCATCGATGCTCGCATGTGCATCTGCATGAGCTGCTGCTTTGCAGTCTGCCGCTGGCAACGACGGAGGTGGCGGCGCGACAACAAACCCCGAAAGGATAGACAACACGTAAGCGGCTGCTGCTGCCCCTGTTGCGCCCACTACTTCTGCGGAAGCAACCAGGCCCATGAGGCAGAGCAGCAGCATCAAGGCATCAGGGGATTCAGAAGCCAGCGCAGCTCCTCGAAAGAGCAGGAGTTGCAGGAGGAGCTGCAGCAGCTCTTGCAAGCACTCCTGCAGCTCCTGCCGCAGCCGCGGCGTAGCGCCTGCTGACTGCATGCAGCCGCTCCCCTGCGCTGTGCCCAACAGCTGAGAAAGCATCAGCAAGCCGCCCTGTATCTGCATCTTCTCATCGAGACTCAGATCGCTGCCGCTGCCAACGCCTGTGACACCCTGTGCGACTGCGCTTGCGAGCCACGGCAGACTCACCGCAAGCGCAGAAAGGCCACCCTCGGTACATATCTCGTCGCACTTGCTGCTGCGGCTGCTACGATGCGCCTTGTCGGTGTCAGGAGGGGCTCGAGGTGCTGCCGCTGCTGCTGGTTGTTGCGCATGTTCTTCGTTTTCCTGCCGCCGCTGCTGCCACTGCTGCTGCTGCTGCATTTCCGAGACCCCTGCCGTTCGGAGGATCTGCTGCATCAGCGGCAAGCCGGCGAATTTAAGGCAGCAACAGCTACTGACGACGCCTGCCGCCGCCGCTTCCAGCAACAGGTGCAGCATGCACTTGCTCGTGTCGGAGGTTATATGCTGGAGCTGCAGCAACGGGCTAACCAGCGGGAGAAGTAGCTCCTCGGCCTGCTGTACAGACAGCGGCTCTTCGTCTTTCGAGTCCTCCGCACGCTGCTGCGCGCGCCTCAGCACCAGCGCCCAGATGTCTACGCTTTCCAGAGGCAGCAGTTCCTCCGCCTGCTGCTGCTGCAGCTGCAGCAGGAGGGGCCCCAGCTGTAGAGCGGCAGTAGCGGCAGCCGCTGGGGTGTAGCGTGGCAGGCACGCGGCAAGCGAGCCTACCGCCTGTTCCATCACTTTGCTGCCACCGCTCCCACTGCCGCTGCTGTTGTTGCAGTCCTCAATGAGCGACGGAAGGATGTCTGCCAAGAGGCTTAGGACGGGAGGTCCAAAGCGCGACGTCGCACCAGCAGCGTCGTTGAACGCAGCCGTGAGATCCGCCTCTGACAGGCACACAAAGCATGCAAGACACAAAAGAGCGCAGAAACTTGACCGTGGCAGTCCGAAGCACAACATGCAGCACGGCGGCATCCGCCAGACGGTTGCCGGCTCCCATCACGCATGCATGCACGTATGTACAAGGGGCGAGAAAACAGCTTGGAAAGCGCGCACAGGCACCAAAAGAGAGACCAGTTTGCTTCAGAAAGCACCGTATCAGGAAGGGGAACGCACAAAAACACACAAACAAACACAAACAAACAAACAGAAACAGAAACAAACACATACAAACAAACACATACAAACACACACATACAAACACACACACATACAAACACACACACATACAAACAAACACATACAAACACACACACATACAAACAAACACATACAAACACACACACATACATACATACATAGATATGCGGCCACGTGCCAGGAAGAACGCGGGAGGCTGCGTACCGGTTACCAGAGCGGCAGCATTAGGAGGCGGCGTGAATGACACCGGAAAGTATGCCATAAGAAGATCTGCGACGGCTTCTAGCTCGTTTTCGCGCAGCAGCTCTCCGTATGTACACCCCAACTCTTTGATAATTGCGAACAGCAGTAGCAAGCAGCGGGGGTCTCGCTCCCCTTCCAGCTGCCGGCAAATGTCTAGAGCCAGCGGTTCTCGCTCCAGCGCACTCTGCACTGCGTCCACACACTTTTGCAGCAGCAGCAGCAGCAGCTGCAGCAGCTGCTGCCGAGTGGGCTGCGCAAAAGAAGGCGCATGCACCTGCTGCAGCACGCACCGCAGCATGAAGAGCCCGACCGTGCAGTCTTCCGTGCAGAACTCGCGAACGCTATCGGCGAGGGTGTTGTTCCCGTTGCTGGAGCTGATTTTCGGCAGCTGCAGAAGCAGCAGCTCCTGCGAAGAACGGGCGATGGCGAGACAGCAGGCTGCCCCCCCCTCAGTGCCCTGCCAATCCGTGAAATATTTGCTGCTACAGAGCAGCAGCAACTGCCAGAGCGCATCCTCTTCAGCGAGTCTCCCCCCGCCGCTTCCACCCATGCCGCCGCTGCTCGGGGCACTATGGGTAGCGGCCTTGGTGGCTGTGCATGCACTGCTGCTTGCCTTAAGTGGCAACTCTGGCATGCGCTGTAGAATCTGCGCAGGCAGTGTTGCTGCGGCATTTCGGGTGTGCGCAGCCTTAACGTAAGCAGAGCAGTCCTTTGGAGTTGCGACTGCTGCCGCTTCGGCTGCCGCTGTTGCGTCTGTTGCTGTCGTGCCTGGCGCGCTGCTGCACCTCTCGATGCACTTCAGAACTTCCAGAAAAGACACATGTCCCCTATGCAGGTGCAGCAGAAGCGCAGTAAGCGCAGCTTCCTGCACTTGGCTGGTGGCCGCTGATCCTACCACCGTGGAAGAACCAGCGGCAGCAACATCAGGCGAGCAGAGGGAGCGAACGCTCGACGCCGGCTCACTTGGAGACAGGTATGCCGCAACTGCCTCTTCTGGAGTTACCGCATCAAATCCCACATGCTCCTTCGTTGCCTTCTCTCTTGTGGACGCCTCGGCTGCTGGTTTAGCCGCGACTCCGCGTGTTGCCGATGTCGCTCCTGCTTGCGGTGCTGCTGCTGCTGACGCTGATGACTGTCCCGCCGCAGATTCCTGCGCCTGCGCTGCATCGGCAGCAGCAGGAGATGAAGATTTCGCCATGCTTTTCCGTGTAATTCTCTGGGTGAAGGGGGAAGAGCAGCAGCAGGAACAACAGCGGCGGCGGCAGCAGCAGCAGCTACTGCTATTGACGAGCACGTGCAGTGCATTTATCGTAAGGAAGAAGAGCACATATCTTAAAGAAAGAAGACTTAGGCTCTTATGTCTAAGCCAGAAGAGCTACACACACATGACGCAAGCGAAAGCCCCGACCCCTGCCATCTCAGTTGCTGCTCCACGTACTGTATCGTCGATTGAGGGCAGCGGCAGCAGAGACTCAGAGCATGCCCTCTCGTAGCCTCCTTTTTTTTGTTCAAGTGAGGTCAACTGCAGCTACTGAGCCTCAACTACCGGTAATTATAATTAGAAGTATTTGATCGGCAGTCCCAGCAGCGGCCGCCGCTGCCTTCTGGGGCGGCCACTGCTACTGCCGATTTTTGCAAAACTTTCGCCGCCAACAGCACTAATCGCAACCTCTCTCTACAGCTGCAACAGCCGCAGGTGCTGAGCTGCCACAGAGTGGACAACGCGGCGATTTCCACTGTTGTTTCGTTGCCCCCGCTGCTGCGCTGAGGAGCGCGCCAACTGAGGCTCGAGCAGCGGCAGAAACCGCAGAAACCCTCCGTGCAAAGGCAGCTTTCACACCAGCAGCAGCTTCAAGAAGAACATCATCACCAGCGCAAACTGCGCCATGAACAACCTGGACGACACACATTTGTAAGGGCAACTTTCGGACTCCGTAGAGATGAAGCGTTCAATGCAACTCGTCAAGTCGGCGCTGCGAGAACAGCGCATGACCAGCAAATCCAAGAAAATCAAAAAGTCGCAGGAGCATGACCCAACCCCGCATAAACAGGGAAAGCATCGGCAGAATGCCCCCCAGAAACAATCGGAGCAACAGCCCGCGGAACTTCAAGAGGTGCATCGCGTTGCGGACGAATGCAGGCAGGATTCCGTAAGGACCTTTCCGCTGCACATTTTTCAACCCGCATGCTAAACCGTGCTTTTTCTGCCTTGCATCTGCACACTTCTGAATTTGCAGCCGCAAAGCTGGGGTTTTGTCGCGCGTCGTTTGAGCTATGCCTTCGTTGCCGCTGCGTTGCAGTTGCCAGATCTTTGTATGCCTGTCTTCATCTTTGTGGCGTGTCTGCTCCTTTTCGCATGGAGCTGCAGCGCAGCAGTTGAAGGGACGCACCTTACGGGAATAGTGCTGGAAGGTTCAGGAATTTTCCTGTTCACGTTACTGCTCTTTGCATGTTTCCTTTTCATGCATTTTTTGTTCAGCAAAAAGTGCGTTACGTACTGTTTGTGGGGAACCTGCCACTCTCTGCCTCAGCAGACGAAGTCCGGTCCTTTTTTGGCCGTAAACTCCGTAAGGCAATGGATTCCGTAGGCGGAGGCCTATCATACGGACCTTCTAGTTTAGGATGTCTTTTTAGGCGTACAGCTTGCGCCCGAGACAGTTCACGCGTGTTGTTTTCTGAATGGCTTTCTCCTGTATTCTCGCTTTACCCCTGGTATTCTGATGGGCTTAAGAGTTTTCAAGTTTTTCCGTGGTGGACGCAGAATACTGTGCATTGCGATCATTAAGATTCAATGTACTAATGCATGCAATACTGTTTGCCCATGCAGCATCAGTGAGCCAATGTGGACAGCTGACCGCCATGCTGCGAAGACGCCTGTTCTCGTGATAGACGAGTGTAGTCTCTCTTTTTCGTTTATGTGAAGCGCCGTACTGCAATGGCCTGTTTTTGTGTGCTGTTTTCCACCATAGAACTCTTTATAAAGGATGTCCGACTGCTAACCGACAAACAGACGAAAGCACCAAAAGGGTGCGCTTTCGTGGAGTTCAACAACAAAGATGCCCTGCAGGTACTCATTTGCAAATATTTCTTAAAGGCATTGAGTAATAGCATTTGTGGCGTTTCGGCGCACGAGGTTATTTGGGCACTGAAATCGGACAATTCAAAGGGTTGTAGCGATCGACTGTATGATGCATTTCACACGGTTTCGGATCTAACTAACAGTGAGCATTGCACGCCATTATATGTTCGATGCTCACCGTCATTCGTGTTGTCATTACGTCTGCAGATTGCACTGAATTATGACGGACGGACCCTCGGTGAAAGGAGAATCAGAGTCGAACTCACTGCCGGAGGGTGCGGCTTCAGTTGATACTAATCGCACTATTCGATTGCGTGTATTATGCCGTATGGCAGGCAGACTTCTTGACACCAATATATTCCAGCTTTTTACTGTTTAGTCAGGCCTTTTGGTCCGAAACAATGCAGTTACTTCTCATGTGTTTCACGCAGTGTGCTTCTCTGTTGGTTTTCAGTGGCGGGAAGTCGAAGAATAGAATGGAAAAAATCAAGAAGAAGAATGCAGATCTGCGAAAACGCCGGGCAAGTGCTAACTACGTGCCGCAAATCTGTTTGTCTGCGAGGGCCTTATTTTATGCATCAACACGTACAAGCTTGGTTTGATTGAGGGAAGAGGAAGAACATGTGTTTTGGAGGTATTATTCGCGCCTGCTTCTTTGTGCTGCAGGCAGACCTTAAGAAAAAGAAGATAATGCAAGAGGAAACTGACGGTTCCACACAGTCTCCCACATTTGATACACCCAGGAAAAAGCGTCCCGCGAAAATGTGTTTAGAGGGCAAACAGAAACGCAGGAAGTAGACCACTGCAGCACTAATGTTGTTGTTTATGCACTTCAGAAAAGAAAGAACCGAAGCTTTTAGAGAGGGATTTAGGAACACGCAGCACGCTTTCCATGGTCAGTGTCATAGGGCACTGTGCACACAACTCATAGGCTACCTGCGAATCGGAGGCATATGTAGGATGGTCCTTATACCCTCTACTGCAGATTCTCGGTAGCGTTTTTCGTAAACCACAGCTAAGAGCTGTTAAATTCTTCAAGCTGTCGGAGCAGCAGAAGCAAACTCTAATGATGAGCGGCAGAGGACGGTGGAGGGCCAGCCTAGACGCAAATATATAGTAGATCCGTTGCATCTGTCCAGGCAACACTACCTGGCTACGCCATTGATATGTACTTGCGGTATTCATTTAACTATTTGGGTGTATAGATAGTTAACGTGAAATAGGGGATCCAAAAAGCATTACAGAATGGAAAGCGCAGCCTAGCCATAAACGGGAAAAAAGGAATGACGCCTGTTTTTCAGTATGGCTTTGCCTCGTCAGCTACCGCCGTACAGTGCAAGCTCAACGTATCAGTATACCTGTGCCTTGGAGTCCTCGCTAGAAATTTGGATACACTAGCTGCTTGATAATCTTCGTCGTGGCTTGAAATGAGTAGAGGAGCGTAGAACGCGCCTACTAAAATAAAAAATATTATGGTGGCCATAGTTCGAGAAGCTGGGTTACATTTTGGCGGCTTTTGGTGCACCTGTTTATTCAATTAGGATTTAGCAGAAAGTTGGCAAACTAGTTTGCCCGTTCGTCAACCTTGCACAAATTCGAAGCAGACTAGCTGTAGCACGGTACAAGACGCAATGTACGTGCTATGTGCTGTGTGCACCTAGCTGTGAATGCTTCGACTGCTACGAGGAAGGAGCTGCGCTCATCCTCACTGTCGTTTCTTCCCTATGCCTGAACCCTGAGAAGTAAAGGCATGAAGAAGGGGCAGATCTACCGGAAGGTAACTTTCTGCCAGGCTCTGGAGTGAATCCGCCAGCTAAGCGCCTCCCTACGAAGAGCTTGTGTAGAGCTTCACAGGCCCGAATAGGATTCAATAAATGCGTACGCGAAAATAACGCTGTCGGGTGTAGCAGCCCGTGAGCGCACGGCGGTCCCCATGTCTTTTTGCGACGAAAAATGATGCTGAACAGACACACCTAAGGCAACGGGGTCCTTTTCTTGCCACTATTGTAACCTGGGTGCTGGGTTGCTGCTGCAACGTGCGCAGCTCCGATCTCCGAAAACGAGTGCTGTCCCATATGCAGGCAACAACTGCACACACGTTTGCTTGTACAGATGTATCTGCACCACTGAACGTGCACATTTACCCTCCTCACCGAAGAGTCCGGTGGCTCATTTTTTCTTTCTGCTTTGCTGAAGCTGTGCGTGAGAAAAATACTCATACCTCCGAGTCGGTTCCCACACATTTATGTGACATTGGGTCTGACCATTTGATGGAAACGTCCATAAGGGGTGTTTATGATGTGGCAGAACGTCTCACCTCCGCGGCGGCTGGAGGCCGCCGCATCATGCTTCGACTAGCACATTAAACCCAGTATTGCCCAGCTGTAGTCAAATCTGAGCCCTTATTCTCCGTGGCAGCACATTTTGCTAGCGCAAAGATTGACAGGATAATCCATTGTATTCGCTTCGCAGGGTCCACGCTTTGGGACCAGCTAAAGCTAAGGCAAATGCAGCTGGGCATCAAAAGGAGGGATAAGCGAAAATTATCATGCGGCTCCACAAACCTCATGGGCGTTACAGCTATTTTATCTGCAGCGACACACGCCTGTATCTGCATAGCGATGGATGATCCAGCATGACCGCGTAGTAGGCAGTAATATACTTGAAGAAATGAAATGGGAGCCGACGGGCCCAGGAAAGCACAACTACGAAGTCGAATGCTTTCTTAATCTCAGATGAGAAGGGCCTGAAACTCTAGCAAAGGCCTCTGTAATGAGCCCGTTACAAGCGGTGCCCATGTTAATGGCGGATGCCGCGCTTCACTTGCGCATAGCAGCTGCGGGTTAATGAACTAGGTGCCGCATGCAGAAATAGCAATCTCAGTACTGACTGCCCATCTGTGATAGAGGAACGAATCAACCAGTGGGTTGAGGAGCCTTTCGCCGCCTTCCGGTCGACCTATTTGGACTATCTATCGGAATACAACTAGCAGGGAAGTTACGCGCCGTTTGGGTCAGTGCACAATTCAGCCCCTGACCCTGATCGCGTTTGCCCTTGGTCCTTTCAGTCCACACTTGTGACAGAGACGGCTGGGATGTCAGTGGAAGTAGGAGTGCTGGATCCGCTGGAAGAGCTGTTTCTTTCAGAACGCACTGCTCCACACTCAGAATGCTTCATACAATCAGGCACGGGAATTCCTCGGGCCTCCATGAGGCTGCGTAATAAGGAATGCTTAAAACAACGTAGACCCAGCTTCCAGTCAAAACCATGAATTTCCTTTACATCAATCTTTATCATGAACTCCACAATCGCCGCGGACAGAACCTGCAGTCCAATTGCAAACACCACTGAGCTCATGAGCGAAGCAGCCTGAAAACTGACGCATATCACTTCACATTAGAAGTACATAGACGGCAAGATCTGACATTTGAAAGCGCTAATCATTGCAATACAAAGCTGAAACTCACTTGACCGGGCACGGAGATAGGGAATCCAGGGGGATACGGGATGATGAAGGTGCTTCCGACGAGAGTGATGCCTTCATTAATGAGCTTTAGTGCTTCTTGGAGCGTGTGGTATTCCACGTTTTCCTCATCGTAGCTCAAATAAAATGGCTCCCGCACATCCCCATCACGGATATACATTTTGAAATTTGATTTGCTGTCTTCACGGCAGACGGGGGGAGAATTCGCAGTGTCAGGAGTGACGGCCGACTGGTTGGCTTCAAGGTTTTCTGGCTTTTGGTTTGCCTTGCCAGTAATCATTTGTGCAGATTGGCTAAAAGCACAGTGGAATCCGGAGAAGTCAGGCAAAGCCGGGCAGTCGCGAACAATCCAACTAATATGTTGCTGAAGCTCCTCCAGCTCGCGACGGCTGCTAAGCAGTCGGCGCATTTCAAGTTCCTGACATACACAGGGCATACATTTGCCGTTCCGTTCTATAGGCCAACTGCGTTTTTTAACAAACCTCGAGTCCACGCAGTACACGACACACATGATATCTAGTCGAAGTAATTAAGTTTTACAGTACGTCGAAGGCAACGTGAAGTGGGAATGCACTTCGTCAACACCACCACCGGCTAAAAGCGGCCTTCCTCCCGTACCTGCGCACAGTGCCGGATGCAGCTTCTCAGGAAGATGCAGGAAGACCTCGTCGTGCCAATATTTGTCATGAACAATACGCTGTTGCGGGAAGTTTTATTGATCTGCACGCCGTATTTGTCCATCAGCCATTTCACCTTAAACGTTTCGCCGTCCAGGCCAGAATTCCTGCATCCCTCAAACCGCACCAACACGGCCTCATGATAGAAAAACGGCCAAGAGCAAAAGCAGCTCCCTTGGACTGTTGGCAGCTAGTCCGATGCTATGACATTACTACACAGAAAGTGTGTCAGCATTGTGAAAGGAACGAGGACGCTAAGCCAAGCCATGTCCTCACCCGGTGTACAAAGTGATTCGAGTTGGGTCTAAAACGAATTCGTCATCGGATAGCCACACTTCCTCTAGAGTTTGGACGTTCATCTGCTCGTTGGCCAGTCCACTCAATGAACTCTCTTGCAATGAACTCTGGCGAAGGCTGGCCGGAACCATGTCGTGAGGTCCAAGAATCTGCACCAAGGAGAAACACCAATCATTGATCAAACAACCCGCACACCTCCAGCAGAGAACAGCAGAATGCAAATCGGTTATACAGACCTTCAAAGCAATGTTTGCAGCAATGTTTGCAGCAATGTTCATGCGGAGTGTACCCTGAAAAACTTGGAGACGAAGGAGTCCTTGCCAAGGGCATTGCGGATGAGGAACGCTGCTTCCAGCTGGCGCTCCACAAGACCGTAGCCCTCGAGTTCCATTTGCGACCTTCCAACATCCAGCGTGGCCAGTATCTGGTAGTTGGGAGATGTTGACATGTGCGTGTAATAGCTCTCTTTAAAGGAGGTGTGCACGTGTGACTCAAAGAGGTCGTCGTTCACCAGCACCATGGAACCCTGGCGAAGGGAGGTCAAAGACTTGTGCGTAGATTGAGTTGCGTATACGCGCACTTTGAGTTTCCTGGGGTTGGGGTAAAGCCTTCTGGACAGCAATGCGTCTGGATCCGCTTCCTCCAAAGACGACACCTTGAGGGTGTCCAAAAGCGCGGCGTGCAGATGGTGGTACTTCCTTTCCATTAGCTGAAAACAGGAGGGCAGCGCAATCACGTGCTTGTCTAAAAGAGGGGGATGTCTGTTCAGTGCTTGCCACTTGTATGCACAATAACGGTCTATTAGAGAGCGACATATTGCTCTGAAACACAGGAACGAAGCGTCAAATAAAGCTAGTTGAAGCAGAATATGTTGCAGTTTCCCCGTGGTACTCTGTCAGCTAAGTTCGTTCGGAAAAAAACGCAGCCCCCAAGCCAGAAGCACCTCTCTCCTGATGGAATTTGCACAGTGCATGGCTGTGCGCGTCTTGAGGATCGGATGAAAGCCAGCGTAGGCGAACCAGGCCTCGTCGAACAAAAAAATTAAATCGGGCTTGATCGCCAGACACTCCTCTATGAGCCTCTTCACGTTATATACAATGCCATCAAAGGTGCAGTTCGTGATCACTAAGAGGCGCACGTCGCTCAAACGGCCAGCGCTCCTGTACGCCAACAGAGTTTTCTTAATGTTGTGCAGCGTCACGCCCCCATACATGGAATAATCATGCAGCGGATACGCATCTAAGTAGCAAGGCCGTGCTCCAGCGAGGACAAGGGCGTAGTGGTGGCTCTTGTGGCAGTCACGGTCAATCAGCACGACGTCGTTAGGACGCGTTAGAGCCTGAGCAGGCACAACAGGAGGTGGAACTGAGATAAGTGACAGACTCTCTCGCGCGCGTTCCTCCAGCGGAAAAGAAAGGTAACACGAACGTTTTGGTGGACGTGGAAGACCTATCTGGCAGCCGGGTTTTATCCTAAGAAACAATCGAGAGCAGATGCTTCCTCCCCCAGGATGCTGACCTGGATGACAATCTTATTTGACGTCGAGGTGCCGTTGGTAACGAAAAACGCATAGCTTGCATCATACGCCCTGGCGGCTAGGGTCTGCGCTTCGAGAAGCGAACCGTGTGGGTCTAGAAGAGAGTCCAGACCCCCGCAAGTGGCGGAGCTTTCGGCTTTGAAAAGGGCTGTGCCGTAAAAGTCAATTAGAAATTGAATCCATTTGCTCCTGCGAACTGAGTTCCCTCTAGAGATGGCCAATGCATGAAAGACACCAATCGGGCGGTCTGCGTAGAGGCGCAAGGCCTCAAAAAAAGGGCAGCGCATTTTGCTCCGTACGCCCTCCAAGATCGCCTCATGCAAGTCTGAGTGATCATCGTTTGGGAGAAACGCGCGCTTCACAAGGTGATCCACGTGCTCGAGGGAAGCGAGGCCCATGCCGGTGCACACGCAGTAAATATCAACAGCGCGCCGGCACTGCTTCATGCTCCGCACTAGCGTCGGAATAATGGGAGCACCTAGTTTCATTTTGTTAATTGGGCCCTCGACAAACCGATCAATCCCACGTACGAACCCCTCAAGGCCAGAAAGCGACCGAGTCATGGGCAGCTCGATCGGCACGTTGTCTTGAATGCAGACAGCGAGAATTTCGGGGTTTACTATAACAGCCAATAGAGCCCTCTTGATGGTGTCCACCTCTACAATGCGGTATACCAGGGTCTTGTCGCCCGATTCTGTGCTTTGAATTCGCCGCAACTCGGAGGACAAGTTCATACGGTGATCATCCTTCATAAAGTTGAATGGAGGCACAACAACCAGCACGTAAAACATATGCTGCCGCCCCGCCATACTGCCTGCAACAATCCACATGCAACCGCAAGAGGCGAAACACAAGATGGTCTTACTTGCTCAAGCAAAGTGTTCCTCAGTTTCAGTCTAGTTCTTTTAAACCCGCATAGTTGGGCCAAAGGTGGAGGTGCATGGTCACCTCTCACTCAACACCCAAAGTAATCAGAAAGCGCACAAACTCCAGCCAGCCCCCGGCATGTTGCAGCATGCAGCGCTATCAGTTCTGGATATCTTGCTTCATGCCAACGCCATGGTTCTGCTTAAAACGTGCCGGAGCGATGAGAATAACCGCAGGAAAACACCATTTAAGCAGCAGCAAGAAGGGTCTGGCGGCATGCCTCGCCCCCCCTCCCAATGCGCAATTTTCCAAGTTCCCCCGTATCAGTGGGCCGCTCCTCAATCGCAGTTGCAAAATCTATCCGCGCACCCGTTACTGAAGACATGGAGCCGACCACCTTGCTGATTGTCAAGCTGGCAGAGTCAAATTTCCCGTCCTTCAGATCAGCGCGGACGCTGTGGACTTGCTGGACGCACTCCTTACCCCAGAACCACTCAATCTAGCGACAAGCACAGCAGTAACAATCACGCTTTGTGAAATAGATCATTGAGAGATCCGGCACATGTTGAGAGAATCGCGCACTCATGCTCACGGCAAGCAGCGACCGCCCCGACAGGGTAAGGGGCCCCCTTTCTTCGCTCCCGTAAGTGAAGACGAAGAAGCACAAATTAACGCTTTCTAACAGCTACGGCTTGAAGCCCTAAGAGGAAAGCACTTGCCACCAGAGCAGCAATCCGTCTCTCCCCACCTCTTCCAAGCAGTCTAGCGCGCCATCGACTTTCGACAAAGTGCGGGTGGCCACATGAGAGGCCATTGCCTGCCACAACTCTTCACGTAGCTGCGCAACATACGTTGTGTCACTCGTCAAAAAGTCTTCGGAGCTGCAGGTGAAGGTATCGGCCTTGAAAAGCGGCTGGCTATCTATCGTATCTTGAGATTTCAGCGGGAAATGTGCAGGCTGCGGCGGCGTTACGGTGCTGCCTCTGCGCGAGCTCCCAGACCTCATTAGGGAATCCACATCGAAGGGCTTTGTACCAAGAGGGCCAGAAGACGATGGAAGCGTCACCGTCATTTGCGAGGCGCGGCGTTCTGCACAGGCATTCAGCGTGCCCCGACGTTCCAACATGGTGCTCGCCTGCATTGCCGCAAATGCACAGAACAGCACCGCCAGTGTCGACATACTGTCTCAGCAGGTGCCATCGACATGTACAGCGCTTCTCGCGCAAATGGCGTGACACGTTGCCGTTCAGTTACATTATCCTACGCCGCTAGACGCCACCAAATGCATCTCAAAAGAGCATTTCCCCGCTAGAGCATTTTTTCATGCCTAAAGGCCACCACAAGCGGATCAAATGCGCAAGAGTGCGTCCTTTCTGTGCGCTTCAGTCAGTGCCCGATTGCGCCTGAAAGACTGTGCTGGTTCTGCTGCAGGGAACCATCCTGGTCAATCGGGCGTTGGTTGCTGGTCTCTCATGACAGAAAGCTTAAATACGTCAAACTACAGCCCTAGTGCAGTTATAGAGCTCGCCAGATCACTGCACTCAGGTCGCACACTGGAAACGCAGGAACAGGAGTATCGTGATTCTCATTCAAGCGCTAAAGCCACACAGATTCCATGGCGGGGACCTTGGTTCCCGGGGGAACGCGGGTCTGCGCAGAGCAATAGATGTCGAGCAGAAAGGTGCATTCACCTCTCGATCAAAGGTATCCATGCAAAATGTAGGAATAGGTGGGAGTGGAGCTCCAAAACCGCCGACAGCGCAACGGCTTCCGGAGCTGCAGCAGGGTGACCCCTCCATTTTGCAACTGCCTACTGTTCACCATGAGGTATCGGCGACACAATTAGCAGTTCTGAACGGAGAAGATGTGTGTACTGCCTCCGTTGCTGCCCTCAATGCCCTTATGGCAGACTCGGGAACGCGGTCACGACACAGGGCTGCGTGTGCGACCATCCCAAGCCACTACAAACTAACAGTAAGCCTAAAACCCACAAAAGAACCATCTCGGGTCCGAAATTGACTCAATTGATAGTTACAACTCTCCAGGAGCGCTAAAACCGCACAAAGAAGGGACTCTCGACTTACGTTACTTCCGCCTCTGGAGGCGGCGTTGCGGCACTGCCGTGGGCCCTGCCCTGTTCGATGAAAAAGTCCCGCGCAAAAAATATCTTGAATGAAGCGATGCTATTTTTCAATCTTTGGCAGTTGCAGGAAGAAAAGCAGAAAATTCCTCACGACTCCGCGGGTCCGAAAGCAGTTGCTAGCAGTTGCCGTTAGATGCTCGAAATGACGGGCTGGAACGATCATATGGGCGCTACGACGTAAGAATCTTAGGGTACAAGGAATGAGCAAATGCGCACCAAAATAATATTGTTTACATTGAATCGATGGTCGCTTAGGACCCATGGCGCTGGGTCAATGACGGCCGGCCCCCAGGCCTAGCACGCACACACCGAGAGAACTGCAAGCACCGACACACAAAGACAGGAAGCGTTAAAGCCTTCTTTCTCACGACCACCACGCCGTAGTCCCCTCACGACTCAGAATACAGACGCAAGCAAGATTGAATGAGCCATCAACGAATTTGATCTAGTTCAGGCGCGTCGATTGCCGCAGCTGAAGGGCGCCACTTTGACTACTTGGGTTTGCAAAATGACGGCGCTTCCCTACAAACATCTAATCTTCAATACTCTTTCTAAACTTTTGCACCAAGCGAGATGCATCGTGAGAGTGTATAACTCTACTGATAACCCAGAGATAAAACCCCAAAATAATCATCGCAAGCATTGACTAGAACCTCGCTTGGCCACACAAACAGGCTAGGATTTAGGGTTTTTGCTGCCCAAGCTCCAGAGTCCTATTTCATTCGTTGCAATATTTACTTACGAAAGCACTTGATTTGAGCCGGTTCGCGACAGGTAGCACAGTGAGGCGGCCTGGGCATGGAGGGGTTTCATGCACTACATGTACGCTCCCTTACTCAAAATTGGGAGCCTTTCCTGGTCATAAAGGTCAACGTTCCTAAGCAATGATTAATTGTGTCATATATGGCTAAGTTGCACCATAACACGTCTAGTACATTAGTTACAACATTCCCTTTGCCTTAGCATACACAAAACTCAGTACAAACTGAACATAGTGCTAGTAAGCGCTTCTCAAATGAAATCTTGCCTTCCCGTGCCTGCGCTTTTTTACTTACCGATTCACAAGGAGATATACTGCTAGGTTGAGCGTAACTACACGCCGTAAGCACTCCAAGTAGTCCCAGCTAGGTGCATAGAGCATTCAGCGTATACCCACCTACGTTGCGTTTTGCTCTATCGAACTAGGAGAACTTGGTAGCAAATAAGATGCACGGGCATACAAATCAATCAGTCGACTTCTTGCTATTTGTTTGTTAAATATTGCTAGCTAAGTACAAATCGCTTTGAGTAGCATAGTCACTTATGTCTTTCTTCGGCCATTCAAAGCACACCCCGTCGTGTTTCGTTTCGGTACGTTGAGACTGATTACGCGTAGCACAGCAGACAATTCCAGCCTTCCCATCATTCATCATACAGGCGAATTCAATAGAACAGTGCAAATGGGATAAATGAATGTGCACAGCAAACACTGAAGAGAAACCGACCGGGAGAAAGGTGCACACACTACGCAACAACGAACGAGGGACCAAACCACAGCAACCACAGCGGCTCAACGGTTTGTTTTCTTTAAAGCGGTAAAATGTATTGGCCTCCAGCTATGAGGAAACAGAATAGAAGCAGAGTGTGCAAAAATAATCAGGACATACACTAGTTTAGCAGTGCTCCCGTGGCTCATATGGCGATCGCTGCATGCAAACACAAGCAGTGCGTGCAGCACAAACGAATTCTAGGAAATATAGAAGGCCACATCATAAATGTAGGGGCAACCTATCGGAGAGAACCTCCTCCAAAATATGGCTGTAGATAACACCATTTCAATTCTAAGTGGAACGCACTGCTCGTGCTTGTAGTGGGCAAATACAGGCAGAATCTGCGCTGTGGCTGGGTGATTCTCAAGAATAACAATACTCATTGTCAACGGCGACTAGAGGTGTTAGCAAAACAGGGCCGCATGTTGTCCCTCAGGCAATGAAGCCCGCAACTGCTCCTCCGTCTGCCACTAGGGTTGGTGTACCCCACCTCATTTCACTGACACTTTCATATACTGTGTCCTTTGCGTTCAATTGTATAAACAGGCACTTAAACGGGCTGCTATGCATGCTCGAAATTCACACGGGTCGCTTACCAACGTTGTGGAATCCGCAAGTTGTGGGGGGAATTCTGAAAATTCTTTGAGAAGATAACACTGGTAGTTCTGTGACACCCTTTACTTCTTGAAAACATAACTTTCATGGATTCATTAGAGAATTGTATACAGCCCTAGTTACTTGGCCGCAAAGTTCTTCGCACGGACGTCGTTTGGTGGATTTCGTGAAGCTGGCCGATACACCAGACTTATTATCCTGCCTCGAGTTCGACAGCCAACCGGCGCTTATCATCATTTCGTGGTTGTCGCTCTTGGATCAATGCGCATATAGTTTTATGCACTAGCCAGGTACTCTCTAAATCTCTCCTCCGCTAAGGGTAGCTGCTCACCCTGGATCACCAGGAGCAGGCGTCGAAGAGGCGCTTCTCAGTACAGATCAAGGATGAGGGAGGACAACAAGCAGCTAGGTATTTTGCCGTAGTAAAATACTTTGCATATGGAAGAAACTGGCTCAAGTAATTGCACTCTTCTAAGCAAAAACTCGCAATCGCTGCCGAAAACTGTGGTTGGTGCGCTATGTCTGACGGACCATCTTGCTTAGGGTCTTTAGCAGCAGCACCTTGTTGTGAAAGCGTAAGTGCATCCTAGCAGCACACCGAAACGCACTGAAGAACGTCGAATTCTTATCCTCTATGGTGCTCCTGAAGAATTTGGAAATCAGACATGAGGTAAGAATGGTTGAGCGACTTTCCTAGCAGCAAAAGAGCTGCAGCGGGGAATGAAATGGGCGTATTTACTGAGTCTGTCGACAGCGACAAGTGCGGTATCCGAGCGCCTAATTTCCAGTAGCCCAACTATGAGGCCTACAGTCGGTTTAGTCGGATGGACCCAAAAGACTTTGCAAATGACTGAGTTAAGGAGCAATGCGGAGCTTCAGCAGCTGAATTTTGGGCACGATAGTGCGTAGTGCTCTGTCGCGCCACGCCTTCAAGAACAGCGGAAAGGCCGCGAGAAATTCAGGTGAAGTGTAAGCATCATCATGACTCGAGAAGAGGTCATTTGCTGTAAGCAAAAGGGCATTGCATATTGAAATCGCCATGCACAAGTGACGAAGTTGTTGCTTTGTTTCGAGCCACAGCAGGCCTTTTCTAAACGTAATTGTGCTTTGGCCGTTTTCCACTCTAGATGTTGGCCTTATGAGCGGATGCATGGGTATCAGAAACGTCTTACTCATACTTGACTTGTGCAATGTTAAGAAAACCGTGAGCCCATCACAGACAAGAGAGGCTCCGGCGCACAGTAGCACGTTACTGGGACGTCAAGAATAGCGTTGGTCGCCTCGATGGAGATGCCCTTAGCACATTTCGGAGTTAAGTCGTACTGCAGGAGGTGCCTAAGCCAGCAAGCATCTCCAGTATTTTCAAAGTCCTGAAAAGGTTTTGTTAGGTGCATGAAAGAGTGAAAGTCACTCTGTACTAGCATGCCGCCCACACATATGGCGCCAACACTTTTCACGCCCCACCACACCGCATAACGGTTTTTTTATGCACTGGATACCCCTGCTTGGTTTTGATGAGGCGCTATAGAACGTCAAGCAATAATTTGGTATGTCGGATAATCCGTTAGCGTGTTGAAAGGGGGCAGGATCCATTGCTATGTTGCTCATCGATTGCTGGAATAAAGGCCCATCGGAGTGCAGGTGCCAGAGACGTAACAAGGCAGGCGGGTAAAATCCTTACTGCGGTACGCCTTCGCCGTCCAACTGACAGACTGATACGTATCAAGTGTTTCAGTAGAAAATGGGAAAGCTTGAGTATATTAGTCGAGTTTCAGTAGTAAGATACAGGCCGCAGAACTTTGTAGTGTCCTTGTTTGTGCGTAAAATTTCAGGGCCACGGGTTGCTTGGATTCAATATTTAGCACATCAGATTCATTTCTTGCAGCCGAACCACGGATTCCCCCAAATTATTGTTTTCATGAAAACTAGCGGTTGACTGCCTACAAATATCACTACTAGTTCTGTAACATCTGATATCCGTACGCCGTTGGTGCTGCAGGTGCTCTTAACGTTTCGGCTGATTACTCAGACGTCCTTCATGTGTAAATAGCATTCCAGCCTCCTTTATCAGTCCTAAACTACCACATTATTTGCTATCACACTTCAACTGGGGCATTGAACAACTCAAATGGCATATATACGTACTCGGGTTTGCGAGTGCGAGTGCTACGCCGTTTTGTGCCTATCATTTAGATGATAAGGGATCTGTGAGCCGCCATTCGTCAAGTCAGATGTTGAGCACACTCTATATCCGTGTATTCAGCTAGGTCCTTCGCTCGTTGAATGACATGAGGGGCTTCCTCTTTAGGGCAATCTTGTTCAGGTACTTCAGCTTAACACTCCTGCACCACGCTCCGTCCCGATTCGTCAACAACAATGCTTTTACTTGAAGGCGCGGGCCGATTCCTGTACTTTGACTCTTTTCTGACAGACCATACGCTAACTTTTAAGACCCATTCTGTTTAGGCTTTAGAAAGCCGCAAATCGGAGATTAAGGTTGACTAGAGGAGTAGCTCAATACTTCGCTCTCGACGAACAGCAGGCGACCTTTGATGATGGCTCGTCAATATTCAGCACATTCGCGAGCTCCTTGATATCTACCCGTTCCCGCTATCTCTCAGCTAAGGGCCAGGCAAATTCTGTAGATAGGAAAACCAGCGGGACGCTGCCTGACACCGTCTTCTCTTTCTGCACGGCCGAGCAGCACCCATGGAGCCCCTGTCACCTTGTTCAGGCACTGAATCGACTCCTGTTTACATAGATGAAATGACCATTTATGATGAGATTGAAAGCTGCTTCTTCCTAGAGCTTCCTGGTACGCTAACCTCTACACCCCTCAGCTGTGTGCCTCATGCGCGCCCTCTATTGGATCACACATGGGCTACAGAAGATAATGTCATAGTGCACGAATCTTCCACAGAAGTTACTGACCATGCTAACAGGATCTACGTACAAGTAAAGTAGCGTTTAACTGCCGCATACGTGTCAACTATTGCGTTCTGGAGCCTGTTGAGAAGCCGAAGTCCTAGGAGTTGTACTCACTAACAAACAGGTAGATGGCACGTTTTTATCGTCTTGTCCGATAAGAGAGCCACACCCCATTCAGTGTGATATAACGCAAGCAAAATTTTCCCATCAAGATGAGCTCGTCTGAGCAGACAATTACTTTATGTGTCTCGAGCAGCGGTTCTATCTTCCGTGTCCCCTCTCACTTCACCGTAGCGTGCTGAGGGGCTGCGTTTTCCTGAGGCGCCGACTTTGCTCGCCAAGCAGCCTGTGTTTCCTTTCCAAATACCGTTTTCCAACTTTCGTGGCTCTTGCATCTGCATGCGGTTCCGGATTATGTGGTCTAATCACTCACAGTAGAAGCAGGCGCGCTGTTGTGGGGCTGTTTGGTGCTCTATAGAAGCGTGGGCTCCTTCCGGCTTTCTCTCGTTGTTGACCTTCGACTGTAGGCTATGGCCAAGTGAACCAGCCTTGACATCCAAAGAATTCCAGTCCTGACTTTGCTTTTCCACTAATTTGCTCCTGGACCCACGAGATGTCCATCATTGGTGCAAAACTCACCTATCGGTTCCTTAGTAAATGATTTGCTGCTCATCGCATCACCACTTGACGTAACAGTTTGGTAGTCCAGAGGTAGACCACCCATAAAGCAGCTGCTGATCTACGTTCTGGCTTCCACAAACCAAATTCTTATTTCTGGATAGCCCAATATCTCTATGGAATTACAAGCTGTAACCCTTTAATTCTTTCAAAGCTTGTTGTTGACTTAATCTCGGCATAAAGGATGAGTGAGTGCGTGTATGACGGCCTGAACTGTAGTAACTTTTGCATGTTGGCAACTCACTCTACAGGGGAATACTACTCTTTCAGTGCTTCTGCCTGCAAATAGGATCTACTAATGGACAGACCGTTTAGTCTATTCCTTCTTAATTCTGGATTAAATATCTGCTGTGTCGAGGTAAGCTACGTTTAAATCCTTTACCTCTAATGTGTACTTGACTAGGGGTTGTTTGTTGTGATGCCAAATGCGATGCAGAGTAGCGTTAGTTCGATTGAACAAGACCAATGTTCTGTTGCTTGTACCGTTGATACAGTGCGCAACCAGCATTGAGTGCTCGGATTGCATGGGGGATGCAGCGACGTGTACCTAGGTGTTTGGTTTCCCTTAAGTCCGGAATTCTGGGAAGGGTGGGGAGGGGATGGAGCCAGCATTTTAAGGGCAGCAATCAAGAATGTTCTATCGGGTTTACATTGACTTCGAATCTGGGGGCCATTCTACGTTGACCTTGGATGAAGCGTTGCACCACACCCCTGAGTACGTGTTTACTATTCGCTTGCCTAAAGGACATTTTCTGTAGTAGCATGATTCGTGACTCAAAAGGAGAGCAGAAAGATATTTTGTGTGAATTTGAAGAGGGCAAGGAACTTTTAAGAGTTTTGGATACGTTGCGTTCATATCAGCCAGGTGAATAAAGGGAGGTGCGCTTTTTCTTCTCTATTCGTTTAGGCATTCATAGGCAATGTGGTGTCGCTCTGTTTTCCGTCTATAGTGATCCCTGATCATGTTCTCTCCTGTTCCCCGAGAACGCTGGGGCTTAAGACTATACTGAGGCTGCTCAAACGTCCCCACGGCCTTCGCGGTGGAGTGAGAAGGTGAAGCACTCTGTAACTGCAGATTATTGAAACGCAAGGCCTCTGCTTCTGTTTACGACAGTGTCTGGGCACCTGAATTCAAAAATTCCCCAGTATCTGATGGTGTTTCATCACCACACAAGTCCCTGCCATATGCGCACGAGCAGGTGTGTCCTTGCTCGTATGCTTTTAACGCCGTATTCAGATGGAGAAATCTGTACCCTTCGAGATAGAAGACACGGTCACCAATAAAATAGATGCCCCAATGAAAGCAGCTTTTGCATCCGTTATATCGCACCCACAATAGAGAAAAGCAGGTGAAATAGGCATACTGCTAGCTACTTGGCCTTCTATTGCATGGGATAAGCCCGAACGATCTGCTCATTCCCGCCCTTTGTCCCGGGGGTCTCCAACTCCAAGGTTACCACAATGCTCCGCCGACTCAAGGGGTTTGGGTCGGGGTTGATACTCAAAAAGCCCTTGAGTGATCCTGCAGACACCGACAGGGCAAACAGGAGAATGCAGGACAACTGCAACGCTACCACCCCTAGGGAATCTGTAAGGAGCCTAGAGAGGATTGAGGGGCATTTTCGCGTTAGTCCTTTCTACACAGTACATGAAAAAGGAGTAGCCGAAGAAACCACACAACCAAAACGGCACTTAGCAACAGGAACAAAATTCGCGTTAACGAGACAAACCATAATCTGGATGCGCGGTGAAACTCCATGCGTTCCCTTCTCGATCCTGAAACATGAGCACCCAAGCGCACCATCAAATATTGAAAAACGCTCGTGCACATCTCAATCCAACTACTGTTGAGGCGCACACTGCTGCCATTTCATCGCGACAGCCGCGCAGACTCCATACCCCAGCTAAGGAGCTAAACGTACGAGGAGATGAAGGACTGTCTGCTTCCAATGAGTTGGCTTCGCCAGAGGACTGGTGCTCAGCACAACGGATCCCGCTACCGGCTTTCCTCCAGTGTTTGCTGCTGTGGCAAACGACAGTACTGACGGGCCATTCTTGAGTTGTATCGCTTCAAAGAAGCAGTCAAAGTAAAGCACTAGGCTGGTGCACACTTGCGGAGGCGGGGGTAGAGCTATCTGCATCCACAGCAACCAAAGCAGCACAACCACGTAAGCCTTTGAAGGGAGAACATCGGGCGTCCCAATAATGGCACAGATGGGACATGTTTCACATGGATGCCCGGCAGGAGGGATGAAAGGGCGACAAATACAAAGGGAGCAGAGGATAATGAGCATGCTTGGCTAGACCAAGACGCTACTGAAAGATGTTTACATTGATCGGGCATCTCAGTGCCCTCAATTCCTCTTTGGTCACAGAATTCAGATCAATCACGCATATAGGTTGCTCCTGTTGCCGGTTCTGTTGATTGAGTTGCTGTTCCTCGACGAGTTGCACTTCCAATTGCCCGAAAAGGTGCGAGTCGGGTGCCAAAAGGGCAGAAAGATCAAGGCCATAGACGGGCGTTGCAAAAGGGCCCCTCCGCTCTTGCTGCTCATTTCGAAAGTCTGCAGTACAGACCTGCAGGAACGGGGCAGCAGCACAAAATGGGCGGGACGGTGACCCCCCTAGATTGCTGCAGGTGCTGCTCAAGAGTTCTAAGACCGCTAGGCCTCCTCTTGCAGCGGCACTCTCTGCTGCTGCCTCGAGTAGCGGACGCCACCGCTTCAAAATGTTGAGAAAACCGGCTACCCAGACATCGTTCAACACGCGCAAGGAGCCTCGACAGACACAGCAGCAGCGGCACTCCCAGCTAAAGCAGATGCTGCAAGGTTTGCGTATGTCAATGTTGCTGGCGCAACAATGGGGGCATGGGATGGCGCTTACACCAAGAAGTGCCTTGTTGGGGACCAGCAAACCTCCGGGCGTTAGATACCTGCGAACAGAAGCCCTCGCAGCGCGTTGTAGCCGCTAGTGCTCCTCGTGCTGTCGCAATTACGCCTTCTGCCAGTGCGCGGCGGCATCGGGACTGCTTCCGTCGGGACTGAGTGGAGCACTTTACTTGTCTCTTGCATGCAGAACAGAGAAGAGCATGCACTCAAACAGCAAGCAATACCCCATCCACTCGGAGACAAGCACGTCGCAAGAAAAGGGAAGCGCTCCCTGAGGAGCTTCCGATCCTGTGGGTACCTGCGCACAGTTAAAACGTCCCTCCCCCGCCTTTCTCCCCCTGTTCTCTCCATGACGCCTCGTGCTGTTGCTGTCGATAGAAAGCTGTTGCCCCTACCAAGCAGACGCTAACGAAGCCGTAGAAAATTGGGGAACGATGCTTACAGCACAGACTTCAGTTGCCGTGGTGTCACGCCAGTACAAATCCACCGCCTCAACCTGCACCAGCCAGCAGAGTTTCAAGCTATTTTTGTCACCAACAACTGACGCGAGACCTCACCGCTCCTCTAGGAAACCGTACAAATACCCACACACGCCCTAGGCGTGGCTTACCTTCGCGTGCAGAACCTGAATAGTTTTGGAGAAGCCATTGGTTGTGACTATGCGCCGAGCCACCGACACAATCGGACCAGACGCGTCCAAAGCGATCACCTGCGGAGACTCAGTGCCGCTCACGCTGGCCCCTAGACCCTCGCAGTGCGATCGGCAGTTCGCATGACTGCGTATAGCTCCCTACGGGTTGCTGCTGCTCGGGGAAAAGATGTTTCGCCTTCGTGTCAAGGGCTTACTCTGCGCGCTCCTGCTTGGGCAGCAAAGAGACTGAGGACGCCGCTGCCGCATCCAACATCCAGAACCACCTTTCCCCGAATGGCCTCTGTGCACACACACAAACTGCCAGTCCTCAAATCTATCCCAACGAGCAGCAGCACCAACACAGGCTGCCCCTTGGGGCATGCGGGAACTACAAAAACACCTCCGCTGAGCAGCAAACACTAGGCAGCAAACATGCAGACCCGCTTCTTTCAGAAGAAAATCTCTGTAGGCTCCCGTTCGGGCAGCGTCACTGATCATTTCGCGATGGATTGAGAGCTCTCCGTATCCCGAAAAGTAGCTTTTGTCTTCAGGTGTCTCAACCTCCCTCCCCGCGTCGAGTCCTTCTTCGCCTTCCTCCCTTTTGAGGGTGGTTGTTGCAGCCACTAGACACTGCTCCTTGGCAGAGACAGAAGTGCTGTTGGCTACAGCATCCGCATTGCCGGCAGCCTCAGCCATCCGGTGCTGCAGCAGCCGCTCGTAGACATCAGTGTTGTGTGGCATGACTGGAGGGGAGAAGCTGCACCTTCCTCCGCCTGCTGCTGCTGTTGGGCCTCCAGGAGAAGCACAAACAGCAGCATCGGCCGCAGCCGCATCGTCGTCTTCTTCTTCACTACTGCAGTTCCCTCCATCCCAAAGAAGAGGATCTTCCGAGTCAGCGGCAGTCAGAAGCTCCTCTGGACAGCTGAAGAGTGCTGAGGTTGGCGTGAGCTTGTGTAGTGCTTCTACTGCAGCTTGATAATCTTGCTGCTGCTGCTGCTGCCGTAGGAAAGTGACCAGCGCGATGCGGGTGTACGGATTCAGAGGAGGCAGCTGCTGCTTGACATCAGCTGCTAACCACCGTTCCTTTGCGGCTAAGTCCAGGCCGTGTGCCTCACGCATATGTTGCAGCACAAGGGCAGCAGGCGTCCGCGCGACGCTATCATGGCGGCTGCATGCGTTTCCACTGCACAAAAAGGGGCAGAGGAGGCAGCGCGCAGGGGGGCTCTCTTCCTGGGATTCGTCATCTTCGAGTGTACAGACACTCGACGCTTCATCGTCGCTGCTGCTCCTGCTGCTCCTGCTGTAGCAGTCTGAGTCACTGCTGCCTGCTTGCTCTGAGGGCTGCTGGCGATGTCTGGCTGCCTGCCACTTTGCCGCTTCCCGTTGCTGCTGCTGAGAGCATGCCGACTGCGCTCCGCTTGCGCCTGCAGCAGCTGTCGCGGCTTCTTGCCGCAGAGAGCCCTCCGTGCACGCGGCTTCCATGGTGGGAGCTGCTGTCTCGAAAAAAAGACACGGAAAGCCTCTGCGAGTGCTCCTGCAGACGTAAGAATCAAATCCTGTTTTCTGGAGGGTCCGACTAAGGCCTTGGCGCTACAACGGAGGTAGCGTCCAAAAGCTGCCCTTCGCAACCGCCCGAGTCTCCTGTCTTCCAAAGCGCAAAATCTGAAAGCGAGTGAGAGGTGCTGAGCGAAGGGGGAAGGGCAAAGGATCATCGTGGGTGGCGATTTCGCGCAGCGGGGGGCCTCGAGGCTGGTAGCGGCTTTCTCCTTCCCTGCTTGCTGCCTTCGAACCCCCCTCCCTCATCCTTCATCACCTTCGCCGTTGGATCTTCTCCTACTGCTGCTCCTTGTTTCTGGGCAGTAACACATTTTAGTCACCAGTACTGCTGCGACTGGAAACTTTGCGGGGTCGTCGCGCTTCCCGCCGAAGATCTCCGAGGTTCCCCGCGCGGGAGGTGCCTAGCCTCTCCTGCCGCTGCAGCGCAGCCCTCCTACGCGTAAATGATTCGAATACCTTCGAAAAAAGCGGCAACCTTGAGTACTGGTGGCTGCAGAAGCATCCAAAGGGGCGAGAGCAGCAGCAGCTCGCGCTCAACTTCGCAACAGCCAGTGGCACAAAAAACCGCTTTATAACAAGCAGTGACCACTGCGAACAGGGCGGGGGTAGCAGCAGCAGCAAGGGCGTCAGAAGGCGGAGATGGCGGCTCATTCGGTAGCGCCACAGTCTTGGCAAGTGCCAGCAGCAATGCTACCACTACCACCACTAGCAGCAGCAGCAGCAGCAGCGCCTGCTGAAACAGAGGCTTCAGAGGCGATTTCTGCTGGGGTTGATGACACCGCAGCTAGAGAGCCAGCTGCAGAAGAGGCCTTAAGGCCACCTTTCCGAAGAGCTGCTGGCGAATGCGTTATATGCAACAAAGCATCTCCACCGTATCGCTGCCCACAGTGCCGGCTGCAGACGTGCTGCCTCGCATGCTACAGACAGCATCTGCTGCTGCAGCAGCACATGCAGCGCACACGAAGTCAAGACCCCGTGCTTGCACACATAGAGGGGGAAGCAGCCGCTGCAGCAGCAACCGCTGCAGCAGCAACCGCTGCAGCAGCTGCTGAATCGGGAGCCTGCAGTGCAGTGGCGACGCCTACAGTGTTTCCCTTTCGACCTGTACCCCCCCAAGCATGTCCATCAGCTGGAATCGCGGCAGGCAAAGGGCACGCTGCAATTCCAGCAGCAGCAATGCGCGCAACGTCGGTCCCTGCGGCACCAACAACGCATGCATGCGGCCCGAGTGGCACTTCACCAGCAGTGCATGCGGCTTCAACAGCAGCAGCACCAGCAGCAGCAGCACCGAGTCCGTTCGATTTGACGCCTGCATCCCGCGTGCCCTTGCGCGTGTCATTTGTTGGACTGCGAGCCTTTGGGGAGAAGGAGATGGAGAAGGATTTGCAGCTGTTGGAGAGGGCGGCAAGGGCTGTGGAGGCAGCACAGAGGCAGCGGCTTGAGAGCGTTGAGTCGAAGAAGCGGAAAGGGTAAGACAAGGACGCTCGAGCATGAATTCGTTTTTTTCTCCCCATGTGCATGGCGCAAAGAAATGGCTTTCCTGCATATTCCCTAGCCTGCGGAGTCGAGGCGATGCCCTCACATATTCACCTACAATAACGCAACCTTGAGACCTCTTAGCTTCAGCACTGAACACAGGCTGGCTCACCCCAAGGCTTTGAGGTCCAGAGGGTGTATTCTGTAGCCTCTTAGAGATTCTTTCCCGGCTTCCCACCTTAAGGCTCCCCGCCACTAAACTGAGGGCAGCACAGCCGACGGCAGATCGTCCTGTACTGCTGATGACTGTGGAGTCTCTAGAGCATGGCTCGAACTTGCTGGGAAAAGGCCGTTCTGACCTTGTGGTGTGCGAGAGTGCTGCAGGACTCATCCCGTTCAATTGCGGAATCTCTGCCAACGCCGAGGCGTGGACTTTGTGTTCTTGCCTCCAACCCATTCTCAGCGCATTTTCAACCGAACCAAAGTGCTGCAACAGCACAAAAACAGGCACCAGCAGCAAGAGCAAGCTCAAAAGCCACGGGACGACGCATCGCAGGAACATCAGCAGCAGAATCACGACCGCCTCGAGGGCGTGGACGAATGCCAAGTCAATCAGCAGCAGGAGAAAGGAAGGCAGTCATGGGTGCAACAATCGGAGCAGCAACAACCGGAGCAGCAACAATCGGAGCAGCAACCACAGGAGCAGCAACAATCGGAGCAGCAACAACCGGAGCAGCAACAATCGGAGCAGCAACAACCGGAGCAGCAACCACAGGAGCAGCAACCACAGGAGCAGGCTACCGACGGCGTAGATGCACTCGTGCAACCTGCAGAGCAGCAGCATCAGCAAAGCGGAAGTGGGCATATCATATGCTGGGATGCATGCTTCAGATTGCCCGTTGGGGGGGGCCCCTGCATCTCTTTGGTCCTGCGAGAAGACCAGAAGCTGAGACAGCACGCCGCACTCCTGCAGCAGCACTGCTGCAGAAAGCTGCAGCAAGGCATGCAACGAAAACGGGGGGAAGCTTCGGAAGCCACCAAGGACAAGGAGTTGCTTCGTCGATGCGCCATGGGGCCTCTACTAAAGGCGGCAGCAGGAAACGTAGGAGATCCACGAGCTGCTGTGGCTCCTGCTGCGGAGACAGGTGCAGCACGAGACATGCAGCCCGAAGCAACAGACGCAACAGGAGAGACGGGGTTTCGTCTGCTGTTGCCGGTCACTGCAGCGCATGCGGGTGTTATTCTGGCACCCAGCCCCGATACAACAACTGCCACGAACGCCAAGGCGACAGAGGCGGAAGAAGGGGGACAAACAACGGCTGGAGGCTCCACGGGTTCTCAAAGCGACGCTTTATTGCAAGCATATCTGTTGCCATGGGATGAAACTCTGGCAGAATGTCTCAAAGGGACGACAATCATTGAAGTATATTGCCACTCATTATATTCTCCTTCTGCTCCTTACTTGGATGTTGTGCTGCATCTCAGCCTTGCCCCTTTTACCAAGTGATTTGGCGTTTGTACTGAAGTGATTTGGCGTTTGTTCTGCGTGTGCGGATGTACTTGTTCTCATGCATTCAAAAGTGCTGATAGTGACTTTTGTGTCTGGGAAACCTCGGTGAATCTGTAGGCCCGCTTTTTTTCTCTACGTCTCTTATATCTTTGCCATTCAGTTCTGGTATGTGCCTTTTTTTACGCTGTAATTCAAAGGGCGGCCCTGCTTTTCTAGTAGGCGGTTGATGCTGCCTGTGCAGCAGATGCGTGCGCTGAAAATTGCGAGGCTGATGATTGTTCTGTGAGCGCCTGCGCAGCATCCCGACTTGATAGTCGCTTTACCTGAAGAGCTAAGCAGATATACCTGGTACGATGAAGTCCGATGTCGGTGACGCTGATTGTCTTGCTGGTCCTTGGCCTAGCGCATGGCTGTTGTTGATGTAACCGGTTTTTGCTGCTGTACTATCATCATGGCGGACCACTCGCAGCGGCGCTACTATTGCTGCAGCCACACGCTTTAGGTTTGTGACGTTCCCCTACGGCTGCAGTTGGCCGCCCCCATGCAAAGGGGGGCCTCTTTCTCGCCTCTTCTCTGGAACTGCGCAACCACCGCCTCCACCCCCTGGGCCTCCTCCACAACATTTGTGTCCGCCGCAACAGCCAGAGCAGCAGCTGTTGGCAGATGGCGAATTGGAAGGCTCGATTCGTTGTATGAACGGCCCATGTGTCTCAGATCACCAGCAGCAGCAGGTGCAAAAGCGGCCTCCTCAGGTGCATCAAAATCACCGACCGCGGCCCCCACAAGGATGCATGGGCCAGCAGCCGCAAAACTGGCAGCAATCACAGCGCCACCAGCAGGCTCTTCACAATAGAGGGGCGTATTCTGGGCAGCACCAGCAGGCGCACCAGTTTGTGCGGCCGGTGCACACCCAACACCAACTGCAGCAGCGGCCGCACCTACAGCAGTACCAGCAGCAGGCATCCCCAAGTCCGCAACAGGTTGGGCAGCAGCACCAGCCACCAGTCCCCCCCCCGCCAGAGACCCTGCAACAGTGTCCGCAGCAACTGCCTTCGCATACGGGAGATCGGATCTGCACGAAGAGACAGCAGCAAGGAAGTCGCGGGGGCCGCATGAAGCGCCGCGGCTGTCTGCACGGCTCCTGAGACGAAGTCACACACCTGCACAAACCATTTGTAACCAAAGCTGAAAAGCCTGATCGTTGATACCTCCGAATGGCGCCCTAACATTGCCTGCACACCTTGCATCGCTGGCCATCAACTTGACTTTCTGTGTATCAATTTATTTGAAAAGCTAGTGCACGAGCGCCACTCCGATTCTCTTCTTTCGAGCTGTAGAGCCTAGTGTAACCCCTTGGCAGGGCAGCCATCGTAGCAACTGTCTCTCCAGTCTCATCGAGGCCTCGTATTAGATGCCTCTTTGGGGCCTGTATTGGAATCGCAAGCAACTTAGTTGTACCCTTTTGCGGAGCAAACCCTCAGCTGCACAGACGTACACTAATAGGATCAATAGTTCAAGGAGGACTTCTCTCCGGCTGCCTGAAGTAGTGGATGGGGAACGGAAGATGGGGCACTCATCTTCAGTCAGCGGAGGGGAGAGGGGCAGGCGGTTGTGAGCAACCCACAGAATCAAGTGCCCCTTGCATGTGCCTTGCAGAATGACTGGCATACCAGCTGCTAATGTCAAGCCACGACGCGCCGGGGGCGCTCTTAAACAAGCCACAAGGGAGGGGTCCTCTGACAGATTGCTGGGTGCAGGGCGAAGCGGTCTTGACCAGCGTTACCTGTCTGCCCCCTTAGCTTAGTTTGAGATGAGCAACAGGAACACATATGGACTGACTCGGCGGCATCATGCCGGTGTAAGTACTGCAACTGTGTCGCTCACTGGGAACCTACCCACAAAGGGCCGCCAGAGTAATGGGCAGCAGCATGTTTGTTCAACATTGCTAGCACACTCACTTGACTCTGTAACTAAAGCGTCACGGTAAGGTATGTGGTACTGCGTGAAAGAAGTAGAGGAGAATTTATTCCAAATTGTTATTTCAGCTAGAGCCCCCAGGTTTTGACGAAGGCTTCAGGTGCACCTTCTTCGTTTTCACTACACTGGTCATGTGCAATAAAACAACAGCCGAAAGGTGACTAATGGATTCGTCTGCGTACAGGCTTTTGCATATTAGTATTTTCGTTCATACAAGGTGCGATGCTATGGGCGTCTGCGCTAGAGTTTTCGTCCAATTCACTGTGAATGCTCGAAGTGCAGAGGGGGTGCAGCTACGAGCTGCCTAGGAGACCCAACTTCCTCAAGTCAAAAACTTGTGAGTGGCGCTGGGGAGAAAGAAATAAAGTTTGTTTGTCAGACCCCCAATTATCTTTTATAGCGCTTGCATTGAGCTTGGAGTAGTATTGTTTCCTACCGATATGTAAAATGGAGCAGTTAGCACCACCTCGTGGATCGACGCAGTAATTTCTCGGTCCCCCATTAACTAGGGTGCATGACAAAGTCAGATATCCTTACAAAATCGATGTGGCTTTGATCAAGAAATCCAATAACTCAATCGTCTGATTTCTGTGTCAAATTTTAAAGGAAATCTCCTTTAGCGATGAATGTTGACGGAGTGGGAACCATTTCGCTCTCCTGCACGCTAACGGTCTCGAATCACGGAAAAAGACCACTAGATTCTGAGCCATAAATATTTTAAGGAAGATGTAGAGGGGTAAATTAGAGTCAGACACTTTGTACTACACTGGCTATACTCTGTCTACGTATTGCTAGAGAATCAACTAATTGGTTCGTCGGGTCTCATGTCGTCTTCATTGTAAATTGGTGTCAGCACCATACAAGCTGACGCAGTATGGTGTGTGTGTACGTGCTCCAAATACCTATGTGGACTTTTTAGCTGTAAATATTGAAGTGCATAGACTGTGCAACTACGCGCAACACGCGGTTTCACTGCTCTTATGTCGGCACCTCTGAGTTGTGTGGCAGGGGAGGGAGTAAGCGTTTTTAGTAAGCCCTCGATGACATGTTCTCAAGGTGTAATATCGTGTACGGAGTTAAGGGTTTCCTTATGGAGATGGTCGATGGAGCATCCAGCCACCCATGTGGACAACGCGTCTCACAAGCGCATAGGCAAGTGACATCAATTCGTTTAAAATTGGGATATCTCTGTAATCCATCGAATATACATATTGAAACCGAAACGAAATAGCTTCTTATATATTGGCAGTAAAGTACATATGTAGTGCGACAAGAAATGCCAGTGTGGCTTGGCGCGCTAAACTGCCACACTGGCCTTTGACTGACGGTTGTGGCTGCTAATGCCCCATAGTAAGCAAATTTTTGCGCTGTTAGGCCTCGGGTATGCCAAGGACGCGGGGGTGGTACGTTAAGTGTGCAATGTATGCCTCGCATTGGCATTGGGCTGCTAGATAAAAAGCAAAAAAAGAGGCTGTGCCTGAGGAGGAAAGACATACAGCACAAGATTTCTTTTCGTTTGAATACAAAAAATGCATATCAATAGAGTCAAATATCCCGGTTTCTGCCGCTAAGCTGCTGGGGTCTTTACGCCACAATACGGTGGGACCGAAAGCTGTCCATGCAGCAGTGCTGCACAGGTCCCTTTGCATCCCAGTGTCGTGGCAATTTGCTGCTCTTGCCTGTAAGCATATGTCCGATATTCACATGAAATGTCATGCTGAAATTTAAAGGTGCCTCCGATACAGTAGCTGGTTTCTGCTGCTACTGCGGAGCGTAACTGGCGGCCTTACTGATGCACACCCCATCAATGCCTTTGCGACGCCTCTCCAGAAGAGGATTCTTCGATGCTCTTAAGGCAACGGAGTAGAATTCTTTCAAGGATCGAATATTAAGTATGATTAAGTGGGCTAATGAATAATAATTACGGTTTGTGGCTTTGCTTTGCATGCCACTGTGGCGGTTTGCGATCCGTCAGCCTGCCACGGTAGCTAGAGGCTCAGTGAGTAGCTGCTCCCGCAGCCCTCGCCGGTACTTGGCCCTCACCACCTTTGAGCATGTTTGCTTGTTTTTTTTTCTTGAAACGTCCGAAAAATAAGTTTTTGGTGTATATTGTGTACTCCATAAAGCCTTGACGCATGGTCTCACTTTACTATCCACTGGTGCTGTTGCGCCGCTTGGCTCTGTCCCCAGTCCCCCCGATTCGGTATCCTTCCGAATCTTCAAAGTTTTACTAAAGCAATGCCGAGTAGTTGAAGCCTGTTGAGCTTATGTCCTAATACACAACATGAAACAAGCAATATTTGGCAGCCGTGGATTTGCTGCCGCTTACTTTGGCGATTTCTTTCTGCTAACCGGTGTACGAAAACGGCAGTAGCTCCCCCAACAGAGCCCAATGGCTTGGCGAGCTTCGCTGCAGGGGGAAGCCCCATCGACATGTAAATTTTGTGGAGAATGCTGCTACGCCTTCCACCAAACTCCACCCCAGGCATGCTGCTGCGACGCCTGCCTCCCTTCGTTTCCCCGCGACAGCACAGAAGTTGATGCGGAAGCAAATCTGGATAATGATGATGGCGGAACCCTTCAAGAAGCCATACATACACTGGATTCTTCTTGCACCACAGAGGGGAAGCACGGAGACCGTTGGAGGGCACGAGAGTGCAGATGCGTGATGCTTCGCCAGCTCTGCCGTGGTAGCTACTCCCGCTTTGTGCAAAACATGGTTCGCTTTGGAAACTGGCATACAACTGCGTCTGATTCGACTTACATAAAAAATAGCTCTCATAAGGTCGTAGAGAGTGAGGATACGGAAGGAATTAACGGAACTGTCAATGGCGCACCTGGTGGTGATGCTGCCACCCCAGAACGTGTTACAAAGGCACTTCAAAGGAAGCAACAGCAAACCCCTCTCCATAATGACCTTCCCTCTATGCGGTTACCAGCACTACCAAGAATAGGGCGCTTTCCATCCTCAGGAAGTGAAGGCAGAAACCAGGCGACTGGGGTCTCCATCAGTGAAGCTGCGGTGGTTGGAGATAGTGACGTTTTCTGGGTGTTTGGTTATGGCAGCCTCATCTGGAAGACTGACGGTTTGCCGGCTAAGGAGCGTGTACCTGGGTACATCAAAGGCTTTAGAAGGGTTTTCTTTCAGGTGAGGACGATGCATGAATCTAAATATGCCGTCTTCATTTTTTGCATTTTCTAGTTTTTCTTCGCTCTCTCGCTGGCTGACTGTTTTGCTACCTTTTTTCGCTTCCTGCTGTATCTACACTCCATCTTACCAGGGAAAAACTGGCTATGCGTTCGGGTAACCATGCGGATTGTGGTGTCATCTTGCGAGGGTTTCAAGGGTGTATTGTGATGTGTGCATGCAGCTTAGCGATGACCACCGGGGGACGCAGTCTTCTCCAGGTTTGGTTGCAAATCTTTTGCCTGTTGAAGTTTACAGGGACTTTATTATGGAGACAGCATATGTTGCACAGGCCAGTAACCATCAGCAAGGGGAGAGGGAGCCGTCCGCAGGAACACTTGGTGACGGTGGTCTACCGAGGCATGGCTCCACAAGCCAGAGCAGCCCCTATAGCCAATTGATGGAGGACGAGGATGAGGGAATCGTGCATGGGGTGGCACTAAAATTTTCAGCTCTAGATCTTGAGGCGGTGATCAGCAAGCTAGACTACAGAGAACGTGGTGGCTACGTGCGTATTCTGGTGGAGTTTTTCCCGCTGGAAGAAGAGAGACTCCATCCCTTGGACAGAAATCAAACGATCAACGCCTTTGTGTACGTAGGTCTCCCCTGCAATCGGTATTTTTATTGCTTTCCTGATCTCCCTCTCTCTCCTCTCCAAAGCAATAGCGACTTTGAGGAGCCTATGGACGACAACTGGGAGCAGGAAGCGGAAGATTCGGCGGCAGGAAGGAGTTCCAGACGAAATAGCAACAGTAGTGGCAACAGCGCAAACGGAGGGGGAAATGTATTGAATGCTTGCTGCCCCCTTCAGGGAGGCAGGAACCAGCAGTTGGCCACAGCCCACCACGTCTCCACGACCGCACTTCTCTGTAGCTGCTGCCCAGATGACCTCGCACATGCAGCAGGGATGATCTTACGAGGGGAGGGTGCGAGTGGGCCCAACACAGAGTATCTATTTAACCTAGCAGACTTTCTCAGGAAGATCGGGCAGGTGGATTCTCATGTATTTGGACTAGAACTGCGCGTAAAACAGCTTATGAAGCAACAAGCAAGTAGAGACCAGATCAACAGAGAAAATGAAGAATTTCCGTTTACCGAGGCGCGGAAAAGAGAACAATGAACCAAGAGGAACTTTGGAATAATCTATTTAACGGGGCCGATGTGCTCATGATGCACCTCCCCTGCAGCAGCTGCTCCAGAATGTTTAAAGCTGCACTTGTTGTTTCATGCAAAATATGCAGAAACAACAATTTCATGACCTTCAAGGGGCGAAGTTCGTCTCTCTGGATCATGTGTCCATCTGGCATTGCAGCAAGGCCAGCGAATCGGAACCAAAAACTGCTGCTACTACCACTGTTGCATTCATGTATTGGTGTAACAGAAAGGCCAATCTTTTTCGTCACTCGTTGCTAGGCAAGCCTTGGTGGAATGCAGCGTACTTTTGCTGAATGTATAAACGCACTAGCTCAACTGTTGCAACCCGGTGCCTGCCATTTAGGTGGAGACATCGCCAAGCTATGAAATGTCTATAGAACCCGAAGCAGCAGCCTCCATTTTCGAGGGAGATGTCGTTCGTACGATGACTATCGCACTCTGCAAGATAGGTACGGTATTGTAGACTCCATGGCGTCTACGCGTATTCGACTATAGTGCAAATCTCTTGTAGCTGCGTTCGTCTTCTGGAACAGAAAGCCAATCTTTCAGGGGGCGTCATGGCTAAAACCTGTAGGACGTATATATATGTAGATATATATATATATTATAATGGACCAGGACCAGGTGATGGTAGCCCACATGCCGCCTGGCCCGTTTTCATGAAAGGCCTGTGTGGGTAACTGCTATGGTTGCTTCAGTGAAAGTAAGGAGATGATGCGTGACAGCAATGTTGTAGCTTTCTAAGAAGGGCGATTCACCCCGTGTGTGCATGCTTGCATACATTTTGGCCCCCTTTCCCCGAAGGTCATGCCTTTTGACGGGCACGTGGGCCGTTGTTGATTGATATTAAATGTTTATTTTAGCCGCCCACACACATGCCAGGCGGCACATTGAACAACAGTCCATGCTTCAAGCACAGTTGTCGATCTCTTTCGACTATCATGGCTAGTTGTACTGTGCAACAGAGTTTCTTCGGTTACACTCTAGATGCCCCATTGCTGATGGAGGCCTACGTAGATGAATACGCGATTTCAAAACGCTTGAGAATGGAGGGAGGTGTCAGTCACAAATGTAATTCATGTAGTCAGCCAAAGTCAGTTTCAGTGCGGGTTTTTGAAAGCCATCTCCCTCCATAAACCAAATGTTTCGCTCCTAGCCGCCCGCTACGTGAGCGGCTTCCTGAATTTTGCCTGAATCCAAATGCGCTGCATTCTTTGCTGCGTCTTCCGATTTACCATTTCCCGCATGCAATACCTGCACACACAGGGACAGGGGAATGGTCATACGGATAAACATGTGCTTGCACAGGCAAGCAAGCAAGCACGGGTGCAAGCATCAACAGCTCGGTGTAGGTGTAAAATATGAAGAGCTAGTAATTCCAAGTGCTTTCTCATTGACTACGCCTTGTCATACCTGTTTTCATAAACTTCTAGTCGCGCTTCACTACAGAAAAGCTTTTCAATCTCCTCTGCTCCAAGACGCATTCACAATCCAGGCGAAACAACGGATACTGTCTTGCATCACATATAAGCCCACCACGGATTACACGGCTTTTCCACTGGGAAAATGAATGCGCAAACCAAGGCGAAATGAGTACCACTATTTGTAGTATTAAGTTGAAGACACATCTACGCTAAGCAGTTGCGTGCCCCTGATTCGTGGCTTGATTAGGCCATTTCATTAATCGCTCAAAGTGACAGTTCCGGCAGTTCGTTCCAGTGTGCGCTATCCCATTGCCCGTGCAAGAGTCCCTTCGAAACCACACAAGCCCTATATTCCAAGCTGTACATTATTACCTTTGAGAAAATAGTAGGCGAGCGTGCCATCACGTCTGGCGTATAAATTTTGCTCTAGTTTTGGCTTTTGCTGCTCTGCGAACCTCAATTGCGCCATATCCAAATACGCATAGTCCCGAAACAGCACCATGCCGCCGGGCTTTAGTAGCTGAGGATACGAGCATACGCCGCAAGGACCAGGGGAGGCAGCATTCTGCTTCTGCAAGATAAACCTGCTACTGGTGCAAATATTCAAGGCACCGCAGGACACTAAAGCGTGTAACCCTCCGTGGAGCTCAATTGCGAAGTGGACCGCGTACATGGCCGTTTCACTAGGCATTAGTGAGAACAAAGATGCCTCTGCGTGCAGCTATTGCAGCGTCAAAAACGAGAGTGCTGAAGCCTTCGTGTACTGCCTGCGCCACCATATATCGACGCTCGTAGAAATGAGGAAGAAGAGTGCGTGCAAAAGGAAGAGAAACACAAAGCAGCTGGACTCACCGTCGCACATCTCTTGGCAACAGTAGCGTGATACCGCGGGTGCAACGCGCTCAGCACAAAAATGAGCAATACAAAATCCCCTGTGCCCTTCGTCACTATTTCTATTGGGACGTCCCCCGCAGTAATGTCAAATGCTGCAACTGTACGCAGCTGACCAACGGGGTAGTGAAACACTTGCGCCTCGCCGCGAGCCACCGCCGCAGCAGCAAGAGCGGCAGCAGGTTTCGCAGCAGTAGTAGAAGGCGACTTCTGCCTGCCGTCTGTTCTGTCCCCACTGTAGTCTTCTTCAGACGAGCTTTGGATGAAAACCGTCTTGTCTGCTGAGCATATTGCATCAGTGTCAACAGGAGTGGGCTGGATGCATGAGCCAGCAGTGGGAGGTTGCGTAGTTTTAGAGGAACGACCTTGCTCCTGTTTATGCAACACAGAGGCCCACCGGTCCTGAGGAAATAGCCACAGCGCACGCACATGCACATCCAAGCCTATTCATTTCAATGAGAAAAGATGATACAGCTCCACTACACGGGGGTAGTCCACAGCCAGCTTAGCTAGTTACGGTCCTTCTTGTTTACCCGCAGCATGCCAACAGCCCTTGGAGAGCAGTCAAATGCCACGGCATGCATCCGCGGATTTTCTGAAAGCATAATCAGAGTGGTAACCGTAAACTCTAGGCGACATCAGACTGGAACAAACAAAAGGATGCGGTTGAGTAAACTGGTGGACTTAAACGGCTGAGCTGCACTTTCGCGGCCCCTACACTAGCAATTCGCGGTAACGGAATGGGGTCAAGCATTTCTGTTTACCAAGGAGAATGGGGATAAGGGAATTGCCCACACCGCACCCCACATCAATGAGCAACGGAAACTCGTGTGCTCCCTTTTCCTCTGTGGCCATGCAAGCCTGAGATAGCTCCGGAAGCTCTTTTCCTAGCCATGCCCGGTCTTTAAAGAAGTGGTCAGTGTTGTGCTGTGAACATGCACAGCCCATAACGCAAGCAAACATGGATTATTGGGTCTGGTTAGGCGCTCGGAATGAGGCAACAAGATGTTGCAGCAAGTCTACAGCAAACGGAGTTGTGACACCAACAAAGAAGTAACAATGCAGAGGAAAAGGAAAGCCGCCTACTTTGTAAAACAGGTCCCAGTGGCGCACAGAATTTTCGAGAAGCTGAGCTGCACATATATACGGCAGCCCCAATCGTGCATTACCTTAAAATAAAGCGATATGAACAGCAGACAACGAAGCTCCTGTCAACCTATGCGGAGATCCTAATGGATCGTCGTTGTGGAGGGAGATGGCTGAAGAGGGTCTGTTCATTTGCTTGCCTTTTTTTTCTTCTGCCATTTCATTACAGTTGCTTTGCAGCACATGCGTCTTTTCCGCTATCGCCTCCTCTGTGAGGGCGAATTTGCGGACTGAAAGTGGCAGTAGGCAAGCCCACATCACATATGTAGCTCTCTTTCCCCATGGCATGTGCACAGGCCACCAACACTGGCAACTTCGCATCGAGGGTTTGAGCACGAGACGTGAGGGCAAGACACTGACCTGTTTCACTATCGTAAAACTCGGAAGGTCCATCAGTCTCTTCCATTGGGGTGAAAGTCAAGAGGAGCAGGAGGTTTTCCAACAGCAATGCAAAATGAACAAACCCGATAAATCGCTCACTGGATTCTTCGACAAACGGTTTTTGCCTCACTCCCTCGCTAACCCAAGGTAGCGAACACAAAGGCCTAAAAACCGGAAAGTTAATCAGTAGTTTACGCATACGCTCGATGGTCCCATGGCTCCAAGATGTCTCTTAATTCGTGCCATTTAGCTTTTACTGCTGTTTACCCATGTTCCCACAGTCTAGGAACAAGAAGTACGGAGTCTTCCTAGTGGAAGGAAGGAAAAGGAGAGCCAAACAGAATTGCGCACGGCCTAGAGAAGCCCACAAAGGTAGATTGTTCGGCGTTTTACTTATAAGCAAGACTTAACACTAAAGGTTTTAGTGGGAGGCTGAGCACTCAACGATCGATACACCACTCCTGACCGCGATGCACTGAATGCCCTAATGGCTACAGGAATGAGAACTGCACTCATAATCCGGGAGTTGGTGCCAGCCAGGGTACTTGAGAAAAAACGTAAACGGCAAAATGATGGGGACAGAATTATCTATGATAATGCCTTGAGAGCAAGAGAAGTCTGGTGGTGGCTGGGACCCCCGCACCGGTCTCAGGCGCATGCGTTTCGGGATCTTAGACGAAGAGAAAGCTCAGGCGCAAAAGTACCAGGATGTGTGAGAAACATTTCATGGCAATTTATGATTCATGCATGAGAGTGATAGCCCAGAATCCTGCGTGTCCCGCTGCGTGTCCTACTGTTTACTACGATACTATTTCAGTAATCTAGGAAACACTGTCGTCTCGTAGTACTTCAGTAGGATATACGTTTGCTAAGATCCTTAGCTTCTTGGGGAATGCAGCCACGAAATCAGTGTGCTTTCGGAGGTTCTTCATAGATGGGAAAGTCGCGAGCGCTTGTTCATCTCAGCAGGGAAATGGAAATGCCACCGAATTTACAATTAGTGGTCTATCATCTGTCCATGGCAATTCCCTTGAAACATCTCCGCATGTGCCCTCTGATCTTCAAGATCATTGCACCCCTTCTCGTTCGCTGTCTAAGTGTTGGATGAACAAACAAAGACACTTTCTGGCCGCCGCACAAGCCTCAGTCCGGGCACCTAACTAAAGCTACTATTATGCTGGAATTCAAATGTACCAAAGTGCGCAGGCGTGGCCAGTGGAGCAAAAACATATAAAGCTGTAGTCGTTTCCTTTCGACGCATTCAGCCGTTAACGCGGGGAAGGAAGCCCGAGTCATGTATGTGCTAGACCACAACTCTCCAAATCGTCAATGTACCACCTGGCTTGAAATGCGCCAGCCATTTGTTGCCAGCAGCTTTAAGCTAGTCTGTCTATTATTTATGTCAACATTGAGTGTCTCTTTCTAGAATCAAGATGCGCGCTTTGCTGAAACAGCAGCAGCAGAAACACCAGATTGCCGATGCCAAGGGAATCGTCTTGTTAGAGCAAAAGAAACGGCAAGAGGAAGAAGACCAAACCATAGCTTTAAGGTGGCAATGGAGTAAAGCATTTAGGCAGTTACGCAACCAAGAGTCGGCTCTGCTTAATGAGACGAAACAAATACTTGCATCCCACGACCTGTTCAATGGTAGGCACAAAGAGAACTCACTCGGCCTGGAACGACACAGGCGGCGACAGAAAGCCTGCTCTACACAATTAACAAATTTTTTTCTCAATTTAAAAACTGCAGGAGATGATTTAAGTATACCACCAGCAGAACGGGCAAAAACAACCTTGCTAACTTCGGATAGCCTCCTTACATTATTCAATGCTCTACGCACACAGAAGTGGGACCAACTGCATGCGCTACTTTCTTCTGGTATAGCCTCGCATTCTTTCAGGGCAGCAGAGTGCACCACAGATATCGCGCTTTCCCCACATCGCGCTTTTGGCTGTTTTGCGGGATTGCAGTGCATCTATTCCTCATTGCTACATCTTTTGAAACAGTCCATTCTTACACCCAAGGGAGTATCCGCTGACCACAAAATCACAGCTTCAAACGCTGCGAAGAAGGGAAATGACACAGAGCGCCTCCCTCAAAATGACGGGTCACAATGCGCATGGTTACAACAACCCTGGCAGATTGCCCGATGCTTGCTACAAGTTTTGCACTCGGTTCTGCAGAGGGAGGGAATGCTGCTAGGACAGCGCTACACAGCTGCAGAAAAAGAAGCTTCTTCTGCGATTGCCAGCTTAAGAGACGCACAGATTCTCCCTCAGGAGCCAGAGGCGTTTTTGCGCCACCCCAAGCACTGTCAAACACAATACCAGGGAGATTGGCAGGGTCTTAGTGACGCAGAAGACGCTGTACTTCGCGGTGAGGCCCCTCAGGTGCGCGCACTGGCCAAAGCGGCTACAGTCCTAGCAGATATTGAGAGGCAAATGGAGACGGAGGCAGCAGGAAGACCCCATGCAGCATCAGACGATCTTGGTGCACTCTCAACTCTCCCCCTTGCTGGAAGAGATAGGCACCTCGCTGCAATCTCTCCAAGAGGGCATGCTGGCACTGGCTTAGCAACTAGAGGGACCTCAGTACATGGGAGTCTTACTTGTGCTTTGTGGACGGGTTTGCTGGACGACTATAGCAAGCGACTGTTGCAGCTGGAAGGGCAGCACGCAAAAGAGTTGCAGCAGTACCGCTGCCACGTGCTCCAGTATAACCGGGCATTGAAAGCAGCAATTGCTGCCCTTCTGCACAGTTCCGCCCTCAAGAAACAAAAAGCTGGAAAGGAGCCGATGAGGCTTTGGGGTAAACTCATCGATCAAAAAGTCGGTGGCGATTCAGCCATCCCTGTGGACCCTGAAACGCAAATTCAGTCTGTCTCACTCCCACAGCAGTGCGGGCTATACAGTCTTGCCACAAAGGAGGGGCAGGATGAAGAAGCGTATCTCTCTTTTTCAGCTGACTCGCCCTCAATCCATGCAATTGGTAACCTTGCTTCAAGCGGTCCGGTGGAGTCTCTGGACTATGGGGAGGGAGGGCAAAAAGGAGATGAAGAAGACAATGAACGAGCCACAAATGCAGTTGCTGCTGCACTGACCACCGTTAGATGGCTGTGGGCTTCAGTAAAGGCCGATCAAGGAAGTGGCAAACGATTCACTCCCGCTTTGATGCAGCGGCTGCGACTGGCCTTCCCACAGGCGGCTTTGGATGAACTGCGAGTCGTTTGCGGGACCCTGCAGCAGCTCAGCCTCCTGCAACAACGACAGCTGACCTGCATGCGGGTGTGGGTGGAAAAGCGTCAGCAGGAGCTACATAGGGTGCTTCGTGAGCTTGATCAAGAAGTGAAGAGGCAGCAAGATGGCATAGAGAGCAGTAAAGCATCTCTAGTGCTATGGAAACGCCGCATGCAGCTTTCCTTTCAGCTGGAGGAGCACAGGAAGAGGCAAGCACAAGAAGAGCGCCAGCGTGCTGCAGCACAGAAAGCTGCACGCGAGGCAATGCTAGCCAGAGAAAACAAAAGTAAGCACAGAGAACAGCTGAGAAGGGCACACGAGAAAAGAAGAATTGCGGATTTCCGACAGCGTAGGCTGTTGGAGGCGCAACAGCAGAACACTAAAGTAGCAGAGGAGGCACAGGGAGCTGCAGCAATTACACCCGAGATGAAGCTGTTGAGTGCAGCCCGGGTTGCTCGGCGACGGGAACAGTACAGCCTACGTGTATTGGAGCAGCAGCTCCAGCAGCAAGAACGACAACTGCAAGAGGAGCTGCTGCACAAGAGGCTAGCTCTGGCAGCAGATAAGTTGAAGCCTGCAATAGATCGTGACCCTATGCGCCTGCATTGGCACACTGCATCCTCTCAGTCCCATATCAATGCCGGGGTGCAACAACGCCAAAAGCACCAGGAGACGCTCCAGCGACGACTGGAGAGCTTTCGTGTAGAGCACACCTACAGCTGTGATACACTAATGCAGGACCTCCGCTTTAGGCTGAGTGTTGCATTGGCAGAAAAGCAGTTAACTTCAACGAAAGCAGCACAAGAACTACTCTCCAGTATGAGTAAAAGGAACGAAAACACGGGACAAGTTTTGCCGCCTTAGAGAAGGGCTTGAGGGTATGGTTGCTGCAAACAGCAGGCGAACGGTGTGCAAAGAACCGCAGACAAGGGAGCAGTTGTGTGTTTTCTACATAAACTCGAGTGCGTCAGCCGTCTTTCCACTATGCTGCTCTTCTCTAGGCTTGAAACTCTTACAAATTACTCGAGATGTCATTGCTGCCTTGCTTATTGAGTGTCTGAACGCGTCAGGGAAAAGGCAGATCTCCAGCTGCTTTTCGGACTTTTCTTTTTGGTAATTTAGCTTGTGCGTGTGTTGTTCAAAAGCGGGAGGTTTTGCCGAGAGCTGTATCTCAGCATGCACTTGTGGATGCACATTTAAACTAAAATGGATGGTTTAGAAACAGAAAGGCGGAGTGTCAATCTAAAGCGCGAGCCACATGGCCTTGTGGTTTTCCCCATGCCTCTTTCCTCTCAGTATATGTGCTGTTGCCTCCGTGCATGTAACTTTTGCCATGGGACAGAGCTACTGAGAGGCATTGCGCATGTGGAAAGCGAGATGGGCAGAGCTTGTAATGAAGCAGCAAGCTCATCGCACGAGCCTTAGCAGCTTGAACAGTTAAGACAGGCCTGAGCCTGTTGGGCTGCTGCAGCAATATCAATCTCCCCATCTGCATTGACAACAGCTGGGCCATAGTACGCCATGGCGTTACGGGACTTATAATACTCGTTACGCATGGCTGACTGTGTCAGCCGCACGTCAAAGCGGTGGCTAGCTGGCTCAAAGAAGAGAGACCACAAGAATAGGACGCATAGGGACACCCCCAGCATCACGGTGTACACTGCATCCCAAACTGGAAAAGAAGCGTTTCCCCAGGTGGCGAGAGCTGCAACTTCTGCGTCGCAAAGAAGAAACACGCACGTGAGAAAAAGCTCTCAGAGACAGGGTGCGGCTTTACTGGAAAGATTTGAGGAGAAAACTCAAGGGACCATTCTAAAAGAAAGCGCAGCACCTGCAAAGGCAGTAAGGTTGAAGCAGATGGCTCCCAACCATCCCCAGGCTTCTCCAGCGCCCTCTGAATGGTAGGCTTCAAGGTAAAAGGCAGAACTGCAGTGCGAAAACGATGCAGAGCGCAAGATGGTCACGTTAGGGACCAAACAGCAGGTCCTATGGTCCCTCCACAGGAATTTTCACGACAGTGGACCGAAGAGCCACGGGGGCGTTGTTGCGTACATCGCCACAGCCGAGCATTAAAAGGAGGCACGATGGTCGGCATAAAAGTCTTATACACTGGGTGAACTGGTAAGGTTCTAGTTAAAGCGTAAGATTACTGCTGCGTCACACGACGAGGCAAAGTATGCAGAGGTGCAAAGGGAAAGAGTGGAAACAAAGGGGGACATCGGCGTAAGAAGTTGTATAAGGACCTTCTTACCCAGCGAAGAAAAACAATGACAGCGCGTCACAAAGTCTTGCAGTGAAAAAAATGAGCCAAGAAGATCCACTGCCAACGGTCTTGTTCATCCAGGGGTCATCGAAGTAGTAGTTGGCGGAATACACCACCAGGAGGGACAGAGTGGAGGCAACAACTCCGAAGGAAGACGCCTGTTGGAGAAACTTGCTGCCCGAACGGTATCCTCGTGATTGCTTAATGCTGAATACACGCAGCGGGTAAAAAGCCGAGGTCTTGCATCAGTGTTCATAGCAAACAAGAATGCGGCCTTTCTAAAACGACGCAAAGACGTGTCCATACAGAAACTTTCGAAGGGTTGTGTTTATGCCATTTGCACAAAAGAGGAGCATGCAATCGCAAATTCCATAAGCGTGATAGATCCTTTCTAGGCAGAAGCCGCATGCACAAACGCAAGAGCTGACCTGCTGTCGTCGTCAGTGAGGGACTGGAAGGCCAGAACAGTCAGGTGACCCAAGATCAAAATGCCGCATCCCAGCTGCGCTGCCCAAAGAGGGCACTTTCCTGAGCATCGAAATCCCGAATGCATACATAAAGTATCTAGAGATGACACAGAATGGAAGGGAGCACATAAGGGTGCTTAAAAAGGTTGGAGTTGTAGTTGTCACCGCGAAGGATAAGTATCGAGGGCGCCACTGCATTTCGGGGACACAAATAAATCCAAACATGCCCGTGCTGCAGCATTTTGATTCTCAGAGTTGTCAAGCGTTGACTTCGGAGTGAAAGCCCAAGGAGGCATACCTGCGGAATCTGGTGTTGCACGGAGGACGTTCAGGAGGGCCAGGGGATCATCACGTCCAGCGGACACAGTCATAAGAAGGCAGGTATATGCCGCTAACAGCAAGAAGACCCCGAGCCTGAGATTGTAGTTTACTAAAAAGCTCCAGAAGGGCTCGAACTGCGGACCCCGACCTTCGGGGGCCTCGCCCGGTCTGACGACGTAAGTGAAGTACATTGCGCTGAGAGAGCAATCCGAATGCTTCTTCGCCGAAAGGATAAAAGTAAAGAAAGAATCGACGTGAAGAAGATTAGAACGCGCTCGGCCCGGCGGTGCGCCACACCCAGCAACCAGTCGTCACCGGTAGGTTTCACGCTTCAGGGCACACACGAAGGAAAGTCGGCTGAGCCAAATCAACTACTAGGTCATTCGAAGGCGAAAAAAAGGACATAAGAATCCACGTCAACCAAGGATCGGGAAAGAAGGCGTGCACTGAGGACGACTCGCAAAGTCCTGAGGCACAGGCACCGCCGACTAGCGACAGGGCGACTACGCAAATCAACAGCAATCGCCTATGCAATGAATGTTGCCCTCCCGCCTATTTCGGCTGGTCTTGCTTTATCTTGTATCTCCTCCCTTCTTTTTCTCTACGAACTAATTTGGACAAAAGATGGCGAAATGGGTTGGCTGATCAGCCAACCAGCACAAGGCGGTTCGGCAGCGCTCCCGAGGTTCCTTATTAGCGACCGATTTTGACTGCAATGACCGTATAATATAGATGGATATTTGCTCGTTACAGGAAAAGGTGCACACAAATAACTTTTGTGGGGGAGTTAGAAATGGTTTTACACGTCTTTTTCAATTTGCAGGCCCATCCGGAACTCCGCACACCCACGCGCACTTGCGCAAAACTGCCACCAGCATCAGCCATTTTGCCGAGAAACTTTAGAAATGAAGCACTCCTTCATATGTGGCAGCAACCGTCAAGGTGATTGATACAAAAAGCAAGCTATTTCATTGCATTTACGGTTCACCCTCAAGCTGCAACAGGAGGGCCACTACAGCAAAGAAGGAAAATCAGAACTGGGGGACACGGGTTGTGGATAATTAGAAGTGATGTATGGGGAACACAGGAAAGTATGCAAAGGAGGTCTCCGAAACGTGGCTCTGCGTTCAACAGAGCTTACCATAAGACTGTGACTGTAGCGGGCTAAATTTCGCACAAGACTTAGCTACCCTGAGTATATACAACTAAGACTTAGTACAGATTTGACTATTTGCCTTCCGTTTGTGTATTTTATGTATTGCGAAGCTGTGTTAATTAGATACAAGAAGGTGCATGTTTCTGTGCCTGCGTGCAAGATGCTGAGCGCAACTAGTGGTGATTGCTCGCCATATATAGTCCAGCTACGCGCACCATATCTGTGTTTCTTCCCTCATATTTGGAGCTCTAGTGATTAGGCTAGGATATTTGTTGCTCATGACATAATTCAAGTTTACTAGAGTCACATTATTTTCAACAGGGTTCCCTTCCTTTCCTGCCCGCATCCCGCATAATTCCTAACATGAGGACAGCTATAGCGAGCACAGCTTCCACCTTTAAGCACTCTGAGCATTCACACGTGGCTCCATATGGCACTTAGCGAACCCGCTCAATTCAATATGGCTGTGTATAGAGCTATTGCTACTTTGCAATAAAAAGGGTATACGGAGAGAAACAGGACACCAAACCCTTTGGTAACTCTTAGTTAGACACAGCTACCATATAAGAAAGCACTTTACTGTGAATTGGCAAAGTGATTTTGGAAAGGTCATGAAAGCACGCACCCTCATGTCTCCGTACCTGTCAGTTGAGACCAATTACATACAGAACAGCGCATGGGGTCCCACCTAATAGCCGCTCACCATTCAGAACAGGAAAAGCAAAAACATTCAAATGAGAAAAGCAAATGTAAAGGTCAAATGCTTATGTAAAACTGAGTGGAAGGAAACACCGCTTTGAGTCTTCTCAAATTGAGCGCACAATACTTTGCAGTAGAAAAGGTATGCGAAAAGCCACGCACCCTGTATAATCCTACTAGTTCTTTGCTAAATGTGGCTATCGTAATAGGAAGAGCCTAGGTGTAGCTCAGCTCGCTACGATAAAAGCTATTTCTAGAAGAAGAATTGGGCATAGCTATGGTCAGCTAAGAGGTGGACAAATAACAAACACTTAATTTTAAGCACGGTGCCTGCGTGTGAGGCAGTGCATTCGCTCACTAGGAGAATCGGAAAGCCATTAGCTTGAAGCTCCAAATTGTCCGCGACAGTGCACGCAAAGAAAACCTGAGACGGCCAAACAACATTCAACACCGAAAAAGAGTCAAAAACTAACGCGACACCTGCGGACGTCTGGATTGCTGTTGTCGCACCGCTGAACTATGTACACCTTCTGCTCTGAAAACACACAAGAGAAGTGAAATCTGCACAGTAGAACACAATGCACACTATTTTTTCACCAATGCCTGCGCACCTCATACAAGTTTGTCTACATGACAGTACATGAGGTACACACAGAAAAGATTATTTCAAATCGCCAATGAAGGATTGAGAAAGAATGTGGGTACAGTATACCTAAGTGCCTCTGCATAGATCTGAGTGTAGAGAAAACCTAAGAATTTCCGGGAACTGTTAAAGCACTACTCATAGATTAAGGTAGCAACAACGAGGCACAACCTGGGTGAGAAATAAACGATACCAGCGTAACGGAGAAATATTGTCTATGGCGATTAGCCTTGTAAAGAAAACAAAGTCGTGAGCTTCCCCCCGGGGAGCAAAGACCGAACCTTCTTGTCCGCTGTCCACCACGTTTTACTAAAAGCATTAATCTGTTCTCGGCGCCCAAAAGTTCTAGGAACGAGCACTTCTATGGTCCCCTGTGGATTTAAGCATCTACAGGGGTCACTGGACTGCGCCACGAAGTCCTAAATAGCTGAAGGCGTTTTGAAACGTTTCAGAAAGCCAGTGGTAATGTTTTATGGTATCTCCAACCCTTAAGAAATCGATGACGTAAGAATAAACATTGATTCGCGAAAGGAAGGCAAGTGCTCCTACGTCGATGGCCACACATGTCTATGTCTGTTCACCTTAAAATGCACCTCTTAGAACCTTGCGACTTAACAGAACGAAACCTTCAGGCCCGAAGCACAAGTCCAGCCGCCGCTCATCTTAATTTGGGCCTGTCTCTCTTGACCCTTGCGCATGCATTCGTTTGCACTAGCCAGCGCTTCAAATTTCCAGCAGCAGGGTGGTTGCTGAACTTGGATCCGCAGGTTCAGTCCCAGTGGGGTGATCGACCGCTCAGTCTTTAGCAAGGATTCGGAAGAGCAATAAGTACATGAGTGCATCGTCGTGTTGTAAGCCCACTCAGCATAAATACGAAATTCAAGGCAAAGAATTGGATTGTTATTAGAATAAAGTCCCAGTAGATACTGCTGACGAGTGTGACTGGTATGCCCTGTCTGTCCTTCTGGATCAAGGTGGCATGCAGGGGTTGCATTGTGTTTAGTGTGCAGGCGAGGCATACACACGCTCCAGAACAAACTACAGAACTTTGGTTTCCTGTCCGTAATGACGCACTGTGTGTGTGTACATGTGTGTGTGTGTGTGTGTGTGTGGTGTTTGCTTAATCCTTGGAGCTCTAAAAAAATGCACTGATAATTGTGTGACTGCCTGAGCCGTGGCCGAGCTGGAATAAGGCAGGAAATGGGCGTAATTGCTTTCAATTACGTAGTTGTCGCGACCATTGACATCCAGCAGTCCAGCAACAAATTTCATATTCAGATTAGTCAAATTGCTTTTAAAAGCCAGAAGGTTTTGCAAAAGTCCAATCTTGGAGGAGTTCCGCAGTCGTGGCTTCAGCTGCGGGTATCACTATAAAACCTGCTATGCGGCGAGGCGCATCCCAGGACGCGAGATGAACTGTGCAAGCTCTTCCCCGGGAGGTTGCACTGTAACATGTCTTAGTAGAACGTGGCAATGTGTATATCGCCAAAAACACACTGGGCAGCCAAGTTGGTAAGTACACACGGTGGATTTCCCGCTTTGCTTGGAACCCCAGCAGGCCATCCTTAGCATTGTTGTGTTTCGACCTTTTGTCGTTAGAAATATCGGCATTAGCCGCTGAAACATGGGTGAAAACGTATAAAACTACCGCTTGTCCATAGAACTCGTGAGTCATCACAGACAAGAGCGCTTGCCGTGCACAATAGTGAATGGCTAGCGCGTCGCGAGCGCACGTCAGCGACTACACTGAACCATGTACAGGGCATCAACGTAGGGTCGTTGCAGGTGGCATCCTTGGCAGCGAGCAACTGTATGATTGCAGACGACTTTACATTTCTTTATGATTTGTATTGAAGACTGATGGTCGATCTGGTAATATGATGCCCCTATGAAGAGCCGACACTTTTCACCCCCCACACTGCTTGGAGCTCCTTTTCTTGCACTAGATGCCGTTGTTTGGTTTCACTAGAGCGTTAGGCATGACACGAATTACTCTGAATCTTTGAATTTAGCATATTGAAAGGAGAGAATAGGATCCACCGCTATGTCATGGCATGGGTTGTTTGTAAAAATGCCACTCAGAAGGAGGCAGCGCCACTACCAGAGGAGCTGTAGGCCTGCCAGCTAGCTTCCTTGTTACCATATCCGCCACTTCTATCCACGTCACAGACTGCGATTTAATGTAAATTACTCAAAGGAGCACCTATCCGAGCAAAGCTATGAATGCGCTTTCGGTAACAAGGTGCGATCCCATAGAACTTATGAGCGTCCTTGCTTGTGGGGAACTATTAATCGCTGTTTGATTGCTTCAATTTCTGCCCGGTTTGGCCCAACTCTTGCAAACCACACACGCGATCAAAAAGTTCAATGCTTCAAATGTTTTAGAATTTGGTGTCGCATCGCTGGTGGGGCATCACAATGTACAAACAGCATACTGGCATACATCAATTTCCAAGTACGAGAGTGTGACGCCGTGTAGTGCCCGGCATCTGGGAAAATGGGGATTCGTAAGAAGGCGGCTGTAAACACATAGTCGTTGGTCCAAGTAGTTTGTAGTGTACATTTCCAATTGGAGGCATTGGGAATTTGCTGTGCCACAGTAATCTTCATCCGGGGTCCAGAGTCAAACACATGCACCAATTTCCATCCTTTTCTGCATGGCCACAAGGTTACGCCCAAAGCTGCTGGTTGATTCCTGCATTGTATTTTTTGCTGAGCAAACCTTATGCATTCAGGTAGAGCTTTTTCATGCCATGGGGTCATCTGATTCTGCGGAACATAGCTCGGGGCCGAACTAGAGACAAGCTCAATACGATGCACTGGACGACCAGCAGGTGGCCGGCTAGCTGGCAGCTCGGAGGCATTTAGCACATCAACGAGATCCTTCTTAATTTTCTCCTATTTTTGCGGCGTGTCGGCTAATATTTCAGTGGAATTTGTTGCAGAGCTACTAAGCCTGGATGTTTGCCTCAAACCTTTGTGTACTACTCTGCTGACCCGCCCCCATGAAGACTCTGGCTCGCATTGTTGCGGTAGCGAATCTAACTGGCTTATCATAGATGAAAGGAGTATTGCTTAGGAGACAAAGAGTTACTTCTTCTTGTTCTGTTCTGGCACGCTAGCCTTCAAACAGCTCACAGCTGTAGCCGGATGCGTGGTGTGCGCCTTCCAGTGAGTAACCCATGGCAGACGTAGGTGTACAATGTGCTTCACGGATCCTAGATGAGTCATGGAACACGCTGGTAGAATTCAATTGTGACTAAATGTAGCATCCAGCCGCCACAGCCTTGCCAATTCTTGCGTCATATCGCCCGTCAGCAAATCTGAGTCCTAGGGACCGTGCTTTGGAATGAACAGGCATGTTGCATGTCTGGACCGTCTCCTCGGATAGTAAATTTACTTCGAATCCAGTGACAAGTATCAGTATCGACTCTGTACCACTAAAGCAAGTTTGTTTCAGGGCTAAATCGACCCGTGGTGGATCTCGACTGCGTCTCTCTCTCCTCTGTGGCCCCCTTCACTGCGCCAGCTGCGTGCTGGGGGGCGTTCTATTTCCAGGAGGCGCTAGCTTTGCTTGCCAAGGACCCAGCGGCCACTGAGCGCATTATCGCTGCTTGAGGCCTCCGAATTTTTTTCATGCCCTTGCGGTTCTTAACTTTGTGACCCCATCTCCCACAATAGAGGCAGCGGCGTTGTTCAGGGCCGTCTGGGACTGCGTAATAGCAAGGGCTCTTTCCAACTACCTTTCTCGTTCATTTGACCTGTACGCTGGGACTGGAAGAGACAGCCTTGATATCCAAAAGCGTATTTCTTAGCTCCGCTCTTCCGTTTCAGCCGTAGACACAGGACTTTCACTCATTTGCTCAAGAAATCGCAAGTGGTCCACCATTTGTGCAAGCCCCACCCGTCGGCACACTGAGTGCCTGCCCATTCTGTTACCATTTGACATGACAATTCAGTCAAATCTCATATCAATTGTTTACAAAGCAGCTGGTCGCATATGTTGTAGCTTTGGCGGACCAATAATTCATATTTCCCGATATACACCAATCGTTCCATACATTCATCGCTTCTCCCTTCTCAGTTCTCCCAAATCTTGCTGTTCAGCTGAGCTCGACATAAACCGATGGGCCAATGAGGCCAGAATAAGCAAAACTGGAGTTCCCTGCAGTCAGATGATTTGACCTATATGAAGAGATCTGGTATTGGACTACTTGTGCTTCCGAAAACCGGTTGAATGGAGCACTCTATTGAATGCCTGTTTAAATCAGCTTCTCTCTTTACCCGCGTATGCTCTTCAAATTTCCCGACATGAGTTGAGCGGTACAGCTAGGGAACGCATGAGTCTACCCTCAATACACTCCAGGCATTCATAGCCGGCGTGCACAAAGCATGAACTTGCGTATTTTGTCTTGGGTGATCAAGACTGCGCCACAGGAAAACTTTACAAACAGACAAACAAGTTATCCAGTTATCTGGCAATTCATAGTGAAATATCAATTGCTTGGTAGGAAGTGCTAAAGTGTTGTTTAGCTTACTATACCCGTATGGCTGTTCTGGCTCCTATTTGCCTGGGAAAACATAATTGAGTGAGACGGCTTATATAGTAGAATGCGTCCTCGCGCAGCCTGACCCTCTGCATTCGTTCTGTCATGGAAAAAAGCAAATGTCATTCTCCAGACCTGGCTTGCTAAAACACTGCATAAAACACCCACCGTCTGCATGCTTATGATATATTTTTGTAACGTGGCTCTTCATGTATGCCAGCTGCTGCCGATCATCGCTATTCACATGCTCTAAGAATGAATTATGCTTGCGTACATGCTTTTCCAGGCTGCAATATGCAGATATCCGCAAGAATGAAGAGGTTGGACGGTGCAGCAAGATGCATTCCAGCTAGTTTCTGTTCGTTCATGCCGAAAAACCGTGAAGCGAGAGAGGAAGAAGGGCTTTCATGCATCAGAGATCTAATAACACCATCTTAGGTATTGATGTGGTGATCTGGATAAGGGACTTTCGCTAGATCTATGGAGAAATTGTAGCACTCCATCTACGGGCTCTGTTAGGAAGCACTCCGAATAGTGGTCTCAGCAACGCGTACACAATTCTAGCTCATTAGGTACATCTGAGAGAGGTGACCGATCGTTTGTCTCTTCCTCTCTCCTGCTTATTAGAGAGTACCATACACTTGACACAAGAAGACGCAATCTTGGGTGTGTTTCCGCTGGATGCTATTTGCAAGTAATTGTAAACGCTCGAAGTACCTGGATGATGCAGTCACGCGCACTCTAGCTGTCCCTACCTGTTACGTCGGGAAAGTTGAGGGGCTCGTTTATGGAAAGAAGTTCAGTCTGTTGCAAAACCACTCAGGAAAATTCAACCAAGTTTGCAATGTGGCGAAATCTAATTATTTCTCAGTGGAGGCCCTAAATGAGGTGATACACTTGACGCCAGACACCTTGATTAAAAGTGACTATTCTTTCAGAAGTGCTCCTCCACTCCCATGTCGGCACCCCTCAGGGCTCCGGCGTGACGAGATGAGCAGCTTAGGCACACGTTACTGATTCTCAACACCATTCCACGTATTCACAGCTATGTTTACACAGCACGTAGCGCATACCCACACATTGCGCCTTATCGTGATAAGCTTACACTATTCTGAAACAAACTGGAAATAAGAAGGGCCATGCTAAGTAGTCAATTTTGTGATAATTCTTCGCTAAGCATTACTGGTGTAAAAGTGTTCATATACATTAATTTGGAACAAGAAGTGCTGCACAAGCCACGAGGCTAGCTCCAATATCAGTACTTGAAGACTACTTAGAGCCCAGTCATCCATTGGATACGCGCCCAGATTCGAACTCAATAAAGTTACTCTAGCAGGACCTGCCTAAGTAAAGCCTGTCGTGTATGCGTGCTTTCGCTTATGGATTCCTCTGTGGACAGTAGCGAGACTGCCGCCTTAACAGGGCTCGTGGCCTGATATTCCGTGTTTCCAAGGGTGAAACACATATTTTTTCACTGCCGTAAGAGACAAACCAAAATGAAGCCTGACTTTGCTTCTTAGCGTCAGGGTGGCATGGCCGTAATTAGAGGACAAAAGTTCATGTCTTGCACACGCAACTCACAGCTCACTCACTCCTTCCCATTCATTCGAATATTTTCCTGCTTAGTATTGCAGGCATGGCATCAGATCATCAGCTGCGCTTACAGAGGAAGCACAATGGGAGGCATATGCAGAGAGACCGGCAGTGGTCATGGAAGCTTCTTGGGCAGTATTCGATGAGAAATCGCATAGAAAACAGATCAAAATTTCTTAGTATACTGGAGATGCTTTTTTCTCTAGGACCGAAGAACCGGACGAGTTTCGAAGCTTATGTTCACTGCAGCAGGATATGCTGTGGCGCAGCCGAAGACCATGCAACACCATTCTGTTCTGGAGAACTAAACTTTTTGCAGGCCACAACAATGACTTGTTTCAGGTGATTATCTGAAGAAAAAATCAGACTTTAAGGCTTTAATCTGCATGAAATCTCTTCTTGGCATTTGTTTCATGTTTAACTGCACCGCGATCAGGTCGCGGTCATTGATCGTGGTGTATGGACTTGTGGCACCTCCCCTGGCTCCGCAGTCTTTCAATGCAAAAAGCCTTTGCATCATTTTGAATTTTCCTCTGGGCTTTTCTATCTTATTGGCCATTGTATTATGCAGAGGAAGGGCAAGACAAGCAAACAGGCTTGGCGTCGGGCCTTGCTGGAGGCGTTGCCCTCCTTGGATGCTTATTGCAGCCTGTACCCCTAAGAAGCTGCAAATTACCCAACTTCCTTCCTTAGCTACATGCCCACTACTTTCAATACCTGTTGCTCAGTCTCTTCTATTTTCTTTCGCGAAACTCTCCACTAATATCCCTCCGTCCACGGTGCGGCCTGCAGAGCTCCGTAGGCCTCCCCGAGAGCAGAGGAGCTCCCACTTGTGTGTTCGCTTTCCCTTACGCGTCGTGCACCGCTGCACACGACCAGCGGGGGATATTTAAATGCGCCGTTAGAGGCTTGACGGATCCGCGAATTGTTTTGCAATGGAGCAAACTCGTGACCCCGTAGCTCTAGACCGCTGGGAAAAAGGCCACAGACGCAGTCAGGGGCTTCAACGGGGGCCGCACAGGATGTATAGGGAGCAAGAAAGCGAGTCTATGACTGGCTTTCTCTCAGGTCTAAAGAAGAATCTGCAGGAGAGCCTCACATCACCCGGGTCTCTTGAGGCTGAATGGCAATCTCGAGTGCCGCGCATGGAGGGCGGTGACCCCCGACAGGCTGCGCACGACTACTGGAAGTGGCAGCTGGAGCAAAACGAGAAGCAATGGCAAAAACAAGAGAGGCGTCGGCAGCTGCACCAGCAAGAATGGACAGACCACCCGTCTGGCCCCAGTTTTGAGCAGAACGAGTGGCAACGCAGCCTGCGGCGCAAAGGCTACAAACCCACAAGTAAACCCCAGTGGACTTGCCTCGAGCAGTTTCGGAAAACTCTGAGCATCGACAGCGGCGAGGAAGAAGACACTGGAAGAGAAAACGAGTCGGAAAACCGAGAGTCGGCTCCTACCCCGAGGTACCCTGACGATGTGCAGCGATCACCTCGCCGACGGCCTCCAGAAGCGGATCCAGAAGAGGCCTTCACACAAAGGCAAAAAACAGAAAGGCACTTCGCCGAGGCGAGATATGCGGATACTCACGGGGGGCACCCGCCACGCGCATCCCACGAAAGACGCAGCAGCCGCAAGCTGCGATGGAGAGGCGACTCCCCAGTGTGGGCTACAGAGGAAGCCTCACGCTCTCCGGGTAGGGATTTGCGAGGATTCCCACAAGATGCGGAGACAGGCAGGACGGCAGCAGGGTGTAGGTACGATCACATAAGTCCTCTCGCGTCTCCACGATTTGGATCTCTGGAGAGCCCAGAGTCAGACGCAGAAGGCGCCCCTCCCTCGGGCGTAGAAAGTCGACAGTCTCCCGTCTTTGGAGGAAGGAGACCTTACTCTTCTTCGTCTGCGAAGCCTTCTTCACAACCGTCGTCGAGGCATGCGCAAGACGCAGCCGATTATGGGGAGCCCTGGATGGACAGTACGAGCTCGTTCCCGCCTTCTGCCTCTACTGCTGCCACCGCAGTCGACTCTCCAGGCTGCAGCACCTCCCGAAGAAGCAAGCAGCATGTAACGACAACGCAGCCACAGCAGCAGCAGCCGCTGCAGCATTACCACCACATGGAGGAGGACATGGAAGAACGGCAGTCGGCTTCCCTCCGAGCAGGTTCTCCGACTGTGGGAGCGCGACAGTCCGAGGAGGAGGCGGTGGCTCCCTTGGGGGACGCCCTTGAGTATGAGGCTGCAATCCCGAGGCGACAGCGCTTGCTGCAAATGGCGAGCAGCGCCCCCCCGCTGCACGCTCAACTTTCCCGCAGGCAGGCGGTTGCGCAAGACGCGCAGCTGCGCTCTGCCGTACGTCAGCAGCTCGACGAGGGCCTTAGGGAGGCTCTCACGCTGGATCTCTTGGAGTTTCAGCGGGAGGCGTTCTTCGGAAAACAGAAAGGAAGGCACCGCAGCGGCGAGGCTCCGCTGCCGCTGTGCGTGCTAGAAGAGGGTGTAGAATGGAAGGAAGACGGCGTAGAGAGTCATCAGACGGCCGCAGCCGCAGACAAGACCCCCTCCTCTCCCTCTTCTTCCTCCTCCCTTTCCCCGGAATCGCGAGATGCGCAGGCAGCAGCGGAAGAGGGAAGCGCAGCAGGAGAGGAAAGCGCTGAAGCAGCGGAGGACGGTCCACAGGATCGCGAAACAGCGGCTTTTGCGGAGGCGGGGGGGGAGGAAGAAGGGGAAGCGGCTCCCGAGGACTACCCCAAAGGCACTCTGCACACTGAAGAAGCGCTGGGTGATCCGTCTGAGCAGCACGCAAGCGAAAGTTTCTTGGACTGTAGGCCCCCAACGACACAACACCTGTCACAAGAAGAGCAGTTCGAAGGCGACGCAGCCTTTCAGGAAACGGAAATGCAAGACGGCGGGGACGGAGAGGAGGAAGGCGTGGCGGCAGAAGCGGAAGAGTCGATGCAAGAGGAAGGGGCAGCGCGCGCTGCTGAGTTTTTTTCGCAGAAAGCGGAGGATTGCGAACCTCCAGCGGAGACGTGTGGAAGGCCCCTGCAGCACAGCGCCATGGCAGATCAGCAGTTGACAGTGGAGGCTCTCCGTGCGGTTTCCCTGGGGATGGTGCAGCCGCTGCAGCAGAGCGGCGATGGCTCTGCTACAGGGAACTTCTTGTCTGAGTGGCTGCAGCAGTGCGCGCAGCTGCGGCAGCAGGCTTTTTGCCAGGGAGATCGCAGCGCCGTCGGAGAGTGCATGCAGCAGGTCCCCGAGGCGAGCGGCAGCGGCAGCGTGGCGTCTGTTTCCAGCAGCGTCCCTTCAGACTTCCAGTGGTGGACCCCTCAAGCGGACGATACGGCTTCTCCCGAGGCACCGCAAGAAGAGGACGCTACACAGCAGCAGCAGTCCTCGCCGTTGCCTTCGCTTGAGCAGACGGCTTCGCCATCCGACACGCCTGAGGCGGCAGGAAGGCAGTCCCTGCCTCGAGGGGAAGAGGCTGCGGGGGTGGATGTGATGAGGCTTTTAAATGGACCCTCAGCGCCGGAAAAAGCGCGAGGAAAATCTGCTTTTTCTCGAGGAACGGCGTGTGCCGATCATGCGGCTGCGTCCGGGGAGGCTTTGTTTGCGGGAGCAACGCCCCCTCCTCCGGGAGCGCATGCAGAAAAGGCTGCGCATGCGCTTCTGCCAGCAGGGGCTGCGCTTTGCGGGGTGGCGGGGACGGCAGCAGGCGCTGCGGCAGCATCTCCATCGGCATGCGAATCGCCATCCATGTGCGGAGAGTTGTCACAGCAGGCGGGGAACCTCGAAGCAGGCGCGCCAGGGGCGTTCTCGAGCGGCGACATCGCGGCAGAGGCAGCAGCAACAGCAGCAAAAGCCGCAGAGGCAGCAGCTCTGCAGGCGGCAAGGGCAGCCGCAGCTGCAGCCGCAGCCTTAGTAGCCCATTCAGCAGCAGCAGCGTCGAGGGGTGTGGAGGACAGGCAGCAGAAGCTGCATCTCGAAAATGCACGGGGATCTATTCGAGGCTCTCTCCTGGAAGAAAGAGACCTTGAAAATCTCAAACAGCTCCAGCGTCTACGGGCAGAGCGAGCAAACGCAGCAGCCAATGGAAGGGGTAGGTTTGCGGGATGTGCGTCCACCTCGCTCGCAGCTAAGGACGGCGAGCAGCGAGGAGAGAGTGCATGCGGCGCCTCCTTCGCTTGCTCGACGCGGGGGAAGGGGGTTCTTCCAGCCCCCCCTCCCTCGAGAGGAAGATCTTTAAGAGCAGCGGCAGAAGACGTCGGCTTCTTCAGCGGAGCACTCGACGGGGGGGGCGGAGAAAATCTGCAACTTCCTACAGGCGTTGCTTCAGGCGTAGTTGCTGAGAGTTCAAAGCTCTCCGGGGAAAATAAGCAGCCAGGGGAGGTCGCCCTCGAGCCAGCGCTGCAGAAGGCGGAGACGACGCAGCCTCAATTTGCGCTGGCGAAGTCGAGCGAGTTGGAAGCTATGCAGCGGGAGGAGGAAGCCTCTGAAGAGATGCGGGGGCAGCGAAAGAAGGAGTATTTTTCCCTCGTCTCGCAGCAGCAGTCGGAGCAGCACCACCAGAAGCGGCGTTCCCAGCAATCTTCGCCGCGCGTGCGATTTGCCGAAGATGCCTTGCAGAATGAGCAGTGCGTCGTTTGATGCCGTTTCGGTTCTAGAAAAAGGTCTTTTAGGCAGTCTAGAGAGCACTGCCACGCAGTTGCGCTTGCCTGATCCATCGCTGCTCTCTAGTCTCTGATATGGGGTTTCTTTCGCTCTGCAGGCTCAAAGAGCAGCTCAAGAGGCAATCCAGGGAGCTAAAGAAGCTGCGTCACTTCAAAAGCGTCCAGCACGCGCTACACAAAGAAACCGAGCGGCATCTCGACGTGAGTTGACCTCCTTCTTGCATGACATGGCCCAGTAGAAAAGCGACTCTTCTGCTCACCGTGCACGGTGCCTCTCCCCGCGAGTGTTTTTTTCGCATAGCCCTCTGTTTAAAGGCCTCATTCAATGTGTGTGTATGAGCTTTTCTCTCCTTTATGTGTGTCTGAATGTCGCCTGGGCCTGGTAGGTGCTGCACATGGAGCTAAATAAACTGGCAGCAGAGAACGTGGAGCTTATCGAGCAGCGGCAGAAAACAGGCATTGCAGCGCAGCACGTAGCATTCCGTTTGCTGGTGCTCCACGCGCGTGCTTCTAGGAAGGCGGTCATGGAGGACGCCGCAGTGTCTCCCCGCAAAGACGAAGAAGAGGCTCTGAATCATGTAGTGCAGCAAAACAGAGAGCTCCAGCAAATGCAGTGGCAGCTGCAGCAGCTGCGGCAGAAGGTCATTGCAACCCATACAAAGCAACAGGAAGGCCAGCAGCGGCTGCGTGAGCTGCAAGCAAAAGCAGCAACCCTGCAGCAGGAGAATACAGCTCTCAAACAAACCGTCAAAAAGCTCCAATCCGAGCAGCAAGAGCAGCAGCAGAGACTAGAGCAGCAGCAGCAACTAGAGCAGCAGCAACAACTAGAGCAGCAGCAGAGACAAGCGGAGCAGCAGCAGAGACAAGCAGAGCAGCAGCAGAGACAAGCAGAGCAGCAGCAGCAGAGACAAGAAGGACAGCCGCAGCAGCAGGAGTCGCCTGTTAGAGAAGAGGATGCGAATTTTCCCCAGATAGACGTAAGCGAGGGATATTGACACATCCATTAATCCCTGCAGAGGGCGTTTAGAGAGTGGGCTTCTCTTGCTGGCAAGGCGGGAAAAGGGTAGCTTTACTCATCAGGTGTTGTGGAGGCTGCATGATAGAAAATTGTGCAGGGATGGCAAGGGCATTTATAGCGCGAAAGCAGTCGATTCTTTTTTCGTATGTGCTGCACGTGTATGTGGATATTTTTAGCGCATCAGCGGCGATGTGGCCGCTGAGCAGAAGGCGCGTATGGAGGCGGAAGAGCAGTTGCGGGAGACTCTGGAGGTATTGGAGCTTCTGAAGGAGTGCTTGCAGGAGCAAAAGGAAAAGGCATCGAGTCTCGAAGAGCAATTAGCAGACGCCCAGCGTCAGCATAGCGAGCTGAAGCAGCAGCTCGAGCAGCAGGCGCTTGAAAAGAGACCTCCTGTCACCACGTCTGCAGCCGTCCTCTTGGATGCGCTTGCCAGTGAGGCAGCAGGGGAGAGTGTTCAGGAGGATGCGTCGGAAACGTCTTTAGGAGCTTCTGATTCAAAGAGGCAATCGCTTTTGCCCTCTAAAACACGTCCTACGCGTAACGAAGTACGTGTCGGGGGTGGGCATCATGCGGGGGGAGTAAGGAGGGGGCTGTTGTTATTCTTGTTGTTTTTATTGTGTGCAAGCCTGGTATGGATGCAACCTAGCGGCCTGTTTTGCAAAGCTCTTGCACTGCAGAGAGCAAGGAAAGGAAAACAAATTGCCACACCGCATCCTGAGCTGTTGCCAGGGAACAGGGGGGGGTTGGGGGGAGGGGGTGTTAGAGTTGGTGAGGAGGGGTGTTGGATGCTGACGTGTGTCTCTCCGTGCGCTATCTTCGACATCTTTGCAGACTTCCGAAGTCGGCATTCAGGCAGGGCCGCCGAAAACTTTGAATCCCCTTTGCAACTCGAAAGACACCTTGCAGCAGCAGCAGCAGCAGCAACAGCAGCAACAGCAGAAGATTGTACGTCTGAAGGCTGCCCTTGCCACGCAGTCCAAGGCGTTTTCCGAGGACAAGGCATATTACCAGCAGTTGGTACTAAAGCTGCAGCAGCGCATCGCAGAATTAGAAAGGTACCAGCATCAGCTGCTGGTGCACCTACAGCAGCTACAGCAGCGGCAGCAGCAGCAGCAGCAGCAGCAGCAGCAGCAGCAGGCACCTGTTGCATCAGGTTCTGCGGGTTATGTGCCCTGCCTCGTCAACGCACTCGCGCCATATGCCTTCCCAGCAGCAGCTGCTGCGTTGTTGCCGAGGGTGTCGGAGAAGAATTCATTGGAGCAGCAGCCGCAAGGAGAGGCGCATGCGCATGCGGGTAAAAGGCAAAGCGGTTCCTGGGGAGAGGATACGGCGGGAGAGGACGCCGGCAGCTCGAGTAGCGAAGATTGGCTAAAGCTGCTTGCCGATGCCATCCAAGACGAAGATCAAGCGCGGCAAAACACAGCGGACAGCGATACGACGCAGCTGGCGAAGATGCAGTGCTCTACTGCTGAAGGGCAGCATCCAAAGGAACAGACACTGGCGAGAGTGCCTGAGTCTGGCGAGGCACCTGGTGATGCTCTTCTGCAAAGGCAGCAGCACACCTTCCGCTTCTCGCTTCCCAGAAAAACGGATGCTGCTGCTCGTGCAGCGTCGAATGCCCCCAGCCTCCTTTCTGCAGCGCCTTCAGTACAGCCGGCGGCTACTTTGCAAGAGCAGGAAACTCGGCAGCGCCTCTTGCAGCAGCTGCGGGAGAGTTTGGAAGAACGAGTGTGCAAGCATTTGGAGAAGCTGCAGGTGTCTCTCAGCGTAGAAAGTCAGACTGCTGGCGGCAGCAGCAAGTCTCTTGACGTTCCAGGCATCCAGGAGGGTGTTTTGTCCTCACGTCAAGAGAGCTCTCGGCAGGGTGAGGGGGGGAGCAGTCCACGCGGAAGGGCAGCAGGGGCATGCCTCAAGTCGGGAGGCTTTGGCATGCAGAAGCGTGGTTTGTCGCCGCCTGTGGCAGACCAGCAAGCAGAGCAGAAGACCTCGAGTGAGAGGGAGAACCCCTGGCTGCAAGCGCAGCAGCCGCCCTCCCCTTCTCGAATCTCGTCTCAGTCATTCATGAGTTCTGGAGGCAGCACTGTCGAGTCCGTACAATTGCAAGACTTCACAGCTGGGCTGGCAGAGAAGGATGCGTCAGGAATCTCGAGGAGGCAAGAAATCAGCAGGAGCCCTGTGGTGTCCACCACTGCAAGTTCTGTTTTTGGGGGCGATACAGCCGGGTGCTCAGCCTTTCCCGTGTCTGTCGGCAAGGCAGAGCTTGCAGACATTGAGCTCTCCGACGACGTTCCTGCGGCAAGGCAAAAGATACAGGAGTTCAGGCGCCAGCTGCGGCAGCAGGGGCTGCTTAGCTGAGCACGCGATGGCGGGAAGGAGGGGGAAGGCGGAGGCTTGCGTTAGACAAGGGGCAATACTCCTCGTTCTGAACCGCCGAGGTTGGCAAAAAACCCAAAGTTTTCTGCTTTAGGCAGCCCCGGGAAAGCAGGAAAATGCACTTTCTGCGGTTTTTTCTTCACACGCCCGCGCATCTTTGAGTGCACTCGAAAACCAGGTCGCTTTGGTGTACAGACACATGAACAGAGTGCCCTGTTAGTTTGGTACAGAGGCCCTGCAGTCTAATTAGTTTTGCGTGTAACGACTCGGTTTGCGAGGCCCAATCCTCAAATGTCTGCAGTTGGCTTGCTGCTATGGACACCGCGAAGCGAGCACGCGCCCTTAAGACTGAATTAACTGCAAGCGGCATGAAGCACAGGCACAAACGCAGTGGAATCTGCCTGCCTGGCGCTGTGTACTCTCTACAAGAGTTTTCTGCGCTTAGCTGGGGACCTGTCTTATTTGATGGCTCTCAGGTGCAAAGTTCGCTGGCTAGTGGAGGGCGCCTCTGCGGGGGAAAAGAAGACGCCTTGGCCGTCCAGCCAGCCAAGGCTTCTCCTCTTCCGCTTAAAACAAAGTAAAATAAACAGACATGGGACACACAGAGTTGTTGTGCCCCAAAACACTTTGTAACAAGCTGTCCTCGGCACTCTTTAAAGCAAAGTGAGAGCGACCGAATCCCCCGTCCTACTTGGGGGGTGTGCTGCGACACCTGGTTGGTCCAGTTCTGTACAGACTTTCAGATCCCGCGGATGCGTCGATACTGGCGTCTTGCTAGCTGGAGACGCCAGGCATGGGGGCGCAACTGCAGCTTTCCTCTAACCCTACCTTGACAAAGGCCTTATGCAGTTGAACCTAACTGTGCAGGAACAGCTTTCCTCTAATCCTACCTTGACAAAGGCCTTCATGCAGTTCAAACTAACTGTGCAGAAATAGGAAAAAGCACCAGGGTTCTTAGTGCGTCCCTTTTGGGGCCTTATCTTCACGGTGTTTGGCCCTCTGGGGTTTCCCAGGATAGTCCTGGTCGGGGTCGAACCATTTTCTGGAGCGCATGCAGGAATGTGGAATGGTCAGCAACCGGTTGGATGCATGTAGTTGTGATGTCGTGTAGAGGGATCATTTTTGTGAACGAACAGAAACACTTCCAAAAAGGAAGGATCTATGCGTGGGTGCATACGCTAGTCCCTCAAAGCAAAGCACAGAGCTTGCAATGTATGTGCTGCATGCCGCACGAACGGACATAGACACTCCGTGCGGAGAGAGGCCAGTGTCCCGCAAGCAATGCCTGTGGCCTGATACAGTTTCCGTCCGCCCACAACAAGACTTTTTTTCTCCAAGATGCTTTGCATAGACACTGTAATCCAACGCCTAGATACTGCGACGCGTAGGATGCACCACTCCTCTTTCAGGCAACGCACACCTCATATGGGAATCTCTTCGATTCGGTGGTGGCTGCACACTCCGTCCGACCTCCATCAATCTCCTGATCCCAGAACTCCAAACATTTCTTAAGGGCCCCCTTTAAGGCCTGCGTAAGGAGGTCCTTGGCCCCAAATCAAATTCAATTTCGTGCTGGCGAAATAATTTGTGTGTTTTTCAAGGAGCTCACCCTGTTCGCTGTCCTGAACCAACAGAATTCATCAGTGAGAGTGAAGGTGTTGTAGTACATTCTGTGCATTGCAGGTCCTCGCACCATGTTGCACACTACCAATTGCGCGCACAGCCACAGGGCTTCCACTCATGTAGCATGCGGCCAACTGCTATACTGTGTACTGTGTAATACTTAGCATATACGCGCCTAAATCAATTTGTCAATACTTCATTCGTTCTTCACTAAAAGTGTCTAGTATAACAGCAACAACCGAGGTTCAACTTCCAAAATCGGCCATATTTAGGCTTGGATGAGGTGGCGTACACGAAAGGAGGCCACAGTTTATAGCTCTGAACTTAACAGGTCAACTGCAAGCCCACTTCACAAATTCCAGCCACTGCCCCCGAGGTGCCTACCGGAGTTGGACACGAACCACTACCACGGCCTGGCTTGCGTTAGGGTCCAAATAGGACGACTTTTCTGGATAGTGTAGCAGACGGTTTTACACTTTGGCACACCCTCTACAGTGGATATATTTCATTATGAGTCAGTCAAGTATTTGCTTATTTTTTATGTTGCATTGAGGCGTTATTCAGTGCAGAGTGAGTAAGTTAGCCCAGTTGTCTACTAATTGACGCGAGATACTTGTGTGTTGCAGGCTCATGTGCCACTTGGTGCAAGTGATCAAAGCTTTCAAAGAGTGGAGCTATGTCCATGTGCCCTAGCTGTTGTCCTGCGCCCACTGCAGCCACCCGGAGTGGCAGTATAAAAACAAGAAGAAGATGATGAAGCTGCTTAGGCTGACACTTGCGGTTTTTTTGCGCAAGGTTTCGGTATTGGATTTGACGCCAGAACGATTTTCTTTTTGACGCGTAGAAGGAGTGTTACAGCTAGTCCAGGCAGGAGCAGTACATGAGACTTCTCTTATGTAAGCTGAATGCTGGCTGGACCATCCTTAAACAACGACAAAAGCCACTTAAGAATAAAAATTTGGATCATACAAAAGCATGTGCAGCCCGGTGTGCGGAAGACGAATTCGTTTTCATTGAGTGTAATCACGGACCTAGCGAGCGACATGAGCTGTGTGTTTAGAGCCGTACCAGCGAAAATGATCACATGGTTTTATGCTTGATTTTTCAGTTTCGGTGACTTCCCTCGGCCTTCTCTTTCGCGATGTCGAATTCTTGCCAAACAGCTAGACGACCACAAAAGCGTGGGCGAAACGCGAAGCGGCCCGTATCGGGATTCTTAGATCACACAAAAAGTAGTGTTCACAGCCTATATTTTTAGCGGAATAAGACAACAAAGCACCAAGGTAGAATATCCTTCAGGGTCTACCGCAATTTCTTCCTCTCAGCTAAATCACACAGAGGAATGAGCGATTGTGCATGCGGCCAATCGATCTGCTCCCTTGTGAGTGTTTTTGCCTTTAGTAGGCAATAGCGAGCGTTTTCTCGATCTTTTGTTGTATTAATGCTAAAGGAGTCTTCTCTACGGCCTTTATTTGTCATGATTGCCTCTCTGCCCACCGAGAGTTTCTTAGAGCTCAGATTGTAGTTGCATGCACATGCTGCATCGCTCAAATTATCATTTGCTATAGTTTTCTTTGTTTTCAACTTAAAATTTGAATCCACAAAGTCAACTAGAGGGTTCTTAGAAGGCATCCCGTGCGCAGCCCCTTGGGAGCAGCCACTACAGCCTTGTGTTTGCTGGTTAAATATACTATATATATCACCGCTTGCTGACGGGCGTATGTGGTCATGGGAATAGATAGGAGGTAGCAGTTCCAGATAGATTTTGAGTGGCGCCTTATTCGGATTTTCACGGCTTGTCGCTCTATCGTAGCCGTTACCGTTTTCTTCCTGCGTACGTTCAAAGGCCTCCCTGAGCCTCTAGGCGCAAAAGCGAGCTCCTTGTGTCCATTCACTTCCTGGCCATGCAGTCCGCAACACTCCTTCCTCGCACCGCTGCGTTGCAGGGCACGGTTGGTGGTTGGCGCACTTCAGTTGCGGCGCCGTCCTGTGTGTAGCCAATCCTCCGAACGTGTGGACTCTCTCTCCTTCCTTCGTCTCTTAGAGGCGACCCCAGGAGCTGCGAGTCTTCGGCGAGTCGTCGAGCCGTGCTTGTATTCCTTCCGCCCTCCCTCTCTTGAGAAAGCAACTAGCACGCCTAAAGGCCCCAGCCAGTGTCTGGCATCTCGGTGCGTGAAGTGTCCAGCGAACCTGACGCTGCCTCCTCACTCACAATTGAGGCCACCCTCTTTCTTCGCGGAACCAAACAAAAAGAGGCCGGACTGTTGGGCTGCTGCCTGTGTGTCCCGCGTTACTGCGTGCGCGCTTCTCCCCCGCGTGTGTCATCATCCTTCATCGTCATAAGTCCTCTTTTGGCCTGGTGGCAGTGAGACTTCTGCTGCAGCGTCGGGAAAGATGTCTTCTCGAGATGATCAGATTCCGACACTGAGTCGGGAGAACCGGTGGGCTAACGAAGAGGACGTTGGCTTGAGTCCGAAAGACCAAAGCCCCCCGCATAGCCCCCCCGGATATCCAGCCATATCTTCGTTCCAAGAAGGCGTAAGCACGCATTTAGAGAGAGGAGCGACAAGGCCTCCCCATGCCCGACGAGCGCGTCCAGGCGCGCACTTCCAGGCACCGCCTACTTCGCCTCGCGCGCCGCTGGTGCACTGCAACACCCTGTTCAAAACGTCGACTGTTCAGGCACCCCTCCTTCTCGAGGAAGACAGAGGCCAAGAGGCGGCCAAAGGCGCAGGAGACGCAGTAGCAGTGCCTAGGACGAAGTCTACACCCGTGTCTGCAGACAGACGGGGCATTACACCGCCGTCGAGCGCGTGTGAGGCTGCGGGGGTTCAACTGACACAAGCACCCTCAAGTCCTCAACCACAGGCGTCGACGACATTCTCGGCGCCTTCAGACCGCGAGTCGCAGTGTGCAACGAGCTCCCCTAAGAAAGACAACCCTTCTCAGACCCCCCTAAGTTCACAGTTCGCCAGCGCGCAGCACAGCGGCAGCAGGCCCCCAGGACGGCTTGGCATTCCCAACGCGCAAGGGGGCTTGTCCTTCTCCAGCGAGAAGCTGCTCTCTGCAGCTCCATATTTCAAGGCTTTCCAAGAGATGGAGAAGGCCTTGGCGTCAACAACTCCCAAGAAACACATTCCCATGGGACCCCGGCATATAAGCGTAGCGATGCAGGGGGCCCCCCCCGTTAAGGTCTTCTGCGGGACGTGGTTAGCAAGCCGCACATCTCTCCCCCTCTTTCGAGTTTTCTTCCCTTTGCCCTTTTAGGCCTTCGCCTCCCGCTTTCTAAGCAGCAGTAGTAGCTCTCTTCTTCTAGGGGCAACTCATGGACAAGTCGGTGTTTTTCGTGCACACATGCATGAACACGCTTTGCGTGGCAATAATTGTACAGATACAAGCAAAGGGGCGTTGATGAGGCACATATCTTATATCCATATAAATGTGTTTATACCTATATCTGCATATGCACGAGCAGCTGTATCTATATCTAGAGTACGGCCCTTGAATAATATAGGCAGGCCTCGACATGCACACATAATTCTAGGGGGAGGAGTCTGCTTGTGCCTCGCCTTCTGATGGTGCTTGTGCTGCAGGAACTGTCAATATCAGGAATTCCCAGTAAACTTCTTGACAAACCAGAAAACTGCAGTTTGCGTACAGAGGATTTCGGGGAGCCAGAAATTCGCGGGCGGTTCGGAAACTCCTTCCCCTTTAAGTGGGGAAGTATCGCCCTCTTCAGTGATAGCCGAGTGCCTTCCCGAAGAGGTCCCGGCGGATGTGATTGCCAAACTGGATGGCGATTTTGAGACCTTGTTCAGCTCTGACGGCAATGAGGCAGAAGGTCAAGCGGAAGGAGATGGCCAGCCGCAGGAGCCTGCTGCTGCTGTCGCGCAGTCGCCCTCTGTGAGGTTTTCACCCCCCTTGACACGAAGAGGCACAATCCGTAGGGGAGACCTTCTGCGTTCCAGCACCCGACAGTTGACGGCAGTACAAGGAGAAGACCAGCCCCTAGGAGAGTGGCTGCTTCCGGGTTATGACGTGTACGTTGTCTCTCTTCAAGAGACCTTGGGTAAGAGCTTAGGCCGGTTGGCAAGGCCCTGCTCTGCGCACTCTTGAGCTCCTTCCATCCTCCGCATTTGATGGTCGGCTTGCTTTAGGCCTTCGGGCTGAGAGAGCAGCATGCAGCTGGAGGACAATTTTCCACCGCTCTGTGCTGCCTCGACGTGTGCGTTCGTGCGTTTCACATCACACCTTCCAGGGCAAACCATCTTCAACACAGTAACGGTGTACCTAACGGCTGTCAATGGAGTCTCCTACAAGAGAATCAAGTTCTCGGAGGATAAGCTCTCGGGCCTCGGCGATGGCGCGTGGATGCAATTCAAGAGCACCAGTATGTCGTGCATGCAGGGAGCAGGTGAAAAACCTTGTCTATGGCGAATCCTTCCCAGTGCTTTTTCACAGGCGCTGCTGGCCGTTTAGAGAGGGCCTCTGAACAGCGGCATTTGGGGCTGAATTCTCTGCGTTTTCACCAAGGGTCTACAGACCTGAGCTCTTTTCCAGTGTAGGGAGGGCAGGAGCTGCCCAAGAGAGTGTAGAGCTCCCAAATACGAGGGAGTGAGATAAACACGGATGGCGGAATGCGGGGGAGGGGGCGGGTGGTGGGGTTGTGTTTTCCAGGTTTGGCCGTTTGGGCCAGAGAAGATCTCGAGGGCGAGGGTATGCCGGTCAGTCTAGTAAGCTCCAAGGCTGCATCAGTCAGTACGTTGAGGCACCAAAGGTCATGCCACCGCTGTGCTCTTCCGCTAGACATGGAGACCTTACTCGCACGCTCTAATAAAGCGCGGAATTCCATGGAAGCCCCTGCATCAACGATCGTGTGGGGGACGTTCATCTGTTGCTGTAGCAACCAGTGTCGTTTGCTTTTAGCGGTTTAAGGTTGAATCTGCGTGTTTCTTACGTCAAGCGAATGTTTGGGAATGTGCGGGTGGTGCTGGCTGGTGATGCTGCTTTTGCCTCAGGCTTCTTGTCTGGGAGCAAGGGAGGCGTAAGCGTCTGCTTGAAGATATGGAATCAGTTTTTCTGCTTCATTGGATGCCACATGCCGTCGACGTCTCCCGAGGTGCTGCAGCCCGTTCAGCTTGCATGCTCACCGTTTGCCATGCTCCCTTGCTGCTTAAGCGTCAGCCCGATGCGTTTTGTAGCCTTTCGGTCTTGATTTCAAAAGCATGCAGGCGCATCGCACCCCACTGAAGATGCTTCTTTTCTGCAGATGCTTTGAAAGGCTGCCGTGTTGTCTTCGCTCATGGCCCTTCAGAATCAGCGCTGTCTTAGACTCATGCACGACAGCTTAGCAGTGTGTGCTCCTGTATCGTCTAATAACCAGTGACATGGACACCTCGTAGCTGAAGTGGAAGGGGTGCAGGCAGTGTGGGCCTCGTTGGGAATAGGGGCCGACACCATTGAGCCCGCATTCTGTATTTCAGGATCGGAGGAAAGCGCGAGCTGTGGTGGAGCAGCGCCTTTTGGAGTTTTATGGCGGTGCGTCCAGCTGGAATGAAGCATTTCATCATGTCATTTGGATGGGAGACTTCAATTTCAGAACTCAGCGCATGACAGCGCAACGAGCAGGTATTGGTTTGCGCTTTTGCGCAGTTACTTCTGGATGCTGCTACGTCTGTCCATTTGCGCGTCAAATCCTTCTGTTCTCTCCATCGCACTTGGGTTCCCTGTGTCTTGCTTTTTAAGGAGCGGCCTCGCGTTCAGCTCCCCTCCCTCCCCCCTCCCCCGCCACCAGGGATTCAGCTAATGGTTCTCTCCCGTCCGCTTTTAAACCCTTCCCATGCATACAGGTAACGTGGGGAGAAAGGGGTCTGAATTCAAGGGCGTCATGTCTCCTTAGGGGTATTGGTTTGTATTACTGGCGTTCAGTTACTCTACTAAAACAATCTCTCAGGGGATTGCTGAACTTTGATGAGTGGATGGGACAGAGTGGAGAGGATATGCGCGCTTCTGTAAGTGCCCTTAAAGGCGTGCTGCCTTTCGGTATTTTAAAGGAGAAAACGCCTTGCTGCGCGTTCTTTGGGTTAGATGGCGGAACTGCACAGGGGTGTACGAGTCGATTCGTGTTTCGAGTTACCTGCTGTTGGCCAGAAACGCCTTTTGGCCAATCGATCTAGGATGCATTTTCGCGGTGCTTTACACTATCGCTGCTTCTTAGGGTTTTACCGAGGCACCGATTTGTTTTCCCCCTACCTACAAAAAGGCAGATGGCCGACCTCCCGTCAACATGGGTGAGCCTAAGTGGGTTGAACAGGAGTACCAAACTCAAATGGTTACGCAGTGGTACAAGGGCTCAAGACTACAGGACCGAGTTCCTTCGGTATGTGCGGATTTCAGCACAAAGTCCGCTGTTACCCTCACCACCCTCTAGCTCCGACCAACTCAAGCGAAGCTAACAGGGGCTGCTGTGCGCGTTTTCAACACTTTGCAGTGCCGGTTTTGTAGTGGTGTCAATGCCTTCTTGCCGAGCCTCCTGACTGCGCTGCACCATACCGCTGGTGCGTTCCCGGAGCTCTCAGGTGTGCGTTGTGCTGTTTACTCTTTTCAATTCAGTGGACCGACAGAGTCTTCAAGTGCTCTCTCCCCGAGATGTCCTCCCTCGTGCGCTTCCAGCCCAACGTGTACTTCTCCGCTCTGCCAAAGCGCCCTTGTCCGTGGTCCCCCCTCTCCCAACCAGAATTAATCCTAACCTTTAGTCTTCACCTCATCTCTAGGATAGTCTGCAGTTGTGTTGTAGCCGCTAGGGTCTAAAATGGAGGGTCCATGGATCTGGAACGCATCGGATTGCACGACTTGTTTGTAAAGCGGATTTCCCTTCCTCTACTAGTTCGCAGGGAATTCGCAAGGCCGCTCACACTGGGAATGTGTGTGAGTTATGTTGTGTCTTTTTGCATGCTTTAGATGTCCATTCCCACCCTCTTCTTTGCTCTGATAGTATTTTTCTTTAATCCTTGCATGTTTCGTATGCAGCCTTTTTGATTGCTAGCGACCACTCGCCGGTAGGTCTGGGTCTTGACTGCTATCCACTGGATATGTCTTACATTATGCCTGAAGTAACATCGCGTACTCTGGCAGCGAAGTAATAGGCCGCTTGGAGAGGAGGGAGCTAGCACGAGGGAGGCACAAGACTCTCTTCCTCCAAAACGCGAAGATGCAGCGCGTCTGCTAAGAGCTCATCGCCTCAGTCAAACTTCCCATTAGACCTAAAAGCTAGCGGAAGATATCCAGTCTTGTTCGTGTACAGCAAGTGCGCATGAGGAATTCCATGGGTATCGATTAGCTGTGCTCGTAAATATGTAGGAGCGCGCTGCTTTCCACGCCGCTACAAAGGGAGCATGTTGCATGCACTATCTGGGTGAAACTGGTGTGCTTGGTCGTGTTGGTTGAGGAACAGAAAGACAGGCGATTTATGAGCCGTTTGTCATCATTCTGCAAATTTAATTGTGCTTTGGCTTCTGTTGAAGGGGCAGAAGACTCATAGTGGAGAACTAGGGTTGCAGTCACTGAGGGCAGTTAACCGATGTCAATGCAGTGTAGTCGTGCCTTTCGATGCATTCTGAAGGGAAATAATATTCGTAGCGGACGACGCTCTCACCTGCGTACGCGCGCAATTCATTGCCTGCCACGGGCTCACCAATAAAATATTGAAAATATAAATTGTCATCTACACTCTTGCCGGCGGGTCCATATCGAGGTCTCGAGTTTTCAAATAAGGTCTGTAATTACAGTGACTAGGAGGTTGCGACTTTGCAATCACCGATGAGAAAGAGGGGGGGAATTATGGAAGCCTGAGTCAAAAAGGTAAAGAGAATAGCAAGTACTAAGGTCTAGATCTGCAATATTGGAGGAGACACTTGGAGAGAGACGCTGGGCATGACAGTACCAAGCACATGCGCAACAGCGGTAGGCTCTGTGCGAGGGAGAGGCGGCGTATTCCCTCCCCCCTACCCCAAAACACGTAAGGTGGCAGATAAAGCCTCGTGATTCAGGGAAAACACAATGGTTCACATCTTGTGCTGGCTTTAGAAATCGGCATTTTCTGTTGTGCACGCTCTAGTCAGCCTTCGGGACTATTATGGTAAGACCACTATTCCGGTGATGTTCAATTGAACGCTAACTCGTCGCTCGACCTTTTTAGCAATTCATCCAAATGTTGAAACCGCTCGACAGCACGTCAGCATGGTCGCACTCCCTTTGAATGGCCAGATTTCCGCAGCTGATCCCTTGCGGCAGACCTTCTCGCGTTGTCTACTCCTCGGACGGGCCGCATGATCAGGGAAGTGAAGCTCGAGGCCAGGGTTTTAGGCCCTGTTTGCGTTGCTATTTATCGATCTCGAGCTGCAGCTAGCTGGTACTGGCCCGATTACTTCCCCTCCAGCCAGAAGCAAGCACTGCTCGAGGGAGCCTGCGGCTAAGTCTTCCATGCAGCTTGCAACACCGTCCCAGGGCACGAAACAACACATTAGGACTGCTTACTATTGAGTCGAAATACGTTTCTTGGCTGAACGCAAGCGATGGCCAATTTACACCTCTTCGGTACGCCGGGGTGCAGAATCCGTACCTCATCTTCTTCCCCTACTACGAGCGAAAGGAGCAAGGAGGGTTCAATCGAACTTGCTCTAAAGCAGGCAAACCCCTCCTCCCTCTTTTCAGGGGGCCAAGCTCCAACTAGCGGCTTGCAGGAACCTGAGGGCGAGGGCCTCATGGACCGAACGTGCACCTCTCTGACCTGCAGCAACACCAACAGCAACAGCTGCTGTTGCAGCGGTCCCCAGGAGAGCTGCTGTGCATCTGAGCTACAACTGAATGAGAAAGCGGAGAGCAGTGGGCTGCGGAGCGGCGTGGTTCGCGTTACACAGCAATGCGCGGCACTGGGGGCCTATGTCACACTGTCCATTTTAACAGTGTTTTGGACCAAGTACCTTGTTGCAGGAAAGGTCCCCACCCCTCTCTTTCTGTCGTGGGTGCAGCAGGCAGTGGGATTGGCAGTCTACTCGGCTGTGTCTGTCATTGTTGCAGCCCTAAGCAGCCGGCGGTCAGCCTGTGGAAGAGCCCTTGCAGCTGCATTCCCACCAATACGGGTTAAAGGCCGAGTCATGCTTCGGGTGTTACCCCTGTCCCTGTGTTTTGTCGGGATGATAGGCTCTGCCAACGTGTGTCTGCAGCGTGTTCAAGTCAGTGTATATCAGGTGGCACGGTCACTGACCCTCGTTTTTTCGCTTCTCTTGTCGATATTTTGGCTGAAACAAAGGGTGCTGAAGGGAGAGGTCTTTTCCTGTCTTCTGGTTGCCTCGGGCTTCGCTCTCATGACGGCAGTAGGATCCGATTCTGCCTCCCTTACGGGGTACATCATGGGGGCCTTGGCCTCTCTGTTTCAAGCTGCTTACACAGTGCAAATGAAGGCGACATTGAACTGTCTAGAGGCGGAAGAGGAGGATCTTGTTCACGGCCCCAAAGTGCGCTCGGCGTATCAGCTCATCAGCAGCAGCTCCACAGACGCAGTTCCTAGGAATGGATACGCATCCACGCATACAAATAGCAAGGGCTCATTCGCAGAACGAGAAAGAGCCGCTTCCCCTCACATTACTGCGGTCGTCGTCAAGACATCTGGAGACGTCTGCAAAACGGCTGAGAGTGGCAGGGGCGTTCGCAGCCTTAGGGGTGCAGACACTCCAATGGAGGAGCTTGCTTTCTCGGAGAGAAGCGAACTTGAGCCTTGCAAGTCGATCCAGCAAACGGAACAACCGAGACACCCGCGCTCTGAGTGCACCAGCGCTGTTCGGTCTTTTACTGAGCTGGAGGAAGTAGAGCAGCAAAATCAGCAGGAATTCGCATCTGGCACCACTAGCAAGGGTCTCACGGAGAGGAAGGAGCCTCGGGCTCGCGTTGAACCTCTCTGTGTTTTTTATAACATGCTAAATGCGATATGTCTCTTTCCGATCGTCTTGCTTCTTTCAGACGAGCCACGAGTACTCTGGAATCTTGCTGCAGAAGGAACGGCGATGAATTCCACAGTTATTTCGCAAGTGCTCGGACTGGGTAAGCCCAAAATCAGGGTGGCGTAACTGTTTCCATGTTAAAGTTTGTGTATGAGTTCATGCAGCTGGTCGGGCTCTACCAGAGAGCAGCTGGATGGGTGGAACGCAGGGTGGAAACGGAGTAGTATTGGCTACGTTGTTGCTTGAAAGAGGACTGCAGCTGCCTTTGCGGCAGCTCGTTTTTGAGCAAGACTCAGCTTGTTGGTGCACGCCACTTCATGTGCTTCACCCGCCAGTATTCACTGCACAGCTCTAGCATGGCATACTGCGTGTATGCCGTAAATCCTGCATTGAGATGTGGTACTTAAAGTTTTTTCTTGGAATACGTCGTATGTCCAACCCGAGTCTTTCTGTGCTGGAAAAACAAAGATGTAGAGAGAGCAAGCCTGTTCGTTTGATGTTGATTCATATGTGCGGGCCGAATTAAATACCCTGTGGTTGCATCCTTAGGTATATCTGCGTGTGCCTTGCTTCACACAGGTGTTGTTACACTGATGTTGGGAACCAGTATCTTTTGGACTGTTTCTTTGACGTCTCCTCTATCTTTTTCAGTGGCAGGTTACGTCAAAACACTTCTGCAGGTTGCGGTAGCAATGGTCTTGTGGGGAGAGCGCCTGACCTTTGTGGAGACCTGCGGCTTTCTCCTAACTCTCAGTGGCTCGCTGTGGTACTCTGTATCACGGTGCCAAGCCAACTCTAGTCAGAGCTCTGGCTAGCCACTCAGAGCTCGACGTATGGCTAGTTACATGCCTATGACCATGGTCAGCTCGCTCCAGATCGCTTCCGGGGCACTGGAAGTTCCCAATTTGCGCATTCAGTGTCCGATCGACGCCTGGTGGAGGGTCTCTGTATCCATATGCATGCTTTCACTTTAACGTGTGACTCTCCAACTGGGAACATATATACATATATATATATATATATATATATATATATGGCAACAGAAACTCACGGACGGACACTTCTACACAGCTGTCCTGACACTCTCGACGATTTCTGCAGCAGTCAGCAAGAGGCATGCTTGTCAACCTATATCCGCCATCTTCAGTAGCGTTGACTCCTGGGCTCCATGTATCGCCCAAAGTGCTTCTGCATGCAAGAGAGTTGTTCCAATGCTGACTTTGCTACGCTTTGGTCATGGAAAAGACCAGTACTTAACGCAAAGACAGGCTTTCTCCTGACGGGATTCAGCGGGAGAAACGCAAGGAGCCTGCGCGATGGATGTATACAGGTAAATCAGGGAGTTTCAAAGTGCTACCCGATAGAGCTCATAGTTCGACCTTTTGCCAGTACACTTCGTTGCACATATCAGAGGAAATTGAGCTCCAGGACATTAATGCTCTCCTAGGGAGAGCAAGAAGTGTCAAAGAGGCCTCAGATGTACTGCTAGAAATTTGAAGGAAATTCGAGCTCTCATTCAAGCGTTGCCCTGAGATACGTCGCGTTGGGCGGTGCGCTAGCCGTTTGTTAACATGAGGGGTTCTGCTGAGTCGTTTCCTTCCTCGCCTCCTATTTATTGCAGGACAGTGCCACTTAGGCCCCACAGCCTCCAGAAAGGGCTTTCATTAGACCAATTTTACCGTTTTTTAATCTTCTGACCTCATGTATACATGCAGTGGTACGGAGGAATACTGCGCTTGCGAAAAGTTTGCCCACGGCTCTACCGACAAGTGTACGCGGAATAGGCTAACACGTGCAAAGACTATGATAGCTGTGTGTAATACTGTTCAATTTGGAATAACAGACACTCAGCGGCCAGAGAAGTTTAGGACTGCCGAGCTGTTCACACCCCATTAGGGCTACACTGCGCATTGAGGCATGCGAGAAACACACAGAATCAAGGTCACGAGTTCCAACTTTGCCGTGAGACAGCTATTTGTCAGGCTGACTTGCGATTATAGTGTCACTCTGAGAAGGTAGCCAGAGGCCCTTATAGAGTATGGAATCCAGCAGAGAGAGCTCGACTTGCCGATCTACCACCTAGCACATCGGTGAAATGCTATACAGGTAGCCAACAGCGAAGATGGCCACGGCTCGTATCGGATGAAAGCAAAGAGTTGGGAGTCTTTTACAAAGAGGTACCTAAACAAACAGCTCCTCGCAGCCACTTGGCAATGGATTTCATGGAGCTCCCTGAGGAAATCCTCGCTCTTCAAAAGTATGGGTAAGCTCAAATTGCAACCAATCCTGGTTCTTATGTGGTGTTTCCCCATGCTCTCCTTTTCTGACCATAATGGAAAGCTGAAACCGCCTCAGTGCTGTGTGGAACATCTACCAAGCTCTCTAGTTCCTGTGTTCATTTTTTCACCAACGGCCATTACTTGGCTAATGAAGGCATCGCTTAGAACTGTAGTGGATGCATATAAAAATACTCGGCTAGCAGGTACCAACTAGCTTTAGCTGATTTTCTCACACTACGAAAGCTAGAATGGGCAGCTATGCAGTCTGGCGCTGCTCGTGTTTTGCTGTCCTTCCCATTACGAGTGCGGACAAGGCCCACTTGGAGGGCCGTAGAGCAAAAAGCTGCATCATACGGTAGCTTGGAGGAAAGTACTTGTAAAGCTTTGATTACGTTTACATACTCATGCGTTGGCTTTTCGTGTGCTTCAATGATTAAAGTCGATTTTTCTCCCGGCTTCAAAGTCGGATGCAAAACCAAACATATTTGTTGGTGGTCCACCGGAAAGCAGATAAAACTATCCAGAACTACTCGTAGCGTGTTGATGACCATGCTATGATATTCAACGGGTTGCGTCTTATGGAGAGCAAAATGAAGCTGGTAGACCTTCGTAGTTAGCTATTGCGTTGCTACCAGAAGCGGGTGCGCTTAATAACCCATCAACTCCTTGGAGTGCTTATGCGAAAACTTCCGCTCTAGAGCCGCCGTCGACAAGCGGAGTAAGGACCTTATCGCTTGAAAAAATATATCTCAGAGTGCGTAGCCACTGTATCGATAGCGGGGAGTGCCTACATTGCATCTGACTAGTCAGAACATTGCGGGAGCTGAAAATATAGGTCCATACAAAAAAAGTTTCCACGTACAGGAGGCCACCAAAGCTCCTTCCTACGTCAATAGCTGGAAACTTATACCTGGAACGTAAAAATCAACCTTGCTGGAACACTACTATTGGAGAAGGCACTGTGTAACACCATTCTCAAAAACACCAAGACGGTGCTGATACGATCCAAGTTCGCATAACATCATTTCAAAATCGATTGGTGCATCTGTTTTTCAATGGGTATTTTTGAATATAGGCGGATGAACTATGGGAGTTTCCGAGAAAAATTCTTCATTAAAAGCGTGCACTAACACAGTAGGGCAGCGGTATACTTCATGAAGCAGTAACTCTTCCAGTTTTTATACACAGTAGAGGTTCGTAGGTTGTATTTGCAGTCAAAAGGCCTATTTTATGCATTATGTGTATTTTTGTTGCGGGGAATCAAAGCATCAGAATACCACGTTCGCAGAAAAGAAGGGTGGGTATGCAGGCACAGATGAGGGCAGCAAAGGAAACCAACTCCCCAAATTTCAAGTCGACCCCCACTCTTCTCCTTCAAGTATACAAATTCATCACTGATGTGTGGCAATAGGAGAAGGTAGCCCGTCACCATGCCAGTGCCTCGGAGCTTGCCAATTAGGATTAAGAAAATAATTGTGGCAAGCGTGGGTGGTCAAGTTCCTTGATGCTATGGTGCGTTATTGAGCACCTTACACCTCTTATAAGGTAAGCATCATGATTAATAGCTTGTTGAGCTGCATGTGCCTCCAAAAATCACCAATACTTGTCAGGTGACCGTTTGCACGGGTAGCCGCCCAGTGGTCTGGACAACTTTATGCTCTTCGCACACCGGAGCTTCGCCCCATGAAATTGTTTTCAGCTGTATATTTTTAAGTTATTTAGTTTAAAACTGATGCAGAAATCGACTATTTGTGGCATTCCGTAGCTCTTAGGCACAAAGGCAGGTGGTCTAACACCGCGAAAAGATGCTGTTTGCCGAGTTCTTTCAACTAAAGGGCATCTCCAGGCTTTTCCCAGAGGGTCTGACGACAGTATACACAAATGAACAAACCTTTCAGTCAGAGAAGGCAGTCCTGAAGGCCCAGTTGGAGGGCACAGCAACCGCCAACAGGCCAAGCGTCAACGGGGGGGAACATCATCTTGGCGTGGAGAAAAGCGACTCAGATGATGAGGAGACGCGAAACAAAGAGATCCAGGATGGTGAGCTTCGGCGGGAGCTGCAGGAGCTGCTTGTCCTCCAGAACATGCTGGCTTATTTGCTGCAGAGCCACAGGTTGCAAGAAGCAGAGGTCGCAGTTTGTTGCTTCATCGACAGGAACCCTCGGAATGCTGACGGGTTCGTTCTCCTGGCTGACATTTACACCCAGGAAAAAAGATTTGCATCGGTGTGCGAGTGCTTGTGGGGAGCGATTCACAACTCCCCTGGAAACCGGATGCTGTTGCGGTTGCTTCGCGATTCAGAGGAACAGTCTCTCCTGCAGCTGTGTGAACTGCCTGTATCGTTTTTGGCTAAATCTCTTGCGACCTATCAGCCCTTAAATAGCCACCGATCAGGTTCTATGGAGTTTTCTGACTCTATTTTCAGCGTGGAGACGGCCCCTGTTGTAGTCGTACGGCAAGGCACTCATGTGGCTGCCATGGCAAATCGAGATCTGGAGCCAGGAGAAATCGTTTTTCGGCAAAGACCGTTTGTACTAACCCCACTGATGCTTGAGTCTGGTCAAATCTACACCAGCTGTTTCCACTGTCTGCAAGATCGAGAAGACCCCAGTAGGGGGTACTCTTGTCCTGTAAAGCCGTACACCTGTCCCTTTGCCTTTTGTTCATGGGAGTGCCTTATGCGTAACAGCCGAATACATGCCTTAGAATGCCAGGCGATTCCTTTGTTGCTGGCAGCAGCGAAGGAGTCTAAGCTCAGCTCCACGACCGTGCTGCATATCTTTCGAACAATTGTGAAGACTGGCCTGGAACGGCAGAACCGACAGGACCAGGGGGATGAGCGCGACAAGGGTGAAAATGCAACAACGGACGTGGTTGAACAGCTGCTGCAGCTGAATTCATATAGGGCGGCGGTCATTAGGGGCCAACCAGAGCTGTACGCGCAACTTACGCTGCTAGCGCGCCGATTGCAGCGCGTTTTGCCCGCGCATCTTCTCTTATTCCTCGAAGAAAGAGAATTGATAGAGCTCATGCTCATTTTGTGGCAGTACTCTACCTTTTTGACCTCCCCTTCAATTGCTTCCGCCGTAGACGGAAGGAACCCCGATGGAGCGATAGGTCAAGTCCTAGCACCCGCGGTCGCTTTGCTGCACCACAGCTGCGTTCCCACGTGTGTTGTGTGTCTGCAAGAGGATGGACTGGTGGCCGTGCGAGCTCTAAGCTTCATTCCTTCTGGGGGGAGCCTGTGCATTTCTCTTGAGGAAGACCTCTTCAAGCCGCAAAAAGAACGCAAGGGGGTCACAGCGTCCCCGCGGATATTTGGATGCGGCTGCATCCGATGTACGGACAGCGCAGAAGGCGGCAGACTGTTACGGGGCATCCGATGCTTCAAGTGTGTAAGGGGCTTCCTTAGCCCGCACAAAAGCAAGTCTTTGGCCTCTCGCCTCAATGCCTATACTGCAGCTCTGTCTACGGTGCCGATGCCTGAAAATCCCTTTGAAAAAGGCCAAGTGCGCAAGGCGAATTCGCTCACCGCGCAGCAAGAAGCGGAGACATCTGAGTCGAGACGAAGGGAGACAAGGCCAGCGGATAGCCAGAGCCCTCAGGCTGCGGGTGAGAAGGGGACTTTGGAAGGTGATGCGTCCCTCGACGAAGAATGGCTGTGCGCTAACTGCGGCTTAACGTCTGCCTACGTCAATCGGAGCTGTGCAGTCCTCGAGCGCGAAGTTGAGCAACTGCAAGCGGCTGCAGAGAGAAGGCTTGTGAGTGGTGCCCGTCTGGAAGCACGCAAGCTCTATACTGCCCTTGCACAGAGGTACAGCAGCCAGCTGCACCCCCAGCATGCCGTCCTGTTCAACACACACACCATCTTGGCAGGCCTCCTGGCGTCTCAGCCCGCAAAAGACCCCATCAAAGTGAGACTGCGCCATCCCACCCCCTACCCCACCCCCTCCCTTTGGCCCCTTTGGCTTTCCGGTGAGAGCGCTGCTATGCATGCGCCGTTGTTTGTCTCTTCATGACAGTAGAGTGCGGCAGGTGCCTGGGGCACCCCGGAAAACGCACATTTGACCAGATCGTCTGATGCCACGTTGCTTGTGCAAGGCCCTCATATACATCCGGCGAGCAGCTCTGGCAGCAGAAACCGTACTGCCCCCCTGCTCCCGTCTCAAGATGGATTTGAATGTCAGACTTTCTGACTTGACCTACCAGGTACGTCCTCTCGCGCACAGTCCCCTGTGAGTGGCGAGGCGTTGCTCAAAAGGGAGCTGGGAGATTTTTTTTCAAAACGAAATTTCACGGCGGCAGCCAGAGGCGCTAGGCTATGGCTAGGCGGGGCAAAACAGTGTCCCTGCCTCCAGGATCGCCTCCGCGTGTCACTCAGCTTCCCCACTACTCCGTATTCCTTCCTTGCAAAGTGTGTGTACTTTGCTTTTGCCCTGCATACGTCGCGCATCAATCGCGGCTTGCTGCTGTGTGGGTATGGACGCTGTGCGTCAGGCAATGAGCCTTAACCAGCACTGCCGGCGAGGCCCTGCACTTCCTGCCCACTTTTTAATGAGTCCTTTGTATGCGGCACTTTGGAATTGCTCTGTCTGCTTTGGCAACGACTCTAGCTTAGCCATTGTGCTGCAGCAGAAGCTGCGGAGATACGCAGCCCTCCTCAACGTTTCAACGCCTCCGCTGCTGCATCAGCCGGTGCTCAAAACTGTTGACGTCTTTGTGGGTCTTTACCGGCAAGTCACGGGATGCAGGACGAGCTCTGAAGAGGTAACCATGCATGCCAGCTCGAGGGTGCAGAGGGAGTTTCTTTAGCCTAGCCAACGTTTCAGGAGCCGCTTCTCGAAACATTCGAGCAGCTTGCTGGACTGGCGAGCGTCTGCCAGGGCAAAGATCACGGGGGGGGACACGCTTTCTGTTGTGCTCTAGAGCTCGCTGTCTCTGAGACATTTGCGCCTCCACACCTCCCAAGACCGTCTGCCTCTAGCGCAAATATGCACTAGAGGCAGTGCGCTGTATCCCCTGCCAATCGCCAGGGGGATGCCGGTTATGCGTTTTTTTGCTCCAGAACATCGCACAGCACTTCGCGGCTGACCCCATGTTCTTTGCCTCCGCCTTGGTTCGCGGTGGCTTCTGCTTTCCCTTGAGCCTTCAAGTGTTTTTGGCAATGAAAGACGTCCCCCATCTCCCCACAGGACTGACGCTTCTAGGCCTCGCCTGTCTGCACCGGCAGGTGGCCATAGTCCGCGAGTAGGTGGTTCGTCCGACGCAGCTTTCCTACTTGCCGCGTTGCTTCCTGTATGCGTGAAAGAGTAAACGGTGCCTGCATCTAGGCTTCTCCTTGCGTTGGCATCAATATACATATTCGGTCCTGTCACCCCACCAGGTGGAGGCCCCTCAATGGCCTTGCCGCTGCCCTCGGCACAACTAGCGTCGCTAGCTTTGCCAGCCAGCCAGTCAGCCCGCCTCTCATAGTTGGCGCGCGGTGCGCGGGCTAGGTTAGAGCGTTCTGCCGGAAGTCTGGAACAAAAACTTTTGCGCTTGCGTTCCTGCTAGTCGCGATCGGCGAGAGTCGCGTGATGCTTAACTGCTGCGACCTTTGATGGGGGCCTCCTAGATCATATCTTTCTCCCTCTTGCGTTGGGTGTCGCTTTGCTGTCCGCTCCTACTCGCCAGGCTCTTGAAGATGGGCTTTGACCTCTTCCACGAGACAGCACTCGGTGTGACGGCCCTCTTGGCAATGGCTGGCAGCGGCACAAAGCCGTACGAGTTTTCTCCTGAGGCGCTGGGCATGCATGAGAACCTCATTGCTGTTCAGCAGATGACAAGCGCGGAGGATGCGGCGTCGGGACGGGAAGCAGCTATTTTGCGGCACCTCTTGCAGCGCTGTGAGCTCTTGGAGAGAAAGGAAGTTGCCGCCACCAGCTGGCCAGGCCTGAAGTCCCCTAAGCGCAGCCCTCACCGGCCAGAGAGGTCGTCCGCTGCAGCGGATGCAAGCCTCGACGGAGGGGAACCGGTGGCTTTGTCACATCGCAGCCGTCTGCTGAATGCGACTACGCATAAGCTACTTGGAAGAAGCTCGGCGTTGCACCTGGCCGCAAGTCAAGGCAAGGAACAACTCTGCAAACAGCTGCTTGCTGCGGGAGCTCTCATTGCAGCCCTGAACAGCGAGGCGGCTACTGCTCTGCATCTGGCGTGCAGCTCGGGGCATGTGGCAACGGTGCAGGCTCTGCTGGATTGCAGAGCGCCTGTAGATGCCACGACGCTGCGTGGGGAGACTCCCCTGATGTTGGCGGCCTATAATTTGCATACGGAAATTTGCAGACTGCTGCTCAAGCACGGGGCAGATCCGGACCAGGTCAGCAGGGCTGAGGGATTTTCCGTGCTGCATGCCGTTTCCACCGGAGTGACACGACAAGCCACCCACTACTTTAGGGGGCTTGCCTGGGAAGGGGATCGCGCATGCGCTGCACTTTCGGGGCTTTCGGTCCAGTCCAAGCATCTCGGCTTCTACGTCAAAGACAGCACTTACATCTCCCAGGAGACCCTGGTGGATGTGCGCTTGCCCGCCGCATGCCCGGAGAGCTCCGAGCTGTTTTTCTTCCCCAAAACAATGTTGGAGAGGACGCGAAAGGCTCAGGAAATTCTTTTGCTCCTCACGAGACACTGCACGTACGATATGTACAGGTTGCAGTCGAACAGGGGCTTTGCGCCGGCGGATCTGCTGCTAAGCACCTGGGATGCCTTTGTCACTCGAAAGGAGCGGCTGCTGCAAGTAAACGACTTGCAGCTTGAGGGGCAGACACGCGAGGAGGCAAAGGCAACTAACGAGGGGTGGCAGTTTGTCCTGCACCAGATTTTTGTCATTAGAGATATGCTAAAGCCAGAGCTCCTCCCCCAAGGCCCCTCAACCCGCATGCACCAGCGTTTCGACACCCCGAGACCAGAGGAACTACAACAGCGCAACAAAGAAAAAATGGTAGGCGATGCTCCCTGGCTTTTCTCCGAGCTCATCGCATCAGGCGCCACAAGGCCCTCTCATAAACCGCCGATGCATCAAAAACACCTCGTCACACGAGACACTGATGCACTGAAAACGGCCCCCAAATCGTCGAAGGAAGCAACCGGCGGTACGGGCTTTCAGCTTTCCTCTAAAGTAACAGGCGCCGCAAAGCCTTCCCAGCAGCACCCTGCTCCGCACGCAAAGGAAAAGCCCTCTCCGGCTGCAGATAAAAAAGCGCCTCCAGATAGCAAGAGTAATCTTTCGCCTGATGCCGCAGCTTCCACACAGATCCACGTGGGAGTGCCTAAAGAGGAACTCCCCTCCAACGCCACGGGCGAGCTTTCAGCACCCAAGCTACAAGCTCCCGCAGTGCAAACGGCCTCGCCAAAGCCCTCGGCTGCAGGGGCCCCTCCAGTGCCAAAAGGCCCACCCCAGGCAGTCAAGGGACCCCCTCCCGAGGGGGGAAAGGGGCCTCCGAAAGCGGTAAAGGGCACCCCACCCGATGCGGTAAAGGGACCCCCTCCCGAGGGGGTAAAGGGGCCTCCGAAAGCGGTAAAGGGCACCCCACCCGATGCGGTAAAGGGACCCCCTCCCGAGGGGGTAAAGGGGCCTCCGAAAGCGGTAAAGGGCACCCCACCCGATGCGGTAAAGGGACCTCCTCCCGAGGAGGTAAAGGCGCCTCCGAAAGCGGTAAAGAGCACCCCACCCGATGCGGTAAAGGGACCTCCTCCCGAGGGGGGAAAGGGGCCTCCGAAAGCGGTAAAGGGCACCCCACCCGATGCGGTAAAGGGACCTCCTCCCGAGGGGGTAAAGGGGCCTCCGAAAGCGGTAAAGGGCACCCCACCCGATGCGGTAAAGGGGCCTCCGAAAGCGGTAAAAGCCCCTTCCGAGGGGGTAAACGAACCTTCGGAAGCGGTAAAGGGGCCTCCTGAGGGGGTGAAGACACCTGCGAAGCCGGTAGACGGGGCCCCCGAGGCTGTAAAGCGGCCCCCGCCACCGAGCAAGGGGCCACCACCTCCGGCCAAGGGCGCACCTCCGAAAGCAAAGGGACCGCCAGGTGTTCAGTAGGTGCCTTTTCCACTGCTTTCCGGGAGTACCCCCAAGTCAAACAAGGCCCTTGATGCATGAATTATGCAAAAGCAGAGAGCCAGAGCATATAGAATACTCGTGCTGGCTTCGAAGACTCTAACTGCGCAGGGCGATGCCCTCGTGCGTGCTCTTCAAGTAAGAAGCAGCTTACGTTGAATGCATGGTGTCACTTGATGGTTTGAGTGTGCGGCCCACATGACGAGCTCCGAAATTACAGCCCCCTGCGTGGGGGTGTCCATCCTTTAGCTTCACAGACCACGCCATCCACTGCGAATTTCAGTTTTGCATTTCAAGAAGTCCAGTGGGGCGACCAGTGGTCAAGGATTCGCAGATTTACAGACACGAAAACGCGGCAGAAGTTTGTAGGAATGGCCAGCCAGCGGACGCGAGAGTGCTAGTAGGAGTGGTACACACCGACAGTTAGAGGCGCAGTCCTAGGATAATCCGACCTTGCTGCAGCGAAGAGTCTGCAGCAAGGAGTGATGCCGCATTTGCCGCAGCGTTCGTCTTCCTGAAGCTAGCTCAGGAAGTGTTCCTCAAAGCTCTGCTCAGACAGGTGTCGATTTCCGGGCTTAGGCATGATAAATGCCGACTCCAAAACAGCATAGGCAACCTTAATGGATGCAGTAAGGTGTGAGACCTCATGTGGTGCTCAGGATTGCACTGGGCTAGGCTATACTGTCCCTCTGTGAATCTATGCGCAAGGATGCCCCCGACGGGCTGGAGGCCTCCTCTTCGGGCTCTCTACAAACGGGAGAACCAGAGGAAGAAAGCGAGCTCTGCTTGAAAGAGCGTTTGTGATCCCCTTGCTCACGGCATCTACCTTCACTCGTCGGTCACATCGCGCCCAGCTGGGAGTGTAACGAAAGAAGGGTGGCAGGTGTGCAAATACCTGAATCCGCAAGGCAATCCAGGCTATCGCTGTATCTTGGTGCAGGGCCACACACACACGACGCCCTAATCATGCAGACTTGTTTTGTTTCCACAAGGCATATGGTAGGCTCACACTCTACAGGCAAAAGCTGCTACAACGACTTTGAATAGAGCCTTAACGACTTGCGAGCGGATCTGAGCCCACCTCCTTCAAGAGGATCTTGGCCTGCTTCACCAAGGGGCTTGTCATGATAGGACGGAGAATGGGGGCCAAGCTGCGTTCTGGTATATTCTAGTAAGCTAGCTATATTTTGCTGAGAAGAATGAAATAATTGATCACTCTTTGGCATGGCTGTTCTTACAGTTTCTTTGCTGCAGAATACACTGGGCTAAGTGCGCCAAGTATCTGGAGAGTTACATCATGGACACTGGGACGGGGGAAATTGTCACATTTAGGCTGCACTAAACAACTTCCTGCAAGCGCGTTTGTGTGATTCATGAGGTCTGTCGATCAGAAGTGGAATATTAACGTGTCTATTGCGCCCTTCAGGGCCTGCATGGGCCCGATATCGTAAATCTCGTTCCAATAGATAATCTCCCCATTTTCCATAACTTCGCCCCTCAAGGGTCCGGCATGATAGACTAGCAGTAGCCAAGGTGCCTACTGCTGCAGCCTTTTAAGCACTCCGAACATCCACAGCTAGTCCGAGGTAGCATCTAGCCTACATGCACACAACACTTCGCCTCCTTGTATCGGCCTCGTGATACTTAAATCGAAAGTAATGGGAAAACTTTTTGAAGGCTAGCTCAATACGCTACATCATCTTCTTCCTATTTCAAAGAAACTCTCTCATGTGTTTAATTTGTGCATCGAGACCACCTAAATGCGGGACAGCGGAAGAGTCTTAGCCTTGTCGTCACTCCTCAGGAGAGCAGCAGCACGAAAAATCAGAGTTTATCAGAAAGGCAGGTGGTTGAATTAAGTAGCCAAATGAAACATCACAGAGGGTTAGGCTAAAATGTAGTTACCTCGTTCCTAATTTTGATTAAATACAGAAAGTGTGGTATATAGCCAAGTTGCTGCTTTTGGACCACTGCAAAAGGAGGGTCTAGCGGGCAGGCTGCTGTTCTTGATTAAATATTAATTTAGTGTGCATTGACTGGTCGGTCTCTTCGTACAACTTATATTTATTGTAGCGTACTGATAGATTGAGTCAGGATGAAGCAATACCGTGTGCGTGGGGGCTAGGTGCTCAATGCAACTACGTGTAAATGCTCGGAGTGCTAACAGCGTGGGTTACGCGCACCTTAGATTCCCATTGCCTCACATGTTAGGAGCTCTAAGGGACGCAAGCAGAGGCAGGTGAGATTTCTCTTGGCAAGCACTCAAGAACTTTGAATTTGCTCTATGTCGAGCATGGATTTAACTACCTACTACTAGAAACCTTGGAGGAAGTGTTAAAGATGGACCTTGCTAGTTAAAATACGGCAGGGGTTCTAGTTTCGGTATTTGTGCATCTTGAGTGCACAGCGTAACACTGCTTTCCTAGTATCCAGCATTGGGTGTCAGCACGTGGTTCTGGGAGGCGTTTGGGTTGAGGTATCGAATATAGTACGACGTGTCTATGAGTAGCGGCAAGACTACATTCGAGTGCAATCCTTAGCAATTCGCCTACATGATTTGTTTCTCTGAGATGCCCACAACTTTCCCTCGCCTCATTTACCCCGCGTTACGCAAACTGTTAGAATTAGCACTAAAAAGTGTGCGGGTGAAGTGCACAAGTCTAACCTAACAGGGGGAAACACAGCTGAATTTGCGGCACGTGCCGTACAATTAACGTACAGTTCGTGCTTACATGTCTCTGGCAACTGTGAGACTGACAGGTGTCGCGTGCTCTATTGGGAGAGCAGCTAAAGCACAGAAAAGCGACTACATGAAGGATAGATGTTTGTGAAATGAAAACAAGTGGACTTTAGTAGAGAAATTAAATAAGAATAACGTATATAGCGGGATGGTTCATGGTGATCCGCTAATCATTCGTTCGCTGGCTGTGGTGTAATGATGTTGCGGCTGCCGGTCAGGAAATACCAGTGTGGTTTCGTGGCTTTACCGCCGATGTTTTGTCATTTTCTAGTCGTAAATCAACCCTTTCTGTATTTTCCTTGCTTGTTACTCAATTCTTTATAAGAGAAGATATGTGGATACAATTGGTGGTTCTATTGTGCAGCCGCCGGGTGACTGCAACACCGCAGCGCATCGTGTGTTGCATGCCATTATCCTCTTAAACCCGATAGTTTGTTAATTTTCCTCAAAAAGCACTTTTACGACGTGCGACAGTCACCGGTAGACCGCAGGTTTTCTCCCTACAGTTCGAGACTCCAGAGCCGACCCGCATATTTCAATTCTGCATCGCCTTCCGCTCGCCTCCTCCGCAGTTCTGAGTGTTTTCTTCAAAGACTATGCTCTTCAGGCACCTTGTTTAACGCACGAGGGCACACTTCGCTGATGCGTGAAGCACGGCATTGTGGTGAAGTGGCTTCACGCAGCATTGACCAGCGCATGAGAGGCCCTGGTCCCGGTTGTGCGCTTTTCCACTCTCCTGGAAGCTGCAAGCTCTTTCATGTACCTTGACTGACAAAGGAGTAGCACCGTGTGGGCAATTGCAGCAGAGCAGGCTTCGGCGTTTGGCTAGTTCTCGCCAAGTGTGATTGCTGACTGTTTTGCCTTTGAGTGGCTGTTCGGCGTGAGAGGGTGGTAGATAGACAAGTGTGTTATTGGAAGCGCGTTGGTCCGTTAACGTTCTTGCGTTATATTGTATCGTCTGGTAGCCTACTCCGCCTCTCCTTTCCATCTTCGCAATGTCGCTTAGCGATATGATTCAAGATGCGGCCGCCTGGGTGACAGAGGAAATTCGGAAGTCCTTGGAGGATCTGAACGATGAGACGTCATCCGATATTCTGGAGGGGCGCGTGCAAAATGCAGCGGCCATTGCCCAGCAGAGGTTCTCCAGGGTGGCCAAGCCAATTACAAAGATCCTTTCCCCAGATGATCTGACCAGTTGGTATGAATGCATTACCACAGGCGACAAATGCAGCGGCACATCCACCTTTGTTTCCTTTAAGCTCCTCATTTAAGAAAAGCTTTTCTGTCAATAAGGCCGCGTGCGTGAGTTACCCTTGTTTCGATGCTGCAGGGAGGACTCAAAGTCGACGTGTGATAACTTGGGAGATGACTTAGTGGCCGTGACTCCCGAAGGATCGACAACCACTCATACACCTACAAACCAGAACCCCTTTTCAAATATAAAAGTTCCAGCGAAACCAGCACAATCGTCTTTACCTTTTCGCGTGGATGCGCAGCTGAATAGACGTCTGTTTTTGTACGATGGCGACATCTGCAGTCTCGGGACAGACTGTCTCATGTGCTTCACTACAGATGGCTTCAGCAGCTCGGACGGACTCGCAGCCAGGCTGCTCGCCAGTAAGCCGTACAGCAGGAGAGGCAGCACTTGCGGTGTGCCCTACCATGTGCTTCCCCTTTCCTGCATGTTTGATTTGTATAAAGAAAAGCAGGTAGTCCGGCTGATGTCCACGATTTTAGCAGCGCCCAGCAATTAGGTGCGTTCTCCTGCGTAACATGCAGTTGGAGGCGAGGATTTGTACGCGGAGTTGTCCTATCAGGACCTTTGCAAGGCCGGAGAGGCTCGCCTCTGCCGTTCATTCAACTTGCCGTCGACGCACATTGCATATACAGTGAGAGACTGACCCCTTGCTTGCCCAGCAGAGGCGCGAAAGTGTGTCTCTTCTTGCATTTCGTATGGCTGCGAGCGAATAGGGGGCTGTGCTAAAAGCTAGAGGCCGTCTGGAGTGACGATTGAAGCGCTGCTTTTGCAGATGCTGTGGACGTTGGGCAAAGATGCTTGCGATGATGAGACCGAGCAAAAAGGGTAGACAGTGGTTGCTGGGACCTTTTCCAGGTGTATAGCCACACGAGTGCATCCATTACATTGTTCATGATGCCCTTGTGTGCGCGGCAGGTGACCCCCCGTTTTACGAATCGCTATGTAACTGCGACGCACAACGCGTTGAATAGCAGCATTCGGGAGGTCTTTATTGCGTTGAAGGAGTCACGTCTTCGCAGTGTTGCGATTCCGTGTCTCCCCCCTAGGCTGGCGTCTATCCAGCGCAGCGAAAGCAAGAGGCTAAACAGCGGCGCTGCAGAGGCAGACCCAACCGCTGCTGCTGCCCTCGGGGGTGAGTATGCAGTCATGCACACGATGCTTCGAAGCATCAGAAGATGGATGGAAAAGATGCGCGATGACATTGACGCTGTTGTGCTGGTGCTTGGAACTCCCGGCGACGCTGCAGTGTATCGACAGCACCTCCCCGCCTACTTTCCGCGAGACGTTGCAGATGAGGTATCGGGAACCTCCTGTTGCAAGTTTGTCACGTGTCTAGAATATCTGCTTTCTTAGTCATGAATTATAAGCTGATGAGTCACTGCTCTCTCAAAAAAATGAGCGCCCCATGCCGTCCAGGTCTTGGTCTCTAATACGCAGCGGGGCCGCTGCCTTCCGCCTGTTAGCTGATACGCGCTGTGTTCTGTCGTGCTGTTGTCTTTGTAGCTGGACGCGGCTTTTCTCATGCCTCGTGAAGTCGGGGGCGACGACGGGGAGATTGTGGTAGCGGACCGTCGTATTCCCCTCATCAGAAAGGGAGGCTCTCGCGGAAGCGGGGAGGCCGCCAAGGAAAGCTCTGAGGGGCAAGAAGCGGTGGCATCATCTCACCCGGCGTTTGGAGGGATGCTGGCTCCGCGGGAGAGCTCCGATGAAGACGGAGGGAGCGACAGCGATAGAGAAATCCTGGACTCGACGGACGTTAGCTTTCGGATTGCAAAGTCGGGCACGGAGACAGAAAAGCGGCTACATGCACTGAACATCAAGGTATGCATGGAGTGGATGTCAGCGCATCTTCCTAGCTTCGGAGGCAACGCGAACTCCGCAATATACATATGAAACGGAATGCCCGGCTAGCCGACTTTTGTGGGGTATTAGTTGCCCAATAGACTGCGCGTAGAGAGGGGTCTAGAGGCATGGGGGTGAGAGGAGCAGCATGCCTGGCTCTCCTCTATGCAGTAGGATGCATATAGGGAATAGGGATGCCCCTACTGAGGGCTCTCTTGTTGTCGCGAACGTAGCGAGCGTCCGCCCTAGTGCTCGAATATCGCATTCTTGAACGTGCTCACCAGTATCCCCCAGCGCGTCCTTCACTGTCCTCAGGGCCACGGGACGAATGTTTCATTGGACAACTGCGAGACGCTCTATCAGACATATCTACGCCAAGCAACGCTGCTGTCAGACAGCTCGGCGGGAACGCAGCTGCAGCAGCTGCGTTTCATCTATCCTTCGGGTTCCGATAATGCAGGACGGCCAATTGTTGTCTTCCTTGCAGCTGCTTTTCCGGCGGCAAAAGTTGACTCTTACTTTTTGCTGCTGCACATCATTAAGACTCTCGATCCGTTTATTCGAGACAAGTATACATTGCTTTACGTTAACTCGGGTAAGTGGCGGTGTGAGCAGGGGAGCTTCATTTCCGTGCAGTGGATGTCGAATTTGTGGGCGTCTGTACGCCACCCCACGCGCGCTTCTGCAGTCTTGTATTTTGTCCCAATACGCTTCAAGCCCAGTGTAGAGACAACAAGCGAGGGCTGAGGCCATAGTGCGATCTAGCAAGCTCCGAATGCTTTTGTTGCAAGAGCAGTTCGAGCGGCTGCGGGGAAAGCGAGCGCACATGTGCCGCTTTCTTCCCGACAGCTGGCCATTCCCTTACTGGCGTTGCGGCAGGCAGGCATGGTGGCTTTTGGCTACAGCTCTAGATTTACGGAGCTTCAGTAGCTCTTGAATGCAATTTTTGGGGGGTTGATTCATTGTTTTGCTGCTGTAGGGCGTCTAGTGCCTCGATCTGCATGCCTGTGACTCCTTCTCTTGAATGGGCGATTCCTTTGCTGTACTGTGCCCTCAGCGGTCCACCACTCGAATGCACCGAGCATGTCTTTGTGGTCGGAATTCTTCGCGATAATGGAAAAGTTCGAAGACAACTTGGATCAGCTGCTGGTTCTGCATCCCGGCGTTCTCTTCAAGGCCGCCTTTACCTGCTGCTGGCCTTACCTCGCTTCCCATGTTTGGAGTGGCACTGTCTACCTGAAAACTATAAAGGTACTTTGAACGAGCGCTATTGGCGGGGGAAGGGGGAGAAAAGAAGGGAGAGGGAGGGGCAACAATACTGTTTGGCCTGTACAAGGTGTGCGTGCGATTCGTTGCTGCACATGCGCTTGTGAAGACGCATCAGTGGCAACATAATGCCCTTGTAAAATATCATTTTGTTCAATTTAAACTTGCGTGAAAACAGACGCGCGGCAATATGCTGTGCGGAATAATGTGGAGCGGAAAGAGAAGGCTGGAAGCCTCGCATTCAATCAAGCACACATTTCTCTCTCGGCTTGTTTATCTGTTGCTACATGCGAACTAAAAGCAGGACCAACATAGCTGCCTGCTCGCTCTCTTGCGCCCTGCCGCTTTCATTTTTTTCAGGACCTCTCTATCCACGCGAGCAGCCACACGCCGGAGCTACCAAATTATGTGCGGGAGTATGAGGAAAAACCCAAAACAAAAATCCTGGGCATGACTCTTTGACGTATAATGCCAAGGAGATCTCTAGATCTAGCGCGTAGCGTGAATCGGCGCGTCCACGAATATTCTTTTCGTGCGCTGTACATGAGTATCATGGCTGCCTGATCTATGAATCCATCCCTGTTTGTCGTCTCCTCGCTGCCGCTTGCTTGAGGTGAGGGGTTTGCATTCTCGGCTGGGAGAGGAATAGGCTTGGGGGGCCCAAGTCTGCTAGGGTGTGCATTCGCGCTGCGTGCCTTTTCCACTAGGGAAACGTTCAGCCTGCCCCTTCGTATATTGGGGGATAAGGAGCAATTTTTGGTTCTTGGCTGCTGATTTATTCAGCTTTCTAGTGAGGGAGCTGCCGGCCAGGCAGGATTTGTCTCATTATGCTTGATCACTGCCGGCGATGCACTGGGCTACACGCCTCGCCCTTTTTGGAGTTTGCATAGCCCTTCACTCAGGAGCGCGTGTAACCCCTACACGATGTACTATCCTTTTACGTTGGCTCTCTGGGTTGGGCTGTTGGCAGAAAGGCTGCGCTTGAGCTGCCTAGGAACGTAGCGACGCTCTTAGCCTCCCTCAAAAGAAGTCCCGTCTATGCCATTAGAAGGCTGGTTGATGGCTGTGCAAAAACCCCATACAATGTGGAATTTTCAACGACAGCGGAAAAGCTGCATCTGGGGCAGTATATGTGCGCCTGTTCGAGAAAACAGAAAAAACATCTCGGTTGCCCCTGTAACCCAGAATGGTCTCAGCTGCCTGGGAAAAAGTGGGGCTATTAGAATTTATTGCTGCGCGGATGCGCAGGGAATTCTCTAGTGAGAGTACATACGTTGAATCCGACTCCCGCATGCGCATTTAGCAGCTGGAGTTTTGGACCCAGCGGGAGGGCGACTGCGTCCGGGAAACCCAGTTTGGGGAGGGAGACGCTCTAGCAGCACCAGATGTTAGCTCCTCCTTTACTATGCAAGCCTGGGTATGCCCTCTGTTCAACGGTGGAGCGGAAGCATGGCTGTAGCCGTGGGATGCTTGTGTCTGGACAGAATCCTAGAGCGCAAAACCAAGCGCCCACATCCAAGGGAAAACGGACGACGTGGCCTCTAGGTTGGCCCATTCAAAAAAAGGGGGCTGCTGCTTTCTCGAGCTTTTTTTGGTTGTGCGCGGGAGCAGGCAGATACCCAGAAGAGCAGAGTTTCAGATACGAAGGCCACTAACTAGCGTTGAGCTCACCAAGCAAACCGCCGGCCTCCTGTGAGACCCGGCAGACAAAGAGTTGCTGCGGGTCTGAGAAAATGTCTGAGAAGAGGAACCGGAGAGGTTGAAATCACGCGCCTTCTTGTCTGTAGCGAAAAACAGTGACAGGGGGAAGGCACAGGTGGCAGATCAGTAGCGGACCACCAGAAGAATAAGTGCAATGCAAAGAGGGGAGGGGGACGCGATAGATGCTGCGTGCATTTCCTATGAAGACAAAGGACAGGCCTTCGCGGCGCTAATCAAAATGCCTCTCAGACGAGTATCCAGCTGTATGTCTTGCAGATGAATATGCTCGCAGTGCTCTGCATGGGTGGGGGGTCATGCCAACACCCTTACCGGGAAGCACTGATGCGGACTGGTGGCTGAATTTGCTCGAGTTCAGAACGATAGCACTGCTTCCCGAGTTGCGGCCGCCGCTGTACTGGAAGGCGCTACTGCTTTGGGGGGTCATGCGCTGGATACCTTGTCCGCTCGCTTGCAGGAGCTCCAGAGCAGTAGATCGGGAGTGCATTAACTGTAACATGGCCTGGGGCTGCGAGGGAACTCCTGCAATTGTATTGGCCCTTGAAATCACAAACGCCTGCTGGCAAGCTGTGCTGCTGTTGCTGCCACCGCCGCTGCCGCCTGGGTTAACTGCTGGTGCATGCATTTGAATGCCATGGGAGTGAAGCCTGTTACTTGCACGCATCTGTTGGTGCGTGTTTGGAAATTGCTTTGGCCCAAACGTGCTCATTTCCCGAACTTCTGCTAACGAGCTGTTGTAGAGGCCTCTATGTGGGAGCGTTTCCGGGAGATGGACTTCTTTTGAATAGAACTTCAAAAGAGCCAATGGGGCAGCAGGGTGCAGGCGATACGGGCTAAAGCAGCTCTCTAGAATGTACTGCTCGCTTCCTCCACACAGGATAGTCGCGTGCGTTTCTCCGTGGAGCCGCTGGAACTGAAAAGGCAGACATGCACGTCTTGATATCCCATCATCAAAAGAGCAAGAGCTGTGAAGCAGAAGCTGTGTGCATAAAACTCTTTGGCAGGAAGATTCTTGCATGCATAATGAAGATATGATTGAAATAGTAGATATGCTCGTCCTTACTCGTGCTGTAAACGTTCAGCACCTCAATTTTGCTGTGAGCGGCACCCAAACAAGCGTCTCGAAAGAGAGGGAAAAGGAGAGAGAAGATGAAGGGCAACGAACATGTCACTGAGAGTGTGGGGTCCTACATTGATGGGTATTTTAAGCTCCAAGTGTTTCTTAAGCGAAGCCAGCTCGTTGAAGAGCTCAAAACCCATTGTCCAAGGGATGACGCTATCTTTGTCTCCATGAAGAATTTTAATGCGGAAATTAGAGAAGACAGGAACCTGAGTGGTTTCTTGTAGCTCTGCACAGCATAAACATAGGGAGGTAAGCCCAACAAACGCAACGAACGTCCCCGGTGATTCTAAAAAGCTCCCAGCATCATCACAGAGGAAAATCACAAAACAATCGAGAAGGACATGAACCCTAACAAAGAAAAAATTACGGCAATACAAAAGAATCAAAAGCTCAACCTAATTGGACGCAAGAGAAACATTAGGACAGCTCATCAACAGGCGGCAAACTGCTCAATCCAAACAAACGCTATAACATACTTCGTGAGTGTAATTTGCGACTTAAGTTAGAAGTTTTGACTTTAAATGGATCGTATTATCACATTCTGCTCTAGCGGCGACAAAAAATACCTATTCTATCAAGTAAGAATCCTGCTTCTAAAGACTAAACGGTGCTGTGGCTCAGCGTCACATGGCAGTGCATTTACGCGTATCTACTCATAGCGATCCACGGTCGTTGCTGCGTTCACTCTCGGTGATGCGGATGATGCAAAAGCATATGCACTAGAGAGCTGAAACAATGGTGTTCGGTTTGGGAATTCGTACGCTTGATAGTTGAGAGCAGGCTCTCCAGCTGGGTTTTGTTGTTCCATGAGATTTGCTTGCTAACAAAGCCGCTGACAGCACGAGACAAGAAACTTCCTCCACCTATTGCCGACGCTGCAACTTTGGACGCCATGGCTTGCGTTGACGTAAAGGGTGCAAGCAAAATCAGTCGGTTCACCTGAAGAATGAGGCGAAAAATGCACCACATAATGAATCAAAGACATGTATTCTTTTGGTGCTTTAGTCAGACCCTCGACTCAGTTTTGCTCAATGTGGGTTGAAGCATAGAACAACGAGCTGAGGTGTACATTAACGAAAGCGTACCGCGAGCTTGACTCCTGAATAGCCTGCAGATGGATTCCATCCATGAACTTTGCAAACATGATCAATACCGTTTTTGGTATACATTGAAACGTTAAAGGCATCTCGAAATGTCAGCATTCTATCATCAAAGCTCCCATCATTTTGTCCCCTTGCACTGCTGGCTTCCATGTGCAAAGATCGCGCCAAGTCTGGGTCTATAGTTGCAATGTTTGTCCACGACTGTTGACCACCACCAGCCTGGCTGGGGGTTGCGTACACCGCGTCGTTAGAAAAGCATGCCGCTAAGTCTGCTGCAAGTGAACAGGCCACGGCGCAGCCCAAAGAATAGCCTAAAATATTCAAAACGATGGATGACTCTTGGTGATGCTCAATGAGTTCCTGTATCCCATGTTTCACCGCCTGATAAACAACCACCCACAGGATGTCGAAATAATTTAATAGCACTCTTTCATGTGAAAAAGTGCAGCATTGCTTTTTTCATACAAGTCAAATTGCAAGCTAGAGAGGTCTGGGAAAAACTTGGAAGTCTAACGTGCATACCTGTAAAACAGCACTTCTAATTGTACAAGGAGATGGGTGGCCAGTGGAGTTCCCATATCCAGGAATGTCCACCATGAGGAAGGCGATTCGATAATAACTGTTCTTGTTAACACCACACATGTCATAGAGGAACGGACCGAAGGCAGAAAAAGTATTGTTTCCTGAAAATAAAGAGCATCAAGTCTGAAGGAAGCACATGTGTATTTTGAAACCGATTACAGTATTTTATAAGTACGTCAGAGCGTGTGTTTGAAACGAGATTTTCGTGTACTAGTATGTAGGATCGGGTACTCGCATACTCCCAGTCCAAAACCACATGTATAGAATCATACATACCCCTACACATACATCGCGAGTGGCTAAGAGAGTTGATATCGAAAAGTGCTCACCGCCTTCAGATTCAGAGGGAACCTCTCCACGAGCCCAGGCTGCCGCCTGCGCGGTTTGGTCTTGTGTGACGCACCTCCGCTGAACCCGCAAGAACCAGAGCGAATGCACGCTAGACACAGCCTGCATACTTCCAACCACCTACGCTCTTATACCTTACAGTACAACTGCTCAAGAGAAGTGAGAGCTCGGCATACCTGCTTGTGATACTGCCTATACACCTCGAGGCCGTTTGGGCGACAGCCATTCTCTGTCTCTAAGCCTGAAGGTGCATCTGTGTCCTTGATGTCCTCAGAAGACTCCACATATTCACTTGGAGGGATTTCAGAGGCCCAACGCAGCATTTTCCAAGCAATGACAAGTCCTGCAAAAAGGAAAGAACGGATGCACCTTTGTAAATGAAGATAACGTCAGGCGTTAATACGAAGCCAGAGAGTTGCATCACGGATACACGGATATTCAGTCTACGACAACACGCCAACTTTGGGTGGTGAAACCGATAAAAAATGGGGGGCTGTGTGCGAACGTGAACATTCGAGATAGCGTATTAAGGGCCCGTTACGGAAAGTTTGGCCTGACCGTCTAGTGCTTGCATGTCCTTGCCACCTAAAAAGATCCACAAATGGAGTGGCAGTTTGGCTTCCGTTCCGTGCACGTAAAGAGGAGAGAGGGGACCTGAACGTTCGAGCAGGCGGCCAGTAGTGGCCGCCCTGTACTGCCTCTGCTGCTCCGCTTGATCTTCTCTGTTCAAGGCTGGCATGAAGGGGATAACTTTTGGGTTTGTGGGCTGCATGCTCTCTGCCTTGATACATCCTGAATTAGGCACGGCGGATCGCCGCCAGGCGCCTCTGGCAAGCCATACGTCTTCGCTGGTGTAGCACTGGATGCCTGTGCACAAAATGCAGGGGCGAAAATTACGCAGAGGCTGAACTCAATCGTAGAAAAAATCGCCTCAATTCTGTCTTCAAATCCGAGGCCCCTGAACCCCTTCACTACACAGCGCAACCATTCTTGAGACAAACAAGAATGCAGGCCGATCGATGTTCACACTTCTGCGTGCTTGCGCTTACAAGTCGCAGTCAGCCAGTCGTGAGGATGAATAGGGGGCAGGAGATACGCATGGTATATGTGAGGCTCTTTATGGGTAGCTGTGCACCTGTCCTGCAGCAAGATGGGCAAAGACACCTTTCAGGTCCGCTGTGCTCACCTTTCTCCCCTCCAAACAGTTACATCAAAAAGAAAATACAATCTGGCACCTCCCTCAGTCGTCTGCTGGCATATGCGTGCAGCAGGGGTTATGCTCCCTGATGCACAAGGGGAAAGTAGACGGAAAAATTAAAGTACCTGAAATACGATATCTGTCAGCTTGTGAATGTAGGTTTCCATCATCCCCCGAATGACAGTGTAGTTTTCCAGAAAGCCCTTAGTGGCATCATAGGGCCTTGGATTGTAGCAGAGAAGTTCCTGCCAGGAGACGCGCCAGTTGCTGAGCTTTACTGGAGATGTCTCCAGACGATTCTAAGATGCACAGACAGGGAGACACACACGGTTATACTCCCATATATGGGTAGCTACACACCTATTTACACACAGACCAACGTAACGTCTGCTTCACAGGCTGCGCGAACCTGCGTACCATTTTTTCTTAGCACAGGTTAGCGGCACTAGGAACTCAAGAATTGCATGCGCTGCCCTTGAAGTGGGAGAGAAGAGCGCGGATTTCAAAGCGAAACTGCGGGCAGCAGAGGCACGGCAAACCTAAAGGGCGTACCACGGGCACCTGAATACCAAACCCTGCAGAGCACCGGTATTTGTACATGACCGAAGGGTTGAGGGCGCCTTGCTGCACACCAAAGCAGAGGTAACACACGAAAGCAGTCGGATGCTTCATAGACGGGTCGGGTGTAGCACTTCCAGGGGGAGGCTTTGTGCTAGAATGGGTATGCCCTGTGCTTTCTCTGCAGCGCTACGTGCATTCAGAAGCGCACCAAGCGCGTGAGAATTCTTCTACTCTTCAGAGAGGGCGGAAACGCGCGAATGTCCACGTGCCCTTTTTGTTTTTTCTCCGTAGTTCTCTGATCCTGTCGTTGAGCTGTTCGGCTGACTTGGGAGAGGGCATGCTTTTGCTGTTGCTGCTGGTGCAGCCGTTGAGCGAGGAGTTGGTGCCTCCGCGCAGGCGACTGCTTGGGGGTTGCGATGCTCGAGATCGCCTCGGCGAGTGATTCCATGGCCGTGCACCGCAGCGTACCCGTTCTTGCTGAGGGCGTTCCGTGGTTAAAGGTCGTAGAGCCACTAGTTTTGCCGTCTGGACTGTTTCCATTAGATGAGAGCGCGGCTGGAGGCCGGATGCCATTGCCGCCGCTGGTGTTGCCCCCTGCGGAAAACCGTGTGGGCGTCCCATCTGCGGAAATGACTCTGCTTTGCAGGACAAGTGTTTGCTCACAGGCTAGCAGCTCGGACGCAAAGGAAGCTTCGTCCTGAGGAGCAGCCGATAAGGAGCCTCCCAGAGGCTCCGTGACCAAGGCCTTGCCGGAAAGCGTTGCCGCAGCCCTTCCATCGGGCACGTAATTTTCTCCGGACGAGAGGCGGTCGCTGGCGCTTGTTTCGCCACAGGAGGTGTCGCTGATTCGCGGGGAAGGGGAGGTGGCGAAGATCGCTGATTCCAGAGGCTGAGCTGGCGCGGGTTGCCCTATTGGCCCTCCTCCCTTACTCTTTGAGATTTTGGTAGGCGCGCGCGAGAAACCCCTAGTTAGGGGCGACACGGTCTTGGATGGAGCTGCCTGACCATCTGTGCTGCGTCTGCCCTTGGGTGCTCTAAACAATGAGCAAGGCCTCATTTTTTTGTGGAAGAATTCGCCCGTTCAGAATGTCCGCTTGCCCCTGGCGGGTCCTGTGGGCGAGGAACCACGAAGGGCTACAGCGGCCAAGAAAGAAACCTGAGAAAGCCGACGCCGAGGAAGAACCCGTGGAACATGCACATTCAAGTATATAGCCCCTTCCCTTCGGGAGATGAGGGAGACTTCCTTTTAACCGTCGCGCCTCCGCGCTCGGGCTCCAGTCGTCGCAGCGGCTGAAGATGTCCTTTGGCCACGTGCAGAACCCATCTAGGCCCTTCTAATCATCTACTGCGGTACAAAATAGGCTCAATGAGCCAGGCTTTCTCACAGATGAAGAGGGAAAAGCAGAAAAGCCAGAAGGACAGAGGCCAGCGACCGATTGACCTTCCATAGGAGTCTCCAGGGCAGCCACAGCCGACCAGTGGCGAGGGTCTCCCGCACTGCCCCTCTTCTCCGCTCGTGCAAAACGCTCCGTGGACATTATTAAAATCAAGAAGTAAAGAGCCAAAAATCTATTCTTTGTGCAGTGCATGAAGAGGATAGCCGACGTCCGTCGCCTGCTTGCATCCGAGTACGCAGGTCCCTGCCGTGCCTCACCACCTCAAAGAGTCGGAAGAAAGCTCTAATTGCCAGAAGGATACGCTAGGAGGCCCAAAAGAGCCTAACTCAAGTGCTAAAGCCTTGTTCTATCGCGTCTCTCGCCTTCCTTTATGCTGGCAGAGGGAATTTTCAATAAGTTAGACGAGTAGTCAGGCAAGCAGCTCTGTGTCGAGGTGCTCTATCACACCGAGAAGAGACGATCACTTCCGCCGCTGAATGCTAGAATTCTTTGTTTCTTAGTCTTGTCCACTCACTGAACGACTCAAGCACGCATAGGGACGCACAGATCACAGAGCGCGACACTCCTTGATCACTAGACGACGGCATCTCAATAGGGGTACACTTTGAATACGTCTGCAAAAGCCTTGACAATGCGCTGGGCGGTAGTCAAATGCTAAGTTGAGGTGCAAAAGCCTGCATCGAACGGTGCGTAATGCAAAACTAGGACAATTTCGCCTCAGTTTCTATCCCAAGGAGCGCGATGCACCTCCCAGCGTCTACGAGTCCTTTTTCATTCTTTAGCACTCGACCCCGCATGTCTGAGCGTTCTAAGTACCCAAGCTCTGGTACGAACTCGGGACCCTTTTGTGCCTATATCGTATCCTAGTTGGCATCCTGCCACGGATACACCCTAATTTGTATAGAAGCACCTTGATGCACGTTCAGTCTAGCCCATTTGCCGCCGAATTTGTTTGTTGCCTCAATTTAAGGCAAGGTTCTGCAAGCAGATGCCCATGATTGTCGTAAATCATTTAAATTGCATTGTGGGAGCTTTGGGGCAAGACCCCTAGCCTCGCGCCCGAGAGTTGAAGGATGCTGCCAAGTTTTCAAGGGGAGCAGCGCTTGCTCAATGTCTTCCAGCGCTGTAATTGAACTCTCCGATTTGTGCATATATGTATATAATATGCACGCGAACAGAAGGACAACGTTTTTCAAGAGGCTAAGAGAGGCATGAGAACTCTAAAACACACTTGGATATGCAGCAAACAGGGGCCTCTGAACGCTGAACTTGTAACAACTGCCTGTACACGGACTGGCTGTGAGCTGCCTAAGCAAGAGTATGCCTACGAAATCCGCGCGCTGCCTTGGCGCCTCCCATGGCTCAAAGACCCCTTCGCTTCCCCTGTCCCCTTAGGAGCGTGCTGAATGGCAGGCGGGGGCCGTCGTGCCGCAGGACACAGGAAAAGTCCCAAGGGGGTTTCTTCCCTCGTAGCTGCCCGCTTGTCGCTGTGCTAGTGCTTGGACCTTCCACTTTTTGAGCAGTGACACAGCGCTTTTTGTGGGAAGACACATTTCCCCTTAAGAGTCGTTCGCTCTGCTGTTTCCGCGGGGCACAACTCGGGACCAGGGAGCCACCGCCGTCGGGAAACAAGCTCTTTTCACACTGACACCCAGGGGACCCTCCCGATACTGCAGGGCAGCTCCGAGCTTTGGAGAGCAGAATTTTTTCTGCTCTCTTGTGTGCGGGGGAACCCTCGTGATGAGGAGCTCCCACTTGCTCGCGACGCTTCTGCGTGCAGACTGCGGGCGAGCTCTTGGTTGCGGGTGTCTTAGCCGGAAGCTTCTGGTGTTTGTTTGCTGAGGAGGAGGGGGGAAGGCTTCCCCTCAAGGAAGGCTTTAGGGCCTTCTTGATCCTCTGCAAGCCAAAGTTTCCTGCGTCCTTTCCCTTTAGAGTGGTGACTCGGGTGACGGGTTTCACGGCCACAGCTGGGTTCCGCTTTTCTGGCGGAGCTTTTCCAGGGGGCTCTGAAACACCTGATGCCACCCCGTCCTTTGGGAGAGGGCCTTGGGGTAAGGACCCTGTACAGGCTGGCTCTGACAAAGCCTCAGGAGGCCGCCGAGACAGCATCCACAGGAGCTCCCTAGTCCCGGCAGGCAGCACCAGGCACATGCGCTCTGACACGCCGTCTTCGGAGCACCGCGCTGTCTTGTGCCCGGCAAAAACATTCTGAGGCTCCGGGTAGCGCCTCCTCCCCTGCGCTTTCTTTGGCGATCCACTGCCGTTGGCTGCTGCTGCTACGGGTGTGGCTAGGCCAGCGCCAGCGAGCGAGCTAGTTGGTCCCGCCTGCCCTGACCTTTTAGGAGACATGGACACAAGTCGCATGATCGTGGCTGCGACGGAGGGTCCTGCCTCAGCTAGGCGGTCGAGGGGAGTCTCTTCTCCTGAGAGAAGCCTTCTATTGGGAGATGTAAGTTGTTTCAGGGCGGCAGCTTCCGTTGGACTCGCCTCCGCCAGTAGGCGGTCACACACCTCCGCAATACAGGCCTCGCACCGCCGACCGCATGGAAGCCCCCAAGAGCTGCCTTTATTCAAGCCTTTGTTTGCCAAAGAGCTAGGCGACTGGAGAGCCGGCCGCTTTTGCTGCTGCTGCTGAGCTGAAGAGGGTGCGGCATCCTGCCTTTCGACTGCATTTTTTCCAGCGCGCTCCACTGAGGGTGTCCTTCCTTCAATGCGCCCAGCCACAGGCTGCAAACTGTCTCCAGTCCAGTGCTGCAAGAATTTCTCCTTAAAACTCTGGCCCGCCTCGGCAACGAACCGTCGAGGAGACATTGCTGCAGGAGAGGACATCATCTGCAAATTGGGGGGGTCGCAGAAAGGCTTTTCCGTGTCCGCTAGGCCTTTAGGGGAAGCCTCCTGCGGAGAAGAAACAAGGGATGATAAGGCGACATCCTTTTCGAGGGCGCACGCGGTGTGGCCTCTGGGACTGTCTGCGAGCACTTGGAGGACAGGCCTCTCTGCTGATGCTGAGCACACAGGAATGCTGAAGCAAGAGAGACTCTCCTCGCTTCTAATTTCAGCGGTTTTCTTCGACTCTACCAGCGCAGAGCTTCCTGGCTCCTGCGTGGACGCAATTCGGGTTGATTGATGGCGTGCTGCCGATATTGGCTGGCCCTCCTTGCATCGTTCTTCTTCACTTCTTTGCTCTAAAGAACCCATATCTGCTCCATAGGCTCCAGATATCTCTCTTGCTGGACTGTCCGCAGCCGCATCCTGTCTCCTGCTTGAGATTTCCTTAGTAGCCCACTTTTTAAACCGAGGGGTAGACGCATGCGTTTCCGCTGAGAACAGACGATGCTCTTCAGGGGCCTTGTCTTCCGTTGAGGAGGCCTTCATAATTTGACACCCTCGAGGACTTTCTTTCAGGGTATTTGATGAGGCTGCACTCCAAGGGTTGCTGACCCTTGAACACCCCCTGGGCGAAACGGTCTCACTTGGCGGGACCTCTCCGCCAAATTCTGCCGCCGTTCGCAGCTGCAGTTTACCAGCAGAGGCACTCAAAGTCACAGGAAAGGCTTCTTGAGAATCTGGGAAGGCCAGGAAAGGCGTCTCACATGACGAGGGGGGCGCAGAGTTCTCCGGACCGCCGCTGCCTGGTGAGGCTGGACTCTTTTCTTGTACTTTGTAAGAGTCGCCTGTCACCAGCAACGTTTTTCCAGCGTCCTTGGTGGCATCTGTGTCTACGGGTGCAAGTGACGCCTTCGCGTCTTTCACTAAGCTCGAGTGTGGCTCCGGCACTGAGACCTCCGCAGCGTCTCCTAAGTCCAGCGCCTCTCCCTCCTCCTCCTTCGTGGCAGATTTCGGCCGCAGTCCGCCTGTTGGCTGCGTCGTTGTGCTCTGCCGCCTTTGTCGGAGCAGGAGGTCTCCCTCTCGCACCCAAGGGAGCTCAGCAAGATGCCTCCCTTCAAAACCTCCCCGCGCTGTTTGCTCGGGTGTCGTCAGAGATTCCCCCCCCGACTCACAAAAGGGGCCCCCAGAACAGTCTGCCTCGTCTTCCCACAAGGAGTCGTCTTCAATCGAAGGCGCTGTGAATGCCTGCGGGCTCTCCAGGGCCTCGTCGGCGCTTGCAGCACTGAGCGAGAGAGCCTGTGCCGCCTGGGAATCCCCTTCCCTCTGGGGGGAGCAAGCGCCTTCGTCCAAGTGTTCTGTTGGCTCCTGGAGTGGACGCAAGGTAGCAGTTTTCCCGTGCGCATCCGAGGAGGTGTGCGGAGAGCGCACTGCGAGGTAGGAAGGGCCCGCATGCAAGAGCTTTTTCTGGCTGTCACCAGGCGTTACGAGACGCGTTTGTGACCGCTCCGCTGCCAAGGGTCGCCCCTACACCGCACAGAATACTCGCACAGAAGCAAAGCCACGCAGTCAACAAGGAGGGCTTCAACAGAGCAAATTTGCATGACAGGCAGTACTGCAACCTTTGCGTATAGGTGCAGGCCAGTGCCTCTCACCCCCCTCCCTCCGCTGCCACCCCTGCGCCTGTCAGGCCCGCAGATTAGCCGTCATGTGGGAATAGCCGTTGTCCTCTAACGCAGCAGGCGTGGAACGGCCTCAGAGCCCAAGCGCCTTTCTAGTTGCCTCTCATTGGGAGTCTGCCCGCTTAGTTTCTCAGGTGTTGCAGAGGCCCTTTCGCAAGGCAGCGCGATGATACCCCGAAGGCCGAGGCGCATAGGGCGCCGGCGCGCGGTAGACAGGCACTTGACTAGACGGAACGAACGGTGGATACTGCGCCTGCAAACCTTGCGAAGCCGACGCTGGAAGGGAGGCGGCTTGGAGCAAGTGGTCTAAAGAGCTAGTAAAGACTCTACGAGGTCCTCTGGCTGTTACCCCGACGCGTGCGCCTTGGTGCGCTCTCAGAAATAACTCCGTATCCATATCACACCCTGACCTCTGGCTATGGCGTTCCAGTAGATCCCTACCTCCTTACACGCCAGCACGTAACTCTGATGTTGGGAAGGTAGCGGAGCCTCAGAAGCGAGCTAGAGCCCCTAGGAGGCCGCTGTGGATCTACGGCGCATGGCCGCTTTGCTCTGAATAGCAGGCTGCTCCTGCAGCGCTCATTTTTAGCCAAGGCTCCTTCCTAATATATATATATGTGCTCGCGGGAAGCGGGAGTCGGGGCAGTTGAGGGAGTGCACGAGTTTCTAGGCAGCAGCTGAAAAGCTCACCGGAGTGCCTCCTCCCTTGAATCCCCCCAAGCGGTTCGATTTGTCGGCAGTCGTAGACGGCCCCTGGGCGGTAACCCCCGGTCTGTTCACAATCCGTTCCCCTGCCACGCGCAAAAGCACTCCGCTTGTACCTGCTTCACGACGCAGATCTAAAGCGCAGCCTTGACTCCATCTAAATGGCCTACGCCAAACCGCCATGCCCTGCCTCCTGCCTCACCGCATGTGCGCTAGAGCCGCTAAACATCGAGACCCTCCCTGCCCACCAAACAACTACCTCCTCACTCGCGGGGGTGCTGGCCACCAGACAGAGGAGTGTAAGAGGCCGGAGAGACGCGCAGACAGACCACACCCACTCAAGGCGATTCTCATGCTCACCGTTCTCAGAAGCACTGCTCAGGAATCGCGGGGATGATAGACCTTCTCGGAGGCCCCCAGATTGCTGGCGTCGCATGCGGCACGCGGACACCCGCGCCGCTGGCGTGAAAGGCAACAGCAGACTCTGCACGGGCCGTAGACAGGGATAGCCACGCAAGTACCATTTGGTGTGCGCCCTTGAGCGATGAAAAGGAGGGATGCAGACTGCCGGGAAAGGCACCTCTAGAAGCGCTTTAAAAGCTTTTCGGAGGCCACAGGGAAAGAGACACGAGACACGCAAGGGAGGCAGAGAAGCGCAAAATCGGTCTCTAAAGACGGACCTGACGCAGCAAGGCGTTTTCCTTGTCGACACGGGCATTGGCTCTCCGCAACATTTCGTTGGCCTCTTCAACCTCCTGCAGCTTTGCAGTGTAGAGGCACCGTGGGGAGGGGGCGGCAGAGGCCGCCTCTGTCGTACCCGGTGAGAGGGAGGGAGGCGGGATTGTTGGAGAAGGCGATAACCTCAGCTCCCTAGAGGTGCCCATATCCCGGGCTTCTACTGCTCCGGCAGCAGCGCTCGTCTCGTCAAGTTCTGTCTCCCTTGCTTCAATCCACGGCGCTTCGGGCAGTTCCCTCCCGCATCGCCCTCCACCTTGAGGCTCTTCTAGGCGAGCTTCCCTTGCGAAGGCCGCATCTTCCCCCCATTCCTTGCCGGTGCGTCCCTCAGGGGAGTCTCCACTGCAGCGGAAGGGCAGCACACACAAAAGCGGCCAAGCCTCAGTACCCCGAAGCGTCGCGCTCATCCCCCGTCTGAACGCGCTCGAATATGGCTGCCTACAGCCCTCTCTAACCAGATGCTCTCCTACAAACTGCATTCGCCTTACAGGTGGTGGAAAGCAGACGTTCGCTCTTCACGCAAGCAGGTCCTTGCAGCCTCCGTCCGAAGACCCCCCGGAGGAGAAGGGCAACAGGCCGCAGCCGCCGAAGCTGTGAGGCTGCGCTGGTGCGCAGCTTTCCCTGTACCTGCCATGACTCCTTCTTCTGCGCTTCTCACCTGGACAGGCTGTTGCGCAGCAGAACAGCCGGATCGCGCTTCCCGTGCAAACGCCGCCTCAGGAGAGCTGTCCTCCTGGCTGCCTCGCCTCTGTGCTCTGTCAGCGCACTCTGCGTGAACGGCGGCGCCTTCGGGGCATGCAAAATACCACTGCTGCGAGCCTCGACAGCTGGAGTCTCTGTCCTTCTCGCCTGGGCTCGACTGGTAGAAGGCCTTCCGCGCATGGCAAGGATTTGGGGGACCTGTCTCGGAGGCACCGACAGCCCCTGTCGTGGCCTCAGGATCTAGTGCCTCGAAGGCAGCCTCCTGGAGCAGCGTGCTGCTGTCGCTCGGAAGTCGTGCACTGCTGAGAGTTCCCGGCGCTTCATCCTCCCCGCAGCTCTTGTGAGGTTGATGTGCGTCTGAACTCGCCGGCCCTGCTGGGGACCCCTCTGTGTTGCTGCCTCTGCTGCTGAAGCTCGCTGTTCGTTGTCTAGGAGGCACCGCTGGTATCCTCTCCGCGCCGTCCATTAAGGGGCGAATGCCCCCACTCGCACCCTGATCTGCGCCTTGCAGCTGGCTGGCTAGCCATTTCCTGCGTGCTTCAGCTGCGCTTTTTCTAATTTCGTGAAGGCTCTTCCGCAGGGCCTCGTGCTGCGCAGCGAGCCGTGCCTGCTGGCCTACCATGGCCTCCCTCTCCAACTGAGCGAGTCTCTCCGCCTCTACACAGTCTCTCAAGCGACCCTCTGCCGCCTCCTTCTGCAGCCTCAGCTGCTTGTTTTCCCCTTGAAGCCGCTCTACTGTCTCCTCCAGATCCTTCCTCGCTACGTCCAACACGTGACGGGTCGCCTGGAGCTCGTGTTGCAGCGCCACTCTGGCGGCATTAGCTGCAGCGACCTCCTCTGCGCAGTGCGATCGCAAGCCGTCCAGTTCCCGCCTCAGAGACTCCTTATCGCGCTGAAGCTGGCTCATCTCTTGAGATTTCTTCTCGAGATGCTCTTTCAGCGTCTCCAGAGCTGCACTGCCTTCTTCCTCCCTCCGTTCTGCCAGCTTCCCGTTAACGGCCTGAAGAAAAGATACCTCGTTGCGGAGGGACTCCCCCTGGAGCTCTGCCTGCCGCCGCGCTTCTTTGCATGCAGCCAATTCCTCCTTCAGCCCCTCTAGCTCTCGTACATAGGCAGGCCCTTCCCGCTCCCCCTTTTGCAGGATAGCCTCGATCTCCTCTAGACACCGCCGAGCTGGCGAGATTTGCGGCTGCCCCTCCGCTTCCCCTCCCGCTTCTGCCGTTAGCCCTCCCCTAGTGAGCTCCATGTCGCGCCAGTGTCTGAGGGCCTGTAACACGCGCGCAGGAAGAAGCGCTGCGCTTCGGGCTTTAGCCAATTCCTCGTCTCGCAGCCGTAGTTCTTCCCTAAGATCGGACAGCTCCGCAGACATCCGCGCGTTCCTTTTCATCTCCGCCGCCAAGTCGGCTGCATCCGCCTCCCGACTGCTGCTTCCTAATTTGGCCTCCTGAGCCAGACAGCCATCTACAGGGTGAGGGCCTTTCTTAGGACCTCCTCCGAAGGGCACTGCACTGGCCTGCGGTTTCGTGGGCTTGAGAATAGCTTTTGTCGTTGACTTCAGACGTGCAGATGGAGAAGACATCACAGGAGAGGTGGCGAGAACCGCCGACCTGGAGCCTGTCCCCCTCTTTAGTGGGACCCCCTCAGCTAGGCCTTCTGTTTCACTAACTCCGGCTGGTCGCAAAAGTCTAGCGCCAGCAGCAGCACACGGCGTTGGATGTGCTGCTTTGTCTGGACTGGCTAAGTCTCCCTTGTAAAGCAGCCGCGCAGGCGGCCCCCTAGGGAGCAGAGCAGCTGAGGAAGCTGCGCTACGGGCGAACTGAAAGAGGCCTCCCGCATACGCTGCAGCGTCAAGTCTGCTCTCAGCCTCCTCTTGAGACCTCATCCGGTTCCTAGTTCTTTCTATGGACCCTAAGAGACTCGCAAGGTCTGAGTCCGTCTGATTATCACTTTCCGTGCTGCCTGTGGCCCCTCCCCTCCTTTTCGCCTCCTTTTGACTTAGTGGAGACTCCACAGGGGACGCACGCGCGAAGAACCCCCAACTCTTTTTTCTAAGGCTCTTGCGCCCTCGCAGAACCTCATGCTCTAGGCGTTCTGCATTCCAGTCTTTTCGCCTGCAAACACCAAGGCCAAAGACAGACGGGCGTGGACCTTCTCACATGCATATATATAAATTTATACAACCAGAGATATCAAGAAAACAGTTACCACCTGGTTTATGCAAAAAGCGTGCAGGCTGCCGCCGAGAAAGCATGGGAAGAATTAGTTTAAGCCCCTTAGCCAAACGTCTGGTAGGAGCATTACTCTTAGGGCCGGGGAATAGATAGTCCGCCACTTTTCTGCGCCTTACTGGAGGCTCGAGGAAGCTGATTCGTGCTCAGGAGAGTGATACTTGTCGGTCTCTGTGCTGCAAGGCCACTGCCGAGTCTGGTGGCTGCATGCGGCAGCTTTCCAATCGAAAGTGTTTTCCGCTGGCTCCAAATCAGTGCAGAAGCTCATGCAGCAGGGGCTGGTTTTAGATGAAGAGCCAGAGCTGATGGACTCCGGAGTTGCTTTCGCTGCCCTGGCCGCTGCTGGAGTGGCGCTGAAAACCGAATGAGCTTCAGGCCCATCGATCGCGGCGAGCTCGCGACTAAGATCTACGTAAATCTCTCCCTCTCCATCTTCAAGAGGACTTTTCAGCTCTGGAGAAAAGTCAGAGCACTTTGGGCTTTCCGCCCCTCGCCCTGCATCTAGATGATCAGATGAAGAGCCTTCAAGTTCGAAGGACGCCATTCCCGCTTCATGGCGTACCCCAGAAGAAAAGAAGAGCTCGGAGGAAGCTAACGGCGTATTGGCTTGCATTTGGGGAGTGAGGCACCTCATCTCCTCCGATTGGAAAACCAAGGCGCGTGCTGTACAGTTGCCCGCTGCAAGCCACAGGCCTCAGAGTTCCTAGTCCCAGTACCACGGGAAGGGAAACGGCCGCCCAGCTAGTCAGCTGCTGCCTTTGGATTTAGTCTTCCAGGATTTAGAATTTCATCCTTACGTAAGCACGGCACCCTAGGGCCCAAAAGTTTGTACCTGCTCAGGTGTGGGCTAGTCACGGAACACTGCGGAGAGAGCCAAATTATTCATTGGCAGCGTCTGGTAGCCAAAAAAACAATTATTTTCAATGTTTTAGAGCTGTTGGTCGGAGCTGGACGCAGCACCTGTGGCGTAAGCACACAAAGGGGCAGACAGGAGACACAGCGCCACAGGGAAAGAGACAGCGACACCGAAGAGCCAACGTACAGCGGCGCCTCGAGGCACCCAAAGACCTTTCCAAAATTTAGTGTATTCCAAAAGAAATCTGCCGTCTGTCTTCTTCCAGAAGACGCTTCTTCTCAGTCAGCGAAACAGTGAGTGCTGCGCTGGCGACGGACGACTACGGGCACAGAACCACTGGCAAGTAAGTGCCGACATGCCATGACAAACAAGACACAGTATTTTCAATGAATTGAGCTAGTTCAAGCAGTGGGAAAGGGGAAAACTATGCAAGATACAACAAGACCGCTGCTGCGGATTCAGTGATGGCCGATGCTAGAACCACTCAGTCTTCAGCGTAAGGGCAGACAATCTTCTTCTTCGTCTTTTGATTGGGTTCATCTTAAAAATATGTGTAAAATCTGCATTGTTTACATGTAAGTCCAAGGGCCTCGAGAAGGAATGAAATGAAACAGATACAGCAACTTGCATCAAAGACTCCGGCCCCGCACGGGTGTAGGGGTGTCGTGCGCACGCTACTGTGCAAAAGTCAATGGAAACATACAGAAGAAACAATACTTCTATATCTAAAGACTCCTTCTAACCCTTTATATGCATCATATGCTTTATATAGTGAAATACACGCCATAATAGCTGTAGCAATTCCCCAAAATGCTCACACATGTCGGCTCCTAAAGCCCGTCAAGCAGTGTAAAGATCCATGAACAGCGCATTAACTATGGCTTATGCTTCAGTTAAATATCATGTGTTTATCTCTTCGACCACACCGTAGCGTATCTCGAGTACCTCAATACCTCCAGTTAGGATTTAAACTTCCGAGTTCCGAAGAGCGCCTACAAACAAAAAGCAGGGTCCCAAGTGTGCAAATCGTGAACCATCGTCAGTACATTGTTGGCAAATAAATTGTTTATAGTGCTTGAGTGTATTGAAAGCCTCTCTCGCAAGTGTAAGAGGCTTTGAGCTAGCGAAACCCCCGCATGACGGAAAAGCAACCGAGTAAAGCACTACACGTTCCTAGCCTTCTACCATGGCATCCTCAGAACCAAAATGTCCGGATGCTCCAAACATATCTTTTTCGGCAAAGGGTTGATGGGCACACTGCACTCGGACAGGTTGCAGCTCCCTTCCCCCTTCTCAAACCGGGTCGCGTAGAAGCGCTATATGAGAGTGTCCGCAGGGAGGCACAAAACTCGAAATTCTCTACAAATGTGATAGATAGTAACAACTTTTTTTCAAAAAGTGTCTCTATTTTTACCCACGTCTCTCAGCTAGAAAGAGACATGTACGAATGTGCCCGTAGCTCTACCATCCAAGCACTCTAAGGATTTACACCGGGTTGTGCATGGAATCAAGAGCTCAGCCACATAGCATTTTTCTTCCTGAATAGGTTCAAAGCACTCTGTAATAGATGAAATACCAAGGAGTCCATTTTTTTAAAATTTATAATTGCATTGTGCTTGACGGATTCCAGAATGTTTGAGCATATAAAAACTGGCAACGTCTTCCTTCGTGCATTTCAATAAGCACACTGTCGGGCTCCTTACCTGCTCACCGAGCACAAAAGCGTGGACGACACCGGAAAATCTCCCTCTCTAGCACTACTCCAGGTGGGCAGCTACGCGACTACAGTGCACTATGAGAAAAGTACATGGGTGCGCGGCGGAAGCGAAACCAACGGAAGCAGAAAACACCCAAGAGCCAATAAAAGGCGAGGGGCCAAACCAGCACGAACGCGGCGACGCGATGGCTTGCTGTTGTCGGAGAGTTGAAATTTGTGAGCCTTCTGCTACGATAAGCCAGAGAAGAACTGAAATGTGAAGGAGGAATCAAATCCCATGCGAGTTTAGCAGTGCCCCCACGCTTTAATACGGCAGTTTCTGCAAACAAACACAGCAGATGCATGCAGCATAGTCGACTCTAAAACCCCAAAAGAACCATTAGCAAAACCCCAGGAACAATATACCCCAAAGTGGCTGCGCATGAATCTGAGTGCAGAGAACACCTCAAATACAATAGGTGGTAAGTTTGCAAGCAATATTCATAGGTGAAGGTAAATGTTTCATGCAGAGCATGCCTTAGAAGAATACAGTTACCGACAAACGAGGGGAATGCAGTTCATGGCTACTAGCGTTGTGTCACAATTCGCAGCCGCCACCGATACGAAACCCACAACTATTCGTGCATCGCAACTGAGGTTGACGTTCCCCACTTCATTTCACTGTAATGTCCCGTCTGGTGTGAACCTGGCGCTCACTTTTTTAGATATTCCAGTACTTCCATATGCCTCTGCAGATCGTCCCTCAGTCCGGTTGACTATTCTGCGTAGCGAAGTCCGCCATTAAATCAAGCAGGCGTGAAACTTTGATCGAAAAGCAATATTGACAGTTCTGTGGGAATCACAACCTTTAAGGGGGAAGGGTGTACTCAGAAAGTGCAGTGATTCGTGAGAGACTGAGAGGTGTTCGAGGCCACCTGGCCGCCTACGCCATATTCTGACTACCGTTGGGTAAACATTGTATAGCGCCCAATCCAACAGGACAGAATGTGCCGGATCCAAACACGCAGCCAACCGCCGCTTGTCGAAATTCCGCGCTTATCTGTCTTCAGACTTGTAGTAAATGTACCTACCTTTGCCAGCTTTCCGTCGCTTAGGTTGACTGCTGACCACGGCTAAGTAGGTTCTAGCCCAGACAGAAGAGTTACTCCTTAGTGTAGGTGAAAGATGCGGCAGATCAACGGCTAGATGAGCGTCATATCGTAGTATCCAAGTAGTTGGCAAAAGGAAACACAAGCCAAGCAAGTAAGTGTGTTGTGATGAAAAAGTACTTAAAATCGAAGAATGCAGACAAGTGTGGCTGGTGGGCTTTGTCTGCCCACCTGCCGAGGGGGGTTCGCAGTCATCATATTATTGTCAGTTGGTAGGGCATGTAGGCAAGCCATAACGCACTAGAGTGCTGTGAATGCCTATCCCAAAAGGCATTCCATGGGAACTTTCGCAGCCTCCAGAGAAGATATGGGATAACTAAGCTACCACCCTAAGTAAAGTTGGAGTAAGGAATGAAACGGGCATATTCGCTGAGTGTATTGACAATGACGGAGGTGCCATAAATACCCTTGATATTGGACTTTCCAACAATGAAATCCAGTTTCGGGTCAGCTTATACCTTTACAGGAGCTAGAAGGCGTTGCAGAAAAGTTGCGCAAAGCCACTGACAATCTGGGCTCGACGATGCATATCCGTGTGATGCGGGCTGTATCCAGGCCACCAGAAGAACTGTGACAGCGATTCCATTGTATTGTTAAATCGACATGAGCCGGAAGATTATGATCATTTGCCATGCGCAAGAAAGCGCCACTGACAATATGCACAAGTAACTGAGTTCCCAGTTTGTCTGAGCCACAGCAGGCCATCCGCAACCGGGTAGTGCGTCGCTCTTTGCCATTCGGCACGTGACGATAGGAGCGGATGCATGGAAATTGAATGTAGAAGATGCACAACATTATAATGAAAACCGTGAACTACCACATAAATGATGGGTTTTAGTGCACAATAGTGCAATCTTGGAGCTTCACGGGAGTTTGTCATCAACTACTATGTCGTTTTTCTGAATATATATCACTGTAAAGTTATTTCGCAAGATGCGCCCAAGCCACCGGGCAGCTCCAGGGGTATTAAACTCCTTAATTCCTCAGTATTATCAAAAAGGTGCACCTATAAAAGAATAATCTGGACAAGAAAACGACGCCCAGGCGAATACGTACAGCATTTTGGGCCCAACACATCGCATAAAAGCTTTCCCGTGCTGATACCACTGCTCAGTATCGATTGAGTGGAAACCACAACTTGCACTAATTTGCCGTTGAAACATAACCCCTAGCGTGCTAAGATAGATAATGATGCAGCGCTCCGTAAATCGAATTCATTCTTATGAATCAATTGCTCCTTATAATTGGGCGTCGCGAGTACCGGAAGAGTTGTAAGGTGGCCGAGAAGCGTTCTTGTTTCAATATCAGCTTCCTCTGTCCAGATAACAGAGTGCGTTTTCCTAAGTACACCAATCAAATAAACAACAAACCCAGCAGTTTTAAGCCTGAAAATTCGGCAAGACGCAAGCTAGTACAGCCTTTCAGCGTGCTTGTTGGTGCGTAAAGTTGAAACCCTCTCCTTTATTGCTTTTATTCTTCCTGGATCTGGCTCGATTCCTGCCGTTAGAGACGGATTATCAGAGATGAAAGTCTTCTATTGGGAAACAACAACCACTTGCCAAATTTCATATACCACTACGTTTCCCGCGACATCTGAGAAGCATTCCGTTGCTGCTATAGGTGCACTTGAACATTTTTGGCTATATGCAGTGAAGTTGTCCAGGTAATCAGTCATTTACCTTTCCTTAATAGAAGCGTAACAGTTTTAATTAACTTGCCGCTGCAACTCAGCTGGAGCACGAGCAAGGTCTTTCATGCATACTCGAGCAACAGAGCAAAAGTGTGAAACGCTGTTGTGTCCCTGCATCCAGCGTATATGGGAAATCCTAGTACAGCGTCTAGGAAATAATATTTCATGCAGACTGTTGATTCGTGTTATTCAGTTACTCAGTTCGCTAATTAAACCTAGTTAAAAGTGTGCTTCACTGTAATCTTGTTCAGGGGCTAACGGTAATATGGATGCGCGACATTCCATCGCTTTTGCCATCAACTTTGGTTTTTGCCTACGGCCACTGGTCGATTCACGCACTTTGCTATCTCATAGACGCCATCAGCCTGCCTCACAGTGCTCTCTTCTCTCTTCAAGTGTGTCAGAGTGAGCGAACACAGCTTGAGGCCAGACCCGGGAATTTCGCTCAAAAGGGTGCGCTGGACAACCAGTAGTGAGGCCGGCCTGCTGGCAGCTCATCATCACATTTGTGCATACGCGCATTCCCACATTGAACGTAGCCATATCTAGTATTCCTCAATTTAAATGTCAGTTGAATTGCCTAGCGAAGAATCGTCATTTGCAGCCAGGAAGAGTGGATGCATGCTCAAAAAATATTCGTTTATTGCGCGGCTTGCCCTCAGCATGATGAATATGCCTAGCGTTGTTGCGACACTATCTCTATTCTGCTCACCGTAAATGAAATAAGCTCTAGTGAAGGTTTCAGACAATGTTTCTCAAAGAGCTTTCCACCACTATGCAGCTCCATCTGTTGCCGTGCTTTCTTAGGGTCAAACATGGCTTGCCTAGGTTAACACCCTGGTGCACGAATCCACACGAGAAATTGTTTAACGTGCTAATGGGACTTGATAGCACCTTAAAAGACCATTTCTACTGTGGCAGCTTTGCCAACCCTTGCGGCCTGCGAACTTTTTGCACTCTGACTCTCTGGGACGGTGTAAATAAATCAACACGCAACTGCTCCTTCTGTGCCTTCTCTTCGGATAGCTGGTCCACTTCACGTTTAGTGTCAAGTAACGCTAGCAATTAATGCTCACTAACGTAAGCTTACATCGGCGAGTAGTTGACCCGTGGTTGGTCCTCAACTGCGGCTCTAGCCGCGACATTAGTGGGGGCCTTCCAGATCCCTGACCACGGATAACTGATCCACTTCACGATTAGTATCACGTAACGCTACCAATTCATGATCCCTAGTGTAAGCTTACATCAGCGCGTAATTGACTTGTGGTTGGTCCTCAACTGCGGACCCACTCACCACGCTCATATTGTGCTTGCAGTTCCGGATAGTATATCCTGATTTCCTACAACCCAAGCAGATGCTGTGTATTAGGGCTGTCTGTTGGTACTAATAAGGACGGTTTCTCCTCTCCTTCTTTCCCCTTGACTTTGAACCATAGGCTAGGGCCGATTAACACAAAACCCAAATCCGTAGGCTAGGTCCCGATTTGGCCCTTCCTTTTGCTAAAGAGATAAGGGCTGCGTTAATTTGCTACTGAAAACCCAAGCAAACCATTATTCTGTTGGATTCTACCCCCGCCGGCTGTTAACTCGCTGAGTTGCTGCCTGTCATGTGACTACCAGAGCTCAAACTACGAATAGGCCTGAAAAAGACCACTGGTGAAGCAGCTGTTTCTTTACGTTGCGCCTTTCGTAATCGAAAGCTTCATCATTATTGATATATTGCTCTCTACATACATGTGCCTGTTTCAGCCTTCTAGCTTTCTCCAAAGTTTGGTGAGCAGATTCCGTGGGAAACCGACGAGTTGGGACTTTTACGAAGGCTGAAACTTAGTAATGCATGCGAGCGGGCTACCCTTGTCTAAATAAAGTAAACCATCATTAAAGCATCTGTCTCTTCAATAAAACGGCTTTATGAAGCAGTCGATTTTTTTCTTCTGGAGAGAAGAGAGTAGGGCAAAACTCCAACTGTCTAATGGATTCGTCGAGTACCTCCCCATCCTCACGGCCGTCACACTGTTCTGGACGACTCAAGATCGTCGACGCATCGACAAGCCGTTTTCGCTGACAAATAATGACTTTCTATTAGCTATGAGGGTGTGCATTTTACATAAGCTTGCAGGGAGATATCTGTCACTCCAACTGGCATTGTGTCCGGCAAATTATGTCGCCACAGGCCGTGGCTGAAGAAAACGAGTTTATCGACTACCAAATAGCGCGATCAGAGCCGGAAAGCAGTCGTGTAAAAGCTGACTAATTGCTGCATCGACAGCTAGTGTATTTAGGGGGAACCCGTGCTTTGACCCACGCAGAAATATCAACTGTACCTTTCAACTGAGTTTCCGTGGAAAGCCAGTTGAATCAGCCGCCATTCAAAGTTGATAAAAAGTCAATAGAGATATCTCAAAGCAACTTTTCACGTTCCATTCTAGCGCAGATTATAATTATGACGTTAAAAGGGCCGGACAGCTAAATTGTGCGTACATGCACCCTCTATGCACTATGAGCATTCACAAGGAGCTGGACATGCCAACTAGCGCGTAGGAACACAACATTGCTTCTTCATGTATCGTTCTAGCTATATAACTTCATGAAAAGATATACAAAGGAATGAGCAAAGCTAGTCAGTTCTTTCCAAGTCATAGTTAAGTATAATTTGTGCAGCAGAAATAGCTTGTGGGTAGCATAGACTGCTGTACTGATTCCCCTCGTTATGAGCTAAAACTACAGTGGTGTGAATATATACCACGGCAAATCAAGTTAAATATCGGGCTTGCTACCAATTATAGCGTACGAACTACTGCGGTAGAAAGTGCTCAAGTGTGGCTTATCCGCTACGTACTCTTTGTTACACAAGTGAGATCCAAGACAAAAAAAGTATTCAATATCCGTCACGGCTATTCGTGTAACCTATTCCTTGCACCGTAGCATTCGAGTACTATAATATGAATGAGTGCTGTGTACATGTGTGCTACACGCTATGTGCAATTGGCTGTATACGCTCGGAAGAAATGAAAGCTGCAGTTATGCGTAGCGTAGTTGTTTCGCTCTTCCTCATCTGGGGACCTGCAAGTGGCGCGGGAAGGAAGAAGTGAGAATTTCTTTGAAGCATACTTAATAGCTTCCTTTCAAAGTTTGTACCCATCCTGTAGTTAATTATGCCCCTAATGAGGCTTCAGATTAACCGTTACACTACCGTATCAAGAACCACTAGGAAAAAGCACGATTTGCACCTTACAGCCTCAAATTGCATGCACTTAAATGTAGCAGCTGCCAACGAGATGCATGGAAGAGATGGCAAGTACGAAAAAGTCCCCTTACAAACCATAAAGAATGGGCAAAGTTGACGCAGGACGGTAGCCCACGTGTATACGTCAGCAGATTTGCGTGTGGAAAACCCTGGATAGCACGATACTAAGGGATTTACCTAATAACAGCAATATACTGTGCCTTTACAATGTTTCGATCGGAGAGTTCAGTGTATGAAATGCTCTGCTCACCCTTTCCGGGCCGGTGCTAGAGTGCAATCACACATTGTGGTATGTAGCTACTCCTCTGAGCTGCTGTTCGCTATGTTAATGAGTCAGGGCTTGCGCTAAATGAAATTAGAAGCAACAAATAGCAGCTGAGCAGGATTGCTGCCCTTGATGCAAGAGGAGGGACCCCGTTGGTGATACAAGCATTCGCTGGCTGTGGGAGGCCTGCGGCATAAGACCTGTATGGCAGATGGCAGCTCTCCCTGTCATTGCTTGGGGTGAACATACACCGCTGATTCGTATTTTTATTCTTCTCTTATTCTTTTCCGCTTCTTTAGTCTCTCATTGAAACTCAGATTGCCCCAGATTGCCAGTGCAGCCGACCGGTTGCACTGCAGACACCCGCCGATCACGCATGTTGTCTGGCAAGCTCTGGAGGCTCTCAGTGGGGTTTTCTGCTTTCATTTACAATTTCTAGTATTAATGTAAATAATTGGATCAATTTCTTGGCACTCTGGCGATCAATATTTCTGGCCAGCTCCCCCCTCGCTGCTCGGGGAACCCTGGGCTGTATCGGCTGCACCTGCCTGGTAAAACCTTACAGCCCTCCCTATTCGTCTTGTCCAGTTTTCCCTTGTTTTTTGACTTGCGATTGAGTTAGCGATTTGCTTGGTTTTGCTATATTAGAGAAATCTTTACAGGGCTTTACTTCGCCCTGGTCCATCCTCTTGGCTGTCCAGCGAACCGCTGTCTGATCAAACATCTCTGCGAATCGCATAGCACAGGGTTTTTAACTAGGCCCTAATCTGGAGGCAAATCCGTTTTTGCTACGGGCTGCGCGGGGCCCCAAGCAGGTATTCCCTTCCAATGCGGCGCTGCTTGTGTGCTCTTTTACCGACAACTGAGGCCCTTCCCTCCGGTTTAAGTTGTTCTTCTATATGAACATTGGAGGGAACATGCAGAGGTCGCAGGGGACGACCCTCAAGCAGCCTGGCCAGGTGGTGCCTTCATCCATCCCTCACAAACAGCAGCAGCAGCGCACACAAGATGCCGGTGCTAGCTTCGCCAACCACCACCATCAACAGCATCATCCACAGCAGGACGACCAGGAGCAACAGCAGCATGCTTCATCAGACGCTCCTTACACGGCCGCCCAGCGGCCGTCGCCTTCAACCCTACAGAGTGTCTCTAAGAAAGACAGCGTGGCGGTCCCCGCTCCGGAGAGCAGCTACTGCTTTGGCCCTTCCGGAAGAAAGGAGAAACTTCGCCGAATCCAAATAAGCGGCGATACAACTTGGGTTATACCACAGCGATTTCGATACCTGAAGAGGGTGCGTTCACAAGGGGACTTTATGAAAAGATCTGAACTCCTTGGCTTACATTCACAGGCCTAGGAGGGCTGTGCCCATAGACGACGCAAGGTCCTTACAGAAAGAGGCTTCAACCCGCATTGACCCTCGACGTTGGTTTTGGCAGTCTGTGAAGAGAGAGAGATTATTTGGCAGTGAAGCACTTTGATATGGCATCCACTTGTTCTCCTAAACGCTATTCCGTTGGCTGCCAGTAATCCGAGTCTTGTAGTGCGCATGCTTTCTGCAGATTGGAAGTGGAGCATATGGGTGCGTTGCTTCGTTTGAGGAAACCGCTGAAAAGGCGGTATCTAAAGTGGCTGTAAAGAAGATAGGTGACCTCTTCAGGGATCTCGTGGATGCCAAACGAATCTTGCGGGAGATTAAGATTTTGAAAGCACTACAGCATGAGAATATGATCCACCTTATTGAAATTTTAGACCCACTGACACCGGGTGAGCTTTGTATGGTTTTGCTCCACTTTTAGTGATGGTAACGGGTGCATCGCTGCCTGCGCACAAGGTGCAAGCGACCTTGCGCAGCAAGATTTCTTTGTCTTGAATTCCATTTTCGTAGGCTAGGCTCTTCATCAGCATGTGTTGCATGACTTGGTATTTTAGAGTTCCTTTTCTTTTGTACTATTTCTAAGCGGATGAGCTGCTTGACTGCGATTCTCTCAATCCATTGAACGCATGGTTTTCCATCTTCTCTGTACGGGGCGAGGTGGTTTTGGGTGGAGTTGGCTTTCATGGTGGTAGCTGTGCTGACGCATTTGCTACCTTTATGCCCTCGTTTTCGACTTTCTGTAAGTGTGAGCCTATGGATGCTGGCGTGTTCCTTGTGTGTAAGATTTCGAAGACATATATTTGGTGAGCGACCTGATGGACACGGATCTGCATAGGGTCATCTACAGCAGGCAGCCCCTCACCCACGAGCATCATCAATATTTCCTTTATCAAATCCTCCTTGCACTTGCATTTCTTCACGAGGGTAAGTCTAAATGATCCAGAGAAAGGTGTTGAACAGGAGAAAACACTTGATTGACCACATCTGGCAGAAAGCAGGAACCATGTGTGCGTCGAGGTAGGGTTTTTTTCTTGAGGGTGACTGTGAGCCACCCCATGAATCCTTTCATCGTTTTTTTGATTGTTTGCTCTCAGCAAACGTGATTCATCGAGACCTCAAGCCCAGCAACATCCTAGTCAACTTGAACTGCGATGTAAAGATCTGTGATTTTGGGCTTGCAAGAGGAGTTACGGATACCAGCAATAACGCAGCAACAGAATTTCAGCAACAGTCAGCAGGTTCCCCAGTCGAAGGGCTTGGAGATTCTCAGCTTTGCGCAATGGAGATGGATGGAGAGTCTCAGCACGGCTCGTCAAGCAATGCCCATACCAGCAGCAGCAGAAGCGGCCCTTCGGCGCGCCTCGTTGGTCGCTCCTCTTGGGCTTCTCTTCAGCGCACAATCGAAGCAGCGGCTGCACCCGCAAACGAGGTACTGGCGGTAGCTGAGCTCTAAGAGTTCGCTTGGTTCGCTAGTATTGCTAGTAGCCATGAGGGAGTTGCTTGTGTGCGATGGCGCTGAAGGGCTCTGCTCCACTACCCTCACTATTCCTTTAGGATCATCAGAACCTTTCAGCTGGGAGCCAGATGATTTGGGCGATCGGCTCGATCCTTCCCCTTATCGCGTGAAGCGCTATTTTTTCCCTCGCAGGAGATGACCGATTACGTCGTGACGCGGTGGTATCGGCCCCCCGAGCTGCTGATTTTCCCCTATCATTACTCCAAGCCTGTTGATATATGGTGTGCCGCTAGCCGTTTAGCCGATGCCGCCGCAAAAGAGCTCTTCAAGGGGACAGACACAAGAATCGTGCAGTGTTATGCACGTTACTCACAGCTGCCCATCCGTTTCTACTCGACCTCAGTACGCCTGGGTGCTGGTCGGCCTTGCATTCCCGTGCCGCCCTCATATTGCTGTTACCCCGTTGTTGGAGTGTATTGGCAGGTCTGTGGGATGCATAATGGCGGAATTGTTGGGTCGGCGAGCTTTGTTTGCTGGGAAGGATCAATATGATCAATTAAGAAGGATCATCCGGATCTGCGGATCACCCAGCGAGGAAGACTTATCATTTCTCACCACCACGGTAGAAGAGGCACCGGAAGGAAAGCAATCCAAAAGGCGGATGAAGATCAACAGGCAGTTCATCGATCAGCTCTCTCACTCTGATGTGCGTGCTACGGCCACACAGAACACTCACAACGCTCTCTCTTGGGCGCTTTTCCCTTTTTCTACTGGCGCTTAATGCCGCGAAGGTGTATTTCATGCATGAACAATACTTGGAGGGCTGCCTTGATGCATGCCTTGACCGTGTGGCTCTCACCGATGAAATTCGCGCTACCGCGCTGATGAGGGGTGTGCTGTTGCACCAAGTGCACTTCCGCATGCAATGCGTAGCAATTGATGGGGCTTAATGCGGCTGCTCTGAAAGGTGTGGACGAAGTGCCGCTCACTGCATGTCAACTGCAGCGCTGTATTCGAATGCATGAAGCTTCCCACTGCATGGCAGGTTTGCTGTGTATGACGAATATTAAGTGCATACACGTTCACAACGATGAATGTCTGTCTCGATTTGTGCATTCAAGATTAGTTGCCTTCTCACCTACGGAATAGATGCTCCTCTACAACGCAGCCCGTGCAGGATTGCTGGATACGAAATTGACATATCACCTGCCACTTACATCGGCAACGATCCTTTGTGACCACAGATCGCAAAAAAGTCTATTGGCGCGCCTTAAACCTCGTGTGCTGCGTTGTTTAGGGAATCTCGTTTTCTTCGCTTTTCCCAGGTGCATGTCCGCAAGCGCTTGATCTGTTACGTCGGTTGCTGGCGTTCAACCCGAGCAAACGGATAACTGCGCTGGAAGCCCTTAGGCACCCCTATTTTAAGGTCAGATTATCAGCAGACTACTAGTCGAACACAAATATGCTCAGGCGTCAGAGCCACTGTAAACACTGGATGTGCGATTGTGTTTTTTGATGCACCCCTTTGTTTCATTCAAATTACTGGGGTCGCTGTGGAGCCTGACACGCGTCCACTGTCCTCTCCTGTGAGCAAGCTGCATCGAGTATTCGGTTTGTGTGCTCTTAGGGCTTGTATTGCCAAGAAGACGAACCGAAAGCGACGCAGCCAATGGACTGGTCCTTCGACAACTTTCGTCCCACGAAGCGGTGCGGAAAGCAGGGCGAGGGGTTCATGAGATTTGCACACCAGCCTGTTCAGATAGCTCTACCTCCTTTCCATCGACCCCGTAGCTCCTATTATCCATGAGTGACCCCCTTCTTCGAGTGGTCTTGTGTCGGCCCGCCTAACGAATGCTTTGCAGCTAGACATGTGGATTGCTGAAATTTTCTGTGCACCCAAAAATTGGTCGCCTCCTCTGGTATGAGTTGCCGCTGCCTTACAGGTTATTGCAGAATATGATATACAAGGAAATACTATCTTTTCATCCAAACATCGCGTTGAGGGACAAGGCTTTGTTGCAGATGCGGGGAATAACGACACAGCAGCTTTTACCACTGCTTCCCAAGCAACTCGGGGCGTCTCTGCTGCAACTCGACCACGAGTTGCAGCAGCAGCTGCAGCAGCAGAAGATACAGCAGCAGTTGCAGGAACAGCTCGAAAGACAGCAGCAACAACAGCAGCTGCTACTGCAACAGCAACAGCAGCGCAATCCCTTGCTTCATCGTTCCTGCTGCAGCGCGCCTGCAGACTCTTCATCTGCTGGCCAGTCGGCGGAAGAATTGCAGCAGCAGCAGCAGCAGCAGCAGCAGCAGCAGCAGCAGCGCCTCCAGGCCACTTCAGCAGCACCAGGAGTAGCCGCAGCAACAGGAGTACCTCTATCTGCCTCATCTACGGTGGAAATAAAGGGGAGTCAGGCGTCGCGAAAGAACATGGGAGCTCTGCAAAGCGTGGGCCCATTGATTTCTTCTATGGACTTAGGTTTTGGTCAGGTCGCTCCGAAGCAGCAGCAGCTGCTGCAGCAGCGCCTGCATTTTAGTACCTGTCTGGCGCAACAGCAGCTCCTGCAGCAAAAACAACAGACGCTGCTGCTGCAGCGATCGCCCTACTGCCCACTTCAGCAGCAAGCGCAGCAGCGCGTTCCCTTGGCAACAGCGGCCGCAGCACCGAGTGCCCCCCCTCCAAGACACACCATTGGCGCGATGGGCATTACTTCGGGTGTGATTCGAGGGGTTGGTCCTCCCTCGGTAGCTACAGCTCCCAACCTTCCGCTAGTCCAGCACCTGAAGCAGCAGCAGCAGCTCTCTCCACGTGTGTTTGTGGGTTTGTCTAGTCCTGCTGCCGAGACTTCCATCAGACACGTCCCTGCAGTGCCGCTACCCTGCCATTTGGTGTCATCCCCCACTCAACAGTCGCTTGCGGGCATCCCGCTTTCGGAGATGCTGCAGCTGCAGCAGCAGCAGCTGCAGCTCAAGTTGCAGCAGCAGCTGAGCGGCGGCGGCAGCAGCAGCTGCTGCTGCTGCGCCCCCGGCAGCAGCTTCTGCTGCGAGAAGCAGTGCCTGGATGCTCCAGACACGGTCTACGCGAATGCGGACGCGGCAGGCAGCAAGGATTGCCTGCCTCCACAGCACCGCCACACCAGCATCCCAGTTGCAACAACAGGGGATGCTGGCTCGCGAAGCAGCGGCTGCGGTGCAGTGCATAGCTCTCAGCAGAGCCGTTGCAGCAATGCCAGCGACAGCAGCACCAGCTGCTGCTCTGCATGGCCTCCAACGGGCAGCCGCAATACCACCAGATCCTCGCTGGGAGGGGATGCAACCTTTGGATCCGGGGAGCCGTACCCGCAGCAGAAGCAGCAGCAACAGCAGCAGCAGCAGCAACAGCAGTTGGCACTGCTGCATCGCGTGATGCAGCATCAGGTGGCGCGCCAGCAGCAGCTGATAGAGCAGCAGAAGCAGCGACAGCAACAGCACATGCTCACACAGGAACAGCTGCAACAGTTGCTTTGTTCCCCCTCTCTGCTGCAGCTGCATCATCACGAAGCGGGGGTCCGTGTCTTACCCGAACTTTCGGAAGGCGGCGCGGACCAAGCAGCAGCAACAACGGGGGCAACAGGTACTAATCGGTGGGTGCTGCCTGCGCAACAGCAGCAGCAGCAGCAACTGCAGCACTTCAACTCTTAGAGCCTTGTGAGAAGGCGGATGGGGAGGGGGATGCGGGCTTCACGACGCATGCCGCAAGGTGCCAAACCAGGCTCAACACCATCCACCCGAGTCTAGAAAGCAGCAGCACAACAGTGTACCACCTGGACCTGTTGCTTTGAGGGACTGCAGTAGCGGGCATTGTGTAACTTGCAGGTACGTGCAGATCAAATCGTTGTTTTGATTCTCCTCGTTTTTCTCGTCCTAGTGGGAAAAAGCTGCAACCCACAGGCAACAGAAGTAAATAAAAAGAGTTCCTGCGCGGGAAAAAGAAAACGCAGGAACCGCGACAGCAAGAGCCGCGCTTCCTTGCGTTGCTGGTGGTGCTGTCACTCCTGTTTTACGGGACGCACCTAACCGACACTCTGGCAATTTCGTACAGAAGAGCTCCTAAGAAGGCACTTGCTGGTCACCACACAGCATCGTGCCCAACGTACTTCTGGAGGAAGGGCATGGATATACGGAGAGGCCTCCCGCTGGTTGTCCCTGTCCTGTATATGAGGCATAATATGTTATAATATGTAATACTAATACCAAATTATATATCACATATATATCTGCCACTCCTTCCTTCCCTGCTGCGTCACGTCTGAGCTTCGCACTGCGCCGGCAGGGCCGCTCTCTTACATTTTGTGCGGCCAGAGATGCAGGGGAGGGGGGCTGGGAGACTCCACACCGTCAGAAGACAGCCGGAGGCAAGAACTGTTTAGTCGCATGCTGGAGCGCGAAAGTCACAAGGGGGGAGGCTTTGTTTACCCCGAGCCGTCCTGTGGGTGGTGTTTATGTGTGTGCGGGCCGGAGGGTGTTCAAGTTCCCCGTCCTGTCGATGCCGACCTCTCATGCGCTCTCTTAGCTAAAGCAAAATGCTATTTCCTACTCAATAGGAGCCATAGGCTAGAGCAGCAACAGCAAAGGCGGAAAAAGGCTCCACGCCTCTATGACATTACATCCCTCAGGATAGGCAAGTCCGCTGCGCACGCATCCTGGGAGGCACCCGAACGTAAACACCCATAAGACACACAGCTCTGTCTGTCACCTTTTCATTAATGCAGTTACGATACTTGGGGAGTTGCTCGCTGCCGTGGGGTCACTTAGGAGGATTGCGAGCGCACACAAAGTCTCCTCGAGTTAGCCACTGTTGCGGTGGCACAGCCTGTATTCAAGCCCTCTCCCAAATGGGGGAAGTGCGCCCTCTTGGATTTTAAAGAGCTCCATCATGCAGATGCAAGTAACGGCGTCCGCTTGTCTAGGTGGCACTTTGACAGCACAGGGGTGAGGCCGTCCAGGCTGTAATTCCAGGGGACCTCTAGGATGAGGTGGTGGTGTCTAAGATCAGGATAGGACCGTAAGCAGAGAGGGTGGCTCTGTACTTCTCGGGCACATAAGGGCTAGAGAGAGATAAAGGATGCACAGGGTAGAGCCTACGGAGCTACAAGTGCCCGTTGATCAGCGAGTCACACAAAAGGTGCACGGATTTGCCTACATGCGGACTTGCCCATACGCATGCCCGCATCGCGCAGCCGCCGTTTGCTTGTAGCGCTCTGCGTTGCGCGGTGTTGTGTGATTTTCTCGTCATAAGTGAAACAAAGGGCCCCACAGGGAGAGGGCCGGAGCGGTTTTTTGGCGTGTATGTATGCGGCTTCTAAGCTACAGCCAAAAGGCTCTCTGCAGCTGTGCAGCGTTCGACCGGAATAGTCTTTCTTTGCTTGCTCCTCGCGCCCGTGCATTGAGTGCCCTATTCCTAGAGCCGGGCTAAAATTTCTTGCTGCGGAGCCTTTTCGAGGGCTGTCGTGTTCATCAGAATAATGGCCGCTGTGGTATCGTCATAGAGTCGTCTTCTCTGCTTGGGCGGAGCAGAGAGGATTGCCTCGACGGAAGTGCCCGCTTCTTCTGCAGCGCGCCGTAGCACTTCGTGCACCACTCTGCAGCAGCAGGCATCCGCATGAAGCAAGCTGAAAGAGTGCACATCTCGAGGTGTCTCCCTTTCCCTGCAGCAGTTGCCGAATCCACGTTCACCAGGCACACATGGACAGCCTGCTGCCACGCAACTGCAGCAGCTGGAGCGGCCACCAATACCTGAGGCTTGCCGTTCCTTCCCGTTCCTCCCGCCTCCGACCCTTTTCTCCCCTCGCACTACCCCCCACGCGCTCCCAGTGCACTTACGCGTCAGCCGCCTGCTGAGCCGCTTCCGATGAGCCCATGCCGTTCATCAGGCTGCCGCTGGCTTCTAGGGAACTCCGGACAATAGCGGCTGCTTCACGAGGCGTCAAAAAGTCCCAAACGCCATCCGTGCCAACGACTACAAACTCTTCGTTGCCTAGTCTTGGAAAACTTTTCGTTTGGGGTTCTACAACAACATACGGAAAGGAAAAGACTTCCTGAGGCGCTTTCTCGGAGCTCGTTCTTGTCGGTGCTGCAGCGTTGGTGGCAGTGCTGCTGCTGCCGGGGGAACGTCGACGCCTGCCTCTCTGCAGCTCCTGCCAGTACTTCTCATCCTTCAAGGAAAAGTCCCCGAAGACGCGAGTTGGCTGCAGACGGCCCTTCACGTAGCAAGCGCTGCGCTGCGTCTCGCTCCCTGCACGGCGGCATATGTGCAAGCAGGAAAGTCTGCAAACGGACCAACGGTTGTTGCAAATGCTTCTATCGGCAGCAGAGGCACAGTGGATGGCTACTGGGCAGGCCAGGGAGTGCACAGAAAGCAGCCCGTTTCTCCTGTAGCAGCAATGGAGTGGTGTGCCGACCGTAGCAGCGAAACTCTACACTACGCCCCCAGTACCAAAGTTTGTGGCTCTGCTGTCGCTGTGTCTGTACTGTGCTGTGCATAAGCACTTTGCATGCATGAAGAAGCTCGAAGGGGGGCGGCTGTGCAGTTGGTGCGTGCATGGACGTTCTTGAAACATACCGAGGAGGCCAAGGCTGTTCAGTAAGAAATGAAACTTGTTTTGGGGCTTCCGCGGCTCCTGCCATTCTCTCTTGCAAATCACCTGGTGTGCATGTCTCGCATGCACATCAACATATTTGAATACATGTGCATGGACACGGGGTCACATCCACACACATAGACCGATGCACACATACATGCATTCATGCAGCCGTACATTCGTACCAACCTACATGCAGATTAACAAACATTCATGCATGCATACATGCATAAAAGCGAATCTCGGATGCAGGACAGCAACAAAACGGGCACGACTGCAAAGGAGCTGCCACCGACTTAGAGGCACAGAAACACGCACCCGAGGACGGAGGAACAAAAGAAAACGGCATCGGCAGACACAATGGCAGCCACAGGACTTACGACGTCATCCTCAAGGGGGTGCAGTTGCTGCAGACGCCGCCTCTCCTCTGGCGAGTTTGCATTGTGCTGCACATTGAGCTCAACCACTTCTGGCCCCTCCTCGTTCTTCCTACTGCTTCTGCCTTTGCGCTGCAGGACAGCCATGCAATCGCCGCTGTTGGCGACAACCACTCCCTTTTCTGTAAAAAGCAAGGCAATGCAGCAGGCTCCAACCTGCATGCGGCAAGCATGCACGCGCGCAAGCAGGGGCGGAAGGATCACAGGCCTCCCGCAGATGAGGTTTCACAGAAAAAGAATAGCACACGGCGATACAAACAACCAAAAAACAACATGCAGGCTCGCCTGAAGTCATGAATCCGGATCACTAACTGCGAATTCACTCAAACACGGACTGATCGCATGCGCGAGTGCACTGATATTCACGAAGTCAATGCAGCATATCCCCCCCACCCCCCACCCCACTGTGAACCCCAACACGCATGAGGTGAGTTCCCGCGGCCTTTTCTCGCTTTCACGCCGCTGCCTTGAAGGCCTCTGATCGCTGCATCCTCCCGAGGAAACGCATGCAGCGATAAGGCAGCCCATATGCACGCCCTTGCGCAGACATATGCACTGCAAAGGCGCTGTCCATAGGTGGTAAAGGGCAGCAGTAACAGCAGCAGCAGTATCAGACTTGCCCTGACACTCCGTTTGATACCGATCCCATACGCTGCATCGACAGAAGCGCCTATAGCTTCATCCTGCAGCAGCAGGCAGAAATCAGCAGGGAAGGCACGATCTCCTTGAGCAACAACAGCACTTCTAGCCACCACCCGCAGCATTATTTTATAGCCGCAGCAGACGACTAGGAACCACCCAGCCAAATACACAGCCGTGGAGTAGGGAAGGGAAGAAAGACGCTCTCGAGGAAAACGTCGTGCTGCCTGTACACCCGAATTCGGGGTTGTGATGCCAACGCATCCACAGGTTGTTCCTTCTTTAGAGGGGTCAAACAAAAAATTCTCCTCCCGTTTATCTCTTGCCCAACGCGAAGGGAGGAGCCAACCCCGAGAAGCAACGCAGACAACGCACCAGGCGGCAAAAGGCGCGACTAAGTGCTTTTTCCATCATTTCCAAATCGCCGGGATCGCCTGTTGCTGCCAGTTCAGCAGCCACAAAGCGTGGGAGTTCCGCGTGAACGTATTCAGCTGCAACCGCAGGAAGAGCAGCAGAGATTGCACGCAGAATAGGAAGCGTCGGAGCTGCTCGAGGCGCTGTTTCACGAGGCTGAATCTTGAGTTTGGAGTAGGTGTTTCGTAGGAGCAGCGACACCAGCAACAAACGGCTCTCTGAAGCAAAAGCTCACCGACTTCAGGACCGCCATGGCCGTCCACGATGGCAACGAGGCAGCAAGGCCGTTGCAGGTTTCCCTCCTTCGAGCGAATTGCCAGCTGAACGGATTGCACGACGGCAGCACCTGGTGGGGGTGTGTCAGAGGAGGTGCCTGCGGCAGCAGCAGCCCCAGTGGCTGCGGCCTCTGGAAAAATCCGCTGCGCGAGGAGCTCCTGCTGATTCTGTGTAGCAGCGAAACCAGCGGGTGTTGCGGCTCCCGTGGCACCAGCAGCGACAGCGCTGACATTGGCGATGAGCGCTCTGTCCTCAACAGGGCTGTTTGCAGCCACTTGGGAAACACCGGCTGCAAGGCCTAAGTGCTGCAGAGCCAGTTGTGTGGGCTGTACAGACAGCGACCATGCACTTCGAGGCTGCTTCACGAGTTGCTGCAGCAGCAGCGAATGCCTTTGCGCTTCATGCTGCTGTGGCTGCTCGCATCGCGCTGGCGACTGGAGAAATATCGCCCCCCAGGAACCCTTCTTCCCAGCTACGCCCTGCCTCTGCCCGCGTCTGTTGCCTTGCGGAGCCAGCAGCGGCTTCAGCGGCTGCGACTGCTGCCGCTGCTGCATGCTCTTGAAGGCGAAGGCAGGCAGCGCTGCAAGCGCGAAAGCCCATAGCATGGCAGAAGAACGCGGCGAGGAGCAACAAACCGCAGGGCCAGCCGCTCCCTGCGGAGGGGTGGCTGCTCTGCGGGGGCATGCTGCGAAAGACGCATAGCGGCGTTGTTGCTTTGAAGGAGCAGGGGCAGAAGCAGCAGCAGCAACAGTCCAGTCGCCTTGCGTTGGAAAGGCGAGGCGCAGTGAAGGCCACACAGCTGCCGCATCCCCCTGAATAACCCCCCGCACACTGGACCTGCCCCTGCTGCGCTCTGCCAAGCGGCGCAGCGTAGCCGCAGCAACAGCCACAACTGCTGAAGGCTGCCTCCGCTGTGGCTGCATGGTCAATCCCACAAGGCAAGCTGCCCAGTCTCGGAGGGAGAGACGGGGGAAGGGGAAAGTCTGAGATGCAACACAGACAGCTGTCACGCACGAGCAAATCGCTTGAGACAGCGTCGTGTGCCTCTCGGCCTTCTCGCCCTCTCTGAGGCAGAAAGCGGAAGCAGGCTCAACAGACAGCGGAGGAGGGTGAATAGAGGTTCCCCCTGCTCCCGGGGGTTGAGTTGCGGGAGGTGCGCCGGCAGCACACGAAGAGGAGCATAAATACACCTAAACACCAGAAGGAATAAGGCAAAAAGAGGCAAAAGAATCGGATCTCTCTGCCCACTGGGCTTGCTCCTCCCGCCTGCCCCGTGTGTCTTGTCGACAGCAGCAGCAGCTGGCGACTGCTGCTGCTGTCGCCGCCGCTGGATTGTGCGTAGGTGGACCGGACGGAGGAAGGGATCCTTGAAGGGAAAATGACTGGCTCTCTTGCTGAAATATTTCTTACTTTCTCCTCATTTAGGCCTAGCTGCTGTTTCCACTACCGCAAGCGTTCCGTCGAGCCGCGCCAGGAAGAAGATTGCCACCATCATGCCCAGCGGCGGGGGGAGGGGGGCCCCTCCTGTAGGGGCCTCCTGATCTTAAAGTGCAAATTCGCATGACCATCCGACTCTTTTTCGCACCCTCCCCCCGTTCCCTGCACTTAGGTCTCTTTTTTACCCCAGTCCCCTTCCTTCGTGGCAGCTGAAGGCTGCGCCGCATCGATGCACTTCATCAAACGCGGAAATATAGCGGCTTTCTTTGCTGCGGCGCAGCAGACAGCCAAAGCATCAACATCTACTGCTCCTCCGTTCTTGACCTCCTCCGCTGGCGTGGCGACTTCCGGCAACGTGTCGCACTTGGCAGGAGCAGCTGCAGCATCACCAGCGCCGCCGCCCCTGTGCCGAAGAGCCTTGTGTGAAACGCACGAAAGGACGGCTGCAGATGCTGCATCCGCCACCCCTCAACATTCTGCTCGAGCAGCTGCAACACCGGCGCTGGGAACGGCTGCAGCAGCAGCTGCTCCAGTAAAGGCACCAGGGGGAGCTGCAGGGGAGTCTCCTTTAAAGGTTCTACGCAGGGCAGTAAGACGCGGAAAACCCTTGTTGCTGCTTCAGTGTGCTGCTTCTAGTGCCTTGGACGCCATGCAGCGGCAAGAGGTGTCGCCTCGGGAGGCGGCTCAGGTGCTGCAGGTGCTGTCAAGACACCACGAGCTGCTGCCACGACACGTGTGGCGAGATGCAGCAGCAGCCCTCTTGCCCCTCCTGAAGAAGCAGCGTCAGCTTGTAGATGCACCGCTGCTGCTTTCCAGCCAAAGTTACCGCAAGCAGCATGATCCTGAAAAGCCGAGAGCGCCTTCTCAGCGGCAGCAACAGCTGACACTCGGTGATATCGTCACCATCTTCAATGCCTTTGCCCGAGTAAACCACAGGCCTTCTCTTCTTCTTCAGGAGGCTCTCCGCCTCATTTCTCCGCAAGACGCCGCAGAAACGCAGCAGCAGCAGAAAAAAGCAGACTATAAAAGACACAGCAGACTTGGTCGTGCAGCCTTTGCAGAGCACAGCGCTGGTAGCGTTCCACAGGAGCAACAGGCCCTGCAGCAACACGCTCAAGAGTCTCAAAGGGCAGCTAGCTCTGCTTCTGAGGAAACTGTTGCTGCCGATGCTGTTGCTGCTGGTCGTACTGAGGCGAATATATGGGCTCTCAGGACGAACTCCGAGAGGAGAGAAGGCGCTGACACACCTGCAGCAACAACGCCAACGTCGAACCCTCAGGCAGCAGCTTCGGAAATACCAGCTCCGGTAAATCTCGTAGGCGCAGAGGGGGAGTGTAGGAGTATGCTGCAGCCGTCGCCTGCTGCCACGCGCTCTACCGACAGAGACTTGCTGCTGCTGCTGCATGCTGTAGCGAAGCTGCAGCTAAGTGCTCCTAGTCTGTTGCGGCAGCTGCGGCAGTGGCTGCTGCAGTCCTCCGAACGGCTGCGTCCACTGCAGCTAGCCGTTGCACTGCACGCCCTCGCGGCAGCAAAACATGCAGATGCAGAAGTGCTGCGCACAGTGGGAGACGTGTTGCTGCAGCAGACGCAGCAGACTGAATACAGGCAGCAGCATGGGCTGCTGCGGCTGCATGCACTCGACGCAGGTGGAATCAGTATGCTCCTGCTCGCACAGCTGCGGATGAAGACTGCGGACTCACGTCTCTGCAGACCCTTGCTGCAGCATCTTCTCTCCAATGAAAGCAGAAAACCTAGCAGAAAAAGAAGCGAATTGCTCAACACGTCCAGCACCAGAGACTTCGACACAGCGCCGGCATCTGCAGAGAGTCGCACGCCTTCAACAACCACTAGAAGGAGGGACTATCAACTTGACGATCACCATCAGGACCCCAACACTAACGACGTATCTTTGCAATTACAGCATTTTAGAGGAAAAGAACTTGCAATCCTTCTGCTGTACTTGTCAAGGTACCATAGGTTTCATCCACCAGCAATGGTGAAGAGCATTGCAGAAGAAAGCCTGCTCTTGCTGCCCTCCTTAAGGGACAGAGCGCTGCTTCTATCGGCGCATGCACTGGCGCTGCTTCTCCCACAGCTGCAACGGCAGCAAAAGGAACAACAAGGGCAGCTGTCAGAGCAGGAAGACAGTGCAGCAGGAGAGCTGCTGCGTCGGCAGCAGGATCGCGTGGCTTCAATTGTTGCTGCTCGTTTTGCTGCACGTCCTCCTGGGGGGCACCTGGCCTTCGCGCTGCTTCACGTGCTGCAGCTGCTGCTTGGTGGACTTAGGCAGCAGGAGTTTCCTTCATGCTGTCTCGATCTGCTGCAGTCGCTACAGCAGCTGCTTGCCCGTTCTCTGCAGTCGCTGACAGATGCCCAGCTGGCGCGCACTGCTGCGGCTGCTGCTGCTCTGGGGTGTATGGACAGTTCCCTTCGAGACCGCCTGCTCACAGAGGGAGCTTGTCGCTTGCATGACTTCCATCCAAAGCATGCGAAGATGTTGCTGGCCGCGCTGCAGCAGCAACAACCGTGGGAAGCGGAGGGATCCGACTTGCACTGCGAAGGCGAGGAGGGGTCGATCCATTACTTAGGGGAGTCCAAGCTGCTTCAACGACACATTGAAGGTTCAGCAGAGGTGTTGCAAGCTCTGGCTGCGCGCGCATCTGAATCTACGCATCAGGCCTCTCCTCCGTGACTGCCGCTTCAGGGTGTCTTGCCACCTCTGCATTTTCTCCTTAGGGCCTCTCGGACCTTATTCCATCAGGTGCCATGGTGGTCTCTCGTATGAGTGCATCGCTTTCTTCTCGCATTTTAAAATTGTACTCGGGTCTGTCATATTTGAAGCGGAGAGGCGGTACGGCGACTGCCAAAGCGCAAGGACCGTAGCGCACACCGCTCCCATTCGCTCGAGAAGTTTTCTGTGATGTCGAGAAAAAGCCGCTTTTTATGTGGATAACTATGGGCCGCCGTTTGTCTTTTTGTCTGGTGAAATTCCACACACTGATCTGCATTGCAACGCTCGTTGAGATCCGTAGGGAGAGTCTTTCCGCCTTAATTCACTACAAAGCTTGCTAGAAATTCATGTTTAGCATCTCTAGAGATGTCCCCTGCTACCTCCCCGTGCTGATCAGAAGTAGCGCCAGAGGCCTTTGGAGGAAAAAGGAGGGAAGGCCACTGCTAGGCTGCATGAGCGCTGCGGAAAGCTGTGACCTCGATGCGTATGTACTCGCACCTAGTCGTACATACACATACTTATAAGGCAACGGCGCTCCCAGCTACACTGACTCGCGCAGAAGTGCCGAGAGAACCAACCCCGCATACTTTTTTGCAGCAAGTAGCATGTGAGTGCGCCGTAATCGAACAGTCAATCCCACAGTTCTTCATTAAGCGGAGATAGGACAACGGTAAGTGCCCCCATTGATTCAGGGCCCACTGCGTGTGATGTTTTGCTTGTTAGGTAGAGCCTGTGTGATGGCAAGCGTTCGGGGGTCATCGGGGTCTAAGACGCTAGTGGCATTTTCTGTTCACCAGCTCTTGAGTTGGCAAGACAACGACTAAGCCTGTCGAAAGCATCTTTCAATGGCTTTTGGCATATTGGTGTGTCGTCTCTGCAAGGGCATGACGCTCGGCGTCAGGGGTCTTCAAAGTATGGATTTCGGGAACAGTTAGTCCACACCGAAAAACGCTGGATGGCAGTGGGGCGAATGGGGCAAAGACTAAACGTCCGTGATGCTTTGTTGTTGCGCATACTGCCACACAGGATCACGCGAAGACAGAAAGTAATGCAGAAGAGTGCAAAAGTGCAACTTGTCGCTCTAGAGCGGCACGGTGTGCGACATCATAGAACAGAGTCAGCATGAACATTGCTGCCACACGGGGTATAGGGCCCTCGGCGTTGTGGCCTGTTAGGCCCTTCAATCATTCACACACATGGTTGCTCTAATAGGATTTCTTTTCAAATCCTCTTTTTAGGCTCTGTCATAGTGTTTTTCTCTCGCTGTTCTTGCAATCTCTTCGTGTGTTACTGCCATCCCTCGCTTATGGCAGAGGCGGCATGCGCCCCCCCTCGCTTCCGCCCTCTACGCCGTTGCTCGACCTGCCTACCGCTTCTTTCCCTTCCTACAGTCCTGCACTGCGGCATCAGCAAGTTTGCTTTCTTTGCATTTCCCTTTGGATTGTGGGCCTTATACCCTCATAGCGGCTATCTGAACCCTCCTACAAACGGCTGGTTGTCTGCGCCTGCAGCAGCTCACCGGTGGCACGGTAGCGGGGGCGTTACGGCTGCGTTGGGAATCCTATCATGGGGGAACTTCTGTCGAGTATCTGGCTGCATGTATTCCCTGTTTGCTGGAGCCACGGCTTTCTTTTGCCTGAACGGCTTTCCCCGCCGTCCTTTGACGCCCCTCTACAGCCCAGTCCGAATCTGTTGTAGTGCCTTTGAAAGAGCTATCAGACACGCGCAGCACCTTCTTCTCCACGCCTAGTCTGTACGGCGCGGGGAAGAATGGCGCTTAATCCAGTTTTGGCGGAGGACGCTTCCGGCTCCCTGTTCCCGCTACCCCAGTCGGGCGAGGTCTTTTTCTTGAAACGCGCATCCATCGGTTTCAAACTCAAGGGCCCTGGGGTATCCCTAAAGGGAAACGGCAGCTTTTTTCTCAGCAGCCAGCGCATCGTTTTTTTAAAGCAAGGCAAGGTTCAGACGCATGGATCCTTTTCCTCATGCGAGCTGCCGCTACACCTCGTGCAACGGGCGCAGTTCAAACAGCCCATTTTTGGAGCGAACTATATCGAAGGCACAGTACACCCCAAGCAAGAGGCCGAAAGCCCCCTTCAAGGCACGAGCACCTGGTCGCTCACCTTTAACGCCGGAGGATGCGGAACCTTCATTAACATCTTTTTCAGAATCTGGAGGCAAGCTCGGAACCACCAACAACCCGACGACGCCCTAGTGCAACAACTGCAATTTGGAGCTGCGGCTGCCTTCGTGGACCCTAGCGACCCATCAATTGTGTATGTTTCGCAGCCTCAACCCGTAGGTCAGCAGCCACCCCACTCCCAGTTGCAACAGCAACCACAACCACCCGGTATGCCGCAACAAACACACCAGTTCACAGCGTCTTCCGCCACACCTCAGCATCCGCCGTGGCAACAGCAACAGTGGCAACCTCCTCCGCAGCAGTATCCCCCCCCTCAGCAGCAGCACCAGCAGCCCCCAGGACAACCCTCGTCACAGGTACACCCCCAACAACAACCTTGGTATCCACAACAACAACCTTGGTATCCACAACAACAGCCGTGGCAGCAGCAGCAACAGCCGTGGCAGCAGCAGCAACAGCCGTGGCAGCAGCAGCAACAGCCGTGGCAGCAGCAGCAACAACAACAGCCTGGGCAGTCCCCTCCTCAACAGCAACCACAAGCTCCGGAATTTTCAGGTAGACCCCGCCCCCCTGAGTCTGTGCTGTAGCTTTATGAAGAGGTGCATGCGGTCGGCTACCCAGCCGTTACTCAGCGGACCTCGCTGCTTTGCACCATCCTATGCGTCTTGAATTCCATGTTTCTTGAAATCCATGTTTCTTGCTTTTTTTGAGGCGCTGCGGAGAAACTCCTCACGCCCAACGCACGCGCGAAACATCCGGAAATTCACGCGCGTCCCCTCAGGCTTGACTGCGCTTCCAGCGTATATCCTTTTTTCCTAGTTTTTCTACCTAAGAAAATGTAAGACTGCTCTCCTTTGAGGCAGCTAAGCTGCGCCTTACGTCGTGCCGCACATGGGGATGGCTCCCAGGGCCCTCCTGTATAGCTGCAAGCAGTGGAACGGAAAACTGCGTTTCGGCTATCACCCGATTCCTAAAACACCTCGACATGCAGACAAACAGGACGTACTGGAAACGAGGGACTGCCTCCGGGAGGTTCTGACACACCATTGCCCGCCTTCTAAGTGTTCAGATTGCGGTCTGTTCATTGAAGGGAAGAGTAGCCGTCTTGGCATCAGCAAGGGGTCACACTAGCGACGCCTCTCACTGCTTCTGTCTCGGCTTCTACTTTTGCGCCCGTGCCTTTCCCTCTCCAACCCTCTGTCGCTGCTCTTTTCTTTGTTTCGTCTAGAACGCTCGTCTCGGGGATCTCTGTCTCTTGCCTCTCGGGAGGCCTCTCTTGAAGGGGACGCAGCGACTTTCTCCGCTTTAGTCACTGCATCTTTTCGTCTACCACTGCTGACGCTGAGATGGTCGTGCCCACTGCTGCTATCATCACGCCTGCTCTTATGGCGAGCCCTGATGTTGCTGCTGGTGCTTTCGTTGCTGCTGTGTCTTCGTTTGCTGCTGTGCCTCTCTACTTCCCGAGCGCTCTGCCGCTGCTCCTTTTTCACCATCTCGTCTTCCGATCTGCTTCCTCGGCCGCTACTACTGCTTCTGCTGCTACTCCTACTGCTAGTTGTACGCTGGTGCTTCTTAATTTGCTTCTTTAGGCGCTTCTTCTCTTTTTTCAACTTCTTCTTAAGCCTCCTGTCTTCTTGCATCAATTCCGACACCTCAGCATCCGCTTGCTCATTCATCTGCATCCCAAATAGAAAGCAACGGATGAGCGGACAAATAACACATCCATAAGCAATACGGGGAGAGATACATGAATAAATTTGCATTTACTCTGGTGCCTCCGTATATATATATACTCGCGTGTACTGCGTGTGTTGCCTAGAGGCGCACCTTCGAGAGCATCAGTTCAAACTCTTCAGCCCACATTTCGTCTACATCTTTACCCCCCTCAGCGGCGCGGGCCATTGCCTGCTGCTTTCGCTGTTCCTGCAGTCGCTGCTGTTGCTGACGCGACTTGCTAAGTTGCTGCTCCCTCTTCGTAACCAAATACTTATCGATCCCTGCACCCTCGGCGCCTGTGGGCTGGTACTCACAACCCTTCGCAAGGGAGCACACACATCCACACACCTACGCACATGTACTTACACTGAAACAAAGGTACGTTTGGCGAGGCGTATGATGAGGGAAAAGTCGGGAGGGAGGAGGGACATCCGTGGAATGTTCAAGAGTCATCCCCTGTCGAGCAAACATTCGTGATTGCGAAGCCAAGGAGGAAGCGCATCTGGTAGAGGAAAATGAGGCTGCATATGGTAACCTAAGGGTAAGGGGTCAATGCAGGAAGGCATGCATGCTAGCAACACAAGCGCACGAACAGAGTTCATGGTCTGCGCGTCAGCCTAGCAAGGTTCCTTCAGAAAAGAGAAGAGGTGGCAGGCAAGTGCCGAAGGTAAAAGCGTACACTGCGGGCAGCACGGGAAAAACCAATATGTAGAGGCTCTTGAGCAACAGAACCATCAGGTGACGGTTATGGAGTACCTCTTTGTCTGCATTTGGTGGCCTGAAATCCTTGCAGTGATCAACACGAAGAGTTCTTTGCAAAAGTTTCATGCCGTTTGCATTATCAACTGCCAAGATTGTTGAACGTTGGTCCTCATACCCCAAAAATCCGAACCCCCGGGGGACGCCTGTGCAGCCAGCAAAATGCAAAGCGAAAGGTCAAGAAAAGGGAGACAGGTGATGAAGCAACGATGGTGATGACAATGCACAGGCAGAAGATCGCGAAGATGAGGGTGAACAGGAGCCTGACAATGAAAGGGCGGCACAGGGAAACGGTGAGGCTATGCCAAAAGAAGACGATGAAAGCGAGGGATGAAGAAATGCTCCTGCTGAGAAGCGACCCGGAAGATGGGAAGGAGGGAAGGCAAAAAGGGGGATTCACTCTCTCACGAAGAGAAACTTAGATACACGCGGAGGGAATCCAGATAGAGAACAGAGGAAAGTCGTTACATAATTAAGACCCTTCATGCGTACCTGTCTTTTGATCTCTGATGAGGACGACATCAATGGGCTCTCCCCATTGGGAAAAAACAATCGCAACATCGCCCTCTGTCAGACGCGGGTCTAATCCACCTAAAGGCAATGGCACCGTGTACTGGGAAAGAACGCAGCGTGCATGCACGAAGGGAGCTGCACACAGAGCTCTGCAGCGAAAAGTTCGGCGATCAAGAGAGAAACAAACACGCACAGACACAAACAAGGGCACAGTACCCCCGCTCGACACCCCCATCGCACAAACAACAAACGAAATAGAAACAAGGGCGAGTGAGCAAATGCCGCGGAGCCACGAAAAATGCCAATCGGCAGGTTGAGAAGGGAAGGATGGATGCCTCGCAGGGATAATTTGTGGTGTGGTGCCCTTCTTTTCCCCGTGCTTCTATTGATACAGCATACGGAATAAGTTGAAACTCTTGGGCCTTAGTCATACGAACACGGCTGAGGTTTCTGCGTCCTGTCGCCTTATATCCCCTGCGCTTTTCCCCCCCTCCCCCCAAAACGGTTGCTTTTGCGAGACACGTGCATCTCTATATGTTACGACACTTTCATAGAGGGCAGGAGCCGAGAAGGAAATCAACAGGCAACGAATATGCTCACCAATATAGATGTAGCAGGAATCCTTGTACTGGTGGTGCCACGAGGCCTCCCCACTGATGCCCAGCCGAAGCTCCTCGGCGTTCAACCGCTGGACAGCATTGATGTTGCTGAACGCCCCTGTTACGTTCAATGACATCCTGTCAGTGCCAGGTTCTCAGGTTTAAGCGTAGAAGTTTTTGTGCGCCGGATCGAGGTCTATTTCTGTCAAGGCAGGAGGGGGGGAAGAATGAATGGACAGGACAGGAGGTAATAGACAGGGAACGGCTTGCGGCTTCTCACGACTCAGAAAAAAAGACGAAACTCTCGGCAAGAGACTGACGAAGGCAGATTCGCCTTCATCTGCGACCGATTTGGGGGGATCGGACGGCAGTGCCTCGGACGGCCAGGAGAACGAAAAGGCTGTAGAGCGAAGCTACACCGCGTCCAACACGAAAAGCTCACAAATCCCTGTCACGAAAAGAGCAAGAAAACCGCCCTTCCTGACGGGCGGAACCGAAACACATCAGAAAAACAAGCAGTCGAGCAACATCGCATTTACTTCAATTACGCATGTACGCGCAATCTAGCATTAACAAAGTTCGACAGGAATTTTACGCTTCTTGTTTGCTTGCTCAGTGGAGTCAAATTCGCTGCCAGGAAATAGGGGGCCCCCTAGGGTCCGCTGGACCCTATTCGCTTCTTTGACCCAGGGGCCCCAAGGGCCCCCTCCACCCGTCTTTGACCAAACCAGAGGCCCCTTTTTGACCCCATCTAGTTATTTCAAAGAAAGCCGAAGCGCTTGTTGCTTATAATATAGATACCTGTGCCTCTTGACTCACATTGTGTTGAGACGCTACCTCCCCGTTTGCCGCAGCACGACACTCCTGGCCCCTCCACTCGCCATCCTTTCTATCTGGCTGCCACCAACTGCACTCCGTCTTTTTCGATCAGTCCCTTCATCGTTTTCCGATGCAAATCTTAAGACGGCGTTCTTTTTCAGCCTTCGTCACGGCCTTCCTTCTGGTCCTTTGGGTATTCCTCCCGCGCGTCTAGATCACCTAGGTTCTTTTATGTCTTGCCCAGCTCGCTCTCTGACACAGTTTGACATCGGGGAGGGGTATTCATGAAGGCAGCAGCATCTGGGTAAACGTTAGAGTAGCGCGACCTCCCCTTTTCCACAGTCTGTACAGCAGGGTGTCTTGAGCGGGGAAGCAGCGAGGGACAGAACACCACGCTTTTCGCCCCTGCTTTCTTCCCCTCTTGGAGTCCGATTCGCGGTTCAAAGACGAGCTTGAAAAAGCTTTCCGTGGCTGCAGCAGTGTGTGGCTGCATTAGGGGCCCGATCAGGGGCTACCACTATAGCAGCAGTAGCGCTCATGGCACAACTTCCTCAGAAGCTGCCTTTCGAGGAGGGAGCCTCAGAAATCTCAGATTTGTATGAAGAAGCAATCAAGGGTACTTGCGCTGCCGAGATTGCGGCTGCCTTGCCTGTGGCTGCAGGACTCTATTTGCTGGCGCCCACTTTCCTTGCAGCTCCTTTTTGAACCAGTGTCGATCCTTTTTTCTCCCTTACTGCTGATGCTCTTCCGCATTCGCTTTTGCGCGGATTTTTGCCTGCCCCAAACCGCGGTCCGCTATCGCTAAGCTTACGTTTAGCTGACCTATTCCAGTGTCTCTCGGTGTGTGTATTAAGTGTGTGTGTATGCATATATGTATGTATGTGTGTGTGAGTACCTCTTTTACAGCAACGATTGCGCAGTGCCACTTGGTACAAAATGGAAAAGTTCTTGCTGCCATTGAAAAGGTATTTTTGCTCAGGGTCCAGCAGCGATTGTGTGTGTATATATAGCCGCGCATCTGCCGTTCGTGCTCAGTATCCCCCTTTACCGTCTAAAATATCCCCCTTTACCGTCTAAAATATCCCCCTTTACCGTCTGATTCGGTCCCGCGAAGAGCTGCATATCGTTGCTTGAGGGGATATTTCAGTTTACTGCGCTCAAATGCACGTGCTCAAAAACGGCGCTGAAGAGGCGAGGCGGAGGGGGCTTTCTGTGAGGATGAAAGCCAACCCCTACCGCCTAGCTCGAACACGACAGCCTGCCCCCCTTCAGCTGTTGCTCTTGCTGCTGCTTCACGTGCAGAAGGGTGCTGCTTGCTTTCCTGCCTGTGCGCAGCAATGGAGGCATGCGCTTCGCAAGAAACAGGTCGAGCTCAGTCGGGCTGCTGCCTCGGTACGCTGCCCGTGTTGCCTTCGTTTGCCGCATTGTGGCTATTGCGCCTTCACTGCCGCATCTGTCTGCCCTCCCCCACCCCACCCCCCACCCCCCTGTCTCTCCCCGATTAACAACTGCCCACTGCTCTCCCCTGCTGCAGGCAGCAGCAGCAGCGAACACCATACGCCCTCGGACTGTCCGAGAGGCGCAGGAGACCAGTCAAACAGGATTGAAGACCCCTCCGAGCGCCTCCACTGGCGCTTCTGCTGCTGCTTTTGAGGGTGGAGCGTCGTCTTCCCTCCCGGGGAATAGTACACCGCTGAATGTAGAGCCAGGGTAACGCGCTGGAGAGACACCAGGAATGCGACGCCAAGGCAGCAGGAAGGCCTTTTGTGCTCTGAGAGAGACCCTTCCTTCATCTTCTCTCCTCGTGGCGATGCAGCGAGGGAGCAAGCCGCCACTCGTTGGCTACACGCCTGCTTCCAAAGCCTTCAACGTAGGGCGGTGCATAAGGGGTCACCTGCTTTTTTCGGTGTGTTTGTGGTCAGCGCAACCGCTCGAGCAGCATCCGAGCCGCCGTCAAGAGCCACTGGGGCACCACGTGCCTCTGAGACTTCAGAGCCTAAAAATGAGGGCGAAGACGAAGGCGACGATACAGGTGCTTGCTCTCTCTCTCTCCTGCCGTTTGGTGCTCCCTCCGCCTTCACTCCCCTTGACTGCTGCTGACTTCGCATTGAGCCTTGCCTCCTTCCCTTCCCGCGATCCTGCGGCGCGTCCATCCTTCCTTGCCTCCCGTCTCGATGTTCTCCTGGGCGCGAGGGAGGGAGGCTTTGTTGCGTTGTGCTGGTGTGTGTCGTTGTGTTCGTCCTGACTGTCACTGCGATGCGCGCTTTCGGATGTGCTATCGGGGTAAACTCGTCGGCCCCTACGCGAAATGCACTATGACCTCCTCTTTACGCGTCATTCGCAGAAGACGAATTTGAAGACGCGGAAGTTGACGCAGCAGAGGAGGGCCCTCCAGTCTTGGGGGTGCCTCAAGGCCCCCTATGTGCGCTTCGGAATCCCACAGATGAGGGAGGGCAGCCCGAACCGCGAGTGGCTGCGACTGCATCAACAGGGGGAGGAGTCGAGGGTAGTGTCACGGCAGCAGCAGTAGCAGCAGCCCAGCCTCCTCATGCCACAGAGAACGCCTCGCAGCAAACCAAAGAATCGAAGTCCTTGGATCAAGAAGACAGCGGTAAGCGGTTCCCATCCCCTAAGAGCGCTGCGCATGGCTTCAAAAAATATGCTTGAGCCGACCTAGGGGGCTCCTGGCCGCTCTCGACGACTCTGGATGCAGGACGATTTCGCTCTCTATCCGTTTGCTAATTCAGATGAAGACAGAGAAGAGGGCTTCGGACTATCGGTTGACGATGTTTCTGACCTCGACGACGCAGAACCCCAAACCACCGATGGGATTTTCGGCTTCTTTGAGAAGGCATGTTTCGATCGTTTCTTTGTGTTGCTTTTCATTATTATGTCTGGGAATTTCTTCGTTGCAGCTCGCGATCCTGCTTCTTCTTGGTTTATTACTCCACACGACGGCACTGCACGCCGATCTCCGCTCTCCTCTCGCTGGTCACATGGTGCAGAGTATGCGTGCTAGCTCTGCAGTTTCCACTCATCGCTCACATCCTCCCTCCTTCGTGGGTGTAAATACTTGTGGCGTAGGGTCTACTTTGTTTGTACAAATAGGTTTTGCATGGTAAAAGGGCTTCAATTCTGAGGTTTCAGGTCGAGCGGTCGACTGCTGGCGCATCTCGACGGTCAAGCAAATGGAAAGTTCTTTTGCGACACGGAATTCTTCGGGCAAGCGTTCTGTCCCTCAGGGCTTATAATTCTCTGCCTCCTGCTTTCAATGGACGGGACTCGTATCTTGAATCTTAGTGCTCGTGCCATTCCCGCGCTAGTATTCGCGCGCATGCTTCATCCTATTTCTCCTCTGTATCTGCAGGTTGGCGGCCGAGAGATCCCCTTTGATCGATTTAACGGGGAATTTTTGTTCTGATGGACCCCATCGCATCTGCTGAAACAAAAACGGAATCTGGATGCCCCCCAAAGCTAGATCTGGCGGGCTCGTTACCTCCTTTTGCCACTGCCGTGCTCGCTGACCTTCGGCCGCACTCCGATACAGGAGGCTAGAGAACAAATTTGCCATGAAACACGCGACGCCTTTACATGCGTAGCACGCCAGTAGAGGCACAGAGGACTTCATGGGGGGCGCTAGTACGGGAGGCGCGGCGTCCTGTGAGTCCGAAATTGGGTGTTTCATGCAACTGCGTCATGAAGAGTTGTCCGAGGGAAACCCTAAGAGAGCCCCTTGACTTCAAATATTTGAGCATCAGACACTGTAGTGCTTCCAGTTTGATAGGTTGCGCGTCTGGCTTGTGTGTCCTACTGTAGAGGTTGGAGGGCTTTTTTAGACCCTCAGAGCAGAGCAGAAGAGACTTCTGCACACTGCTTGAAGTGACTAACTTGCTATGGGGCTTCAGGTTGTGTGTGCTTTGCACACCCAACACCCTTTGCTCTTTATTCATACGATATGTTGGCCTATATATCTACGCTACCTGCCTAACGGGTCGGTCCTGCTGCTACCGCTAGTTGAATACACACACTTCAGCGCGGCCCTAGAGAGCAGCACGTGCAGGAACCCCAAATGCTCTTGCTACCTGACGCCCCCCCCGGCAGCAAGAGTACCCGTAAGGGAAGAAGAGCCACAAGGTCTCTTCTTCTTCTTTGGCACAAGGACACAGGTGTTCCCGCGGTCGGTGGCAACTGCCTTTACGACTCCAGCGACGCTACCACCATCTACCGTTTCCGCGCACTCAAATTCCTAGTGGATGCACTGGCACAGAGAACGCGCTAAGCAGAGCAACGAAAACAGAACAGCTTCACAGCACTGGTGGGGCTGTGCTGTAGTTGGGCTGCAACGCCGTTCCCACGCGATCGGGCATCGAAAGAAGCAGCAGCAGCACACCCTAGGGACCTCCCTGAGCGTACTCTAGGGTCCTACAGGAGTAGGCAAGGTGATCCCATGAGGCCTTGCTCCCTCCGCAGGATCCTTGTGCAGCACCTTCGACGCACAGAACGACGCCTCTCTGGCTTCCAACCCTCTACAAGGCGAAGGCTGGAAGCCTCGCAGCAGGCGGGGAGTGAGGTGTTGCCAGCACATCCCAGAGGTGGTGTAACTAGCAATACATGCGTCCACAGCGAGCCTCGAAAGGTGCCTCAGGCGTGCAGGGAGCCTTGACAGCCCACCTGGACCTCTAGGCGGCTGCAGCAACTGCGCAAACGAGGAGCATGGCCAGAGACACAGGGGGGAAGGCCTCGTCTCCGTTGTGTTGCCTCCTGCAGATCACCACGACTTTCTGCTTGCCGCCTGTCACCTTGCGCTTCCTAGGCTGGTGATGGTGCTGCTGCAGGGGTTGCGGCAGGCAGTTTTTGGTACACGAAGGCGCTTCGTCCGCTGACTGGAGGTCTTCCAGCGATACAGAAAACGAGTCGACTACAGGGGTCAGAGCCACCAACGCGTGCGCCACCTTCCGCTCAAAGCCGTTCAGCCGCCACAACAACAAGCAGTAGCGGCCTTCACTGGCCTCGTTTGCAGTTGGATTCCCCCCCGTTGCCGATGCTGCCGCGGCTCCTCCTCTGCCCCCCGAAGCTCCTGCTGGCGCTGCCCTTGTGAGGCTGTGCAGTCGCCTCTTGAGACGCTTCAGCACTTGCGCTTCTTCCACGGAAAGAGACGACAGCGACAGCTCCTCGACACAAGGCGAGCCAGAGTCTCTCCTAAGGTGTGCGCAGCGCGTCGCGAGGCCGTCATTGTCGCCTCTGCCATTGTCATTCGTACTGCTGCTGGCAGCTTTGTTGTGGCTGCTCTCTTCTCTACAGCTGTTCTGTAGAATGGGTCGATCCTTCTTCCGCAGCTCTCCTGCTGCCGCAGCTGCAGCAGCCGGATGCAGGAGCTGCGAAAGGCCTCCCCGGACTGCGGCAAGCGATGGATATGCGCCTCTAATCGCCGCTTCCAGTGCGAAACTCAAGGCGTAAAGTGTTGCGGGGTCCTTCGTGATCGTTTTCAGAGGGCGAAACGCAGAGCGAAGAGACTTCATGCGCTGCACCGAAGGCAGATGCTGCAGCTCTGAAGGCTGCAGCTGCTGCAAGAGCACACGCTGGTCATCAAGCGCTCGAGCCAAAGCACCTGCAGTCGGCGAGAGCGCTGCTGGTGTTAGCGCTGCTGCTTGCAGCGCGCGCACTGACGACGCGATCTCCGATACTGCGTCTGCTGAAGGGAGAGACTCCACACCCCTGGAGGTACTTGCACTCGCCGAGACAGAAGGCCTCACGAGCGCCGAGCAGCCTAGCCGATCACAGGAAGCCGCCCTTCGCAATGGCCGTCCAGCCCTTTGCTGTTGCTGGTGCTGCTGTTTCTTCATGAGACTCAGGCAGTGCGCCTTCCTTTGCAGAAGCGCGTCTTCTCGCTTCTGTAGCGCCTGCTGCCCCTCTGACGAGGAGTCTTGTAGGCTTTCTGCCAGGGGAAAGGAAATTTTCCAAGTGCTTTCTTTCCGCTTGATATAGACATCGCGCGCGATCGGATCGTCCTGCAACAGCTCCCAGCACGAGGGGCCGCGGGAAACCCCCCACCTGTCTGTTGCGTCGGTCGGATTTTCCCCGGCTACAAAGATTAGACGTCTTAGTGCAGCCACAAGTAACTGCTGGTGCAACCAGCGTCGCTGCTTGTGCTTTCCACATCGCCTGCTGCCGCTGCCCTCCCCTTGCTGCTGCTGCCGTCTGCTGCGCCGCACACGAAAGCGGTAGCAGTCCTCCCCCGCGCTGCTGCTACCTGCATCTGTGTTTCCAGGAGTCGTGGCCTCGCCTCCTCCCGCCGTTCCGAGGGATCGATCTACGCCTGCACTGCACCCCGGGGGCAGTCCCCCCCCACTGCTGCTGCTGCTGCAGGAGGGGAGGGCCTGCAGCCACCGCACGCGTCTGTCTCCCGTCTCCGTGAGAACATGCGGTATTCTTCCTGCCGCTGCCGTGTCCAAAGAGGCTTCAGAGTCCGAGAGGCTTCGCGCCGCAGCGGCAACTCTTGCGGCTGCGAGCGCCCGCAGTGCCGGGTCAGAAACTGTCGGCGGACGAATTACGTCATCTGGGGGAACGCGCATAGCCGCAGACGCGGCTGTCGGGGTCACTTGGTTCTCTGGTGGATCTGGGGAGCCCTGGGAGACACCGGAGGGGAGTGCGATGATGCCTCCGAAGTCTTCCGCTCCCTCCGCCAGCATCGCTGGGGAGTGTTTGCTAAAAGGAAGTGTGCGGCCAAGGCGTAGCAAAGCACAAGGGAACCCTGGCGTAAGAGCCAAAAAAACTGTTGCGAGGCGCGGGCGGGTGCAGGAGGTGCTAACCCTCCATTTTACGGGACGTCGAAGGGAAGAGGGAGCCTGCGAATAGAGGGTTCTCGTGGGAGAGGAGTACTGCTAAGAGGGGTAAATAAACTGCCTTGATGTAGAAAACAATAGATCAAACCATAAATTTGCGTGATCTCGCTGATTTCCTGTTGTTGTGGACCTAATCGCCTTGCCTGGCCCCGAGCGCACGCTCCGTGTGTGGTAGAAGGCACCTGCTTTGCTGAGACGTTGTTTCTCTGATTTCGGAGTTAGGCAAAAGGCATGACCGGCGATGAGGGAAATGAGCAGGAAGATTGGGGATAGAAATGGGGTTTTTACGAAAACACTTACTTCTGGGGCTGGTGCCTTGCTGTACGTGGCTGGCTACAAAGGACACGGTTTCCGAAGAAAAACCAGGAGGTAGACGGGTGGAAACTAATTAAATAGTGCAAATACTCATTGCTTCGGCGAAATGTAATCCTCTAGCTCCATACTGCTCCCCCTCTCGGTCTACGGTACGCAGCAGGAAACTGTTTTGCTCATTGGGCGAAAGACGTGAAAGAACTGCCTTGTGTTGCTCTTTCTGCCGGACAACTAAGACAACTAACTGCAAGTTGCACGAAATAATACTTCGATGTTTGCCCGGCTGGCCACTACCTCCTGCATGAAGTGAAACACAATCGGACAGATACGAAAATCTTCCAAATCACGGCACGCACTCACACCCTTTCCCTTCGATTGCTCAAATAGTCCATCTGCGTCAACTCTCTACTGAAGACGCGCATTTCCGCATCTTTGTCTTGAGCTTACTGTGCTGCACAAATTGAGCAACGCAGGCAGGCGCTAAACAGTCAGATCTGCATAGAACCTACTAAATTACACAATGACACACGAGTGTAACGCTGCATCGAAAGTCTCTCCAGGATGTGCTAAACCCAGACTCAATGTAAGCTTTGTATAAATTTATTGGGTGTTATGTAGGAGAGCTCGAGCATTCCCCTGCCAGCGTTCATAAGAGTTTGTAGTATTATGGAAGGAGAACAGGTAGGATGCCCCGAGCTGCAGCCCCCATGGCGCTCCAAACACTCATAGCCAGTTGCATATCACATCTATGGAATATGCACATGACACTGCGTACTCTTGCATCAACGTAGCAGTACTCTGCAATATATAGGATACGCGTACAAACTAATCAGTCAACACTTCACTAATTTTTAGTTATAAATTACCACCGCAGTAGAAGCTGCTTAAGTGGAGCTTAGCCCACTACATCTTTCACTCACTCCAAGTTCAATATACATGCCCTCTCGTTCGGTATCTGAACGTGGAGACCAACTGCGTGCAGGACGGTGGAGGAGATCCTGCCAAATCGCCATCCTCAAACAAAAAAAGGCGAAGCACTGCATATGAGAACAGCGAAAATGTGCTCCAACTGCTGAAAAGAGCTCGAATAAAAATAGGCACAATACTCTGAACGAATGAAGGACCTAACAAGCACGAGCGTGGCTGCGCAGTGGGTTACTGTCGTAGGAGGGCAGAAGGGCGCGATTCTCCTACATCGAGACGACAGAAACAATTAGAACGTGTGAAGAAAAAAATTAGAATATGCACTACTTTAGAATGCCTCTGCGCGTCATAGGGCAGTTTCTGCATGAAACAGGTTTGATTAATATAAGGCCTCAAAACAGGCAAAAGCAAAAAGGCAGGGACAACACAGTTTAAAGCGTCTCCGCTTAATCTGAGTGTAGAGAACGCCTCGATAGTGATTACCGGAAACATCAAAAGAAATACTTATAGACGAATCTAGGTGCTCCAAATAGAACATGCGCTGGGGAAGGACAAAAACCGAGGAGATGAGGAATCTGGTTCATGGCGGCTGGCATTGTCAAACTCTCGCCCTCCACAATGCTCGCAAGAGCCTTTCCATCAACGACTGAGGTTGACGTTCCCTAGCAAGCTTCACTGCCCTTGATGCTCAATATTTCGATAATTTAGCTCTTCCACCGCTCCCTGTGAGCCCTACGTCTGCAAAGGGTCTACGAATCTGCGGCGCAAAATCTACCAGTCATGTGGGGATATTTAAAGCTTTTTTACCCAACAAATATGCATACATCCGGGACTCTTCCAACTTCTAGGCAAATTGATAAAGTAAGAAAGTGCGTTGGTTTGTTCTAGACTTGCAAGTGTTCCTAGCCATCCATCTGGCCCCAAGTTCCTTCTCCTGCACACTTTCAGTTGTAACTTGCAAAGTCTGCCCACCCACCAAAACTAAATCTACCAGCTCTAGTGCACAGCTCATAATTCGTGCTTGCCCCTCTTGAGCTTTGCCCATACATTTGGGTGCATTAGCCAGCCCTTTCCTAGATCTCCCTGATGCTGAGGCCCTATGCTAACCCCGAAGCACCAGATCCGGCACCAGTTCCAGGCCAAACGCCAGGTCCAGGTCGGGCCTGAAGAGGGGCTCCTCGTCGTAGACGGATGTGTAGTATAAGTGGGTAGACGAGCTTCCTCTCAAATTGTCAACTCACTCAGCAAAGAAAGGAACAACAAACCAAGCAACCGTTTTTTGTCAATATACAGCCGCAAAAACTACAGAAGAATGAGTCTGCCGCGCCCTGTGTGTCTCCACCTGGCGGAGGGTGATTTTTGGTGGCGATATATAGGGTCAATGTGTGGGCGGGTAAGAACCGCACGCCACTAAGCACTAACGAAACTTGGATCCCTTTCTGTAATGACACCCTTTGAGGAATCGTGAATCTTTCGTGGAAAAGTCAAAGTAAATGAGCCACGGCCTGAGCCGTGGCAGTCTAGTGTATGGGATGAAATCAGCATATTTGCAGACTATCGACAACAATGCAGATGCTATTCTGACCCTTGATACTTGGCAGTCTAACAGTGAAGTCCATTGTCAGAGCAGTTCAAATCCTTTTGTGAGCTGGAGGGCACTGCAAAGGGTCATCTAAGAACGTTTCCCGCCTCCTGTTGCTGAAAATCTAGTGACGGTAAACACTCCTCTGCCACGAGGCGTACTCGTACCACCAAAAGTACTGTGATAGCGTTTTTTACTGCAGTTCGAATCTCGTATTTCCCCGAATGAAGCATAAGCATGCGCTTTGTGGAAAACAGCATTGCGGAGCAAAGTCGGCATGTAGAAACTAGGCAACACTTGCTTACTTTTACACCACAGTTGGACAGCCTCAAAAAGGTTGGCCTTCAGCCTTTTGCCACTCCTGTATGTCGGCAATACTTGAGGATGCATGGATCTCAGGAAGAAAGACTCACGCAGCTCTGATAGAAACCATAAATTACGCAGGTAAGGCCTGCTGCGCTGCTCTGCAAAGGAACACCAAGATTGGGCGAATATTTAGGAGAATTTTGCACTTGTGCTTCCACGTAGCGAGCTAGCGGCAGGCTGCTCGCTTTCTGGTCGTCCAGTGCCCTATACGGAGCTGATCGCCGGGTTAGCCTCAAGCTATGTGCCGCAATATTGGAAGTCCCCTCAGCATGAAGAAAAGAATGAGTAGCAGGCGCATCATTTGTTGGAAGAAGGACAGCGCAGGAGTCAATACATGCCTTTGAGTATAAGCTAGTGATAATGCCGAATTGGAATGGAAGGTGTTGCACTTGTGCTAATGAAGGCCCCGGAACAAGATTTCTGTAAAGCAAAGGTTCCCGATGCCTTATATCTTGACTTTCTCTCAGTGCGTATACCAACAGTATGCTGGACATCTGATTCCAAAGACACCTTGTAAGATCTCATTCGTCTAAACGACAGGCACAAAACGGCTTTCCGCAGTGCCACACCCACACGTTAACTCGTGGATACCTGTATTCCGTTTGGACTTGCGAGTGACTCAGCTGAAGGGTAACGTCGAATTAGGGTAGTTTCCAATAAGCCTGTTGAGGAGGGGTGAACGGCAGTCTGCATCGACAAATTCACAGCATGTAACCCGTTTCAAGGGCACCTACAGCGGCGATGGCAATGTTGGCTAGAATTTGTATTGTCCTTTGCTTCCACGTCTCTGTACCAGGTGATGCTTCGATATACTTACTTAGTGGCAATGATTTTTGCGTTTCTGCATTTCAGGGGAGTGGCAGTAGTGCGAGCAAGCTTGTTCTGCCTTGTGTGTATTGGATGCTGAAGGACAGGAACGGAACACGGGGCCTTGTGTTTAGGGACTGGGGGACAATGTAGCTGGCTAAATCACACTTAAACGTTCTACATTAGACTGCTGGTATTCAATGGAGCGTTAGTCAATAATCTCTTTGGCTTGGCTGTTCGTATATGTTATCGGTTGTGGACTGGCGTTAGCTTGACATGATACGAATCGGTATTGTGCGTATATGCGCTATATGTGATGTGCAGCTAGCTGTGAATGCCTTAAGGGCTTAGAAAATGCATCTACGCGCATCGTAGTTGCCCCTCTCCTCTCCTGTCTGTTCCTGAGGGGCACAGGCAAAGGGAAGAGAGAGCTCGTGTAGAGGGGCACTCATTCGTTTCAAAGTAAGTCTGTATTGAGTTTGCCCTTGAATTAGTCCCTTTGGAAAACTTAGAAGGAAGTTACAGTTCGAAGCCTTTGAGGCCCCGCAGGGCAATTTGCATCCTAGTTGTCCCTTTTCCTCCGACCCTGGAACATGGGAAGAAATGCACTATTAACAGGATAGATGATCACAGTCTCTTAGACCGGGACACTGCTCTGAGGCGATGAGTGGATATACAGAAGCCCAACAAAGAGCCGTAAGGAAAGGTGTAAATGCTCCCACCGTGGATTGCCCTTTGACTTCTCAAGGAAGCAATCTGTGCGCTTACAGTGTGAGGCGGGAAGAAGCTTTGAGGGGATGGACAAAAGCGTTACTAAATTTTGGAGTGTGCTTCCGTCACTGTATTCTCTCCTGGACACTCTAGGAGGAATGGCATATTGTCCTTCAGACTCATCGTACCTTATCCCGCCAAGCCAATACTGTTTTATACAGCATAGAAACATTCCTTTTGAGACCCTTATAAGGATTCTACATGTAACGCTGGGCTCCAAGCAGGTATGGCCCAACATTCATCCTAGGAAAGCAGATTCTGTTACTGGTGACTGCTTAAATGAAGCCAGAGAGTTGAAACCAACAACGTATACTGCAATTGCACAGATTGTGGAAGTGTCTGATGGGCCTCGGAATGCGGACCGATGGCTCAAAATTTCACTTGATGCGCTTACCAAGGTACCAAATCCTTCAAGCAACCTCTCTGAGAGCTTTGAAAGGGATGTATCACGAGCGTACGCTTGGATGAAGGTGACGCAGCACAAGGAGGCATGCAACAGAACTCTTCATGCAGTCTTCCACTGGCACTATTTTAAAAGCGAAATTTCTTTCTTAAGCGCATCTACTCCCCATTTGAGCTAATGAGCTCTGAAGTTCAAGAAATAATTGGGCAAAACGGACGGCGTAGCAGGGTTAGCTACATCCAGGCATTTTCTACTAAATCATTTGCCTTGCACTAAGAATTGGTTCTTCTGAACATATATATTAGTTATTGCAAAGTAGTTTTAGCTCGATACAAGAGTACGCAAAGGTACGTGCATTCGCGCAAGAAGGTATGCGCAACTAGCTCTGCATGCCCGGAATGCTTAGACGGTGCAGCTGCGCAAACATTTATAGCCCATATCCCTCGTGTGGGGCACTCTGATGGGCGCAGGAAAACAGAGCTGGGGGTTCGCTTGTAAAAAGCTCAACAGCTTGTGCATCAAGTGCGGAGGTAGGCGTCAATGTTAGGAAACCTCTAGAGAGTTCCAACTGCACGAACAAGGCATCAGGCTACTGGGCGTGCGCTTCCCCATGTTCCACGATGCAAAGCACCAGTGACTACATGCTTCACCGTGATTCATTTGAATCACACATTTAGAACCCTGTGTACCATACCCTTGCCCTCCCCGCTGATCCATATTCTTGAAAACCGAGAGGAGCCACGAATACTAGGCAGTAAATTTGATTACTGCATTTCATTCATTACATGCAAACAAAACTGACAAAGGCAGGAAGAAAAATAATTGGAAGGTGGTCTTGATGCAAAGCGCTCAAAACTGACTGTACGTTTCTCGAAAGAACTGAGCATTTCCTGTCGCCCACACGGCTTTTCCCAAAACTGCTTGTCTTTTCACCATTCTTTGTCTCCTCCTATCCCTCGCATGTACACTGCATCCTCGGTCTACGTTTTCCCTCCATATATTGCTGTATTTCTCCTAGTGACACTTGATAAGTCGAACAAAACGATTTTTGTTTGAAATCTTGGGTCATATAGACAAGGAAGTGAGAACAAACAGAGACCTAGTTAGACCCCTCTATATCCTTTTTCCAGGCTTACCGGTGTTTCAACAGGTCGTAGTAGGAGGCAAGTAGGGGTGGCATAACAAAACCAAAAGGTAGCTCGCATAGAGCAGCCAAATGAAGGGGGAAATACTTTCAAGGATTTCCTTGCAATGCGTCTGTCAGAGCTTTGCTTAATACTCGATATTTGAGATCATAGAACTCATGCAGAGTGCGTGTTTTTAAGAAGCCTTCCTTTGCTTCTTTGTATTTTGCTTTTGACTGCTCATATCCTCCACTCCAATCTGCTTCCTTGTTGTCCTGAAGCCCCTCTTCGAAAACTTCATCGTTCTGGGCCCCTTCGGACTTCTTTGACTTTTTCTTTCTTCTCTGTCTTTTCTTCTTGTTTTTTTTCTTTTCTTTTTTCTTCGTGTATTTTTTCTTTTTGTCTTTCTTCTTCTTCTTGCCTTCTAAAAAGCTACCCGTCGCCTTTACTTCCGCTGCAGCTTCGCTGTGTGGAGGTTTCTGAAGTCTCGCCCACTGGTGCTCTTTCTCCTGCTTGTCATGATGCCCCGCAAGCTCATCTCTCTGATGCACACCGACTAATATTTCAGTTGTAGGCGTCTTTATAACTTCCGCTGCAAGGCCTGAAAATTGGATTTCCTTCCACCATGCCAAGCATACTGCAGTCCCGATTGCCTGTACGAGCAGCAATCGCATTGTGGCGCGCCTAATATACACAAAAAAGAAGAGAGAATCGAACTGTTTTAAAATTTTTACCTAAATTTTCACAAAAAAATTGTGATTAGAAGGAAGGAAAGCGCGTCGGTCGAGCTGCGGGACGCGCAGTGACCCGGTCCTTGCCAGGTCAACAGCCAACCTGTGTTAGTGTTAACAAAAGCCTGTTTTAGTAGCAAGACAACCAATTAATCTGGCACCAATGCGCTAATGTAGATAATTCTACTAATCCGATGGCCTATGTCTTGAGGCAGGAATTGTTTTCATAGCCCTCTCCGGTATTCTCATTGTTCGGCCACACAACTGCGGGGCAAGCGCCCTCCTCCTGTGTGTGTAAAGAGACTTCAAGATAAGAAAGCCTAAGGCTCTGTCTCCTTTTTTAAGTAGTGTCCTTATTGAAATCCTTTTATATTCTAGTACGAGAGGCAACTTCGCCCGAGGCTTCTTGTGAAGTATTTGTACAGAGTGCCTCGGATACGTGAGGTAAAACGTGGGAACCAAGGCTAAAAATAGATTTTTCCTGTCCATAATAGTGGCGTTGACGAAACTAAGAATCTGTCGCATGTTCTGTGGAGGCGTGCCGCTTAGAGCGAAAAAGACAGTGTAGCGGCCTGGCCTACACCCACAGTTGCAACTGGATTGGCTCGCCCGCAATTCTGCAACAATAATAATCTGATCCTTTATGTCCCGCTGCAAAGCTCTTGACAAGAACACGTGCCATGATTTTGCCTCAAGATACTGTGCAGACTATGTAGGGGTGTTTGGAGCGCCCATAGGTGCACGCCCGTTTTCCAGTAGTGTAGATTCGCGACCGTATGAACTGAGGCCAACAGAGTACAAGCTCCATTAAACTTAAGAAGCCTTTCTTCGGGTTCTAGTTTTTGTATTAGGTTCTTCTTTTGGATAACCTAAGAGGAGTGCTAGAGAACACAAAAGCAACCAGACTGCCTTTCGTATCCTCCTAGTTGATGACAAGCATAATATTAAGCCAAAATTGAACGTCACCTCTTTAGTCTCCGCTAAATGCACAAGCGAAAAGCCCACGGAGCATCGAAGCGGCCAGCAAGGGACAGTTGAACTGACCACCTTGCCTAGTAAGAGGTACACTCGAGACAAGCTTCAGAAAGGCAAGTGAGAAACTGAAAACGCTCAGGCCGCATCGTGGGTATAAGCAGTGCTTAGCCCCGGAATAATTGTACTTCCCTTGCACACCCCTGCCTATCCTTTCATCAAGGCAGGATGGGCAAGTAGAATCAGGAAGTGGAGGTCTCATCTGCACCTTCGCCTGACACCGCGCCTTTGGATTCTGCATTGCTCTGTGTAACCGCATCTACAATTGCTTGTTCCTCAAGTATTTTGAGTTCTTCCTCGCTGTGATCTTCCATGTATTCTTTCTCAGCCTTTTTTCGTGCTTTTCTCAGTTTCTTCAGCCTCTTTTTACGCTTCTTCGCCTGGGACCTCTCTGCCAATGAACCAGAGCCACTGCCTACAAATACGCAGCCGTCCTCATCACATTCGGAAGAAAGCAGCGTATCGTTATTTGCATCGGGGGAGAGATTCAGAAACCTGGCGGCGGCTTCGGCGGTCGGGTCCGGGGCCTGGCTTGCCATATTGATTGTAACTGGATCAGTTTGTCCCATCCTTTTTATCTTCAGTGCATCGCCCTCCCCGCAGGAAAGGAGCGCCAGAAGCACGAATGGAGAGACCTTCCACATTTTAAAGAACAACAGACAATGAGTGAACCAACAATGCTGAGACACGGCACCCGCCTCGCACCTACCAAGCTTGGATTCCAGAGATGCCGATGCTGCTGGAAGGGAGGAACGAATTCCTTCGTATGTGCCCGAAGATGAGAGACAAGCAGAAAAAAAATTATCACGCAGTATGCAAGGGATAACCCTCTAGTTTTATTAGTGGGGTTTCAGCATGACAAGAACACACAAACACGCACGCCGATAGAGGGTGGGGGGTTGTTGTGTGGCTATATACTATCTCCAAGGGGTCCACACTCAGTTTCCACTGGCTATCGAAGCACAAAAATTCTTAGCTGCAAAGAAGTGTGACTGGTTCCAGCCCGTTTTGGTGGGTGAGGACGACGGTGTGTCACAGGGTGCCGGGGGTGCCAGTGGTGTGGGTGTGACCACCACAAACCACCTGATGATAGACAAACCTAAAATGGATACCATATCTAGTTATTTTGAGCATTTAAACAGAAAAAGCAATGAAGTACCTTTTAGAAAGATTTTCACAAAGTGCTGCGAAGTAATTCACTGACTTTCATGTTACTTTTGCTTTCCCGCTAGTCAGTCGGAGGTGGGAACTGATAGGTGGTGTCAAATGGCATAAAGATGCTGTTGAATTAATCCGAGAGAATTTTTAGCTCGAAAAACGTACCACTTTCAAAAAGAGACAGGGTAAGTTACTTCCTCGAAAACACAGTCCAAGGGATCATTTGCTTCATTACTCTTGCGGGCTGAGTTATTCCTCGGTTGTCTCTAAAGGTAAGAGAAAAACCCGCAAATATAGAGTTTTCATTCGAATAGCTATCATGTGAATGATATTTTGTTAATGATTGTCTGTTTGGCTCCAGTTTGTATTTTCTTTTTATTGCAGGAATGAGTAACTCCGTGCTGTTTAGAAACATTTTTTGTAACGGGTCGACCTACAGCTACGTAGTTTGGACTATAGTTGTTTACGTAAAAATTAGTTTAAAGATCCTACACTTGGTCTGTCTCTGTCTTAAATCGCATGTATCGTAGAGTAGCGCTAGCCGGATGTACGGACACGCAATGCGGTCAGACGTGCACTAGGTGTTGTGTGCAACTAGCTGTGAGTGCTCGGGCTTCCTAGAAGGTGAACAACACATACCCTAGGTATCTCTGTCCTCTCAGACTAAAAGTGTATGGGGTATGAATTTAGGAGACCCCGGGAGCAGTCAATAACTCTCCATAGGTTTGTATAGAGCGTACAATTGTTACCTCAAGAAGACATCGTATGGAGTACCACGGTTGGTTACACCGCAATGATTAGATCGGACTGTTCTCAATTTATTCACTAGGAGTGCACGCAAAGGGATGCCAGTGTCGCCTACAACACTTTCCTGGTTTCGACCACGCTTTCAGTAATTCAAATTTTGATTTTTCTTCGCAACAGTTCGGGAATCAATCCTTCTGGAGATGGAAGATGGAAGTGGGACAACACCTATTGGGGCGGCAGAAGCCGTCCTGCAAGCTGATGTGCACGCAGTAGTTCCACTAAAAAGCATGATTATCCAGCCAATAAAAAGGCCGTGGATTCATCAATGAGGATGTGCAAACCAGAAACATATGACGGCCATAAGGATGGGAAAGTATTTTAAAGTTTTATCAGCCAGTTTGTTGTTCCTCTTTTTGAATCCCCAGACTAATGGGGAAACTAGTGCTTCTTGCGGCACTTTTTTCGAGTTTGGAAGCACTCTAGTGGTAACTTATTCCGATATAAGACATCGCGTGCTTGCAGAAAGTACTACAACTCGAGCATTCGTAGAAGCCCTCGCTCACCGGCTTATGAGGAAACCACCTGAACAAGCAGCTTTTGCAAAATTGAAAAAGCGGTTGTGGAAAATGTATTTGTATATCAGTATTTCAGGAAACGTGAAACTTTGGATCACAAACGCCACAACATAGGCAAACTGTTGCTTTACTGGGTATCTCCCTCGGACCCATCTGAAGTGTTACGTCAGGTGGTCACAGGATGAGCAACGAGTAAGTGATAAAACACCCCGTCTGTGTAATTCCCACAATCGATGGACGTGACATTCTAGGAGCAAATGAGCCCACCGTCTGCATCTTTGACTTATACAAAAGCCAAGACGAGACTTAGAACAAATGGATATTGGGGCTGTGTCAACCGGCCCTAGCCTAGAGGCTGAAGCGCACAAAAAGATGACGCCAGTAGGAGCCTACGTCTATGCAGCTCTAGAGAGCCTCGGAACAACGCACAAATTCCTATTGTGGAAAATTCGGGCTAAACAATCACGAACGAAGTGGATGCAAAATGCCTTGCAATACTTGGACAAGGAAAAGCCCCACCGGAAGCAAGGTACTTGGCACGAAGAGAAGGCACACCACGGAAACGGAAAGCTTCCCATGCAGGCCGCGACGCAGTGAAGGGAGCTACAGAGGATAGGACCGCAGTCGAAGGCTCACCACGGGTCGCTTCTGGGCTGAAACGAGCTCGCCTTTATGGCCAAGAGTTGCTAGCGCTATTTGAAACTGGTTGTGAAGTGGGTCTCTTTCCAGGAAAGACGGCGCAGAAGTGTAACCCGCAGTACGAACAGTCCCTAGGACTCAGATGGCCTTCCAAGTAAAAGAATCCAAGGCTTTGCAAGGCTGCGGCGGTTGGAAGCCGCGTGCACTCTAAATCAGGGCTTTATTAAATTCCTGCGTTACCTCTATGTTGGACCTGTGCACCATGACGTAATCCTGGGTATGCCATCGGTGACGCAGGGGAATGCATACCCGCGACCACCGCTGAGCACTGTGAAGGTTAGTATGCAGGGGAGTGCCAGAAATGAGGATATCTTGGTCTCCTCAGCAAGGCACATTTCATCTATGGTAAGTGGAATAGATTTGGTGCCCCAACAAGGTGAGGCAAAATCTTCATGCGGGCGCCTCAACAGAAAAGTAGGAGAATACGGTGTTGAGCAGAAATCCGGTCTTGACGGCTTGGTAGTGACTATATATTAAGGTATTTGCTGGAATGTTCAGTAAAGGGGCAGAAAGAGTGGGAAATCGTAAAGGAGGAGTTCGTGGGTGTGCTCAGTTACGATGAAATTCCAGCAATCTGGCCTCCTAGTGGTCGGCCAGTGCATCGTAGTGAGCTCGTGGCCGGGTTAGCCTGTAGCTGTGTGCCTGCTGTATTGGAAGGCCTTACAGCTTGGAGGGACGAATTTTGGAGCGGGCGTCTGATTTGTAAAACAAGGCCACGGTGCAGGAATTGCCCATCGCCTTTGAGCAACTCCTGGTCAAGCTGCCTAGAAGGACGGAATATGGTGCATGTGCATCACCACTAAGCCTCTGAGCGATGCATAGCTATGATGCAGGAGTGTCTAAATTAGCGTAGTGACGACCTACTAGCCGTATTACATGCATTAACAGCCTAATAGGCTGTTGAGTTCCTGGGGAAATTTCTACTAATAATCATGCACGCTGATAACAGGAATAGACAAAAGTTTACATCATTTTCTATTTTTAGTGGTCTAGCTGAGCTGCAGCGTATAATCAAAATGTCGGCAGGCCTATTAAGGAATTGTAATGACTGGGTACACTTACGAAGCGTATGTCTTCAACCGTAACATTCAGTAGCACCTCCCGCAGCTATGGTGTGCACTTGAGCTGATTTGGGAGAACCAGTGCCATGTTAAGGCACACAGGTGCTCACCGTTCCTCATAACAATTGAATTCCTGGATTTCGTGTTTCGGCTGCAGGAGTTAGGGCGGAGCTACAAAAAATTGAATCAGTCAAAGAATAGCTCGTGCCTTTTGAGCACCTTCACAGACATCGAAACGTTCTACGCTTTTGCACTTATATTATAAAGGTTCATTTGCCTATCTGCTCGGATCTCTACTCCTTCGATTGGTCTTCTCAAGAAGCCGCAAACTGTGACCTGGAAAAAGTCTGATGTCGCAGCAAGGACGCTTATTGACAGCCCTAGACATCCTCCGGTACTCGCAATGCCCGATAAGTATCAGTATTATCTCATCTCTTCCAAACAGCCAATGCTAGTGATGTACCGGTGGATGCTAGTCCCTCGACAGATATTACACAATCTCCAAAAAGACCCAAATAAGGTTTGATTAGACTTATACCTTCACCAAAACTAGTTAGTAGTATCAATTGGGCAATGCAGTGTGTCGGAGCTTAGACAAATGGCAATAATATTTATATAAGCGTTGTTTTAGTGTCCTGGCCGACTAAGCTTCGAGGTGCCCTATAAAGATTTTCAGGACTAGTCAAAGAATGCTCGCCGGCTTGGGCACCGCCTACAGTGCGTCCTCACGATGAAGCACATTGACGACATCACCATCGTGGTTGCCTACGCGCTCACCAAATGCCTTAGCAGTTCACTGTTGTGGAGCGCAGCAGCTCTTATCTGTGGAGCTTCATGGTCTCAATCAAAACAAAGTGGGCTTCCGTTGACAGGTATGCACCAGCTATTGTAACCTACAACTCACGTGGCACAAGCGAAGAAGCCATACTTTGCTGAGGATTTCCCTCTGCTGCTCAAAACAAAGCGGAGACTCCGTCACTTGTACATTCCGATTCTGCTTCGCAGTGCAATTTTGTGCAACGCACATGATAATGTTCTTTCAAACCAGCATTGGAATCAAAATAATGTGGAAATGCTTGTACAGTCCTTCTAATGGCTTCGGCTGCTTCCCGCGCCAGATGAAAATGCGCGGTCATCCCAGACTGTGAGCAGTTGATGGTACGCAAATCTTTTCCATCTAGCCTCTTGCAAAGCTTCTCTATCCTGTGGAGGAATTTAAACTGGTCTTACGGTGAGCTTTATTGTTAGGCTGGCGCAGCTCAAAGGTCAGGGTGCTACATAACTCGCTGTCAACAGACTCAGCTAGTATGCTCGTCTAATTCCTTGCTCCAGCACTGTCACAGCCAAGGCGATTGCTTACGTATTCTTCACTGCTTTAATGGGCTTTGCGGGATTTCCAATTGGGATAGAGTAAAACAACTGCATGTAGGTTCTGGCGTTCTCTTTTGACCCGCCTACATTTCGACAACGATAGGACCACTGCCAACCACCCTAAGGCGCATGGACAGACAGGGTGCACCAACCGCACTCCTCTGCAGTTCTTGCAGCTTTGTGCCAAAATATTCAATAGCTTGCCTTGATCTGTTTCCTATTGCTGAGTGGGTTTATAACACGCCCTCCCGCATTCCTCGTTTAAACTGGGGAACCTCTTTCTCATAAGGGCCTGGAAGTAGTGACCTGCGATTAGCAGGCACTCGTATTACCAGACGGATTCAGAGGACAGTTGGCTATTGCACATGAATGTATGACCAAAGCTCAAAGAACAAGTGCAGAGTTACGATAAGTGGCGGCTGGCCGTGCTTTTCGAGCCTTTAGATTTGCTCCTGAAGCGTGCCACCTTCCTGTTAGTTTGGCGTCTCGTTGGTTGTTGGCTAGCGTGTTTCGTTCCTGCCGATGAATTCCCTTAAGCGCCTGGTGCACACTTTGCTTTCCTAATTTGCACTTTTCGCGTTTGTGGCTGTTTGAGGGGCGACAATAGGGCGAGAACTCTTTTATTGTTCTGCACATTGCTGAACTCCACGAGGAGGTGCAGACTTCGGGGAATGTGGTCAAAAAATGCGAGACGCTATCTGCAACTGGCTGCGAATGCTCCGACCGCATAAAGGGTGCAGCAACGCGCACTGTAGTTGTCCCTACTCCTTACTTAAGGAACTGTAAGAGGCACATGCACGAGATTGAGACAGGTTTTTTGTAACACTGTAACTTTTACTAAGTTTGTATTGAATCCGGAGTGAAATGCTTTCCTTTGGATACCTTAGTTCCTCCTTCATAAGTGGTGTCCCCCCTCCATGCCATACATCCACTAAACCATTGATCTGAATAGAAAATAGTAGTAGGGACAGGCTGCTACACCTTCCGGGTACCATACATTTGATATTACGCACAAGCAGCTGAGAGCACAGATGCACCGCACGTATTCTTTAGGAGTAGGATTGACGCCTCATTGCACTGATTTTGAATAAAAACTACGAGTAGAACATGCGGCAAAAATCCATTTAAATCTTGCTCAAATGCAAAGTTGTGAAGTCCGACTGTGTCGGTAGCACCGCAAAAACATACATTACTGCTCTTTTGTCTGTTGTGCATCGCCAGAATTAAATTTACTACAAAATCATCTCTCTCTGAATTAGTTATCGAGTTAAATCAAACTTTAATATGGCAGACCATCCCTTGAATTATACAAATGCATTATTTTAGTACATAACACGCGTTTCACATTTTTAAACGATGGGGTGAATGAACATGCGGCCGAGCTGTGAGCGCTGGCACCGAAGGGCCACTCACAATAGTCTGCTGTCTTCAAATACTGAAGCGCCCGCTTCTAGTAGATATATAAGGGTTATCTTGAAGAGGACGTGATATATCAGACAGACACGCGAAGGCCGCCGGGGCGGTGAACTACATTGCTTCAGCCTTTTTGTGAACATCCTACACTTCACCCTGCAAACCTCCATGCGTTTTCTGCCTACTACTTGTTCATGTTTCTTTTTCTTATCCTGTCATCTCCTTCAAATTTAGAATAGCTCCGACTCTTCGACTTACTAAAGCGTGTTCCGCCCCACTGGGCGCTGCTTCTCCCTTCATCCACCACCAAGCTGTACTAGTTTGTTTCTCCTCCGTGGATACCATGCACAAGGCTGTACATCGGGATGACGATGGCGAGGGAGAAGTCCGCGTGCCTAAGCCGCATGCCGAATGAAGTCCGATTGCTGCAGCAGGCAGATGCAATCACGGATTACCCAACACAGCTGTTGCGGGCAGTGGAAGATGAACTCGGGGAGTACCACCGCCAGCTACAGGCTTGTAATGCCTTCGTGAGCAGGTAAATTCCACAAACCCTTGTGGCACCTTTAATAAGACCCCTGCAGTTTTGTTCCCAGTGAATCTGATTGCGTGATGCATGCTCAACAGAAACTGCCCCTATGATGCGACCGGTATCAATATCCTCGAGCTTCGTTTACTCTATTTCAGACTGGGTCCGGATACTCCACGAGATGAGATAGAGGCGCATGAGAACAGGCGGCAGTTATTGGAGCTGGACGTGCTGCACGCGTTGCGTGTACTGAAGGCGTTTCAGCAGACACGACAGCACTTGCTGGACAAAATGTGTGTGCGGGCTTTGGGGCAATTCGAGGCTTTCAATGAACAAACTCTCTCAAAACTTTCAGACAACGAGAAGCAATATTTAAAAGATGCATGCACAGCTGAGCACTCGCGAAGAGATGAATTCAATGCCCGGAACGTTGAGGACAAAAATGGGAAACCTTCGGCTGTAAGACTGTCCGGCAGCGCTTTCCACTACCAAATATCCGCTGCAGCTGTTTCCGGAGTGCGTATGCTCAGGCGCTGCTTGTCTTCAGCACCTGTGTCTGCCTCCCCCAAGCTGTGCTGTCGTTTGTGGGTTTTCCTCGTGTACCTTTTGGTTGGCGTTCATATATGAGTTCCTTGGATTTAGGGAAAGTGCCGATGCTCTGGGAGTGTAGCATGAGGCAGTTTAGGCATTTCTCAGATAGCAATTCATACATCTAAGCAACCAAGGGAAAATGTATGGCTTTCGTCTTTTGTTTGATGTTCTGCACAGTTCGCGGACGTCGTCTTTGAGAAGGAATGCCTATTGGAGGAGCCGTGGCACTTTAGTGCTTCTCTTTTTTCAGAGGACGGCGATTCATCCGAGTCTCGCCCCTTGAAGTATTTTGAAAAGGGGACTGTCTCCCGTCTACCGCTGTACAGAGCAATGCAACTGCGAGCCAAGGGAATTGTTAAGGTGATGCAGGTATCTGACCATCAGTGGGCACAACTAGACGCCGCGGCTTTCTTAGGCCTTGTCTAGCACCTCCGCAGCGTGCTTGAGGACCGGGATTGAGAAAAACACTTCAGCACCGCCAACAAGCAACAGTAACAACCTGCGAGGTGGACGACGTGGGGGGGGGGGGTGAAGGAAGCAGATTTAGTTCAGTGTCCGACTGAACGGGTAGACCAGCACTTGGCAAATTGCCGGGGTGTCGAGCATCAGGATGGCACTGAAGCGGGAGATATTTCAGTATCAGACGGCTTATAGCCCGTAGCCTTCCACGTCGAGAGGCACATACATTCATTGGGCGGACAAAGAATTGACAATTGCTACTGTGCCGCAAGCCCGCGGACAGCAGTTGTAGTGTGGTCTATATTTTGGAATGCTTGGGCCACTAAAGTAGTGGATACTATCAAGCAGAACGCATTCACCACAAAAGCCACCATGCAGTATAAGCGGCGCTGGGGGGGGGGGCGAAAATGAACGGTTCTACGTGTGCATTGCTTCACTGGGAAATTTAAACCTTGGACTCCATTAAATCCGCCCTTCCTACTTTTAATGAATTAGATAATTGGGCACTATAGTGGTAATATTGCCATGTGCTCAAAAATATTCGACTGCTACCGGCAGGCTCCCACTGTTAAGCGGTGCTCCATGCAACATCTCCGTAGAGAGACTTCACTCCAGGCATAACACAAGTTTTATCAAAGAAATCAGCTATTTTGCGGAATCTCTGCTTTCGTGAACTCGCCCCTCAGTGCACTACATGGAGGGGGAAAGGCAGATAGAGTGAGCTTTTTTGCACCTTTTAAGCCATCGGAGCATTTACAGCTAGATGCTGGTAGCATCTAGCGCACACGCACACATCAATGTGCATTGTTGTATCAAGCAAATAGTGCTTGAATAGGATATGCGAACAGACACTTCCAAGGTCAATTCTTTACTATGTCGGTCAAATATAGCTACTGTAGGGGAAAGCGCTGCAGTCGAGCGTGGCTCGCTGCACCGTCCGGGCACCCTATTTCAAAGATACACCTCCCGTGCCCTGTCCATATCCTGGGAGCTCGGCTACGTGCAGGAGAGCGGAAGAGTTCCTGTTCTTTCGCCCCTCTGCATGCTAGCAAAATAGCGATAAAAATGCAAATGAGAAATGCAAAGTGTGCAACAATCGCTTGAGGAGAAATTGACCGGAGGAAAACCTACACACTAGCCAACAACAAAACAGCGCACCAAATTAACACGGCCGCGGCGGCGCGATGGATTGCTGTCGTGAGAGCCCTGAACTCTGCAAGCTTCCTGCCACTAGAGAGCAGAAGACAAGTAGAATCCTCGCGGAGAATTAAAATGCACACTAGCTCAGCGTTGTCTCCGCACCTCATACAGCAATTTGTTTAGTGCAAATACAGCCGGTGCATGCAGCATAGTGAACTTTCCTGCCCCGAAAATGGTAATCAAAAGCTAGGCACCATATGTGGAGGTGTCTGAGGGTATTGAACACGTAGCAGTAATAAGCGGGATCTTCTTAGCAACACCAATAGAATAAGCTGGCTGTCACGGCAGAATAAGCATTGGAGAGGAGCTACCAAGAAACGCAAAGAAAACCGTCTAAAGAGAATATCGCTGTAAGAAACTGCAAATGATGCCTCGCGCAACGAAGCCCGCAACTACTAATCGTTCGAACACTGAGGTTAGTGCTCCTTAGCCCATGCTATTAAAGACTCCCGTTCACTGCACCCTCGGCGCTAAGTGGTCTTAGACTACGCCTGCTCTCGGTGCTCCCCTTCTGAGATGCTAGCCCGATTATGAAACATTTCACTGCCTGTTAGCTCAGATTATAAGCCTTACTCTTAAAGAAGGCTTATCAAAAAGTATGCTTCAGCAGAATAAACAAGTAGAGATCAGAGAAGCTTCAGTGGGCTTCCTAGAGGCGAAGGCTCGGTCTACCGAGGGCCGAACTGCACTATAGGCTTAACGTCTTTGAACATATTACAATATGGGATAAATCTGTAGCTTTGGGGGGCGAAAATGTATTGAAAAGGATTTGATTACCTTGGAACTAACTGATACGGCAAAAGAGGAGTCCTGTCTGGCAGCTCGAAGAGCAGCTCTCGTCCACCTGCCTGTCACATAGCGCTCGACACGCGATGGGCTGCGACTAATAACCTTTCCAAAATTGTAAGCAAAATCGCCTTCATTTAGCTTAGAGTTCCGGTGTTTTTTTGCATTCCTTCACATATACGCGTAGGGTTATCTGGCCGTCTGAAAAATCAGTGCGCAGTGGACCAGACAACTTATTACACTGGTGCCTCGGCCACTATGGAGTTGGATACTCCTCTTAAATTCTATGTTGTCTAAAATCTATCAATGGGCATATGTACGAACTGTGCGATACGCAGGCTGTATAGTATTGCACAGCACTTTCCCCCGCTACTGCTATAGGTCACCTAAAAACAGTCTCGAGGCCCTGAGCAGCCGCTGCTGCGCATCCATCTTTCCCGTTCAGCTCCAAATCCATCGATTTAGGCATACCTTCTCAAGGTTGAAGTAAAATTTTAAACTTCCAATCTTTCCACAAAAAGCTGTATGCGCGCCCTGGCATGAGAGGCATACCGACCTAGGACAGCAGAGCCGTATGGCTTCATAAAGCAGCGATGCCCGATTCCCTTCGCAAATGTTGAAAGGAAGGCACGGAAGTAAATTTCACACTACTTTATCTTCTCAGGAGTGTGTAATTTGCTCTTGGTGGCCTTCGGCGTTTTTGAGGTAGAGAAAATGAGGCCGGTGTCCTTGTGCCTTCTGACTTCCGCTTGGCACGCTGCTCATTCGATAAACAGCCTCGAACTTTTAGCTGGTAAGCTAGGCTCAATCGATCGAAAAATAGATAAAGACCACCTACTGCGTTTACCCCAGGGACAGCCAAAACTGTGCACTGTGGAGGCTGTATAAACTTGGGGGGTGGCACTTTGGGATGTAGTGGAGCAGGGCGCATTGCAGCAGATGGACAGGAAGCAATGCTAGTGGTATGCTAGCCAACCCAACGACTTGAATTCGACGCTATGTCCCAATATGACGCAAACACACTATTGCTTGCAGTACCTCGATATCTTCAGTAGTTGACAATTCTCTACTAAGAAAGGCGTGCTCATAAATTCGCAGCATTACTGTTTTATGCTGCATATTTCACAGAAGCATTGCCGCCATCTCACAAGTGGGAAAAAGCTGGGGTGAAGCATCATGAAGTTGGTGATCTTTTGGAGAAACGCTATTCAGCGACTACGGAAGCGCCACCGAATCATTTCTCGAAGAGCCTTGCGAAACCTTCCGGGATTACGGAAGGGTTTTTTGAAGACGAAAATTCAAAAGCACTCAGTAATATAAAAGGAAAAGGTTTTGTAAGACAAGCAACACTATCCTTCCCTTGTGATACTCGGTGCACTACTGCATCGACCCAGCAGAGTGAAAGGCTCCCTTGATCATCAAAGCAATCCTTGTAAATGTGCAGATATGCACGAGTAGTTTGCCCCCTACATTTGCAAATGCTCAGGTATTTGCATGTACTGATGCGTGCATTTTTACATACATTTGATGCGGCTGAAGGTAAAGCCTCTGAAGATACACGGGCATGTTTGCACTTGTTAATTTATCTACACATCAATGCAGATACGTTACTTGTTTATATGTATATACGTGCTAGCGTGAATGCATATAGGCTGGAAATATCAGATCCATTTTATCTAAGATAAAAAATTTTTTTAGAGGAAAGGCTCTTCTAGAGAAAGCAGAAATCGACGGGGCCCTTGACACCTATGTTTCGACTTTGACAGGAACACGTAAGCTACTACAAAGCAACTATCATCAGAAAAAACGACGGATCAAAAGACACAAAAGTCGGTATCGCCGTAAATCAGTCTCGCACGTGTCAGACGGATTCGTTGTACGTTCACGGAGCGCCTCGGAACTGTATCCCTAGCCATTACATCATAGAACCATGAAGTAGGTGTATGCGTGCTTCAAGGTTACATCAATGTTTCACTGAATGCTTTTTGTTTCATGCAGTATATCGTTAGGGCATCATGTCATGATTGTCTGCTTCTATCGTTCGCTTGCCTATCAGACCTTCTTGACTGCGTAGAACTTCTACCATCTGAAAAGCTTCATGAGAGGCACAAGGATTTTTGCAAGAAATTCAACACTACTAGACTTGATGATCTGTGCACACAATTAGGAAAAGAGGCGCTGCAGATGCTGACGACGGCTTACAGCGACTGCAAAGAGTCAGCTGGACGAGGTAAGAGTAATTCCGCATTTTGCCTTTTATGGAATGCTTGATCATACCCATGTATGCAACTTTCTGACCGCGTAGCATGAGCAGAATGTAGCTCGCTCTCTATAAATTATATAGAAAGAGAGGAGAGATGGAATTACGCATTTTCTGTGGAATTGGAGGGAGGGAGTTGGTAGTATTGTCCTTTCATATTGAACACGCCTGTGCATTTTGAACAATATTATGAGACAACCAACACTTCAAACGGTTTTTTGGCTTGTTTGGTTGATGTTAATTAATATTAATAATATGCATAGCTGGAGTACAGGGCACCTAGTGGCGAGCGTTTTGCGCATGTTGCGTGCTGGGTGCCTTTTACATGCAGGTTGTCTGTTGAGGAAGCTTAACCTTCCAGTTGTTCACCCACTTATTAGCTCTACGGTCGATAGTAAGACAGTGCACGAAACTCATACGACAAGAACTTGGATATTTATGAGCAGAGGTCCCACTAGCCTCATGTTCAATCTTTCTTGCTGGTAATATCAAATAGTCCGTTTTCTTGCGTATCTACTCACAATGTCTATTGTGCTAGATTCTATGAACCAGCGATGAATTTAAGCTTGCAAGTGGCTGTCTTGTATTACTTTCCATATATTGTGTATTCTAGGCCTCGGAAAGTACCCTCTCCGAGATTTTGTTCTGCCTGCACTTCGGCGCGAAGATTTTGCTCCGCCTGCACGATGGGGACTGATTTCACAGCTACAAAGCCTGTTTTCCCTGGAGTTCCCAACTCGACTGGACCTCCATAAGCGAGTAGAAAGGGAAATAAATAGAATTCGTGGAAAGGCAGGAAAATCGACGAGCCAAGGTGAACAAGATAAAGCCTTTTGGGTAAGGCACAACATTTGGCAGGATAGTGCTAGACTCACATTGGTACTAAGTAAGAAAACATAGTACATATGATTTATTTATTCAAAAGTAATGTTGATGCCATATTCAAAGCAGAGGTAACGAAATTTTCTATGATTAGACAAAGACATGTCGACACCAGTTTGAATAACAAACGCACGAACCTTCAGACAATTCGCACAACGTTTTCTTATTGCCAGATCATACACACTTGCTTTATTTGCCTGATGCGCTGCAGAGGTCGTGGCAGTTGGTGGTTCATGAGATGAGGATTAAACCGCATATGGACCCAATGCTTATTCGTTTAGTACTTCTATCGCTTTCTTTCGAAAAGTGCCCTAAAAAAAATGTGCCTTTACTGGTATCTGGAAAGAAGCAATCTCTCTCGTCTTCAGATATCTACAGAAAAGCACTAGGAGCTGCCCTTTCTGGCAGCATGCGACTCCAGGAATGCACTCAAAGCAACATAACGCATAACTGTCAGACTCTCTTAAGATTTCTCAAGTTAAAGAAATCCCTTCAAGCGTTTTCTGACCTAGATGAAGACCATCTTCCAAATGAACGGACAGACTTCTCTGATGGAGAAAAAGTGGGTTTGCCAACTGACGAAGATATTAAAGACCTACGCCTGGAAATAGAAGAAGACGCACAAGCAGACATAGCATATGGTAGGGCCCCAACTGACACTCGTGTAAAAATATTTTTGGGCAGATTTCTGGAAACCTTCATTTAGCCTTACGCTTTCATGAATCAAGGAATCTTTCTCACATAAGGTGTACATTCGTATTTTTGAATCCAATGGATGGCTTGTCCTTATTTTTCTAGGCACGCTTGTTCTTCTGTTTCGTTTACTCAGCTAGGACTGCGGCCGATTCGGGCAGCACAAAGATTATAGGCTTTATTGCCAAGTCGCGGATCGCCCGAATTGTGATCTCTTCCATTGTCCGCGGAATACTGCACTTTGTACAGCATTTTAGGAAAAAAGCGCAGGGGAAAACCTGTAGGCCACGACTTCAGAAAAGAGCTCCGGCGGAGGAGGGCGCGAAACTGCACAGCGAATCAACTACACAGGCTGTCGCCTTTGTCATCGGCTCTGCCAGGGCATCGTCTGTCTATTGCATGTCGGGAAATAGTGGTCTTGCAAAATTGCAGCAAGATATAGTCACAAAAATATTAGCAAGTGAGTTGAAAAAAGAACGTGAAAAGCAACTTCCCAAACGATCGATTGGGCAGAAACTTAGAGACATAGTAATGCAGAGGAAAAAGCAATTTGCGCCTTCATTTCTCCTTTCACGGCAAAAACCCCCATGCTTTAGAATCCCCTATTTCAGCTCCACAGTGTCACGTTCACATGTTATTCAAGAGCAAGAGACCAAGGTTGCCTTCCCCGAAAGAACCTCTTTGCTGCAATCTGTCGAAGAGTCTCAAGGAATGAGCACTACTGCTAAGCTCCTGCTAGCTGGGGGCACTTTCATCTTTATTGGCATTTCCATGCTGGGTACCATGGTTCCAGGGGTCCTAGTTGCTGGAATCATCATTGCAGGAATAGCCGCTTTGCTGATTCCGCTAATAAAAAGGGTTATGGCTTTCTTCTCTAATAGGAAGAGTGCAAATGGGGCAGAAGAAGACAGCGAAGCTCTTACCGCTAGAGGAAGAGGGGCGGCAGAAGATGACGATTATGAATAAAAGCAATCGAAACTTGGCTATATGGTGAATGTAGTACAATCGCACCTGATGCATCTCCAATATTTTCAATAGCTCGATTTCGCTAATCAATGGAGGGTTATTCAACCGAATTGCCTTTTGCTGCAAATCAATTTGCGAGTGATTCCACTTTTTGACCTTTCTATCGTTTGGATAGGTGTTTCTAATCTGTTTAGGATAGGCCAAATTATTTGCGCTATGATCAATATGCGATACTCATTTGCGTAACGCAATGAGCTGCATAGTAACCCTCTCTTTTTCACTTGTCATGTTTAACTGAGCATAAGTACAGAGCCGACCGACTGGCTGCTTGTTTATCGTATTTGTCCCAGTGTAGTAGTCGCTTAGGGCAAGCAGCGACAATGCTGTGGGTACATCCGCCAGATGTTATGTGCAACTAGCACTGAATGCTCGGAGTGTATTAAGGGTGCAGTTACGAGCAGCCTGAGTGATTTTTCCCTTACGTTGTGAGCTAAGGGGTGTGGAGATGGTACGGAGGGAGGTATTTTTACAATATTTATTAAAGTGCACGCACATTTATAGTGTGTGGTGAAATGTGTCACAACGGACACATGGGGTAACCTACGGTTCGTTGCACCACGTGCTCCGAAGTTCCAAGCTCATTAATTGACTGTCGAGGCAGTGGGATGTAACTCGCTTTTTCTGCATTCGTCGTTTGGCTTGACTCAGGTTATTTGGTACCCTAAGCATTCAATTTGTGTTTGTAACAGTCTGGGGACTGAACCCTCTGTAGACGGACGTCGACAGTGGAACAACTGCTGGACAGGCACAGAGTATATTCGTCTGACCGTTGCCCTCCTGCATCCCTCGTCTACACTTAGTTGTCACTGTGCAATCAGGGCCTGAGTCAGATGGTTCGTCAGCAAGCACTGTTAGCGCGGAGCATTTCAGAATGCAGTTAACAAGTGCACGCGAATGTGTACGCTTACCTTTAGAGAGACCGTGCGAAATCATCATGGACGGCAGTCAGCTGTGTGCTTTGGGCCAGCACAGTTGGTTCTGGTGCGGCAGGCTATATGAGGTGCGCCTGAAGGTGGCAAGACAAATACCTGTGCCGCAAGACCGCTAGTTCTGTCTGGTATCGGTTTATGAGCCGGCTTGTGCCTCTCTGAATGCCACTGCGCCCCCGTCAGCTTCCAGCGGCCCATGGTGTCTTTTCCAGTGTTTCCAAAAGAAAAACTGCAAAATCACTGAGTGATGTGATTCAGACCAAGCAGAAAATTTAGAGAAGTCTGATATTCCACTGCATCTACACCCAATGGAAGAGCGGAGACCAATTACCGAACAATTTCATGCACACGTAACTTTCCACTCAAGACATCCATAGAGAGACACTCCACTCCATATTTAGATATTTGATTAAAATCATAGTGTTATATCTCCCAAAATTTCCACTTTTCCCTACACGCAGCTCTCAGGTTTCCCGATCTGAGCTGACGGGAATAACCAAGCTGAGCGCTGGTATATCCTTCAAGCAGTTCGAGGATTCACAGCCATTTGCATACATCATCCAGAACACATGCATACGGCACTGCATCTCCTTGTACTGAGCTAGCGATGATTCACAGTGATTAAGATGTATGGACAGGCAAATCATTCAAGCAATCACAAATTCTTAAAAGTAAGTAGTGCAGTGGAAAACGCTTAAGCGTAGCTTAGCCCTCTATACTAAGCATATGTATGGGCCGGTGCACCGAAGTCTTCTTTACCCTCTACCAGAGTGCGCTCACTACGCCAATAATGGTACCGAGAAAGCTATTTTTTCAACCTCATTCCGGTTTACTCGCAGCAGTGTGCCCAGGCGCCACCATCAAATGTCGAACAGTGTACAATTGCTCAGTTTACCTGGTGAAGGCTCTTTTCACGAATGATTTAATGGTTTATAATGACACGGACTCTTGCACTTATTCTCGGCTTAAAGTTGCAGGCATGCAAGATCGGGCCTAGAGTGTGCGAAAGCTTGCAACCAGCGATTAATCCTAAGTGAAATTACATGGAGTTTTGCATGAACTCTCAAAAATGTTTGGTTGGTTTTTTCTCATGCAGCCTGCACGGGGTTTTACGAGCCGTGAGGTGAGTGGTCATTGAGTCAGGGTTTTCTGCGTATAGGCAGGCAGCCCACATTGAGAACACTTGCTAACCCTTGGTGCTGAAACTGCTCACACCAGTACCAAAGCTCAAAATTGATCGTCATCACAGGAACCATTCCCTTTGGGGGCCCGGGTATGTGGATGGAAACATTAGGACACAAGAGATTATACCTGGCCTCTAGCTACGACGGCTGTTAGTGGTGTAGTCGGACTTTTAAGGACGTATTAGTGCTCCATAAGGCTGGCACCTCTGCCCCGTAGTAGGCACTAAGCGGATTTCCATGAAGTAGCCTCATGATCTAGCACAAAACTGTATCTTTGTTTTGTGTAGATTCATCTTGCTTCAACTGAGTTTATATTAGTCTCCTTGACAAAACTGTACGTGGGATTGCTTGTTCAGTAATGCAACGAAAGATGCAACATAAGCGGTCAAAAATACTGTACTCTCCTTAACGCAGCAATTAGCTCTCCGGCGTGAATAACTATGCATCTGCACCAGCCTTCGTTTAAAGGTTAGGCGTTGTCGAATCTTAAGGGCGCTCACCAGGTTCCTTGTTCTCTAAGTTCTGAGGCTGAGCGCTCCTTTGACTGTCATATTAATTACTGAGAACTCCAATGTAAGGCGATTTCACCCTGAGTGTTCGCAGTGTCACGTGCTGTACCACCGCCCAAGGGTAGAAACCTTCGGGAGCGAGGTTGAAGGTGGGGAAAAGCTGTACTTTATGAGAACTCTAAGAAGCTTACGCCACTTGCTGGTAGGGCTCGAGTGGTGAGTGCGTACAGTTACTTACCTTAGTCAAAGCCTCATCCAAGACACACATCCTAGTAATAGCTCTGGGAGTCCGCGACTAGGAGACGTAAAAATACAGGAGAGAGCTGTGTCTCGGCCAGAGCTTATATTCATCCATCGTCCGCCCCTAGTGCTGAAATCTACCCAAGACCTCTACTGAATAGCTTGTGAGAAAGCATACAGCGTTAAACTTCAGCTTAGCGCGCGGTACTCCGCTCCTCATACTGTTATTCAACCCACTAACAAATCATTTTGTCGTATTTGATGGATGCTTTTTAGGCGTCCAGTATGAAAGGCCGAGTAAAATCAGACTGGCACCGGATATCATGGGTGTGTGTAACGACCCTGTTTATTCTTCCTTTGCTGAATACCTACAATCCAAATCATAGCAGCAAATTTAAGAAACTTGATTCAAAAATTTGTGGCTTTTAGGATGGGATCCAGCAACATTCTGAGTGCGCAAGAAATGCGAAGAGGCCGGTGACCCCCGGAGACTCTCAGCAAATGAAGAGTATGCCAAAAGGAACCGGACGATTCATATCCCCATAGATAGTGGGGTTAGGAGCAGTTTATCATATATCGGAATTTGTTTAAACAAAGTAGTGGTCGGAATACAGCTGCAGATTATGGTTGAGTCGGCGTAGGCAGCTGTATGGCTCGGGTTGTGTCTTCTTCCTGCCTGAGCATTTAGGCTTGAATAGTACAATGTTTGGAGCCCCAAGAACGTATGAGACTCACAAGCGTTTGACGTATTGGAGCAGAAGGAACTAAGTGAGGAGGGAGATCAGTGGCTTGGAGAGCGGTGTGAAGAATTCGACAGCCAGATTTGCGAGGAGCAGAGCTTCGTTCAGATCCTTAATAATGGTGACACAATTGAAATCCTATCAAAACCCGAAAAAGTGTCATAACAAGTCTAAGAAGAGGTACCTTAGGAGGCACAAAGAAGATGATTTGAAGCTTCTCGAGCTCCAGGCAGTGAATGGTATGTCAGAGGGTAAAGCGGGGTAGTAGAGCTCCCCAAGCTGTAATATTTCCCTGATCTGGGGCTGGTGGAAACCCTGATAAGAGGATCCGTTGAAATAATGGCTGATTCAGCCCATTCCCATGATGTCGCAATGCCAGTTCCAAGCTTTTGGAGTCACCGCCAGGAGAAAGCCTTGGACGAGTTCGTGGGGCAGATGTTTGGAATAAGGTGTTGAACGCAACATCCGCATAGTTGGCAGTTCCCCGCTAAGAGAGGTGTATTGACATTGACCTTTCGCTTTGCTGCGGGGTGCGTGTCGATCCATCAGCTTGGGTACAGTGTTATGTCTGATTGGACCTTTTTTTGGCGGACTTCTTCGCCCGAGACATACGTACGCACAAATACGAAAGTCATATGGCGAAGCACATCACCAAACCGGACGGGTCTTATGACAACGGCAAGCAAGAATGACCACTGGCCAGCAACTCAACGCTGCTTTGCTTTTCCCCGAGTAGTCTATGTGCTTTAGGAAGCTCCCCGTGCCGAAGCAAGGCGCTTCTATGGATATCGGTATCAGGGTGCTAAAAACATGAGTATCTGCGCAAACTTTGCGGCGCTGGTCGCTGGAAATGTAAGACTCAATTTTTGTTATGTTTTATGTGTGTTCAAGCCATTTGTAAAGTTTGGGTACTGTTGCCACCCCAAAGTCAACAGGCAGTGCATTGCAGGACCCCCGATAGCTTTAGAGCTCTACGAAAGGGCCGCCGTTCCCTTAAAAACCCATTCCACATGGGCCGATAGAGTCACAGGACTCCCTTAGAACTAGGCTTTATGAGTCCAACAGCTTCTCTATGGTTTAAGTTGTTGCAGCCAGTACGCGTCTGCCTCTTCGTCTCCTCCCTTCGATTTCTGTTCCTTGGGCTTCTTTTCTTGCCCCTGTCTTGCTTTCTTCTCTTCACGCCTCTGCTGTAGCTCGGCCTTTTGCGACAAGAACGCCGCACACTCCGCCTGTAGATGGTAGATGGAGCCACACGTCCGGCAGCAGCCGCCCTTCGGGTACTTGCCTGCAAGATTCAGCAAACAAGACCGTGCATAGAAGGCACGGCTTTCATCAAGCGACGAAATTAAATCCCCGACACAGAAAGGCCTCCGTAGATGCGCCCAGTGGCTAGAGAAACAGCCATTCACCCCGTATGTGTGCCTGCCACTGGCCCAACGGGGAATTGGTCCTCTTGCAACTCTCGATGGATTATGACATCTCAGAGGCAGTGAGAGCCTGCAGCTCACCGGTCTTCGACTGGGGGCACTGCGAGGAAATGTGACCCTTTGCGTTGCAAATAAAACAGAGGGCGAAAGGTAGAGCTCCGTCCTGCACAAATGAGCAAGGCGGCAACGCGCAGATGTGCCACAAATAAGACTGCAAACAGGGAGGACGCGACTTATGTATATATAATATCTATATACACACACACACGAGGCATGATATAAACGCATGGAAGCGAACCAATGGCGGCCTTTCACTAAAAGCAGCTCTGCAGGGTCCTGAACGCCTCTTTTGTACGACTGAGACATTTTCACGGCTCTGAGAGATTCTTGAAAGCTGTCGTAGAGCCCAGCAGCTCCTTGTAGTCTGCTTCGTCACCACGTGAGTACACGCAGGCAACCCTTTCCAGGCCGGAAGAGCTCTTATGGTCGACAAAGGCCCTCAAAGCCATGAGAGGGGACGCAATACTGGTGCCGCACTAAGGCAACTGACCTCTGCCCGCGGCTTCTTACAGTTCTTCAGAGTGTGGTTGTGGCTCCCACAGTTGAAACAAATCCCGGAGGTAGCAGCGCCTTCAGCCTGAGCCTGAGAAACTCCCTGACGACACTCATGCAGCAAGTGACCTCGCTTACGGCCTGAAGAGGGAGGAGACATGCATGCGTATATATATGTATATATATATATGCATGTTAATTCTGCTGCTGCAACCACATTCCTACTAAGGAGCGGCTGGAGTATCTGCTACTGATGCAGAACCTACATCACCAAGAGAGAAGGGCCTTACATCTGAGACAGATTTTTTTGCTTCGTTTGTTCGATCTAGGGTCCTCTTCATGCGCATCAATGCGGGGCCGCTTGTGTCTTCTGACAGCTCTCTCCTTGCCTTCCAACTCTTCCTTCGACCCCTTCTGTTTCTTTTTTCGCTGCTTATTCTTGCTGACCTTAACAAGCTGTCCTCCAACCTGCGTCTCCCCCTTTTCTGCCTTTGAAAGCTCGGAGAGTCGGGCCTTAATCCTTTTCAGCCTTGAAGAAGATAGGGATACCCTGTCTCTATCTAGCTCTTCCAGCAGAGCCCGCTTTCTCTCCGCGATCTCCTCAGGCCCCCAGAAACCCTCCCGCTTCCGACGGAGCTTCCCGCGCGTAGGCGGGAGAGAACTTAGCGAGCTTCCAGGCCCCTCCCCAGTGACAGGAGAGGTACCAGTCTCTTCGTGCAGCACCTCCTCGATTTTGCCTCTCCTAGAGCGCTTGGAGAGGACCTCCTCTGCTGTTTCCTTCTCAGTGCGTGCTTCATCGGGTTTCGCGTTCTCGGAGGCTGGGATCAGACGCTTACCCTTATGGGGTGTCTTTTCAGGTTCAGCAACTTCAGCAGTCCTGCGTTCCCGCCTCCGTGCCTTCTCGCAGGAGCTCTGTGGCTCCTCTATCACATGCACTTGTTTACCATCTACTACCGGTGCCGCCTTTGCAGCGCGGCGAGCTTTCGCTTGCATCTTCCGCAGGTACAGTAGCCCACACAGGGGCCCAACTTGATCTGGCGCAGAGGCCTATTCAGGCGCTCTGCCCTTGTTCGAAAGCACCAAGTATGAAAAAGCAACAGGATTAAGCCTGTCGGAAAGACGCCGCTAGAAAGGCTTGCCTTTGCAGCCTGAGGCCTCTGCGAGCGGCGGGGGCCCCTCCTGGCACTTCTCCAAGCCCATACAAGAGGCCCACCCTCGGCTTCTCCTGCGCTCTGGAGTGTTTCCGAGGCAATAAAACTCTTACTTACTGCAGGAAAGCAAAGAAAAGGCGAGCGAGCCGCCTGGAATCTTTCATGTGACCCCAGGAACACTCCTTCGGTGGGGTCAGAGGCCGTGGGAACCCTGCGGCTTCTGCAGCCGACCGAGGCGTCTTCCAACTCCGAAAAACGCTCTCTTAAGGCTTTCCAGTAGATTTCACTATTTGAAGATGGAGCAGAAAGAGGGCGCGCCCCTCGACGCGGTGTTAGAGGTGCCTGTAGTTTAATCGGACTCCTAGACAACTAATGCGGCCCTCTTACTGAAGAGGTGGCGTCCTAAGAGGGTGTGAAAGCCAAGGGAACCGTGCGAAGGCACTAAGCGAATATACGGGGCGCTGTGTCGCTCCCCTCGTTGACACTTCCGGTCGGGTGGATACACATGGAAAGGGCCTTGGTGGCCATGGTAGAAATCTGCAGCACTCTAGCTTGCGTGGGAGCCCCCTGCTCCGTCTTTGCCCTCTGACGGCCTCTCCGGTGGTAGTAGCTGGAGGGCGACGTCCGTGTCTTGAATGCAGGCTTTGGGGACTTCTTTCCCGTCTTCTGCCGAAGAACATTGGCAACAAAGAAGGCGCATTTTGACTTTCCCAAGCGGCAAAAAGGACAGACAGACGAAAAGCAGCCAGCTGCAGAGCCGAAAAAGAGGGGGCCCTTGTGAGGAGGAGCACATAGTGCTGGTGGTAGCAGGAAAGGCACAGAAACAGTGCGCGCGGGGGTCGAGGCCCCACAGCATCAGAGAACACCGTGGGAAGAAGCTAGCTGACTCACCGTCAAGAATTTTTTCGACTTTGAAGAGGAAGAGAGTCCCCGCGATCTTCATGGGGATCCTAGTTCCCGCAGTCAGCGACGAAAAGTGCCGGAGTTCCCTCTCTAAGGCCCCCTGAAGAGCACAAAAGCCTCGCTATGGCACGTGAGGGCCTGTGGCGACGGGGGTGTTGCCTCAGGTGTACCCTCTGGTAGCGGTTCGTGCAGGGCTTCTCACGAGCCGTTTGTGTTCTCTTCGAGGCTAGCAAGCGGTGCTCCGTAAAAATCTCTAAGATACAATCTATTGAGAAGCTCCGGCAGGGAGCTGAGGCGTAGGAAGCTTGGAAGCTCTGCCGATGACACAAGAAGCGATGTCTACAGCCCCTCTTTTCCCCCAAGAAAGCCCCCCAAGCTCCAAGCGCATCGGGAAATTGGTCACCTGGATCCCCCCTGCCCCCTCGGCAGCGGCAGTGAGGAAGTTGGGGTCTGCAGGCCTCAGTTGTACAGTGGCGCCCACGGGCAGAGGAACATGGCGACAGAATACAGCGGCGTTACTCCTGCAGTAGCAGCAAGTAGCAGCAAGTAGCAGCAAGTAGCAGTAGCAGGAAGTAGCAGGAAGTAGCAGGAAGTAGCAGGAAGTAGCAGGAAGTAGCAGCAAGTGGCAGGAAGCAGCAGCAAGTAGCAGGAAGTAGCAGGAAGCAGCAGGAAGTAGCAGGAAGTAGCAGGAAGTAGCGGCAAGTAGCGGCAAGTAGCAGGAAGTAGCAGGAAGTAGCAGTAACAGCACGATCATTAGCGTACGAGCACCAGTACCGGTAAAAAGTGCAGCAAGCCAGCACTTGCAGACCAAAAAAACAGCTCAGCAGAAGGGAGGCTTTAAGGCGTCTTTCCGTCTGTATAGGCCTACTGAATGCCGAGCGCCTCCATTACCCATGGAGGGAGGAAGATGAAGCCTTCTGGAGAGGCAAAGTCGAGGGTGCCCACAGAAACTGAGGAAGGTTTCTTAGCTCCATCATCATCAGCAGCAGGTGCATCAAATGCTGTTTCTGCATGAACGCCCTGAGGACTGTTATCGCGAGACTCTCTAGAAGGCGGCTTCTCGAGTCTGACTGGCTCCAAGACAAAGTGCCACGGGGGGTCAGCGCGCTTGGCTAGCAGCTGCATCGCGGCAGAGAAGGACATGGGGGCATGCAGCGTGTGGGGAAGTGCATGCATGCATGCACCTGGGAGCAGGTTATTAAGCCCTTCTACGAGCGCCTTGCAAGAAGGAGCTTTTGTGGGCTGTTTGTTGTGTGGCCAGCGAGAGAAGAGAGGGGCTCTGAGGAGACCCCTATTCAGAGTAGCCTAAGTCAGTAGGTGTTCCTGCCAGGAGCTCTAGAGAAAGCTCAGGGCAGTGATGGTGCCTCACCTCTTCAAGAAAAGAAGAAGGGATGGAGGCCGCATCTCCATAATGCAGGCGACCATAGGAAAAGTGGCCTGTGGCACACAGATGGAGGGGAGAAACTCAAATAAAGAGTTTCGGTGAGCGATCCTGGGGAGGCTGGTTAGCGTCGAGGGCCCCCCTGCGCGTACGGTGGAAGTTTGGCGCAAAAAAAGAGGCCGCATAGACCGTGCAGAGACAGGGGAGAGACAGGGGACAGAGAAATGGCTAGGAAAGCGCAGGCAGCAGGGGCCCCTAGAGAAGACTTCTTAAGGCACACGGCTTATTTAGGAGAATCCCCTGCAGGAAGGGGCCATAAAGAGGTGGTTATTCACGTAGACATGCATGCATGCAACAAGAGCAAGGGGAGGCCCCTCAAGTTGTGCGCGGGAAGCAGCAGGAGAGCGACCCCAAAGGGGATCGAAAACAGGGAAGGGAAGGCAAGGGGACCCCGCGGAGCTGGCTGTACACCTGGATTGGGCACGAAGTAGTCGGCGATGGGCTTCGCGATGAGGATTCTTCCTTCTTTTTTTTGGTGCTTTAGAAGCACGTTAATGTCTCGCACATGCTGCTGCTGCTGCAGCGCACACGTTCGAATTCTGTGACAGCTGGGCCGCCTCACGCACCACGACCCCACGCTTTATCGTCCTCTTGACGCGAGGAAATTCAGCGACAAAGCTGCAGCGACACCTGGGAAGGCCCCTGCCAGGGGCAGCACTTGCCTGTGCAGCTTTGGCCGCGGATTTCAGCTTTTTAAGCAACCAGCAGCAGCAGCGGGAGCTCCGCGCGTCACTCCGAGAACTCTCGCAAAGAAGGGCCTTGCTTTCATCTGGGGGAGGTGACGAGGGAAGCAGGCGGGAGCTCTGGGGAAGCCTCCCCGAGGGAAAGACACGAACGCCGATGCTACAGGCTGCGAGCGATAGCAGCAGCAGCGGCAGCAGCAACTGCCGCTTCTGCCACATCAGTGCAGGCACGCGGCGAAAGAATAGTGGCCTTTCAGGGGGCCCTCTGAGGCGCTTCGCTGCCGCAACGAAACGCCCTCTTGGTCAGAATATCCCTTGTTGAGGTGGCTCCGAGTCTTACGGGATCCGCGGCTGGGGGCCTCATGCAATCGGCCATTCGGAGCACTTAGCTTGGAGCTTGCATGAGGTTTCAGTCATTAAAAAGCAGGGAAAACACGAGAAGGCAGGAAACTGAGCTGCAAATCGTTGCATGATGCAGTCTGCCTGCATGGAGGGGGGGAAGGGGCAGGCAGGGGGGCGGAGGGGGGGCCGAAGAGACACACACCAGAGAGACTTCCACACCAGAAAGGAACTCTCCGCGGTGAAAAATGCAGGAAACGCTTCTGCTTCTCATTTTATTCTACAAGATCGTTGCATTTGAGGGCTTTGGGCTCGCGTTTCTGGCGTGAAGGGGGAGCGTGGAACGCGTGCGATCCGCAGTGGTAAGCGGAGAAAAGAATTCTCGACTCTGCCCGAGTGGCGAAAGGGACCGCGTGGAAGGGCATTGGGAACTCGACACCCTTTGAAGAGTGCAAAGTAACACCTAGGAGCGTATCGGAGAGGCGCAGATTCTGCAGGCAGCGTTCCGGCTGTCCTCGCGGGGTGGGTAATTCTGCTCCTTCTAGTGTTGTTACAGCAGTTTTGCGCGCTCCCGCCATTGCAGCAGCAGAAGGGCTGCTGCCTCAGGAGACCAAGGGAAGGGAGCTGTCTCTCTCTCGGGGAGCAAGCCACACTCAGCATCGGTAAGCCCCGAGATCGCCGATGGAGTAGCCGTCCAGCTTAGCTAGCTGCATGCAGCTGCAGGGTCCGAGCAAAGTAGCAAGGCGGGCACCTGGCACGAGTTACTCAGCTTATTCGCAAGAAACTGACTAATGAGCATTGCCGTGCGTAGTAACATCCCATTCGTTTCAGACAACGGCTTGCTCGACACAACACCAAGACGCAGCGTTGTGCGCCAGACGCTGCATGCAACTAGGTGCAAATGCTCTGAGTGCTTACTTCATTAAGAGGAAGCTACAAGGACTCTGGCTGTTGAGGCGTCCCTCTTCCCTCACCTACTGGGAGCTCTAGGGGCACGCGCGGGCAGAAGGCGAGTTCTTCTGAGAACCCCTCAAAACTGCATGCCAAGTTTGTACTGCGCCTAAACTAAGTACCTCGTACAGCAGATCTTGACTACGGCGTTACAAAGGCCCTCCTGGGCAGCAGCAGGGAAGCCAGCGCCTTTGCACGAGGCCCAGCATTATATTTTCGCCCTTGGAGCTGTTAAGGCAACGCTGGTAGCAGCACCCGTGAGTGTGCCTTTTCTATGCGTTCCAGCAGCGCTTCCTGACTTCTCAGATCTCCGTGTTTTGGGGTGTTTTGCTTTCTTGAGATTCCTCTCTAAGACACCATCCCCGGCGTACAGCGGCAAGACGCCTGCAGCCACAGCACAGAACACACGCCGACGCCAACGAAATCCTTCCACAAGCAGCAGCTGATGGATTTCTGCGTGGTAACAGGAAAGCGCTGTCCGCCTAGGCAGCTTTCATACTGTCTTGCTCTCTCTCTCTATACATATGTACATATATATATATATACGACAGGCAAGTGGAGAACTCTCAACTCCAAGCTTCCCAAAGCATGAAATTCCTGTGTTTCGAGTTAGTGGCTGCTTGTCTGGCTGCGATGTAGCTAGCCGCTCGTGAGGTATCTAATTAAAGGCTTGCCTTCCCCCCTCCCCGAACAACTTACCTCCAGCCTTCCGAAGGAATTGGGACGGTGCCGCTGCTGTTTGCGAAGCAGACGAGAGGCGGCACTAGCAGCTCCTGCAGCAGCACAGGAAAAACACTTCACACCTTCGTTGCATGCAGCCCCATTCTCCATTCAGCACATTTTTGACCAGGCAAAGGCACACACGCCTCTAGACCACCCCATAGTGGATGCTCATGTAAAAAAAAGCAAGAGCTCCTAACAAGCATCGTACCCGTTTCGCGGCTCGCCGTCGAATCCACACAAAAGGCCCCACATGCCTCGGCAGTGTGTCCGCTGTCTCCTGAGAAAGCTGTTTCTGCTGCTGCTGTTGCTGTTTCTGCTCCTGCTGCTGTTGCTGTTTCTGCTCCTGCTGCTGTTGCTGTTTCTGCTCCTGCTGCTGTTGCTGCTTCTGATCCGAGTCGTTGCGTTCTCCTGCCTCACTCTCGTGCGAGTGCTGCGGTGGAAGAGGCAGCGCCACATGAGGCTGCAGCACGACGCAGCGGAAAAAGGAGGCAGCAGCAGCACCCACTCCTGGAAGATCCTGCAACCACAAATCGCTGCTGCCCTCAGACACCCCACTGCTAAGAAGGTTTTGACTGTTGCTGCTGTTGCTGCAGCTACAGCAGCTGAGGAGTTCTAAGGCAACACGCAGCAAGAGCACGTCGTCGAAAGATAGTGTCATCTCCCTGCTGCTGCAGATTTCCCCCAAGCGGGAGATCAACGAGACGGCATCAGCGAATGCTGCTTCGTCTGCCTCAGGAGAAGAGGCCGCAAAAGCCGCAGTTGCAGCTGCTGCTCCCTGCTGCGCTGCAGCAGCAGTCGCGGCAGCCACACTCAGTGCCGCTGCAGCTGCCCATTTGCCGTCGGTTATTGTGACGTGGTGCTCGGGAGACTCTCCCACAGCCTCTCGCAGGATGCCATGAAAGATCTTCGCTGTTTCTGCTCCCGCTGCTGTTGCCGCTGAAGAGGTCGTTCCCAGTGCAAGCGCCAAGGCAGCAGAACGGAGACAGCTGGAGAGCTCCTCAGGTTCCAGCGAGCGCTGCTGCATCTGCTGCTCCAGACGCAGCAGCTGCCGCTGCAAGAGAGCTTGAGGCAGGAGCACTCCGCAGAGGGGAGCAGCAGCAAGCAGCTGCCACTGTTGATGCAGCTGCAAGTCGTTGAACTGTTGTTCCACCTCGCGCTGCGCAGCCACCGCTGTGGGGGCGGCTTCCGTTGTGCCTGTCTCTGCGAGAGGCAGCAGAAAAGGCAAGAGCACATTTGATGAAGCGAATTTCGTTCCCCACGAGGATGCATGCACTGCGGCTGCCGCTGCTGCAGGGCCGTGCGGGGGTGTCGCCAGCGCTGAACTCGCCAACAAACTTTCTGCCGCTGCAACTGCCGCAGCCACGGATGCAACAGCTGCGCGTGTAGCGCAGAAGCGGCTGTACCTGCTGCTGTGCAGACGCCATCTCCGAGTGCAGTTTGGTGAGTCTAGCGGCGTTGGCTGCAGAATCGGCTTCCGTTGAAGGTTTCCTGCTGCACGCGCCGTCCGAAAGACACGCCTCGCCTGTCTGAGAGGCGCTCTGGGGAGGCTTTGAGTTGCTGCTGCCATTGGGAGTGATGAGGCTGTGGCTCTTGGGTAGCAGGGGTTACCCGAGGGAGTAGGGAGACGACTGCAACGCAGCATGTCTGCAGGCATCGAATTTGCGGGGGAGGCCGTCTCCGTGTCTGCCTTCCTGCCTGCCTGCCTCAGTCGAAGGCCTCTCTGTGTGCAGCTGACTCGATGTTCCTTCTTTTTCTCCTGCTGGTGCTGCTGCTACTTCGCGCATGATGCGCCCTGCCGCGCAAAGGCAGCAGCAGCAGCTGCTGCTGCTGCTGTACACCTGGTGTTTGGGGGAGGTCTTCGCATGAAAAAATTTCAGCAACTCAACACCTCTGCGGCAGGATTAAAAGCCGCCACAGGGCAGGATGCAGGTGTTCTCTGCCCGAAGGGCCCTTCTGTAGGAACTTCGACGCAGGGCACCTGCTACAGAGCGAGGGAGAGAGCACATCAGACAGCAGCTACCCGGAGAAACGTAGCGAGGGGCGAAGGAAGGCGGCCTGTGAAACGGTAAACTCCACAGCAAGAACAAAATAATGCACATGGGGGGTGCCACGGAATACCAAGACCATAGGGGCCCCCTCCTTTCTGCCTTCTAGGCGCTGCTGCTCCTGCTTGGCGCAGCAGCCGCTGCAGCAGCTGCAGCAGCAGCTGCTGCAGCAGCAGCTGCTGCGGCTGTCCTACACACCACCAGGGAGGATAGGGTGGACTGCACTTGCAATTCACGTGTTTTTTTGAAACTAATGAGTCCGTAATTTCCGTTTTGAGGTGTCTGGACGCCGCAAAATGCGCACAGCTGCAGCAAGGAGGAGGACGGCTGGTCCGACACCAGGGCAGCCGCAACGCCACGAATATCAAAAAACCCGCCCTGCTGCCCGTCGTCTTCGGGTGACTCAGCGAACAGTTTCCTATGCAGCGGCATCTGCAAAGGCTCGAGCGCTGCCATCAAAGGGATCCGCAGTGGCCGCATCAAAGCTCGCCGCTGTAGGTGCAGAGGTGCTGGCGAAGGTGGGGTTGCTCGCTGGAATTAGTGGCCTGTGTGTAGTTTGCCCACTTTAGCGGCATCTTCGTGAACTGTGGCAGCTCCGTTGACTCCTGGGCAGCAGCTGCGGCTGCTGCAAGCCCCTCGGGAAGGCACCCACGACAGCGCAGGGAGAGTGCGATCCTGCGTGGTGTGTTGCAGAAGCGAAGAACTTCCGCAGCTGCAACAAGAGCTTCCCGGAGCAGAGCCAGAAATGCTGGCACTGCTTTGAATGCGAGCAAGGCGCGTCATCATCTGGAGGCCAGAGGAAAAACTACGGTACGATTGGCTACGGGAAGGTGGTGCAGGGTTGAGAGGGGGTAGAGCTAGGGGGGCGAGCGGCTGTCGGGAAGGGGGTAGTGCAGTATCCGTCCGAGAGCACGCGCTCTTGATAGTGCTGCCCCTCTCACGACTCCGTGGGTGCAGTTGTTTTGCGTTGGCTGTTGTGGCTGCCGCTGCAGCTGGTGCCTTCTCCAGTGACTCGCTACGGGAAAAAGCAGCTGGCGTCTCTACTGCTGCCTTCCGCGGCAGCGGCAGTAGCCGCAGTGGCAGCCTCGTCTACAGATTCTTCGGGCGCAGTCGCAACCACCCCGCGCAGCGAAACTTCTTTGCATTCGGCTGCTGAAAGTCCTAATAGCCTGCGCTGCTCGCAAGGGGCCCCCCCCGAGAAGGCGGCAACTCCCCGCGACGGAGGCGGCATCTTTGGCTGGATTGCACGCACATTCTGGGCTTCTTGAGGCGTGTGAAGCCTCTGGAGTGCGGGGACAGGTGCTTGCTACTGCAGCGTTAGAGGGGGGCCCCTAGAAAAGAGCGGTTTTTGCGTTGCTCTCTTGTAGACACGGCGAGAGTGTGCTGCAAGGCAGCAAGCCTTGTAATTTAGTCGGACTCGACCTACGTGAGATCGCTTAGCGGGAAGCGCAGCGAAGCAGCAGGCGTAAAACGCCTGAGGCTCTACGTAGGGGACGTACAGGGGAACGTGTGCGTTAGCCTCGCTCGAAGCAGAAAACAAAGAAACCCTGCAGTATACAGAGAGGTGATGATGCAGCGTCGTGGGGAGAGCGGACGGTTAGAATGGAGGGCCTTGCAAAATTCTCCCCCTACACGCTGACGAATACGCACTGCATTTCCCTCGCGTGTTGCATCTGCTAGGGTACCCACCACTACTGCAAAGGCGCGACTGTCGCTTAGAACCGAAGGCAGCAGAAAACTGCCGAGGTGGCTGCCACAAGAGAGAGAGACGCAGCAGAGGCTGCCTATGTAAAACACACCCTGAATTAGCCATAAAGTCACACAATTACGCGAACGCTCCGACTAGGGGGGTCCGAGAGCGGCGGCATTCTTCTCTGCAAGCCTGCAAGGGGTACTTGAGCTGCTGCTGTCCTTCTTGCTGTCGCCAGGAAATCCTGTCTGCATTGCAGCCTTTGCCAGCACTTGCATGAGCAGCAACTTGCTGTTGGCGCTGCTAATGCCGGTACTTTTGCTGGCCTGCCGCTGCTTTTCCTCCTGTGCTTGCGAAAGCTGTCGCCGTCCCTTCTCTGCGTCGAGCTGCTCTTGGTGCTGCTTGATAGCCTGCTGCACGTCTTGCGGCAGAAGATACAGGAGGCTTTTTTCATTGTTTGCTGCAGTGTCTCTCAGTGGCAGTAGGGAAGAAGGGAGTGTCACTACGCGCCACCCGAAGGCCTCCAACAGCCTGCAGCCACAGCAGCAGAACTCTCGTTTGCAAAGCCCCTCCGTGTCAGCAGCAGCAGCAACGACAGACCACACAGAAGTCTTGCGCTGCAGCGAAGGACGCGAAAAAAGGCGGCACAAGCCATCATCTGTAGCCTGACCATCACCAGCGGCTGCCCTGCATTTGGCGAGCACCACGACCGCTAGTGCGGTAGAAGCCACGCAGGCTGCAGAAGGGCGACAATGAGAGCGTACATACACCCGAAGCAAGCACAGGCCTCATCGCCGAGCAATGCGTAAATCAACTCACCTGTTCCTGAGCTGAGCAGACGGTACAAGCGAAGGAGACTCTTTAGGATTCGGATTTGCTATCCACCTGCTAGGCCCCTCGATTTGGAGAGCTAGTTTCTTAAGGCCTCCCCCAAGAAAGCCCTCCTGTTGTTGCAGCGGCAGCTGCACGCCTATGTCCGGTGATACCCCTTCGAAGGTGGGAGGCTGCAGAGTGGCGGGAAGTTTCATCTGCAGAACCCGCACCAGCAGCAAACAGCAGAGTCCTCCCCGCATGCCCTCTGTAGAATTTCCGGTTGCAAAAGCGGCGCAAAGAGCACGCGTAGAAAACAGAGAGGGGCACCGGCCCAAGTGTAGCGACACACAACGAAGGGCCCTCCTAGAGTGCCTCGAAAACCAGCGACATACCTGCTGCAAGACAGCCACAGCGCGCCGCTGCGTGTCTGAGGCACAGAAGTCGCTTTTCGCCTTACAGAAGGCTGCATGCAGGGAGGAAACCCATTCCACAGGCCAGCCGCAAGAAGCAGCAATGCGTGGCACTATGCCGCCGTCTGCCGCTGCTGCCGCTGACGCGTCTCCTGCAGAGCAAGAAGACTCCATGTGCCCCTGGTGATTTTCCCTCTGCACGTGGACATATCTGGCAAGGAGAGCCTCGTAAAGGTGGACTGCTGCGGCTGGAGGACGCCGCAGCGTGTCGTAGGCCTGTACAGACACCAGCGAGCAAGCGCAGCAGTCGGCGGAAGCCGTGTTTGTGTCAACCACGAGGCGTTGAGACACAGAGTGCAGGACAGGGAGAGAATCGAGGGGGCTGCTGTGACGTTGGGGGGGCAGGAAAGGAAGAAGAGTCCACCATACTGCGTATGCGTGAGAAGAATCGCCATGCTGCTGCTGCTGCGCATGCTGCTGCTGCGCATGCTGCTGCGCATGCTGCTGCGCATGCTGCTGCTCTTGGCGCGGTTGCACAAGTACAGCCCACAGTGGCGAGGTGAGCGCCTTCGCATACAGATCCTCAGGGAAGTAGCCTACAAGTGCCAAGAGGCTGCAGCAACAACGACAGCACTGTAGCTGCAGGCCTGCATCTTGTCTGCCGCTCTTATCTGCATCTTTTCCAGTGTCTGCAGTGTCTGCAAGGGAAGCTTGACTAACCGCAACAGCGAAGCGAGCTCTTCCATTGACCACGCAGCCACGCGGCTGGGGTGGGATGCCAACTCCAAAGGCCTCCACGAGACACCCGCGTGTCCGCCTCCAGGAGCATCATCTTCATCATCTGCAGCAGATGATGAAGATGATGATGATGAAGATGAAGATGATGAAGATGATGATGATGAAGTAGATGATGAAGATGAAGAAGAAGAAGAAGATGATGATGCCGAAGGAATGCGCGCGCTGATCGCTGCAGCTACCGCGGCGAGAAGAGGATCGGCAGGCGAGATGCGCAAGTGGCTTAAAGCAGCCACCTGCATATATACAACATCACACCCACCACAAGCAGCAGCAGAAAGCACAGTGCACCTGCAAGGCCCACAGGAAGCAGCAGTGCTCTCACGAAAAGGACAGAAATGACAGCGTTTTGCAGTAGAAATGACAGCATTTTGCAGTAGAAATGACAGCTGTTCATTCTATTTAGGGAGAGAGTAGGGTAGTGTGACCAACAACAAATGCTGCCCACAGAAATTGCGGCAGTTGCTGCTAGCGACGCGCACAGGATCGCTGCTGCTAGTGCAGCATCAAGAGAAAAGCACTTAAAGGACAAAAAGAGCAGTAGCAGCAGCACCATCAGCAGCAAGATTCGACTGTACCAGCCTGAGGAGTTGCATTTTGCTGGTGCCTCGTCTCCAAGCATGCGTATGTTGCCTGAGTGCTGCGAGCACCTGCTGCACTGCAGAACCCTCTCGAAGGCCTAGCTGCTGCGCTGCATGCAGCATTCTTAAAGCGACACTGAAAGACATGTCGGCTGCCCTGTAGCAGACACATGCATGCACACAGCGGACACACAGTGCTTCCTTGCCATGGACAGATGCGGCAGCAGCCTCTTCGCTTGTGCAACACGTGCACTGCTAATGCACGCTGCTCTGGCTGCCCCCTTTCCCTCCTCCTGCCGGTGCAGCTGGCTGCTTACGTATGCTTTGAGAGCAGCTCAACATATTTATTCAGGACGGCAGCTCTGTCTGCCAAAGTCAAGCCGTCTCGTCCCCTGAGGCAAGCAAATGCGTGAAACGATTGCGATGCCCAGTGCATGCGTGTTACAGCAGCGCTTCTAGCGGCAGTGGCAAACGCAGCCAGTTCACGCTGCCTTTCCTGCAGCTGCCACGATGCAGAACCTTCCGGAGAGTAGGGCTGCGTCAACAGGCGCTGCTGCTGCTGACGCCAATGCATCTCGTTCTGGATCGCTGCTCTCATGAGAAGGGCGGCTGCTGTATTTGCTTCTGGAATCCATCGGAGCAGCATGGCGTGTGGCTGTTGTTTACGTGGCAGCAACACGCGAAAGCCGTCTTGTTGCCGCCACTGTTGGTGCTGCTGCTGGGACTGCTTGCTGCGCATGCGCTCGAAGAGCTGCAAAACCTCGCACAGCTGCTGCGGCTGCATGACGTGGAGGTGTCCAGACACAGCGCGGTGCAGCAGCAGCTCTGCAGCTTCCGCCAGAGGTTGCAGCTGCTGAATCACGAACGGCGGCAAAAAGTGCTGCTGCTGCTGCTGCCGTACTGGGGGGACGCCTGTCAATCCGCATTCATACAACGAACGTGCCACGGAGAGCAGCAGTGTCAGTTGCTCCTGCTGCTGCTCTTGCTGCTCTTGCTGCTGCTGCGCCTCCGAGGAGAAAAGAGAAGCCGCATGCAGGGAGATCTCGTGCAGCAGCAGCCTCACAGACTGCACCAATCTTCTGCGGCCAAGCTTGCTGCTCAGGCTGCCGCGCGTGCTGCTGTCTTGTGCTGCTGCTGCAGCAGCTTCATGGCGCTCTCGCCGTCGTTGCTGCTGCAGCACCAACTCTGCAAGCCGCTGCATGCAGCGGCACAGGAGCGGCAGCGGGATCGTCGGACGCTGCTGAAGGGCGTCAAGATCTCCCGCTACAATGGCATTGGCATGCAGCTGCTTTTGCCGTTGGTGCTGCTGCAGCAGCAGCTGCTGCTCAGTCTGCGGCTGTTGCTGATGAGGAAGAGGGCTTGCACGTTTGCTGCAGCCTTTTACAGCAGCAGGCACATCGCTGAACAGCAGCAGGAGCTGCAGCAACTCCGTCGTGGATCGCGCTGTCTCTATGCCGCCCTGGAAAGCAGCGAGGAAGGCCGCCTCCCTCTCGGCTGTCTCCGCAGCTGCAGAGGCAGCAAGCGCCGAGACATCGGCGTTCAAGGAGTTCGCTGCCTTCCAAGGGGATCCCAACTGCTGCTGTGCCTCCTTCTTTCTGCCTCGCTGCAGCTGCTGACGCTTCTGCAGGTGCCTTTCCCGCCGCTCTGTTTGCTGCTGCAGCCACCGGCGACCGGGTGTCTGTACAGTCCCTGCGCTTGGCTTCCCTGCGCATGCGGCGCGCAGCGAACTTCCTGCATTGGGGATGCTGCACTCCTTCGCTGGCCCTTGCACGACTACCCCTAAAGGGGCAATAAATCCAGACGGACGCCTGGAAGCCTCCTGCGAATCAGCGGCAAACTGGCGGGGGAGAGAAGGGCCTCTTCCGAGCTGCCCGTGAGGCAGTGCGCATGCAAACTGTTTGGTGCTGCTCTCGCCGCTGGGGTTGTTCGTGTTGCGAAATGCGCTGCCTTCAACACGAACGTATGGCATAAACAACCAGGGCAAAAAAAGCAGCAGATGCATCTCCCAGAGCCGTATGCTACTGCGCTGGAGCTCCTTCTCCAGGCATATTCAGAAAGCGCAGACCGCTCAGCGTCCTCGTTGCTGCTGCGAGGCTGAAGCGGCAAAAGCTCCTGAGAGCGAACGTGCTACAGATCACCCCACCTGCTGCCCTTCCCATTGTGTTGTCTCGAGTGGTCCCCCTTCCCCCACCCTCAGACATATCGTCGCTCGGCGGTAGCAACACTGCTGCTACGTGGAGCCGCAGCGAGTCGATACCACGAGCATCGGTAGCAGCAGCTCTTGTAGCCGGCCTTTGTCGCAGAAATTCCTCCCCCTCTACCTTCGTTTCTCACGCTGCGAGTCTTGCGAACAATTCTCAGAACCAACGCTAAAAACAGCGAAGGATTCGTAAACGAACCACAAGGGGCCCCTCATCAGCAGGGGAGGGGGGCCTCAACCCCACGAAGGCGTGACCCTATGGGCTCCCCATAGACAGACATTGCAAACAAAGACTACGAAATATATTCTCATCGAAAAAAACACTTCGCGTATTGTCTCTAGTCGCGTGCGTGCTCCTCTGCTCCCAAAGATATTCTGAAATACGCACACCACCCGACTCGTCTGCCCGCTAGAGGCACACGTTTCCGGCTTCTTTATGCTTGAAAACGGCTCTTTGTCTCTTCATCACCCATGCGGCTTCTAGTGTCTTTGTTCTCCACGAGGCGCCTTACGCTACTGTAGACTCGTGCCCCCTTTATTCTCCAAGAAAGTCTTGGGGCCTTATTTTGCTCAAGGCTCGAAGCCTCCTTAGGATCTACGAGGCTCTTGGCCTCGTTTTACTTCAAGAGAGTCTCAGGTTGTTACACTCCGCGAGGCGCTCGGCATCTTTGTACCCTACAATGCCAACGGTTTCTTATGTCTGGACAGCCGACTGCACGAGACACCGCTAAGGCCCCTGCGCAACCCCCGTGCAGCCCTCTCTGCTGCCATGAACGCATCGTTACGCCAAGGCGGGAACTATGGCTCGTGCATACATATAACTCTATCTGTATATATACAATTAAGCGCCTAAAGCATGGGGTATCCGCAGAGACTGTGGGATCGCTGCAGCATAAATCGCCTCAGGGCCTCACAACGGGGGGGGGGGGGGGGGGGGAAATTGAACCCTTTGTGTAGGTAACGCGCGGAAGGGGGGCCCGCGGGGAAGGTCCACGATGGAAAAACGAAAACCGCCGTGCTAGGGAAAAACAGACCGCTCCCAAAGGGAAGGGACAAAAATGGCTACAACTGGAAAGGGGGGAAAAGGCCTTTATGGTGGGTTTTTTGGCCGCCTATGACCCAGCTCATTCAGCGTGACCACCACGACGCTCTCCGCGTGACAACCATAGGCCCCAAAAGGGCTTTCTTGCGGGGGAAACACCACCCTGCCGTCCAAAAAACCCCCGCCCCCCCCCCCAATGTAATTTTATCAAACAACCAAAAAAACCC